CCACAAACAAAAAGTTCAGAACCATTGTCAAAACCTGTCAAAGAACTTACAGATGAAGAGAAAAATTCAATAATAGAAAGTGCCAGGTCTGGAAATACAAACCCTAACTACAAAGTCACTTTTCATAAAAATGGAACGGCAAGTATCTCAAAAAAGAAACAGACTCTCACAAATAAAATATTGAAGTCTGAAGGAGCTTTCGAGACAACAGATGGAAAAGTTTACTTCACTGACCAACAGTTCATTATAGAACATCTCATTGACTTAGAGTCGAAATATTCTAAACTTTACAACAAACACAAAAAGTTGAAAGGAAAACAAAAACAAATGGCATATGATATTTATGAAGATGTTGACGACACAACTGTTCCTGCAAGTGAGGTAAAGTCAAATGAACCAAAAAGTGACGAAAAACCAATAGAAGAAGGGAAGCCAAAAACTGAAGATAAACCAAAACCAAAGTTTAGTATTGAAACTAAACCAAGTCAACCTTCATTAGCTGGTATGGGTTGGCGTCAAAGACTTTTGGCAGCGGGTGGTTACGTAAAGTAAAGAAAAAACATTTTTTTATTTTTATAGAAATGCCCCCGCATAGAATGGACAGAAGGTCTGCTAGAATAAAAGCAGAGTTAGAAAGATATGGTTGGAAAGTTTCGAAGAAGTTTAAATATAGGAAGGGAAAGCCAATAAAAGTCTATGACAAACTGGCTGGTCTGACCTATGAGATGGACTTGGAAACAGCGCGCGCCAATTATCCAAACAGACTGGAGAGGTTAGAAGAAGAACGTCTTATGAACATGCCTTTCAATGTTACTGAGCCACAGGTTGAAGGACACGACGGCTTTGCCAGATTCTACTGGAAACATGACGAACAATTGAATCCTTTGAGGAGGAAAAAAGGAAAAGGTGAAGACGCACATGCCCCCATGGAAAGAACAAGATATGCATATGAGAAGTATCGCGAGGTTAGAAGTAAAATTACTTCTGGTCGAACCTTTACAGTAAACTTTGACGAAGGAAAGAACAAAGAAGGCTTCATGGGAGTACTTGCTGCAATTCAAGACGGAAATAAGAAAGGATACAATCTCAGACTAACCGTAACAGATTTAGATGGTCATATATACTACTCACATGGCAATGAACAAACAGCCGCACAACTTCTTGACGCTTTCAAGACTACAAAGAGAGAACAAATGTTTGACTCCGACTCAGACATCTTAAATGCAATTGAAGGAATTGCAAGCGTGAAGTTCGAATGGTACCAACCTAACCCTCAAGCAGTCAGACAACATGCTGGATACTTCCCGTTCAGAAATAAGTCTGACATTGACTTAACAAGGTATGGAATTTACAATTCAATTGAAAAAATTGTCAACGAACCTTGCATTCTTACATGTCTCAGGAACTCTGGGCTTGTTACAGAAGAGAAGATGAAGTATCTTGAGTCATGTGTGAAAACAAGGTACATTCTTAGAGGTCAATTGACAAAAATTGCACCGTTGGCAAATGTCAATATCCGCGTTAACATACCGACTGAGAAAGGTTCTTCGCACGATGACTATGTAGTTGACTTCAAATTGCCATGGTTGAAGATTGTACTTGTCCACAACCACTTCATGTTGAACGAAAGTCTTACACACCCATTGTTCGGAAAAGGTAAGTGCAACATTGTCAGAGCTGTTAACATTCTTTTCGAGAAAGGCTTGTTGGAACCAATTCCAGATGACAAGCTGACAGAAACTTTTGTACCAAAAGATGAAACAAACTTTTCATTGTTAGTAAGACCAAAAGTTGTTCCAGACAAAGTTCTAGCACAAAAGAAGTACACAGCTCCAAAAGGAGTTGGATTGTTCGGATACCAACCTGAACCAGAAGAACTTCCAATGAGGTTGCAAGAACTTCAAGATGCTATAAACAAACTTCCATTGAGACATCCAGTTGATGTCAAATTGTATTGGAGAGCATCTGAGCTAGGTCAGAAGGTTTTATATGAAACAGGTTGCTTCGACGATGTTTATGAGATAACAGGCGAGGTTTCTCAGAAGATAAGAGACTCACTTGAATTTCCACGAACTGGACCGATTGGATGCGATAAGTTCGACTCATACGAAAAGATATACTATGTCGACCTTAACGCTGCGTACATGAGGTTCGTCCAATATATTCCAACTGGAATTCCAAACGAAAACGGCGAGTTCCCGGGAAGGAACTATACAGTTGGAAAAGTCATACAACAACTGTATGATATTAGGAAAGCTTCAAACCCCAAACTTGCAATGACACTCAAATTGCTTATGAATTCGACATGGGGGTATTCCATTAAGAAACCTCAAGCGATGAAGAGTAAACACTATGAGAAGGTCGACAACTTTGTTGAAAGGTTTTCTCCTTTTGTTTTGAAGTACGAGTTCACCGAAGGTCAAAATGGCTTAGTAACCACAGTAAAACCTATTGTCGAACATTGGTCTTATCCTCAGTTCGCAAAGGCAGTCCTCGACAACTACAACAAATTTTTCTCCGAGGTCAAATCCAAAGTTGTGGTATACTACGAGAACATCGATGCGCTCATGACGAACGAAGAAGGGTACAACAAACTCATTGAAATGGATTTAGTCGGTGAGAAGATGGGCCTTTTTAAGCTAGACAAGGTATTTTCCGAAGTTCATGTTCTCTCCAAGCGCAAGTACTGGGGTGTACTTGAAGACGGGACAGAAATAAAACATTGTATGAAATAAAACATTGCATGAAATAGTAAAACATTTTTTAAAACATTTTTTTAAAAAAACATTTTTTTATTTTATTTGAAATGTACGCTGAGTCTGTCGGAAAGGACCGTTGGGAAACTTGTTTGTTAGATGAGAAATATGAAATTCACTGTTGTGAGTCATTTGAAGTCAGAAACAAAAAGACAAAAAGAGTTTTAAGCGAATGGGAGCGAAATGACGGATATGCTATTATAAATATGAGTGGAAAAAACTATTTAAAACATGTTGTCATTGCAACTCATTTTATACCGAATCCTAACAATTTACCTTTTGTAGACCATATAAACCATATAAGAAACGACAATAGACTTGAAAACTTACGTTGGGTTACTTGTTCTGAAAACAATAAGAACAAAAGCAAATTTAGAGATATAGTATTCGAATTTGTCGACGAACTAGAAGATGAAGCAATTGAAATTACAGACTATGGCGAGCATACGTTTGAGTTTTACTACTATAGCGAAGAACAAGACTCTTTCTACTTTTATACCGGCGTAAACTATAGAAAATTACAAGTATGTTTTACTAAGGCAGGCTATGCTTATGTAAACACTAGAGATACAGATGGAAAACGCGTTCAAATACTTCTTAACAAATTCAAGAAGCTATATGGCATACCATTTTAAAACGTTTTTTAAACCATATATTTTTACATATATTAAATGCTTCAGGTTGAAAAACAAAGAACAAAAGTAGCAGATACAAAACCGTTAGACTATATCTTTACAAACGCTGGTAGGACTATATCAGATGAAGAAATTTTATCCGGAGCTTACAGGTTTGACTATCCAGTTCGTTGGCTTCAAAGTCCTTCAGATGCAAAGGCAATAGGATTTAGAAGAGTTTTGTTTTCAAATAGAACTAACGCGTTTATGTTCGCGGTATATTTTCATGGTCAGTATAAAGGTTCTGACGGTCTAATAGAAAAATTTGACGAAATGAAAATCTTTACAATTCGTTCAGACGAAAGTCTTGAAAAAACTCTAAATGACTTTCAAACTCAAATAAACAAATACTACTGGGAATTTCAAGAAAAATACGACTCTTTACTAAATGGAACATACTATCTAAAACTAGAATACGATAAGATGAACTCCACCGTTTCATTTCAAAGGATTGAAAATAACCCTCCAAGAGATACAGAGTTTTTATATTGGGGGGTGGACAAACGTTCTTGGGCACAATTTCTTCGGTTACTAAACCAGAACGAACCATTACCACCAGATGGTCCATTTAAATTTATACTCCCACCAACAGATTTGACAGTTTATAGAAACGTGTTCGATCCTCAAAATGTCATGTGTCATGCAAGTTTCAGTTCAAGCAACAACAGTTTTCTTTGTATCGGTAAGGACTTTTATGACTTTGCTTCTAAATTCTACGAACCACCTAGTAACAGTTTCTCTGACTTTCAAGTCTGGTTCACAACAAACGGTGTGCAGCATATAATACCATTGTACTATGACTTTTATCTCGAATTGTCTTTCATATACAACTACGGAAAAGTGCTGAAAAAGTATTGAAAAATGAGATGTTTAGGTTAGATGGTTTTAGGTGTCACTACGTCACCAGGTCCCTCGGTCCCTCGGTCCCTCGGTCATTTTAACTTCTCTGAAAAAGTGTGACAACATGACATTTAGACAACAACACAGGAGATAGATTTCATCGTATATGTTTTGTGCTGAAAAAGTATTGAAAAATATATTTTATGTTAGCATGTTAGATCTCACCTCTTTTCTCACCTCTTTTTTCACCTGTTGAATTTTGTATAAAAAGCAACCGTCGACATTCTGGCGGTTGGTATATTCTTCACAAAATGCTTGTTTTGAGGTCGAGCCACTTTTGGCTCCACCTGTTTTTCAACCAAAACTCATTTTTTTCGGCAAAAATATATTTTATGTTAGCATGTTAGATCTAACACGTTTTCTAACCACTTTTCTAACATCGTAGAAAACTCTCGAAATTCATGAGTTTTGACACTTTCATAAAAAACATAAAAAATAAAGTTAGTTTTTTTAAAAAAATATTTTTTATTTTTATTGTAAGAACATGTTAGCAACAACAGCACCAAACTCGTTAGTCATGAACCCAACTTCAATGTTAGTAGAGATGAAAAGCTTCATTCCTTCTTCATATACTTTCGAAACAGAAATCCAGAAGATAAAGCAGGAACTTCTCCAAGGAGATTTAGACTGCACTGCGAAAGATGAAACAAATGAAGAATATCTTTATGAAATGCAGGATATTATTGACCATCTACCTAAACTTCCTGAAATACAACAACAAAAGCTTACTATTCCTGAATTCGATGAAATAGAAGTCAAAGCAACTGACTCAGTAGAAACCAAGAAGTTCATACGTAAGGTAAACTATGAGTTTCTTGGATTTCATTGCAACCACAAAGTCATGGACAAAGACTGCGATATGGTATATAAAAATGTTTCTGACATATATAAATCTGAAGAATTTAAGACCTACGACAACTTTGTTTCGTTAGTTGCAAAATGTGTATGGCAGATAAGAGATAAAGATAAAAGAGGTAAAGTATGGAACGAACAGATAAAACCAGCAACTTTTGAGTTAAAGAAAACCATTGACGCCTTAGTTGTTCTAGCTGGTTTTATTTCAATGTACAATGCTAAAATGAACCCACAATGTTCAAAATGTAAAGCAGCAATGAGGAAATATAACTACTCCGTCAAAGAGATAGAACGTATGCGAAACGACTATGCAGATTTAAAGAAAGAAGCAGAGAAACCAGCAGAAGATAAAATGGACATGTTGACATTTCTGAACAAAAACTATCCAACTGCTGACGATTTCCTTCTATCTGACGTCAAGAAGAAGTATAAAGATACATTCAATATTGTTAAAACTTTTGATATCCTTCGTGAAGAAATAGTAGCTACAAAACTGTTTAAAGTCATGAACCATCGCAACATATACCATGTAAAACGCTTGTAAATAGTTATGTTAGAAAAGAGGTTAGAAAACGTGTTAGATCTAACATGCTAACATAAAATATATTTTTGCCGAGTAAAATGACCAAATTTCATTATATAACTGTATTTTTTTGACGAAGAGAACTTTTACACTTCATAAAAAAAATCCCTGAAATCATATCTTTTATACAAAATTCAAGAGGTGAGAAAAGAGGTTAGAAAACGTGTTAGATCTAACATGCTAACATAAAATATATTTTTGTCTGATTTACGCTCATTGACGATGAAATCATGACAAAACATATACGAAGAAGTTTATTTCCTGGACTGTTGTCAAAATGTCATGTTGTCACCATTTTCAAAAAGATGTTAGTTGACCGAGGGACCGAGGGACCGAGGGACCTGGTTCCACCTAAAATATATTTTTGCTGAGTAAATGACCAAATTTCATGAATTTCCTCATATGTTTGCGACCCCGACTTTTCCCGGGGTCGCCTAAAACTCATGAAAATCGTAAAAAATTGCGAGTACGGAAAAAACCGTAGTCGCCTAAAACTCATGAAAATCGTGAAAAAATGCGAGTGGGAGAAAAACCCCAGTCGCATAAAACTCATGAAAATCGTGAAAAAAACTCTATGAAATCATATCTTTTATAAGAAGATAAAAAAAAAAATTAACGCTAGTTTTTTTAAAATATTTTTTTTTATTTTGTATGTAAGAACAGGAAATGACAAGCACTGAGTTTGAAACAGTTAAAAAGATAGACAATGAGACCAAAGTGGTTAGAATAGGTGATTTAAACGTAAGATACTCAAAGAAATACAAAAAATATTCTTTGTCAGACATTTTAACACTATCTGAAGGAAAGAAAGCACACGACTGGGTTAAAAATGCTTCTACTCAGAAAATTTTGACAAAAAATCCTGAGCTGATGATATCGGTAAGATTCTATGGAACAAGAGCATATCTTATAGACAAAAGTCTTATACCAGTAGTTTTGTTCTGGATTGACCCAGTTGTTGGATATAATTTCATAACATATGGTTCATTCGATACGGAACGTTGCAGTGAGGGCTTACTTTACATCGTTCAGAAACCGAAGGACTTCAATACAAAGAGATATAAGATAGGAAGAACATTTAATATAACTCAAAGATATGACAGTATAGTCAATAGAGTTAAGGTTGCGTTTGTTAACGATATGAGAGCTGCTGAAACAGAACTGCTTGAAGTTTTTGAGAAAAGGTATGGTGCTCCCATAAAAGGTAAAGAAACGTTTGAAGTAGATGAGATCGACAAAGCTATAAAAGTATTTGACGAAGTTGCTGAAAAATACATGTAAAGCGTTTATTTTTGGTCTTTTATACAAGATAGAAAATAACGCTAATTTTATTTTTTTTTATTTTTTTATTTTGTATGTAAGAACAGAAATGTCAACATCAGAGAACACAACAACTGCTATCGTTCATGAAGCCATAAGTGAAGAATATGAGTGGGTTCAGTTTAACAAACAGTTACGTCTCATTCGTTCGGTCAAAGATGACATGTACCAAATGCAAAGTATTTTGACAGCATGTTTTGCTCCAGATACTAAACATACAGACGATTGGTTCAAAAACCAAAGCACACAAGAACTTTTGAGCGAAGCACAGCGAGACAGACTTTTTTCTGAAAACAGTGAAGAACAGCGAGTGGGAGAAAAACCGGGGTCGCCAAAACTCTATGAAAATCGTAAAAATTTGCCAAATGGTTTGAGAGGTTGGTATGTACATAGACTTCTTGTAAATGCAGTTGCAATGTGGGCTTCACCTCGTTACGCTTGGTATATTTACAGACTTCTTGACGAACTTCATAGACAAGAACGTGAAGAGCTAGAGAACAAGCTTGAAGCAAAAGACAAAAACATACAGAAAAGAATACCATGTTCGGTACCAAAAGGAAAGGAAAAGAACTATAAGTATATGATTTACACTGAAGAGATGGAAAATGAAGAAGACAGAGATATGGTTATGTTGCATTTAGTCAGAAGAAACAACAAAAGCTTTTACGACCTTGCTAAGATTTACAAATCTGACAGAAATTGGTTCTATCGCGAAAACTTACCGATTTCAATGACACCGAATGAAGATGTTAAACAGATAGTTCAAGATACGTTACCTCAAACACACTATGATATGAAAGGTTGTACAATACTTACATTCAAAGAAGATTTGCCGCTACTGAAGGAAAAGATAACAGAGTATTTTGACAACTTCAAAGAGGAAGAGTAAATGAACCATATATTTTTCAAGTTTGACACCAAAGATGGCTCATGTAGCTCTAGATGGTAAATTGTCTTGTCCGAGTCCTTCTGGCATTCCGAGTCCTTCCTTCCAACTGGAAAAGTTTTTCCTTCCAACTGGAAAAGTTTTTCCTTCCAACTGGAAAAGTTTTTCCTTCCAACAGGAAAAAAATTTCCTTCCAACAGGAAAAGTTTTTCCTTCCAACAGGAAAAAATTTTCCTTCCTACAGGAAAAAATTTTCCTTCCTACAGGAAAAAATTTTCCTTCCTACAGGAAAAAATTTTCCTTCCTACAGGAAAAAATTTTCCTTCCTACAGGAAAAATTTTTCCAGTTGTTCGTCCGTAAACCATTCAAATTTTCGAAAATTGAGAACTTTTTGGCCGACCTTCAGGAAAAATTTTTCTTTCCGACAGGAAAAATTTTTCTTTCCGACAGGAAAAATTTTTCTTTCCGACAGGAAAAGTTTTTCTTTCCGACAGGAAAAGTTTTTCTTTCCGACAGGAAAAGTTTTTCTTTCCGACAGGAAAAGTCCTTCCTTCCGACAGGAAAAGTCCTTCCTTCCGACAGGAAAAGTCCTTCCATCCGACAGGACACAAACGAATGTCCGACGTACCACCAACCGAGTCCATTCCAAAGCCAGAAGAACCGACAGCCCCAGCACCACAACAGACTAAGACTAAACACTTACATTTTTTACGCTTGACTTTTTACAATTTGAACTTTGTTCGCGTAGATGTGAATTCTGAAAGAAGTATGAGGGTCTTATATGACTTTGTACTTCTCCCATAGTTCATGTCTGTCAAACTTACCTGCCATGGACTCTTTCATAAGTTCCATGAAATCGTCTTCGGACAATCCGGGGAAAAGTATGATATCAGTAAGTATTCTCTTTACATCCTTACTTAAACTCTTTGCTGTCTGTACACAAATGACAACAGAGATGTTAAAGTGTCTGAGCTTCTTAAGAATTCGACACATGTCTTGTTCTCTGTTCTTTAACAAAGGATGAGAAGCAAAGTCATCTAAGATAAGAAGACATCTATGAGGGTAAGTCTTCCAATCGTAAGATTGCAATTTCTTCGAAATGTATTCTATCTCTTTCTGTTTGTTTCGGAAGTGTTTCTTCTCTAATATTCTCTGCATTTCCTCATTTGGGTCTTTAAACTTAGAATTGACATACTCATTTATAGCATTGTACTTCAAAACTCTTCTTTGGTACTTCTTTATCCAATCTAACAACTCAGAGTCTTTTATACATACTAACTTAGACTTTTTTATAATATCTTTGAACGAATTGACGGTTTGGTCAAATTGACCAGAAGTACTACAAATGACTACTAACTCATAGAATGGGTTCTTCTCATCTAGTTCTTGTTGTTGTGCAGCCATTTTAAGATAAGTGAAAGTCTTACCCGACCCAGGTGGTGCAATTAGACCTGTTATACCATTCTGAGCAAATAGGAACTTGTCATGTATGGGTTTTATCTGAGCATTTTCCAACTTCCTCTTGTTCTTATTTAAAACATTCTCAAATTTTTTGTCAATGTCAGCAAACTTTTTTTCTAACATATTTTTAGAAAAATTAAAATTTTTATCTTTTAGGAAATGTCTAGCGATTTCGCTATCTATATTCGAGATAAGCTTTTCGACAGCAAAACATCTGTCGACCATAAAATCTTACATAGTGTAAACAAGAAAGGTGAATTTGTTCTAAAGTTCTGTTTCTGGGAATATGACAAGAACCATAAAACCTTAAGCAGAGAAGTCTTAAAATTTGTCAATGACAGACTTGTTGACAGAGATGACGCCTCTTGGAGAGATGAAGTCCAACAAAACTTCTTAGAATGCAAAGAAGACACATGCGCTGTTCTTGAAAATGAAATAGAAAACAGAATAGAAGAGCTATTAAATGACAAAGCACTTTTACAAAAATATGGTTCTGAGAAGTTTGACATAACTCCACCAGAGAAGAAGAAGAGAGAAAAGAAAGAAAAGAAAGTAGAAGAAGAGAAGAAAGAACCAGAGCCAGAGAAGAAGAAATTTGACATGTAAAAATAAAATTTTATTTTTAGAACATTTCTGGGTCAATGTCAATGTTCTCTTCCTCTTTAGGAGCAAACACTGGCTTAGACTCTAAAATCTTTTTACCCAATTTACCTTGAACTTCAACTATCTTAGACTCATAATATTCATAGTCGTCTGCTTTCTTTGGTTCATAAGGTATAACAAGTTTGTATGCTTTGCCTTCTTTAAGGTTTGAAAACCTTCTGTCAAAACTTTCTTTGACTGTTAACAAACCTTCTATGTCTAAGTCTTCAAATTTCGCACCATTTTTAGTCACAATAGCAAACTTAACTGGTTCGATGTTCCAAACTTTGTCAAATGTAGACTTTTCAAAATGGTAGAAGTAAACATTCAAATATGTGAATGGGTCTAGTTCTTCTTTAAGTCCTGACATACTTGTTGACTGAGATGAATTTTGTCATCTTTTCTATCGGATAAAAAAAATATTTTTTTTAAAATTTACTCAGAAAAATTTTTCTTTGTATATACACCATTCTGTACGTCTAAAAGACTTTTGACATTTGCCAAGAATGTTCGTTTAGACGCTGTCATATAACCATACTCTTGACAATACTGTTTATACGAATCGTACAATGACCTTTCATCTAAACACTCAAAGTCAGTTTCATCTATGAACAGTTCATATACACTCTTGTTTGCTTCTAACAATGTTTGTCTCTCTTCGGTATGTGGAATTTGTCTTGGATTGAACTTTGAAATATCTAATGTCATGAAATATGAGAACAAGTGGTTGTAAAAGTTAGGTGTCAAAGTTTCTGCTAAGTCGTCAAAATATTCTGTATCTTGCATATGAGCTTCTGACGTTCTGACAACTACATATCTTCTGTCAGAACTTTCTAACTTCATCGGAACGGCGTTGTTTGAAACCATGACGAAGTTTGCAACATTTTCACAAACTCTTTGGTCTCTATACTTTCTTTCAACAACTCCAACTTTGTCTGTTATAAGACTCTTCAAAGCATCTGAGTTCAAAACTTTTGTTGTATCTATACTTTGAAGTTCGTTACATACTATAAGTTTCATATTCTCTATTGAAGAGTTAAATTTACCGCAGATGTTTTCTAAGTTTGTCATATTCGGGTTCGAATAGCCTTCTAACAGTTTGCACAAAATATCTGTAAAGAAAGTGTTCTTACCTGTTCCTTGTTTTCCAATTACAATGAGAGCAGTTTCATTTTTAGCACTTGGATGTTGTAAGATGTTTGCAAACCAACATAAGATATACTCATAGACTCTTTCGTTTCCATTGCATATAATTTCTTTGACATGGTCTAACCAAGCTTCTATAACATTTTCTTTCCATTCTACTTGTTCGTATTTATATCCAGTGAAGATAGAATAGAAGTTTGGAGAAGGTGTATAGAACTTTATACCACGAACTGAAAAATCTTCTAACTTTGACAATAAGATATCCCAAGCATCTAACATCTTCATGCCAACTTGTACGACTTTTATTTTCTTAAGTTTCTGTTTACATTCTTGTTCTGAAACTATTGTCGCTCTTGGTTTGTTAAAGACTACATCCCATTCTTTCATAACATAACATTCTGGGGCAGAGTCGACATAAATGACTAAACGTTTCAAATTCTCGACTGCTTTGTTATAGTCTCTAAATGGACACATATTTCTGAACGCTTGGAAGTCATAAAAATCTGAAACGTCTATTCTGTACATTTTTTTATAAAAATAAAAAAAATATTTTTTTTATTCTTGAGCTATTTGTTGTTGCATTTGTTCCATTTGTTGCATTTGTTGTTCTTGAGCTATTTGTTGTTGAAGTTGTTCTTGTAGTACAATACTTTCACCAGTTGCATCTTCCAATTCGAAACTTTCTGCCGTCATTGACAAATACATAGGACATAAAAGTTTTACAGGAACAAAGTTTGCGTCAACTAAGGTTAAGTTTATGTTTGCCAAAGTGTTTGAGTTTACTAAAGCTGAAAACTCTGCATTCGAATGAACAATAGGCAAACCAGCAGAGAAAGTGTTGTTTATACGCATGAGTATCTTTTGGTCATAGTAGTTTCTGTCGACATTCGAATAGCACTTTGAACCTAAGTTTGAAACAATATATAAAATAGGTGTACTTAAAGTCAATGGAACAGACATTCCTTGTATGACACCTTTTCCTGTTATAGGAAACTGTTGGTAGTAAAAACCAGATATAAGTTTTGTATTATAGCTCATATCGTTTATACTAAACTCAGTCGGACATCCAAACATAATGAAACCTGCTCTAGTTGCAGCACATGTTACATCCGTCCTTAAAGTATTAAATAAGTCAACAAAACCTGTTGGTGGTATATCTGAGTAAGTATCTTCAAAGAAGTATTTTTTACCATTCACAACAAAAAATCTTCTGGTGTCAAAAGAGCAAAACAGGCTTTAGTCGTCATCGTGTTTAAGGTCAGTTTACAATATCGTCCTTGAGGACTTTGTAAGTTTGTTGTTATAGAATTATATGACTCAGGGTTTTTAGTCGTAATAGTATAAACCACTATGTCTTCTGCCATTTACATATATTTAAAAGTTTTTCTGAAAGTGGAGAAGAACTTCATCTAAACTTTCACATGGCGTTTCTTGAAGTTCTCTGTCTAAGAAGTTCAAATATTTTGTAAAGACATAGAACTTTCCTTTGTCTACACGAACAAACAAAACAGGGTCTTTCATATCGTTCAAAAGTGTGTAAAGTCCTTTACATGAAATAAAGTCTATATTGTTTTTCTTCAAACATCTTTCAAGAAGTTTTGACATTTTTACTTAGCAAGTAAATTTTAATGAAATGTTGTGGTCGTCAAATATTTTTATGACGTCTGGGAAACTATATTTTAAGTTCAACGTTTCACCTCCTTTCATAACGTATATCTTGTCAATGACATTATATGAAACACCACAGCAAGCAATGTCGGGTTCTATTTCTTTGATGTTTATATCGTCTGCCTCTGTCAAAAGTTTCAATAGTTCTTTCAAAATTTCATGAGGTGCGATGACATATGAGTTCACTTTTACAGGGTTGTGTTCGACCAAGTTTAACATTAGACCTAAAGCCTGACAAATCTTCTCCTGAGTTTTAAGTTTGTCTTTAAGTTGTTGGTAGTCGTTTCGAATATCTGCAACAGAACTTAAGTCTCTGCTAACTTCAGGATATGTTGGTTGTTCTTTTACAGGAACTATTGTTATACCATCTTCGTCTTCGTATGGTTTCCCCACTTCAACATCTCTGTCTTTGACATTGACAACAACACTTTGACTGTTTGTTTGAGTTGGTGAATTTAACTTCACATCTGCCATCGCCATTAAACCTTTTGAAACACTTACGCTTCTATTTTTCGGAAATGACATTTTACTTAGAATAAAAAGATGGACGTATTTGAGTATCTCTTCGAATTGAAGCAAAACAAAGTTTACACACACAAACAATACAAGTTCATTGATAGAATAGTTCTTTATACAAACAATGGAAAATGTTATAGAATAGCAGTCTTTGCTGAACCAAAATATTTTCATAAAGCAAAGAAAGTTGGTATAACCGAGATGGTGAAAGTTCTTGAAGCAGACAAAAATATAACAACAAAACTGACCGATATTTCTAAAGGTAAGTTTTTAATACAATATTATATCAAAACTGGCGTACTGTCAATATTTGACGGAGAGAAGTCAGTTCAAGAACAACTTACTGACCTGCTGCCAAAATCTGCTCGATGGAAGCTGTCGTTATACCAATCTGAGGAGCCCCAGCAGGTTTCATCGAACGAATCTTCAAAAGAGCATCTTCCGTGAAAAGTGCTATTGGTTTTGTAAACTTCTTTGCTTTCAATTCATCTGGACCGTCTCTGTCACCAGTATATTGTATTTGAACTGTACCAACAGTTGAAATACCACCCATAAAGTCTTCTGAGTCAGCAAATGGAATGCCAAGCCAAAAGTTTGAACGGTCTCCATTTGTATATTGAGTTTTTTGACCTCCTGCATGAGTCCATACTTTCACATATGGCATAATAGAACTTTGCATTTCAGGGTTAATGGTTGTTGTGAAGTTGTTGTTAAAGTTCATAGCATCTAATGTCAAGTTGTATGACCTCATATCCTCAACTGTAGAATATTCTTCTCTTGGATAGTATTTGCCATCTATGTTTATATGATATTTAATACCAGGGTTGTAGAAACAAGAATAGTCATTTATAGTTCGTCTGAACAGTACAAACATAGTATCTGCATGTTTCATTGCAGTTGTTAAAGCAATATCTGTTCTTGCACCTGGGTCAGCACTTTGGTTTCCAACTTCACCTGCAAAGTCTTTGACAGATATTTGGTGTATAGGGAACATAAGTGGAACTGCAATATATTTGGCAGCTAAAGCATTTGAAATATCTGGGTCCAACATATAGACTGCAAGTCTGCTTTCTATTCTCTTGCATTCAAACTGTTTGCATGTGAACTTAACTGGGTCCAAGCAGTTCCAGCAGCATTGAAATAATACTTTACTTCAGTGTTGAGGTTTGAGAAACCAAAGTTTAGGTCAACTTTGTCTTTGCAAAATTCGGCGAATGACGTTTGATTTGCTCCCTTTACGTCTGTAAGAGTGAATGGTCTTGCGTTGGTGCAATGACTAAGTTATTTTTGCTTGGAGTAAGTTCAATAGAAATTTTTCCTGCCCAGTTTGGCAAGTATCTTAAAAACCTGAAGATGAGGAAAGATGACAAAGGAACTCTAAGTTTCAGTTTTACTTTAGTGACAGCATTTCCATCTGAACCAGAAAGGTTAACATAAACTCTGGAACGTTAGGTCAAGTCTTCTTATTTTCTCAATAGTGCATACTGGTCTGTTTGTTCTCTAGCTTGTGGTTGTACTGAGTTCTCAAAGCGAACCATTCATAGTTTGCCCATGTTACTGTTTGAACTAAGTCAGAGTTAGAATATATCTTATATCCCATGAAAACTTCTGGAGCATATTGGTATCCGACATAGAAAATTCCATGCAACCTTTCTTGTCAACAACTTGCAGAAGGTTTTATCAATGTCTTGTTCCACGTATAAGAAAGAGTTGTCAATAGAATTATATGAAACCTGTCGCAAGCAATATCTACTGTTGTTGAAGAACCTTCTCCAAACTCACCTACGTTTCCATAAGAAACAGCAGTTGTATATTCGTAAGTTCCAGGAACTATTTCTGACCTTCTAATGGCATTGTCGCATTCGTTATACCATTCGGAAACATTTCCATTCATGGCATCCAAAACTGTTGGCGTTATATTCTGAGCGGCGTACATTTCATATGAGTAAAAATATAGAATAGTTGGGTTTATGTGTCATAATAGAACCCACGTGGACCAAGCTTTACTTTCTTCCTGACTGAGTTTTTAACTCTTCTTTTTCCTTCATTGCCACTACTTTCACTAGATGAAGTTACTTCTTCACTACTTTCACTTTGTTCTACTCTTCTTCTTTGGTGTCGCTTTGGTAACTTGCCCTCTGCTTCAAGTTGTTGCATCTTTGCCTCATGTTCATCTAGTATGTTGCAAATTTTCCATGCCCTTTTTGCCTTTGGGCTCTGGTCGCCCATCTCAGGTAACCTATATCCTAGAAAGAGTTTGTCATAGTCTGTATTTGAGTCTTCGCGTATTGTTTGCATGACTCTTTCCTGAGTTTCCGGTTCAAGCTCTTCAAACAGTGCCTGTCCATATGGAATATGCTCGTTTCCAAATATATGTTTTTGTAGCCATTCTGGTTTTCTTTCCATGTTACCAACTATATCTTTTGTGAATGGAAAAGCTTTTACCCAATGTTTCAGTCTTGCGTCGTTTATTTCTGTAGTTGGTTTTATTTTGTCAAGGAACATGTTTTTCAATACTAACATTTCATTTGGTACTGTCCATTTGAGTTTTCTTAAATATTCATCCCTTCTCGGTTCATTGTCTGCAAAGTAAGTTTTTATGACATTTTGTAAACTTTCGTTTGCAAGGTCATGTACAATAGGTTCTCTTCCTTCTCTGTCCATAACTTTCTTTCTAAACTCTTCACCAAATATACCATCTCTATGGTTCTGTGTAGTTCTTTGAGATAAATGTTCTAGAACGTCAGGTGTTATATTTCCATCAGCCATGTTCATTTCATACTGGTCCAAAATATCTGCATCTTTCATATCTTTCAATGGCATTAAAGCCGCGCTTAAAATACCAGCTATATCTGGTTCACCATTGACTTCCATTGCGTCTACAACTTCTTGGAATTGTGGTTGTAAGTTTATGAACCACCTATCCGGGTTAGCTTTATGACCCCATCTCATTGTAGTTCCATCGTCTGCAGAAACAAAAGTAGGTTTGTTTCCATCTTGGTTAGGTTCTGAATGAACTTTAAACAATGTTTCATTTCTATATGTTTTCTTGAAATTTAACCTTTTATCTTCACCGAGTTCATCCGAAGATTGAACGTTAAATGCTCGTAAGTAAAAAGGGTTGTTGTATTTGTGTACATTTTTTTCAGTACTTCCATTCTATGCTGAATATTTTCATCTGGTGTTGGAGTCTTTTGTATGTCGGCAAACATTTTTCGATATTCTTCTACTATGTCAGCCGAATTTTTTTAGACTCTTGGAAATATTCCATATTCTCCGCATACTCTTGTTGAGGGTCAAGATTTTTCGGCTGTTCCAAATCTTCATCTAGTTCTGTGAAGTTAGTTTCCAAAGGAAGGACTTGTTCGTTTCCTTCAGGCTCTTCTAGCTGTTGTTGCTGAACTATTTCTTCCATGTCTGGTTGTATCTGAACTTCTTCCTGTGGAGTTTCTTGTACCTCATCTGCTGGCATTTCATATATTCCGAGACCGTTTTCAACAATTTCCCTATCTACGTCATCCGCATTCATAAGCTTTTGTTCTTTCGTTCCGTCTCTATTTTTTACGCGTTTCATGACGAAAGTTGAATTGTCATTTAGCTCTGACATCAAATATCTCGGAGTAAATTCATCCATGTCATTTGGATGATATGCTATTAAATCATATCCCTTAGCGAGCTTGTATTTTCCAGGTTTGAGATTATATCCGTTTTGGTGCTGAGCCATAAAGCTAAATAGGTTCGGGTCAGTATTTCCTCCCTTGAACTTTCCAATAGCTTCTTTATATCTGTCACTAAAGTCAATACTATCTGGGAAACCACACTCTTCTTTAAGCATTTTTAAGAATTCTTGGTTTCCTTGTTCTCTACTTCTTTTATGTCCTTGCTCTGTTTGTGGTTGTTGTTGTGCAGGGTTTTGAACTGTTGGTTGTGGAGGTGGTTGTTGTTGTTGTTGTTGTGTTGGTTTTGGTGCATGCCTGTGTCTGTGTCCATGTGACGATGTAAATGTGTTAGGTAGTCCTGGTGCAGGTGCTTCTCTTGGAGGGTTTGGTGGTATATAAGTTCCACCAGCTGGCACATATGTTCCATCTGCAGCGTAATGTCCTACCTGACTTTTCGTTCTTAAGAAAGCATTTACTAGGTCTGTTTTGGTCTGTTTGTAACTCTTTTTCTTGACTTTTCACAACAGTTGCTCTAACGGCGTCATAGGCACTTTGAACTGCTGTCTCGTTGCTGCATCTGTTTATTTTCGTCATATTTTGTGCTACTTCTTTTAACTCTTTGTCGAAACCTTCAGACTTCAGTTTCTTTCCAGATGAGAAGTCGTTCACTTGTTTCACCTTACTATGAAGAGCTTCGAAAGCGTTCTTAAAGTCAGCATTTGTTAAAGCTTCATTTGAACTATCTTCATCCGCTTGTATTTTTGTCCTTATTGACCCTATGAGTTGGGCTGCTTTAGCGTTGGCTTGGGCATCTAACCAGTCATTGTTAGCTTTTATATATTCTGCGCTTTTCATTGCCTTTTGCATAGCCGCGTCGTTATTTTTACTTTCTTGTGCTAAGTTTTCATACTGTACGGTTTGGTTTTGCAACTGTAAAAGTTTTTCTGCCTTTACATTTGCTTCAACTTCTTTTTTATACTCATCGCTATCCATATATGTCTTCAGGGCTTTTTGTTTTATCTCTTCATCTTTCAGTATTTTATATTGAGTAGTATGGTTTTTCAAATTTATGACATCTTGTTCCATTTTTGCTACTTCTGTTGCTTTTTCTGACACTTTTTTCGCATATTCCTCTGTACTTAGTTCTTTCAGTTGTTCTTCTTTCTTCTTTTTCTCTACGTTTAACTCATTGAGTTTCTTTGTGTGTCTGTCATATTCTAGTTTCTTTTCGTTTTCACTTATTTGCTTCTGTATGTCTATGTTTGACTTTTTGACATCTGTTATTTGATTTTTGAGTGAACTCAAATTCATTTGACTTTGAGGGTTATAGGCTGTTCCGTCTGCAGCTCCACCATAGCCTGCCATTTTCGCTAAAAGTGCCGCTCTTAAACCTCCACTCTGTGCACCAACAACTCGGTTTAAAAGCATAGGATTGCTTGACATTTGTTGCAACATAGTGGGGTCATTCAGCATTTGTTGTTGCAACTGTTGTTGTGGTGTTAGTCTTACTATTGGATGTTTCAATGCTCTCTTCCTCTTACGTATATTCTTACGTATCTTACGTGGCATTTTAAGTGAAGTTAAAAAGCGGCTTTTGACAGATGTTTATATGAGACTTTCTCCGGTTTATAGGACCTCTCTCATATTCTATCTTGTTAAGACTTCCTGGACTGTTGTCAAAATGTCATGTTGTCTCATTTTTTCAGAGAAGTTGGTTTAACCGAGGGACCGAGGGACCGAGGGACCTGGTGACGTAGCGACGATAGACCCTTACTTGTTATACTAAACATCTTCAGGGGGCTAGAGGGGCGCAGCCCTGGAAGCCCCAATACCTTTTTTTTCTGATGACATAATTTTTAATATCATAGATAATGAAAGCGAAAAATATATAAAAATCGACAAACATGTTATAATGAATTGAGAGCTTTACGTGTCAAAAAACATATTTCATACTGATTTCTATAAAAGGTATCTTTATTATAGAAGTGTAAGCTATATCTGTTTGTTTTTTTATTATAACAAATTCAAAATTCTCTTATAAGGATTAGATGAAATCTGTATTACTAAATCATTAGCTAAATGAAGGTTCAAATAGAAAGTAAATATCAATTTATATGATACTGAAACCAAATAGTTCTTTTAATAAAAGATAACACGCTGAAAATTATTGAGTATTTGCAAATCTCAAAAATCTATTGGTGAATTTGGCTCAACTTTTAAAATTATAACATCCATATCAAATCATAAAAGCAGACAAAAATTAAAGCCAAACCTATCGGCCAATTTTTTTTTGATATTTTGATTTTTGAGGTATACTTTTAAAAGTGGATTTAAAGCACTTATGAAAAAACATTAACTTCTGTCGTTATGATTATTGATTTAGACAATAATGATTTTAATCTTTGATTATCAAAACACTAAAGTCATCTTTTTAACATTTGCTTGGTAGCATTAACTCAAGTCTAAAGTACTATTTTATGTGGCACTCTTAGAATTTTTGTATTCATTGTACACGCTGAAATAGTACCATTAAAGTTATGGCGGACTTTCAAAAAATAGTTTGGTCACCTTTTAAAATTCTTTATTATCTATGTATTGATTTCTTTTTGAATACTTAATCATAATATACATGCAATATATGCTAGTATTTTATCTTATCACCCCATAGTATCAGTTAAGTTTGAAATCAAAATTAACAAATTATATACCTGTTCATGAATATCCACAAGAATTGAACCAGATCCATTGATTTACATTGGATGACTATGGTTGATCCTATCAAAACTATGTTGACACAGTAAGGGCTGGCTCACTTTTGTGGACAAGTTGCACAAAAATGCTTAATTATCTAAAAAAACATAATATATAAAGTCTATACATATTGGTTGTTATTACTTATTAGTTTAAAACCCAACATTTATTCCCCGCCAAATTATTTTTATATTCCTTTCAAAATTTCCCGCCAACCGAAAAAACGGTTTATTCATTATTTTAATGATTAGGATTAGTTTCTACTTTACTCACTATGCTAAAGACAGCCGTAAGTAACCAGCTTAGTCAGAGAATAGTAGCACTCTGAATCGCTCTTCGTAGAACGATTATTCAGAATTTAAGCCGAGCCTATTCTACTTTACTCACTATGCTAAAGACAGCCGTAAGTCACTAGCTTAGTCAGAGAATAGTAGCACTCTGATTCGTTCTTCGTAGAACGATTATTCAGAATTCACACTTTAATTTAGTCTAATTATATAATAAATAAAATAGATAGTAAATCTTGAGATCTTAAGGGTGCCCTATAGATGATAAACCACCCTCAGAAAAGCACTTTTAAGGCTATTATATTGAGAACTAGAATCTGGATAATTCAAGGTTTAAAAATTAATAATGATTAACTCATATCTTACAATTTCAAATAATATAAGAAATTATAAAAAGAACAGACGTTCACATACATCTCGACAGAGGCAACTTTCATATCAAATGTTGCCTCTGTCGAGAAACTTCCTCACACCTCAAGAGATGCGAAGAACTTTTGACAGGTAAAGTGCAATATTGATAGGTGATTGCACTTTGCCTGTCACATACATCTCGACAGAGGCAACATTTGATATGAAAGTTGCCTCTGTCGAGAAACTTCCTCACACCTCAAGAGATGCGAAGAACTTTTGACAGGCAAAGTGCAATATTGATAGGTGATTGCACTTTGCCTGTCACATACATCTCGACAGAGGCAACATTTGATATGAAAGTTGCCTCTGTCGAGAAACTTCCTCACACCTCAAGAGATGCGAAGAACTTTTGACAGGCAAAGTGCAATATTGATAGGTGATTGCACTTTGCCTGTCACATACATCTCGACAGAGGCAACATTCAATATGAAAGTTGCCTCTGTCGAGAAACTTCCTTACATCTTAAATAATTCTAAATTTTTTATCATATTTCTTCTAATCTAAATTATATACTATCTTATAAATATTCATATAACTTAAATCACATTATATCTCCTTTCTTATCTTATAATTCTTTCTTAATTTTATTCATCTTTTGACAAAATCTCAAAATTGAGGCGCAACACATATCAACCCATGCACCACTACCGATGCAGGCTCAACCACGCATCTTTCGTTTTTTTGCATGTTTTCCGTCTCAAAGACGAAAAACATGCAAAATTTTTATACACTCTCATAATAACATATGACAGATAGGGAAGAGAAAACACCATATGATGCTGCATAAATACTATATATTGAAAAAGATATAAACTAAATTTTATTAAAATCATAATAAATATGTGTTTACTATAAGTAACATATGTTTGTAGTATATGTATTAATGAATTCAGTAAGATCCCATTAAGTTTTATGACTTATAGCGAAAAATTAGAAATTCGAATAAATCTCGAATATATGGTTTAAACATTTTGGTAGAGAGTGGTTGTGCCTTTCACCAGAATTAAATTGTTCCGCAATCTTATTTGATTTCGAAACATTTTACCGATAAGAGTGCCCTATGCTCTTTTGCCTCACTTGTAGTTGCCATTCTGGTAGGCATTAAGATTGAAGAGGTTTTTCCGAAAAGAGTGTAATGTGCACATTTGCTGTACGCTATGTGTCATTCTCTGAAACATTGCCTCCGCATCTCTTTGGTGTCTGTGGAATACATTTACAATGTAAACTTCTCAAAATATACTTTTATCCAAGACGATCAAAAAAAAATCATTAATCATATGAAATTCGATGAATTCATCTCTACACTTTCACAAGTTGAAGGTTTAATATGGGATCTTAATGATGAAACTCTTCTTGAATCCTCTGAACATCTAATCAGTATTATTGGAAATAATGATTACTATATGAGGTATTGCAAATCCACCATCAAAAAATCCTTTTGTACTCGGTTTACACGGCAAAAATTATATTACAAATTAGTTGAATTATTATCTAACACCTTCCAGAATCATTTCAACGGTTTTTCCAAAAAACTTGAGCAATATCAGAAAGATTACAAGGAAGAACCAATTCCACTTACACCCAATCAATCCATATGTTTACCAATTTTGAATAATTTTGCGGCTATCGGAGATGCCACTAAATTTTTTCACATGATCTCATTAAATCTGTGTTAACCGACAGATTCAACATTAGAAAAAGCAATCTTAGGAGATAATGCAGATATTGTTGATTATATTAACGAATTATTCACAATTAGATTTGAATTGAATGATTTGCTAAAACTGTCAATAAAATATCATCAAAATCATATTGCCACGTCATATCTCAAGCCATCTTCTTTTAAAACCGATTTCGATTTTCTTTTTAATAACAATAATATACAATTCTGACGTACTTTCTAATGACTCTTTCCAAACTATCATCTTTAATTCCATATTGGCAAATGATAAGGAATTATATGATGATATTTGTACTATATTTTCAGATCAAATAATTCAACTGGTAAATGATTCTCACTTTTTTCAAATTTCAAAATATGAAGATTTTTATAAATATCATCCTGATACCATAAATGCAATTAACTTAGAAAATGTTTCTATCAATTTTGATTTATCTTTTTTCAAAAACTTATCCTTATTAACATTAAATAATTGCAATATTAAAGATTTGAAATCGTTGGCTTATGTAAATTTAGCCCACAATATGATCGAAACAATTCACAACTGTAATTTCTCAAATACAGTTTACTTGGATTTATCAAGTAACATTTTAACAGATTTAAACTTTATTCAATGTGCAACTAACATCTGTTATCTAGATTTATCATTCAATAATTTGACAATATCGATGAAAAATCTTTCTCATATGACAAATATTAAAGTTTTAAATCTCAGTCATACCAAATTAATATGGACGGAAGCTCAAAAATTTGAATCATTGGAGGAACTTTATGTTTCAAACTGCTGCCTTACATGTTTTCCTGACATTACATTGTTTCAAAATCCAAAAAAACATGATGTCAGTCAAAATATGATTAAGGAATTTCCAATCAATTTTACTGATCTTAGCAACTTAATTGAGCTAAATGTAAATATCAATCAAATCTCAAATTTTTTAATATTAAAAGAAATGAATAATCTGAACAGAATTAGCTTCAAATCAAATCTTATTTGTGAGAATCAAATTTATATTCAACTCGATAGGAAATTCTCATCCAGTCAATACAATAATTCTGATCATGATCGATTTGATAAATTTAATTACTTTGAAAAGGAGGTTTTTCTATTAATTAGTCGTTGTGATATTAATCAATTAATACGTGAGTTTTGCACGAACTACGAAATATTAGATTTATTGTCATCTATATTTGTCAGTTACACATTTAGAAAACCTAAATATTTTTTGAATATCATGAAATGTTACTCAAAAATGCAAAATGTAGTGAATTTATATCCTCAAAGAGATCTAGACAAAAGATTCAAGTCTTTATTCAAATCATGTATGGATAATTGCAATGGTGAACTAACAACAGAAAAGGTTAAATTGCATTTTAGAGAAATCATTTCGTGTATATTTGATGGAGCGATGAAATTAACTTTTAACGAACTTCAAATTATGAAGGCTATTTTTTTCGATGATGAAATTGAACTCAGCTCTTTTCCAAAAAATAAAATCATAAACTTTTCATTGAAGCATAAATAATGTGGTAATATATTTAAAGCAACAATGTTTAGCGCTTTAGATTTTGCTTACATTGTAGAATCTCCTCACTGCATAGACAAAATATTGGAAATTTACAAGATTAGTAATCAATTGTTAACAATGTCGGAATATCAGAATCTCGCTGTTTTTGAAAACCAATCATTCATTATCGAAAAATATGATTCTATTTATACTTTGACACTGAATTCAAGAGAACGAGAAACTGTTATTGAACCACTTGTTAAATATTGCATGTTTTCAATTATTGGCGATTTACGAAACTGTTCAGGAGTTGATTTATTATATTATAGTGTGATTTACAATCTTCCTTCACTTGCCTCGGTTTTTGCAGATCATATTGACGAAGTGAATCGAAAGTACAATATTAATTTAATACAAATAGCATCTAATGAAATGCCTCTTCTTTTATTTGCCGATTGTCAAAAAGAATTTAGGTTGACACCAGAGTATAAATTTCTATCTAATGAAACAGACATTCTCCGTCCCTTAGTCATTGAAGGAAAATTTTTGAATTACAATTCAGTTAAAACACCAGATTTTAGCTCACATAAACCAATCCCATTATTTTTAGACGGCTGTAATTTATGGGGATTACCAGATATTTTAACCTTCCTTGATTATTTGCTACAAGGATTAAAACACAGCTGTAAAACAAATAAACTCAGATTGTATAATGATAAATATCATTATACATTAATTTTGAAATACAAAAATTTTGGAATTAATAACAAAAGCAATTCACAAGTTGGAAAAGATAATCCAAAACCAAGACAATCCAACACTAACGTTGCCTTAAAGATAAAACTTGTGGATCAAAAATTCTCTGTTTTTAAAGTTTTGCAGTTTCAAAACATCCCAAATCTCTTTCCAACTACAGTTTATCGCCCAAGAATGCTGTGCCCTCAAAAAGATTTTATTAAATCGCATGATGAATTTGTATTTACATTTTTGAGTCAAACAATTCCAACATATAAATATTCAAAAGTGCTCGAGAAAAAGGATTAATCACTGACGAAACTTATCAAAAATATTATAATAAAAAGGAGAAACCTTATAGGAATTCTACTGAAATTTCCGATATTTTCAAGGAATTAGGCGGAAAAGTCTTTTATCATTTAACAAAAATGGAAACAGGTTTGACATACGAAGGAAAGAACGTGGAGTGGATCCAGTGGGTCTGCAATGGGGCTATCAAATTTTTTTCAGAATTCCCTCTTTTTGAAATGGATGCTAGCTTTAAATTGAAACCATTTATTTACATAGATGTTCAATCAATTTATGGCAATATGGGTTTTCCAATTTCCATTTATATTGGTCCCAGTGAAAATAGTTCTGCATATAGTGTAATAATTAAGAATTTGAATTATTGTTTTCATAGATCAGATTTGATTAAAAATAAGCAACTCTTATCTGATCATGGCAAAGGTATTATTTCAGTTTCGCAAAACATCATGCTAGATCAATTAGAATGCTATAGGCATTTCTTCAACAGATTGGGAGCCGATACAACCGTAATGCATTTGGCAAGTTTGGTAGTATATTCAAGCACTTATGCAGAATATATGAGTAGATTTAATGCCTTTGACCCTTTTGTAAAGAAGATGAATCTTAAACCTGGTCAGAGAGCAGCATGGGAAGAGTTGAATAACTCCCCAAATGCATTAGGCATGTTCAACCGTCCTCATAAAATAACATGCTCGAACCATACCGAGTCGTTTCACTCGGTCGTTAATAAGCGAATAAAGGAAAACGGTGCAACCACTTTAAGAGAAAAAGTTTCTATTTTGATGAATTATTCAAAGGAGAGATTATTACATATTTTAAACCCACCAAATCATGCAATAATGGAAGAATATTACCGAGCCATGAAAATGAACATTCCACAAGGTCCATGCAAATGCACGAAAGAAATGTTAAATTCAAGAAAAATGAAATTTGGGAAAGAACTCGTATGCAACCACCAAATTTTGAAATTTAAATTTGACGCACCAGAATTAGCAGGTCCCCCGCCGATTGCAGGTTTAACAATTGATGATATAATTTCAAGCACCTTCATTGAACGCGAAATGAAAACTTCCACAATTACAGGAGAGTCATTCGAAAGAAAAAAATATCATAGAATAAATCAGGAAACATTCGAAAAACCAATTGAGTTTCCACAAGATGCTTCATCTTCTATGATAAGAGCATTAAGATGTATATTGAAGGAATTGTGTCATTTTAATAATGACGAAGCAATTAGTTTCTGTATTTCAACAAATCCAGATATTCCAAACGATTTTGAAGGATTTAAGGAATACATGGACAATTTACTGAGTGCATAAAAAAATAAATAATTTATAAATGTTTTGTATAAAATAAAAATATATGTTTTGATTAAGGTAGATGAAAAATTGAACGTTTTTTTAAAAAGCTGTTGTTTGAGTGGAAAATTGAGAACCTCGATGTAAACTTTTTGACATTGTCTAAAACCTTGAAAAAACCAAAATTTTTTAGTGTCAATTACGATGAAACAAAGGTAGTCCCACGAAGAATCTAAACGACAGATTTCCAAATAAATAAGATAAATAGAATCAGTAGGCTCCAAATATGAATGATATGATCTTAGTTTGAAAAGTTACTAAAAGAATAAAAAGATTTGTGAATTACGTTTTAATTTCCATAATTTTTATCAATTAATTATCACATTATGATTTATATATCAAATTTAATTTCAAATATAAGTAAATATCAATATTCATAATTTGAATTTCAAATTTAAGTATAATAGATGCTTTTGAATGAAACTATAATATTCTCAGCTTACGTGATTATAGTTTATTATGTAATATCCTGTTTCTCAGGTAAATAATAGATTTGAAATCTTACTTTTGAGGATTTGACTGAAAATAGTATAATGAAAATGGATCACTACAGAATTATTTTATATTCAATAAACCATTTTACGAAATGGTGGTTCTTAAGGGTGCACCAGCATGTACGTTTATTTGAGAGGAGGAGGATTACCCTCTCAATTTTGAAAGCTTCGTTAACTTAATATCTCGATGAATATTGGATTAAAATTGAATTTGCCCATACCAATATATCTGATACAATATCCTTAAGTTTTACTAAAAAGAATTTTTTAAAATCCCTGCAGATTCGGGGATTTTTAAATTTTTTGATTTTTTTCGAAAATTTTTCGGAAAAAAAATATTTTCAGAAGAGCCTTAACGGCTAAGTTTTATGTTTAATGTTGAGTATCAAAAAGAATGGGCATCTGATATAGCCATCATATATCCCAGAAGCAAATAAAAATTCTGACTTTTTAAGCATAAAAAATGAAATTTTATTTTTTGCAAAAAACAGGCCACCCGGATGTACGTTTATTTGAGAGGAGGATTAAATTTTTGAAAGCAGTAAAATTTGTAAATATGCTAGTTATATAATAATATGCATTATTTTAAAAAATAAAAATTAAAGCACGTTAAAATCTTTTTTGATGAATTTTTACAAAAGCTACTCAGGATAATGCAAGATATGAGTAGTTAAACATAAATTTCAAATCAGATTTTACTTATAATAAATATTTTAAATTTCCGAAAATTAAGTTCAGATCGACTCTATACGTAGTAAATACTAAATAAGGTGCCAAAAACCTATTAAACAGTATCAAAACTATCAAGATTGTAATGTTTTTGAAGAAAAATTTATAGAATTATGGACTTCAAACAGATATTATGTAAATAAAAATAATATAATGAATTTATTTATTCGTATAATAGCAGTAATAAGTCGATTATTCACTTCTACTTCTGAGATTTGAATTTAATTTCGACAGAAAAAGAGATTCAAGAGGAAAATACTAGGGGATACAAACAGCCACCACGACAGGATTATTATGGAGCCAAGTTGTATTTTTTGATATTTTTAGAGTTTTCCTACCTATTTAGGTACCAAATTATTGCTTAAAAATTAAGGTTCTAAATTCTGAAGTTTACATGATCCTCCCGGGCGCACCCTTAACAACTATCAAATTTCGTAAGAAGTCTCTTAAAAATCTTGGAGAATACAATAAATTGCATATTGGATATTTTATTCTAGAGAAGGTAAGGCAAGGCAAGTGGGGCTTCCAGGCGCGTTGCGCCCTCTAGCCCATAAAAAATTTCTGAGGACGAGCCAGCCGGTGACTTTTTTGTAGAGCGCTCAAAATAGTATAACTTTGTCCGGACAAGTAAGGGTCTATCGTCGCTACAGGAAAAGTTACAGGCGTTCCAAGGAAGTATACTTTGAGAAGCCTTTTCTCCCTTATAGAATGAGATAGGACGGTTATTTTACAAAACTGACAACACTTTGACCGAGTAGTTTTTTGTGCTGAACAAAAAGTGTCATATAAACATCTGTCAAAAACCGCTTTTTAACTTCACTTAAAATGCCACGTAAGCTACGTAAGAATATACGTAAGAGGAAGGGAGCATTGAAACATCCAATAGTAAAACTGACACCACAACAACAGTTGCAACAACAAATGATGAATGACCCCACTATGTTGCAACAAATGTCAAGCAACCCTATGCTTTTAAACCGAGTTATTGGTGCACAGAGTGGAGGTTTAAGAGCGGCACTTTTAGCGAAAATGGCAGGCTATGGTGGAGCTGCAGACGGAACAGCTTATAACCCTCAAAGTCAAATGAATTTGAGTTCACTCAAAAATCAAATAACAGATGTCAAAAAGTCAAACATAGACATACAGAAGCAAATAAGTGAAAACGAAAAGAAACTAGAATATGACAGACACACAAAGAAACTCAATGAGTTAAACGTAGAGAAAAAGAAGAAAGAAGAACAACTGAAAGAACTAAGTACAGAGGAATATGCGAAAAAAGTGTCAGAAAAAGCAGCAGAAGTAGCAAAAATGGAACAAGATGTTATAAATTTGAAAAACCATACTACTCAATATAAAGTACTGAAAGATGAAGAGATAAAACAAAAAGCCATGAAGACATATATGGATAGCGATGAGGATAAAAAAGAAGTTGAAGCAAATGTAAAGGCAGAAAAACTTTTACAGTTGCAAAACCAAACCGTACAGTATGAAAACTTAGCACAAGAAAGTAAAAATAACGACGCAGCCATGCAAAAGGCAATGAAAAGCGCAGATATTATAAAAGCTAATAATGACTGGTTAGATGCCCAAGCCAACGCTAAAGCAGCCCAACTTATAGGGTCAATAAGGACAAAAATACAAGCGGATGAAGACAGTTCAAATGAAGCTTTAATGAATGCTGACTTTAAGAATGCCTTCGAAGCTCTTCATAGTAAGGTGAAACTAGTGAACGACTTCTCATCTGGAAAGAAACTGAAGTCTGAAGGTTTCGACAAAGAGTTAAGAGAAGTAGCACAAAATATGACGAAAATAACAGATGCAGCAACGAGACAGGCAGTTCAAAGTGCCTATGACGCCGTTAGAGCAGCTGTTGTGGAAAGTCAAGAAAAAGAGTTATAACAGACCAAAACAGACCTAGTAAATGCTTTCTTAAAAACGAAAAGTCAGGTAGGACATTATGCTGCAGATGGAACATATGTGCCAGCTGGTGGAACTTATATACCACCAAACCCTCCAAGAGAAGCACCTGCACCAGGACTACCTAAAACATTTACATCGTCACATGGACACAGACACAGGCATGCACCAAAACCAACACAACAACCAACAGTTCAAAATCCAGCACCACAACAACAACCAAAACCAACAGTTCAAAATCCAGCACAGCAACCAACAGTTCAAAACCCTGCACAGCAACCAACAGTTCAAAATCCAGCACCACAACCAAAACCAGCACAACAACCACCTCCACAACCAGCACAGCAACCAACAGTTCAAAACCCTGCACAACAACAACCACAAACAGAGCAAGGACATAAAAGAAGTAGAGAAAAGGAAACCAAGAATTCTTAAAAATGCTTAAGGAAGATTATGGTTACCCAGATACTCTTGACTTTAGTGACAGATATAAAGAAGCTATTAGAAAGTTCAAGGAAGGAAATACTGACCCGAACCTATTTAGCTTTATGGCTCAGCATCAAATCGGATATAATCTCAAACCTGGAAAATACAAGCTCGCTAAGGGATATGATTTAATAGCATATCATCCAAATGACATGAATGAATTTACTCCGAGATATTTGATGTCAGAGCTAAATGATAATTCAACTCTCTTCATGAAACGCGTAAAAAATAGAGACGGAACGAAAGAAGAAAGGTTTATGAGTCCGGATGACTTAGATAGGGAACTTGTTAAAAACGGTCTCGGAATATATGAAATGCCAGCAGATGAGGTACAAGAAACTCAACAGGAAGAAGTTCAGATACAACCAGACATGGAAGAAATAGTTCAGCAACAACAGCTAGAAGAGCCTGAAGGAAACGAACAAATCCCTCCTTTGGAAACTAACTTCACAGAACTAGATGAAGATTTGGAACAGCCGAAAAATCTTGATCCTCAACAAGAGTATGAGGAGAATATGGAATCTTTCCAAGAGTCTAAGAAAAATTCGGCTGACATAGTAGAAGAATATCGAAAAATGTTCACCGACATACAAAAGACTCCAACATCAGATGAAAATATTCAGCATAGAATGGAAGTACTGAAAGAAAATGTACGCAAATACAATAATCCTTTTTACTTACGACCATATAACGTTCAATCTTTGGCTGAACTCGGTGAAAATAAAAGGTTTAATTTCAACAAAACATATAGAAATGAAACATTGTTTAAAGTTCATTCAGAACCTAACCAATATGGAAACAAACCTACTTTTGTTTCTGCAGACTATGGAACTACAATGAAATGGGGTCATAAAGCTAATCCGGATAGGTGGTTCATAAACTTACAACCTCAATTCCAAGAAGTTGTAGACGCAATGGAAGTGAATGGTGAACCAGATATAACGGGTATTTTCAGCGCGGCTTTAATGCCATTGAAAGATATGAAAGATGCAGATATTTTGGACCAGTATGAAATGAACATGGCTGAGGGAAATATAACACCTGACGTTCTAGAACATTTATCTCAAAGAACTACACAGAACCATAGAGATGGTATATTTGGTGAAGAGTTTAGAAAGAGAGTTAGGGAGAGAGAAGGAAGAGAACCTATTGTACATGACCTTGCAAACGAAAGTTTGCAAAATGTCATAAAAACTTACTTTGCAGACAATGAACTGAGAAGGGATGAATATTTAAGAAAACTCAAATGGACAGTACCAAATGAAATGTTAGTATTGAAAAACATGTTCCATGACAAAATAAAACCAACTACAGAAATAAATGACGCAAGACTGAAACGTTGGGTAAAAGCTTTCCCATTCACAAAAGATATTATTGGTTACATGGAAAGAAAACCAGAATGGCTACAAAAACATATATTTGGAAACGAGCTTATTCCATATGGACAAGCTATATTTGAAGAGCTTGAACCGGAAACTCAGGAAAGAGTCATGCAAACAATACGCGAAGACTCAAATACAAACTATGACAAAATCTTTCTAGGATATAGGTTACCTGAGATGGGCGACCAGAGCCCAAAGGCAAAAAGGACATGGGAAATTTACAACATACTAGGTGAACATAAGGCAAAGATGCAACAACTTGAAGCAGAGGGCAAGTTACCAAAAGCGACACCAAAGAAGAAGAGAAGAGTAGAACAAAGTGAAAGTAGTGAAGAAGTAACTTCATCTAGTGAAAGTAGTGGCAATGAAGGAAAAAGAAGAGTTAAAAACTCAGTTAAAAACTCAGTCAGGAAGAAAGTAAAGCTTGGTCCGAGCGGGTTCTATTATGACATATAAATCCAACTATTCTATATTTTTACCCATATGAAATGTACGCCGCTCAGAATATAACGCCAACAGTTTTGGATGCCATGAACGGAAATGTTTCCGAATGGTATAACGAATGCGACAATGCCATTAGAAGGTCAGAAATAGTTCCTGGAACTTACGAATATACAACTGCTGTTTCTTATGGAAACGTAGGTGAGTTTGGAGAAGGTTCTTCAACAACAGTAGATATTGCTTGCGACAGGTTTCATATTATTTCTATTGACAACTCATTCTTATACGTGGAACAAGACATTGAAATAAAACCTTCTGCCAAGTTGTCTGACAAGAAAGGTTGCAATGGAATTTTCTATGTCGGATACCAATATGCTCCAGAAGTTTTCATGGGATATAAGATATATTCTAACTCTGACTTAGTTCAAACAGTAACATGGGCAAACTATGAATGGTTCGCTTTGAGAAACTCAGTACAACCACAAGCTAGAGAACAAACAGACCAGTATGCCACAATTGAGAAAATAAGAAGACTTGACCCTAACGTTCCAGGAGTTTATGTTAACCTTTCTGGACAAACTGCAGCAGCAGTAACCAAAGTAAAACTGAAACTTAGAGTTCCTTTGTCATCTTTCCTCATCTTCAGGTTTTTAAGATACTTGCCAAACCGGGCAGGAAAAATTTCTATCGAACTTACTCCAAGCAAAAATAACTTAGTCATTGCACCAACACAAGACCCATTCACTATTACAGACGTAAAGGGAACAAATAAAACGTCATTCGCCGAATTTTGCAAAGACAAAGTTGACTTAGACTTTGGTTTCTCAAACTTCAACAATGAAGTAAACTATTATTTCAATGCTGCTGGAACTGCTTGGGACCCAGTTAAGTTCACATGCGAACAGTTTGAATGCAAGAGAATAGAAAGCAGACTTGCAGTCTATATGTTGACCCAGATATTTCAAATGCTTTAGCTGCCAAATATATTGCAGTTCCACTTATGTTCCCTATACACCAAATATCTGTCAAAGACTTTGCAGGTGAAGTTGGAAACCAAAATCCAGGAGCCGCAGGTGCAAGAACAGATATTGCTTTAACAACTGCAATGAAACATGCAGATACTATGTTTGTACTGTTCAGACGAACTATAAATGACTATTCTTGTTTCTACAACCCTGGTATTAAATATCGTATAAACATAGATGGCAAATATTATCCAAGAGAAGAATATTCTACAGTTGAGGATATGAGGTCATACAACTTGACATTAGATGCTATGAACTTTAACAACAACTTCACAACAACCATTAACCTGAAATGCAAAATTCTATTATGCCATATGTGAAAGTATGGACTCATACAGGAGGTCAAAAAACTCAATATACAAATGGAGACCGTTCAAACTTTTGGCTTGGCATTCCATTTGCTGACTCAGAAGACTTTATGGGTGGTATTTCAACTGTTGGTAGTGTACAAATACAATATACTGGTGACAGAGACGGTCCAGATGAATTGAGAGCAAAGAAGTTTACAAAACCAATAGCACTTTTCACGGAAGATGCTCTTTTGAAGATTCGTTCGATGAAACCTGCTGGGGCTCCTCAGATTGGCATAACGACAGCTTCCATCGAGCAGATTTTGGCAGCAGGTCAGTAAGTTGTTCTTGAACTGACTTCTCTCCGTCAAATGTTGACAGTACGCCAGTTTTGACATAATATTGTAAGATAAACTTTCCTTTAGTAATATCTGTAAGTTTTGAAGTTATATTTTTGTCTGCTTCAAGAACTTTCACCATTTCAGTTATACCAACTTTCTTTGCTTTATGAAAATATTTTGGTTCAGCAAATATTGCTATTCTATAACATTTTCCATTGTTTGTGTAAAGAACTATTCTGTCAATGTATTTGTATTGTTTGTGAGTATAAACTTTGTTCTGCTTCAATTCAATAAGATATCCGAATACGTCCATCTTTTTATTCTAAGTAAAATGTCATTTCCGAAAAATAGAAGCGTAAGTGTTTCAAAAGGTTTAATGGCGGTGGCAGATGTAAGTTAAATTCACCAACTCAAACAAACAGTCAAAGTGTTGTTGTCAATGTCAAAGACAGAGATGTTGAAGTGGGGAAACCATACGAAGACGAAGATGGTATAACAATTGTTCCTGTAAAAGAACCAACATATCCTGAAGTTAACAGAGACTTAAGTTCTGTTGCAGATATTCGAAACGACTACCAACAACTGAAAGACAAACTTCAAACTCAGGAGAAGATTTGTCAAGCTTTAAGTATAATGTTAAACTTGGTCGAACACAACCCTGTAAAAGTGAACTCATATGTCATTGCCCTCATGAAGTTTGAAAGAACTATTGAAACTTTTGACAGAGGCAGACGATATAAACATCAAAGAAATAGAACCCGACATTGGTTGCTGTGGTGTTTCATATAATGTCATTGACAAGATATACGTTATGAAAGGAGGTGAAACGTTGAACTTAAAATATAGTTTCCCAGACGTTATAAAAATATTTGACGACCATAACATTTCTTTGAAGTTTATTTGCTAAGTAAATGGCAGAAAACATACTTCTGTATACTATAACAACAAATAACCCTGAGTCATATAACTCTATAACTACATATCTTCAAAGTCCTCAAGGAAGATATTGTAAACTAACCTTAAACACAATGACGACTAAAGCATGTTTTGCTCTTTTGACTCCAGATGACTATATTGTTTTAAATGGTATGAAATACTATTGGGAAGATACATATTCTGAAATACAACCAGGTGGTTTTGTAGACCTGTTTAACCAACTTTTCCAGAAAAATATTTTAAGTTCTATAACACATGCGGGAACTATAAAATTTACTGGAACTTTTCCTTTCATTTTAAATGACATGAGTTATAATGCAAAAACTTATTTCAGGGTTTTACAACCAAACATTTCCTATAGAAGCAGAATGGAATAATGGATATTATATTGTAAAAGGTTTGTCTGTTCCGTTGACTTTAAGTACACCTATTTTATATATTGTTTCAAACTTAGGTTCAAAGTGTTATTCGAATGTCGACAGAAACTATTATGACCAAAAGATACTTATGCGTATAAACAACACTTTCTCTGCTGGTTTGCCTATTGTTCATTCGAATGCAGAGTTTTCAGTTTAGTAAACTCAAACACTTTAGCAAACATAAACTTAACCTTAGTTGACGCAAACTTTGTTCCGTAAAACTTTTATGTCCTATGTATTTTCAATGACAGCAGAAAGTATCGAATTGGAAGATGCAACTGGTGAAAGTATTGTATTACAAGAACCAAATGCTCAAACTCACAACAAATGCAAGAAATACCTCCTGAATGCAACAAGAAAGTCAAGAATAAAAAAATTATTTTTTTTATTTTTATAAAAATGTACAGAATAGATGTTTCAGATTTTTATGACTTCCAAGCATTCAGAAATATGTGTCCATTTTGAGACTATAACAAAGCAGTCGAGAATTTGAAACGTTTAGTCATTTATGTTGACTCTGCCCCAGAATGTTATGTCATGAAAGAATGGGATGTTGTCTTTAACAAACCAAGAGCAACAATAGTGTCTGAACAAGAATGTAGACAGAAACTTAAGAAAATAAAAGTTGTACAAGTTAGAATGAAGATGTTAGATGCTTGGGATATCTTATTGTCAAAGTTAGAAGATTTTTCAGTTCGAGGTATAAAGTTCTATACACCTTCTCCAAACTTCTATTCTATCTTCACTGGATATAAATACGAACAAGTAGAATGGAAAAAAATATTATAGAAGCTTGGTTAGACCATGTCAAAGAAATTATATGCAATGGAAACCAAAAAGTTTATGAGTATATCTTATGTTGGTTTGCAAATATCTTACAACATCCAAGTGCTAAAAATGAAACTGCTCTCATTATAATTGGAAAACAAGGAACTGGTAAGAATACTTTCTTTACAGATATTTTGTGCAAACTGTTAGAAGGTTATTCGAATCCGAATATGACAAACTTAGAAAACATCTGTGGCAAGTTTAACTCCTCAATAGAGAATATGAAACTTATAGTTTGCAATGAACTTCAAAGTATAGATACAACAAAAGTTTTGAACTCAGATGCTTTGAAGAGTCTTATAACAGACAAAGTTGGAGTTGTTGAAAGAAAGTATAAAGACCAAAGAGTTTGTGAAAATGTTGCAAACTTCATTATGGTTTCAAACAATGCTGTTCCGATGAAGTTAGAAAGTTCTGACAGAAGATATGTAGTTGTCAGAACGTCAGATTCTCATATGCAAGATACAGAATATTTTGACGACTTAGCAGAAACTTTGACATCTGACTTTTACAACCACTTGTTCTCATATTTCATGACATTAGATATTTCTAAGTTCAATCCAAGACAAATTCCACATACCGAAGAGAGACAAACATTGTTAGAAGCAAACAAGAGTGTATATGAACTGTTCATAGATGAAACTGACTTTGTGTCATTAGATGAAAGGTCATTGTACGATTCGTATAAACAATATTGTCAAGAATATGGTTATATGGCAGCTTCTAAACGAACATTCTTGGCAAATGTCAAAAGTCTTTTAGATGTTCAGAATGGTGTATATACAAAGAAAAATTTTTCTGAGTAAATTTTAAAAAAAAATATTTTTTTATCCGATAGAAAAGATGACAAAATTCATCTCAGTAAACAAGTACATGTCAGGACTTAAAGAAGAACTAGACCCATTCACATATTTGAATGTTTACTCCTACCATTTTGAAAAGTCTTCATTCAGCAAAGTTTGGAACATCGAACCAGTTAAGTTTGCTATTGTGACTAAAAATGGTGCGAAATTTGAAGACTTAGACATATAAGGTTTGTTAACAGTCAAAGAAAGTTTTGACAGAAGGTTCTCAAACCTTAAAGAAGGCAAAGCATACAAACTTGTTATACCTTATGAACCAAAGAAGACAGACGACTATGAATATTATGAGTCTAAAGTTGTAGAAGTTCAAGGTAAATTGGGTAAAAAGATTTTAGAGTCTAAGCCAGTGTTTACTCCTAAAGAGGAAGAGAACATTGACATTGACCCAGAAATGTTCTAAAAATAAAATTTTATTTTTACATGTCAAATTTCTTTTTCTCTGGAACTGGTTCAGGTTCTTTTTTCTCTTCTTCTACTTTTTTCTCTTTCTTTTCTTTCTTCTTCTTCTCTGGTGGAGATATGTCAAATTTCTCAGAACCATATCTATGTAAAAGTTCTTTGTCCTTTAATAGCTCATCTATTCTGTTTTCTATTTCATCTTCAAGAACAGCGCATGTGTCTTCTTTGCATTCTAAGAACTTTTGTTGGACTTCATCTTTCCAATCGGCGTCATCTCTGTCAACAAGTCTGTCATTGACAAATTTTAAGACTGCTCTTTGTAATGTTTTATGGTTCTTGTCATATTCCCAGAAACAGAACTTTAGAACAAATTCACCTTTCTTGTTTACACTATGTAAGATTTTATGGTCGACAGATGTTTTGCTGTCGAAAAGCTTGTCTCGAATATAGATAGCGAAATCGCTAGACATTTTCTAAAAGATAAAAATTTTAATTTTTCTAAAAATATGTTAGAAAAAAAAGTTTGCTGACATTGACAAGAAATTTGAGAATGTTTTAAATAAGAACAAGAGGAAGTTAGAAAATGCTCAGATAAAGCCTATACATGAAAAGTTCTTATTTGCTCAGAATGGTATAACAGGTCTAATTGCACCACCTGGGTCGGGTAAGACTTTCACTTATCTTAAAATGGCTGCACAACAACAAGAACTAGATGAGAAGAACCCATTCTATGAGTTAGTTGTTATTTGTTCGACTTCTGGTCAATTTGACCAAACCGTCAATTCGTTCAAAGATATTATAAAGAAGTCTAAGTTAGTATGTATAAAGGATACTGAGTTGTTAGATTGGATAAAGAAGTACCAAAGAAGAGTTTTGAAGTATAATGCTATAAATGAGTATATAAATTCTAAGTTTAAAGACCCAAATGAGGAAATGCAGAGAATATTAGAGAAGAAACACTTCAGAAACAAACAGAAAGAGATAGAATACATTTCGAAGAAATTGCAATCTTACGATTGGAAGACTTACCCTCATAGATGTCTTCTTATCTTAGATGATTTCGCCTCTCATCCTTTGTTAAAGAACAGAGAACAAGATATGTGTCGAATTCTTAAGAAGCTCAGACACTTTAACATCTCAGTTGTCATTTGTGTACAGACAGCAAAGAGTTTAAGTAAGGATGTTAAAAGAATACTTACTGACATAATACTTTTCCCCGGATTGTCCGAAGACGATTTCATGGAACTTATGAAAGAGTCCATGGCAGGTAAGTTTGACAGACATGAACTATGGGAGAAGTAAAGTCATACAAGACCCTCATACTTCTTTCAGAATTCATATCTACGCAAACAAAGTTCAAATTGTAAAAAGTCAATAAAAATAAAGGTTCATTTACCTACTTGTTTGAAGTTGTCAAAATACTCTGTTATTTTTTCTTTCAGTAGCGGTAAGTCTTCTTTGAAGGTAAGTATTGTACAACCTTTCATATCATAGTGTGTTTGAGGTAACGTATCTTGAACTATTTGTTTCACATCTTCATTTGGGGTCATTGAAATCGGTAAGTTTTCGCGATAGAACCAATTTCTGTCAGATTTGTAAATCTTAGCAAGGTCGTAAAAGCTTTTGTTGTTTCTTCTGACTAAATGCAACATAACCATATCTTTATCTTCTTCATTTTCCATCTCTTCAGTATAAATCATATACTTATAGTTCTTTTCCTTTCCTTTTGGTACCGAACGTGGTATTCTTTTCTGAATGCTTTTGTCTTTTGCTTCAAGCTTGTTTTCCATCTCTTCACGTTCTTGTCTATGAATTTCGTCAAGAAGTCTGTAAATATACCAAGCATAACGAGGCGAAGCCCACATTGCAACAGCATTTACAAGAAGTCTATGTACATAATATCCTCTCAAACCGTTTGGCAATTTTTCACGATTTTCATAGAGTTTTGGCGACTGGGGTTTTTTACCTACTCGCTGTTCTTCACTGTTTTCAGAAAAAAGTATGTCTCGCTGTGCTTCGCTCAAAAGTTCTTGTGTGCTTTGGTTCCTAAACCAGTCTTTAGGAAGCTTAGTATCTGGAGCAAAACATGCTGTCAAAATACTTTGCATTTGGTACATATCGTCTTTGACCGAACGAATGAGACGGAGTTGTTTGTTAAACTGAACCCACTCATATTCTTCATTTATAGCTTCATGGACTATAACTGTTGTTGTGTTCTCTGTTGTTGACATTACTGTCTTTACATACAAAATAAAAAAATAAATAAAAATAAAACTAACTTTATTTTTTCTATCTTAAGGAAATTCATGATTTTTGTTGCTGAATTCAATAAAAATAATGTTTAGTCTTAGTAAGATGGTAGCTTCTTAAAGCAAATACCATTGCTGAGTTTTATGTACGTGAAGAGAAGTACAATGAATTCAATTACGAGTACAATTGCAATGACAACTAAGGCAACTATTTTTGTCTTTTGCCAGCAAGGGTACTTCTTCTCTTCCAATGGTTCGGCAGAACTATACTCACTCATGAGAAATGCCAAAACGGTTTAATAGAAAAAGTGTCATTTTTTCATGTCCGAAGACTCGAAGGTGCAACACTTCCAAAATATCGACGAACTCAGAAGAGCAGCATGGCAGTATGTTCTTGACAACTTCTTTGAGTTCTCCAGGTACACCTTGGAAAATGCTGAAGAACTCCGACACAGAGAATTTGGAGAAATTGCGCTCCAATACTACCTTGACAAACAAAGGGTAAAATAAGACTAAAAACTTAACGTTTAAAAAGTGACATTTTTAATGAGCTCCGAGTCACCGAGAAAACTTGGTCAGATGTTAGCAGCTTACTTCCCTGAGGAGGATGGAAGCGTTACATACATAAGGTTCAAAAACAACGAACCTGGAATTGCGTACCAAATTCGCAATTACATGACCATGGAAGAGTACGAAAGGTTCCTACAAGAGAAACCAGCTCTAAACAACTCAGAAAAGAAAGAATAAAAAGTTTAACTCGTAATTGTTTATTTTTTTACTTGTATGGGCAAGCTGCAAGAATGAAGTCGACTATCTCAGTCTTTGTCTTGACCAGTTGGACTGCTCTTGTAAGCACGTCTGTTTTGCGGTCTCCAGCTGGTGTTTGACCTTCGTAATTGCGCATGTTCTTGAGAGCTCCAGCTGTAAATGGCTGTAAGATGAAGAGTCTCTCAGACTGCTTGAGGTAGTCGTCACGGTCACGAACCGAATCTGTGGTACGAGTAGAATTGGTCGACCTTAGGGAAGAGACTGAAAGCCTGTCATCTTCCATAGGGGCTGTGGCATAATCTTTGCGTAAACGGTTCAGACCTTCTTCGAACTCTTGGTCTCTCTTCGATTGGGATTGAGATTGGAATTGCTGGGGTGGAGCTTGCTGGAACAACCAAGGGTTGGGGAAGTAAGGCATAGGCTGAGGAGGGTAGTTCGGGAAGCCTTGTGGTGGGTAGTAACCTTGAGGTGGAAATTGGTAGTAATTTGGTGGAGGTACTTGCTGGAACTGAGGTTGCTGAGGAGACTGTTGTGGTTCTGCAGCTTTCGGTTCTTCTGGCTTTGGAAGGCATTCAGGAAGAGGAACGTCAGTCATCCGTTTGTGTCCTGTCGGAAGGAAAAATTTTTCCTGTCGGAAGGAAAAACTTTTCCTGTCGGAAGGAAAAGTTTTTCTGAAGTTCGACCAAAAAGTTCTCAATTTTCGAAAATTTGAATGGTTTACGGACGGACAACTGGAAGAGTTCTTCCTGTCGGAAGGAAAAATTTTTCCCTTTGTCGGGAAAATATTTTCCTGTCGGATGGAAGAACTTGGAATGCAAGAAAGACTTGACGAGGCAATTTACCTAATTGAAATTAACGACTGCGTAAAAGACTACTTGCGCAAGGTAATGAAGCCCAAGGTCAAGTTCACCACTATTTCTGGAAGGTCTACACTTCAGCTCGAGACTTCGACTGGAATTCCAATTCAAATACCAGACGGGACAGCCTACGATGGCATAAAGGACGCCAAAAGAGAAGCTCTTGTTAAGTTCCTAAACAAACGTCCTTGGATAAAAATACCAAACAAGGAGAACCCCCTACCCCATATGAAATTGGCAATTCAGTCTCTCCTTCACTTCTCGGGTCAGCCGTTCTACATAACCTGTGAAGGCGACATTCAGCCAGTTCAGTAAACATCTCATTTTAACTTCACTTTTTTTATGTTTTTACTCACACTCGTACTCACCAGATATGAGTACAACTATTTCAACTGTGAACCTTGTAGTGACCGGTCTTCCTGCAAATGCAAGTTCGGTCAATACACAGTTTATGGTGGCAAGAATTGAAATTCCAGACCCAACTCCAACAAGAACTCTCAAGTTACCAGAGACTCGTGTGAAGAAGAAGCCTTCTGGTAAGTTTCTTATAGCCATATACATGGCATGTTTAGAGTAAAAACATTTTTTTTCATTTTTTGAATGAAGCAAGTTAAATTCGTCCCACACCAAACTCAATGGACCGATGAAGAGTTTCAAGCTATGGTTGAAGGTGTTGAGAACGACATAGACGGCGAACTTGAAGGAGCTCAAACCACAATTGCAACCAAAATTGCACAAGTCAAAGAAGAGATAGCTCCACTTAAAGCTACCAAAGCTACTCTTGACCTCATGGATACTTACCGTTTAGATGTCAAGAGAGGAATAAGACAATTAAAATTAAAACTCTTAAATTACGAAGCTATACTCCAGAAGTTAGCAGAAATGAGAAGACTTTACCAGAGCTACTTACATGTAAGGGACTTACCTTCAAGCAGTCCGACCAAAGATGAATTTTCTGACATTGTCCCAATTTTGTCCGAAAGTCAGCTCAGATGTTTTGAACTGCTCCCAACATATCCAGAATATGAACGTTTGCCTGAACTCTTCCGCAATCTCAAAAAACGTTTTTTGGTTCTCATGTTCGAAACTTTTATCGGAAGAGACAACAAACGTTCAGAAGAAGAACAAGATATTATTTTAAACTTGTTGTATGACATAACTGTCATAACAAGCTTTTTGAAGTAAAACCGCCATTCTCAAACCACTTCATTTTTTCGATGTCCGAACAAGCACCGAAGCCGAACACAATAGCAGATGTCCTTTCAAGGTTGCCAGACAAGCGCCCAGTTCAAATTCAAATTGCCCAATTGAAAGCTCATCTGACAAACACCATTAAGACTCTCCAAAGTAGTCTTATGACAGAGATGACCAATCTCAAAGCCGATGTCCTCATGAACCAAGCTTCCAATGAGAAATGCCTGAACGATTTCACGGAAACCTTGCGCAATTACGAGAGAGAGAACCGAGACCTTGCCAGACTCATCTACCGTTTCTTCGAAGAGATAGACGCCATCTGGAAGGTACTCGGAAAGGACAGAACATGCAACACCGTACTTCGTGAGTACCAAATTGAAGAAGGAATTGTCGAGGAAGAAGAGGAAGAAGAGAGAGAAACACGAAGAAGTTCCTGAAGCCGCTACATGGGCAACCCTTGTTGCCGATGACGGTTACGAAATTTCCCAACCCTACCCATACCAAATCCGCAACAAGGAGACAGGCAAGGTTCTTACCCCAGTCCTCAACAACTTGGGACACTTGAACCTTAACCTTCGGAATCGCGGTTCAATCTCCATGGGCAAGCTTGTCGCAATTCAATGGGTTCCAAATCCAGGCAAGAAGACGAAGGTCAGACACATTGACGGTGACAAGCTCAACAACCGTAAGGAGAACCTCGAGTGGTTCTAAGAGTAAAAAAATTTATTTTAGGGGAAACCCCAAGTAAATTTAAGTGTTTAGTTGGATAAGTAGGCACTATTAATGGTAATTTGGAAAATTAGCTCCCGACCTTTGAATTGGGCTCTTTCGTTATCCCAGTTGCGTAGGAGGTCGTCCCAGAGGAGTTGGTAGAATTGCCAATTCAAGGACGATTTGTCCTCCCAGGCATTGAGGATGTACTGCTCGTAGAGTCTCATGACCTCTGCCTTGCACCAGACACCCTCTCCCTTGGAACGTAAGGCTTCTTCGAAGTGCTCGAATGCGATTGGCTGCTTGACCATCCGAAATGACACTTTTTGTCCGTTTGGTCAATGTTCGTGTCTCGTGCCATAGTCGACGAAAATACAGACAAACAGGTTATATATGAGTTTGAGACCAAGAATGGTGTAACTCGACCTGTCCGATTCAAAGACTCCGAGGGCGACCATGAAATTAAACGGAAATTAGCTAGGAAGGAATATAAAATGGACTGGTTGCCACCACCTCCACCTCCACCACCTTTACCTGTTCCTCAAGTAAATAAGCCTTTCCCGTTCCCAAGAATTCCCACATTTTAATTCAAATTCGAATAAAAATTTTTTATTTCATGCAATGTTTAACTATTTCACCATCTTCTTTAACACCCCAGTACTTACGCTTGGAGAGGACATGAACTTCGGTGAAAATTTTGTCCAATTTGAATTGACCCATCTTCTCACCGACTAAACCCATTTCAATGAGTTTGTTATAGCCTTCTTCGTTCGTCATGAGTGCGTCAATGTTCTCATAGTAAACCTTGACTTTCGATTTGACTTCCGAGAAGAACTCATTGTAGTTGTCAAGGACTGCCTTTGCGAACTGAGGGTAAGACCAATGTTCGACAATAGGTTTTAATGTGGTTACTAAGCCACTTTGACCTTGAGTGAATTCGTACTTCAAAACAAAAGGAGAAAACCTTTCAACAAAGTTGTCGACCTTCTCATAATGTTTACTCTTCATCTCTTGAGGTTTCTTAATGGAATATCCCCATGTCGAATTCATAAGCAATTTGAGTGTCATTGCAAGTTTGGGGTTTGAAGCTTTCCTAATATCATACAGTTGTTGTATGACTTTTCCAACTGTATAGTTCCTTCCCGGGAACTCACCATCTTCGTTTGGAATTCCAGTCGGAATATATTGGACAAACCTCATGTATGCAGCGTTAAGGTCGACATAGTATATCTTTTCATCTGAGTCGAACTTGTCGCAACCAATTGGTCCAGTTTGTGGAAATTCAAGTGAGTCTCTTATCTTCTGAGAAACTTCTCCTGTTATCTCATAAACATCGTCGAAGCAACCTGTTTCATATAAAACCTTCTGACCTAACTCAGATGCTCTCCAATACAATTTGACGTCAATTGGATGTCTCAATGGAAGTTTGTTTATAGCATCTTGAAGTTCTTGCAACCTCATTGGAAGTTCTTCTGGTTCAGGTTGGTATCCGAACATACCAACCCCTTGTGGAACTGTGTACTTCTTTTGTACTAGAACTTTGTCTGGAACAACTTTTGGTCTTGCTAACAATGAAAAGTTTGTTTCGTCTTTTGGTACAAAAGTTTCTGTCAGCTTGTCATCTGGAATTGGTTCCAACAAACCTTTCTCGAAAAGAATGTTTACAGCTCTGACAATGTTGCACTTACTTTTACCAAAGAATGGGTTTGTAAGACTTTCGTTCAACATGAAGTGGTTGTGGACAATTACAATCTTCAACCATGGTAAGTCTTTGTCAACAACATAGTCGTCATGTGAAGAACCTTTAGCTGTAGGTATGTTGACTCGGATATTGACATTTGCCAACGGTGCAATTTTTGCCAATTGACCTCTGAGAATGTACCTTGTCTTCACACATGACTCAAGATACTTCATCTTCTCATCTGTAACAAGACCAGAGTTCCTGAGACATGTAAGAATGCAAGGTTCATTGACAATTGTTTCAATTGAATTGTAAATTCCATACCTTGTCAAGTCAATGTCAGACTTATTTATGAACGGGAAGTATCCAGCATGTTGTCTGACTGCTTGAGGGTTAGGTTGGTACCATTCGAACTTGACACTTGCAATTCCTTCAATTGCATTCAAAATGTCTGAGTCGGAGTCAACCATTTGTTCTCTCTTTGTAGTCTTGAAAGCGTCAAGAAGTTTTGCGGCTGTTTGTTCATTGCCATGTGCATAGTAAATGTGACCATCCAAATCTGTTATGGTCAATCTGAGATTGTGTCCTTTCTTATTTCCGTCTTGAATTGCAGCAAGTACTCCCATGAAGCCTTCTTTGTTCTTTCCTTCGTCAAAGTTTACTGTAAAGGTTCGACCAGATGTAATTTGACTTCTAACTTCACGATACTTTTCATATGCATATCTTGTTCTTTCCATGGAGTATGTGCGTCTTCACCTTTCCTTTTTTCCTTCTCAAAGGATGCAATTGTTCGTCATGTTTCCAGTAGAATCTGGCAAAGCCGTTGTGTCCTTCAACTTGAGGTTTACTAACATCGAAAGCATGTCCATAAGACGTTCTTCTTCTAACCTCTCTAGTCTGTTTGGATAATTGGCACGTGCTGTTTCCAAATCCATTTCGTAGCGAAGACCAGACAATTTGTCATAGACTTTTATGGGTCTTCCCTTCCTATATTTAAAATTCTTCGAAACTCTCCAACCATATCTTTGTAACTCTGCTTTTATTCTAGCAGACTTTCTGTCCATTCTATATGGGGCATTTTTATAAAAATAAAAAAAAATGTTTTTTTTTCTTTACTTTACATAACCGCCTGCTGCCATAAGTCTTTGACGCCAACCCATACCAGCTAATGAAGGTTGACTTGGTTTAGTTTGGAAACTAAACTTTGGTTTTGGTTTATCTTCAGTTTTTGGTTTTTCTTCTTCTATCGGTTTTTCGTCACTTTTCGGTTCCTCTGACTTTACTTCACTTGCAGGAACAGTTGTGTCGTCAACATCTTCATAAATATCATATGCCATTTGTTTTTGTTTTCCTTTCAACTTTTTGTGTTTGTTGTAAAGTTTAGAATATTTCGACTCTAAGTCAATGAGATGTTCTATAATGAACTGTTGGTCAGTGAAGTAAACTTTTCCATCTGTTGTCTCGAAAGCTCCTTCAGACTTCAATATTTTATTTGTGAGAGTCTGTTTCTTTTTTGAGATACTAGCCGTTCCATTTCTATGAAAAGTGACTTTATAGTTAGGGTTTGTATTTCCAGACCTGGCACTTCTATTATTGAATTTTTCTCTTCATCTGTAAGTTCTTTGACAGGTTTTGACAATGGTTCTGAACTTTTTGTTTGTGGTGTCAAATCTACCGTTTCAACTTCTTCGGTCATTTCATCTCAGTAAAAAATTTTAGTTTGGTTTGTTTTCAACTGGTTGTTTAGGTTTTTTAAGTCGGTCTAAAACTTCCTGAGGTATAGGAAGAACTTTACAAACACGTGGTGTAACTGCTGGAAGCCGACAAATCCATCTTGAACTCATTTGTCTCAATGCTGTATTGTTCATTTCATCTCAGTAAAAAATTTTACATTCCCCAAGTTTGAGGTGGTTGCGGTTGGTTATTGTTTACCCACTGTTGTGCATGGTTATATCCTCTGTTAAAGAATCTTTCACCTTGGTCCATATAGTGTCCTGCTTGGTTATAGTAGTCATTGCTTTGTTATAATAGTTTCCTGCTTGTCTTCCTAAATTGTCCATCCATCCTTGAACTTTTCCTCTTGTTTCAGGATTTGGAATAAGATTTGTTGCATCTCGTGCTACATCCCAACCTTTCTGTACAGTTTGTATAATAGGTTGTGCTTTCTCTTTCAGTATACCTAATGTACTCAAAATCTTCCTTCCAATTCCAAATGCACCTCTGGCTATTGTTCCCACTGCGGGTAAAAATCTAGATGCAACTCCTGCTAATGCGCCAAAAAAACCCATTCTTATAGGGTTAAAAAATGACGAATCCAAACAAGGACCCCTATGTTTCTAAAGCGACAAAGAAAGCACTCATGATAAAAATCTTTAGTTCAACACCAAATGCGGTTATGGATATCTTGGAAAACATTCCGAGAGTTAGAAACAGATGGACCTCCATACTGGTTAATATTTGTTGGTCAAAACACAAGATACTGTGAAGCCATACCATTATGGTCCAAAAATATTTTAGATGTAAAAACTGCTTTGACAATATTCGTTGACAAATACCATCCAACAAAACTGACATCTGACTGTGAAAGTTCTTCAAATCAGATGATGTAAAAAACTATCTGCGTTCAAAAAATGTAAACCAATATTTCATTGTCGACCAAAACCATCTGCTCTTGGTGTCATTGCCGGTTGTATAAAAATGTTAAGAGACTTAAACCAACCACAAGGTGGTGAAGCAAATGAAATGTCATATGACGACAAGTATAGACACTTCTCCATGGCAAAGATGAGACAAGTTTTAAATATTTACAATAACCGTAAACAAAAAGGTTTGGGAAACCACTCCCCCGAAGAAATGAAAAACAACCCTGACTTAGAGAAAGACTATATATTTAATAATTTAGTCAAAAGAGACAAACAAGAAAGAATGCCGGGCTTCAAACTTCAGAAAGGTGACAAAGTAAAAATAGAAATACCTAAACGCGACCCATATGAAAATACTATTGACTATGACAACAATGGGAACCCGACAGGTACTCACATTCGTGTTCGTAAAAATAGAAGAAAGTATACAAGAGAATATTATGAAGTTTTAGGCAAACATGGCAAAATGTACACACTGCAAGCAGAAGATAAAACTACTATTGCCAGACCTCGTTTCAAACTTGTCAAAGTTCAATGGTTATACTTTCAAAGACAGTTCCTAACAAATATAAGACAACTCCTGACGAATATGCTAAAGAAGTTGAAAATGACGACTAAGCAATTCTATACCATGCGTAAACTGTCATGTAAGGTGGCATGTATTCTTTACTTTGTCCCGTTGTTTGCGTATATCCTGAAACGAAATGTGTATGGTTTCCTTCTCCCTGAGTGTCACTCCAGTAACAATTTATAGCAAACTTAACCTCGTCTTTAACATCATATCCTTTACCTTTTGTCATTCCTGACCAATCCCAATATCTATGCTTATGCCATCCTGCTTGAGATGTCCTTAAATCTATGTAGTGACTGTGTGCAGGTAAATTTTCACCTGAAATCGTTTTACTTCCACCTGTTTCCTTTGAAGAGTTTGCACAATACAAAAACCTGTCGACTATTTGTTCCCATGCACCAACACCAAACATTACTTGTGGACCTCTTACATCCATAGATGTATAAATAGAACCTACTGGGTTCATTAAATCAAACATATGAGATATTATAGGATTGTCTCTTTTGAACTTAAAATATAGTGCAACTATTTCAGGTTTCTTCTTTGTGTGTCAGAATATTTTTTATAATATAATCTTATGTTTTCAGGGTAGGTAAAGTCTTGACTATAATATTTATTTCTGTCGTCTGTAATAATATACTATTCTCGTTTTTTCTATTGCATTATATCTTTTATATCTATAATAATCTAAATATAATGTTAGCTTTTGTTCATCTACATGTGGTGTTCTGTCGTCATCTCCATAGTCATAATAATATGGTGCTGGAGCTGGTCAGCAATGTCATATCTGCCATTTCATAAACTCTTAAATATTTCTTTTGTTCGTCTCCATATAAGTTTAAGTAGCAGTTGTTGTCTAATGGAACTTTAACTTGTGTACCATCATTCTTTTTATAGCTTACATACATTTCATTGTTATTTTTCGGAATGAGTTTACACCGTGTACCATTTTTTAAGGACTGTACAAACTGCCATCTAAAATATTTATTTTCTTCATTGACAGAAAAGTCACCAACAATAGTTTCAATATTTTTTGTTGTTCCTATCAAACTTTGGTATATTTCATTGACATATGTTTTATCTGCTTTCTTTTCAAGGCTAACGTTTAAGTCTGTTATTTCAGATATAGAATGTGTATGTCCAACGTCACTTTTACTGTTTAAGGTTTCTTGTAAGTTTGTAATATTTGCAATGGTATGTGTATGTCCAACGTCACTTTTCCTGTTTAAGGTTTCTTGTAAGTTTGTAATATCAGATATAGAATGTGTATGAGTCTTATCTGCTTTTGTCTCTAATGTTTCCTTAAGACTTGGTATTTGGTTAATATAATGTATATGAGTCTTTTTAGAATATTCGTTTTCAGCTCTTGTCACTTCACTTGACATTTTATTGTCAACATATGTTTTGTCTGCTAGTTCAGGATGAGTATGTTCTTTTGTTGCATAAGCATTGTTAGCTCTTTCTTCTTCTTTTGCTATTGCATCGTCTACATATTCTTTGTCAGCTTTGTTGTCAACATCTGCTTTCAAAAGAAGTTCATTTATAGGTTTCTCGTTTAAAGTTCCTTTTGTTGGATTTATACAGACAGTATGGTTCTTATTGTCTTGAACAGAAACTCATCTGTCATTGGGTTTATTGTCAGTTTTAAGTTTCCTTCTTTCAATGACTCAGATATCTTAGAATAGTTTGAAAAGTTTGTTGTGTTCTTATTTAGAGCTTGCATAATGAGTTGTCGGTTGTGTTGTATTTCTCTCATAGACGCTGTTTCATTTGACATTTTTATTATAGATAAAATATGCTTCCAATAGAAAAAGAAAATTCTAGAGTTGCTACAACTAAACCATTAGATGAACTTTTTACTAATGTCGGTCAAAAGTTTGAGACAGATACCGTAAAGCATGAAGGCTATCGTTTTGACTACCCATTAAGATGGTTAAGAGACCCATCTGTCACAAAAGCTATTGGTTTTCGAAGAATAAAGTTTGTGTCTGTAGAAGATAAAAGTTTTCCATTTATTGTAAGGTTTCATATAGATTATACATCTGAAGGGCAACGAAAAATGTGGGAAGAAATTGAGCTAATACAAGTTGACCTCTCATCTTCTCTACAGACTGCATTAAAAAATATAGAAGATAAAATAAATTCATGTTATGCAAAATATGCTGATGAATATGCGAATACCAATAGCACACTTTATGTGAGAATTGTATATGACAAACAAAATTCACAAGTGTCATTTCAAATCTACGAAGACAATCCAAATAAAGACGAACAAATATATACAGAATTCACTGCAATGTCATGGTATTATTTGCAAAGAATGTTAAATCAGAAAGTTGAACCTCCTTTAGCAAATATCTACAGTCAATATGCAAGAGATGAACCATATTTATTTAAAGATGTTTTCGACCAAGATGCTGTGATAGTTCATGCTTCATTTTCTGGCGCCCAAAACTCTTTCTTATGCTTGGCAAATGACTTTTACGAAAAACCTACAAAGTTATACGAACCACCAAGTGGAAGTATTTCAGACTTTCAAGTATGGTTTACTACAGATGGAAGAAAAAGAATAATTCCATTATACCATGCGTTTTACTTAGAACTTAGTTTCATATACAACTACTATCGAACGGTAAAAATATAATTTTTTAATACGGTTGAGGTGTTGGATTTGGTTGCCAACTAGATTGTGGTGCAGGTTCAGGCTGTTGTATAACAGGAGCTTGTTCTTCTGGTTCAGGGTCTTTAGGTATAATACCAACAAACTGACCTACTCTTTTACCAATATTTTTGACACCGTTCCATACTCCTCTTCCGACAGATTTTATTCCATTCCATATACCTCTTCCAACATTTCGAAAGAAGTTTCCTATCTTACTGAAGAAACCCATTTTACTATATGTAAAAATCTAATGTCCGCCTAGTCTCTTACGTTTCCTGTTGAGTTCCATAGCATTCTTTAACTGGAGCTCATACATTCTGTTTCTCCTCTGGTAGAAAACATATTCTGGGTCAACTCCTGTGTTCGCGTCATCTGCATAAAGTTGTTTATATCCCACTTCAGGGTTTGTATAAAACTCTTTCCATCTCATATTTGCATACCATGGTGGCAAACCTAACGCAGCGTCATTTGACATGGCAGTTTGCATTTGTACATCTGTTGGCACTTGACCATAGTTTGCCATTGCAGTTTGTATTCTAACTTCATTTGGAATATTCTCTGGGTTTGGTTGTCCAGGTTGCTGTGCATTCGCTAAGTTCTGTGCGTCCATTTAATATTAGATAAAAATATCTCTTACGAGTACATATACTGAACATTTGCAGGCATTGGTTCATCTTCATATTCTCTGTACTTTTCTGCCACGTCAAATAAATAAATGACACAATGGAAAAACCTAAAACTAACAATCCGATTTCAAACCACATTTACTTACTAATAAAATTTCTTTATTGTGACACTTTCTCCAGTTTATAGGACCTCTCTCATATTCTATCTTGTCATATCTAAACTCATAGTCGTTTATATCTTCTAGCCATTTCATGACACTTTACAATATTGTATGACATAAATGGGATATATAGAAACTTCCACCGAACAAATCTACAAATGTTAGACCATTCGGTAGTTTCTTAAGTTCTCTCAATATAATATCTTTACATCTACTCTTATTTCCAAAGAACGGTAACGGTGGTTTTGTAAAATTCATTTATATATAATAATAAAAATGTTTTTACCCGAAAAGTGATAGAAAAGTGACAAAACATGAAAACATATATAATTTGTGAAAAGCGACACATTATATAATGTTTTCGACCCAGAAGAAGGCTTCTTCCCAGAAGCAATGGAGGAAGAAGAAGAGTCCTCCGAATTCACACCAGAAGACTAACAATTTTCCGAATAAAAACTTCATTTATACTAAACATCTTCGGGGCTAGAGGGCGCAACGCGCCTGGAAGCCCCACTTACCTGACCTTATTAGTATTCTTCGTTATTTGGTTGGCGCAAAGCGCCAACTAAATAGTGAATAATTCAATTTTTTAAAAAAAATATTTAATTTGGCCGAAGGTGGCGTGCTTGCCCGAAGGGCAAGCGAAGCCACCTGAGGTCTCAAATTATATTTGATCAAATATATATCTTCGCACTGCAGATCAATAAATCACATGATATGCTTGTTGATTTCTTATGAGAAAATAGTTTTTCGTCTTTATAATATCATGTGCTTTGTTGCACAATATATTTTTTATTTTCCTTATTAAAATAAAGGTAGGTCAACAAAAAATAAGTTATTTCACAAGAAAAAAAAATTCTCATGAACAACTTCAAGCCGATTTTTCTCAGTAATAAAACTCCAAACTTCTCTTAATTGTGGAGAGAAATTGAGGTTTTCTTCATGCATAGTAATTTTTTACTTTGTATTTACATTAATTTCAGAAACAGTGTTGACATATATGCAATTTAAAATCGATGTCATTTATACTTAATCAGAATATATCCAATCGTTCTATTCTTTCAAAATATAAAGCTCTACAATGGAAATTGTATAGCTTAAAATTTAATAATCTGCCCCGATACTTTGAACGATGAAAATCGTAAGCCACTGCAATAAGATTAATCCTCAATTGTTGTATATATTGATATCTTACTCTCATAAAAATCTGCAAGACCGTTTTCGCGAAAAAGTCATTTTACATGCGTTACTTAGTTAGGCAATTGTTCTTGCCTCAACCATAAAAATAATGCAAAATACTGAAAGTCTAGATATAATTAATAGGCTCTAAATATTGCTGCTGCGCTTAAAACAAGATTTAACAAATTTGTCGATATTCACTCAACAAATTGAAATTTCATCAATAAAGCAAAAACAAAATGAGTTACAAACGGGAACATGACGAATTTATCTACTAAAAACAAATTTATAACTAATATACAGCAAAAATTCTCCATTAATCCCCGAATTGCAACAAATAACTTGAAGATGTTGTTTTACGTTGCTTACAAAAGCAAACTACATAAAGTTTTTGAAATAGAACCTTTTAAATACGCTCAAATAAAAATCTATTCTAATACCTTTTCTCTTTTTTTAAATAAATATATTCTCATTCATTCCCTAAAACAAACCATTATATGAATAACATGAAATATGTTATTAAAAATAAATTATAATAATAATCCAAAATATTCATATCAGATATGGGGAAAAAGACAAATTTTGGAACAAGCATCAAAAATAAATAACGTTTGTAATTCCAAAAATTTTTCATTTTGCAAATTTTCATGGAAAATTCGTATTTCTTCTCTCCATTTTCAAATTTTTGAATTTTTTTTGGAATTTTAAATGAAGAATTGAGAAACCTAATATAGATGGTTGTTATCTCATATTTGAATATGTTCGTTTTATTTCACAGTTTGGAATTTTCTCATATTTTATGGTGAAATTGAGTTTCTATCACAAGTTTAGATAGCATATTTAAGGACAGATTACATGAATTTATATTTTCATCAATATGATATATTGAAATAGGAGACGCTCAATATTACAATGTCTTTCTTAGAATTCCAAATGTATTCAAATTTCCTGAAACTACAATTTCTGTAGTTACTAGCCACATATAGGAAGCAATACACAAATGTCTAGTAGATAGTATATCATTTTATCTCGCAAAATGAGTATCTTAGGAAAAATTCTAGATACTTTTTCAAAACATGCAACAACGCAAGATCTATTCTGTAAAACCGATGAACAGTACAAATATGTTTATTTGCAGGTCAAAGAATCGAATGTTAATTTTAATAATATTTCCTCGAAATCGCTCTTGCAGTTTTCTTCCTACATAGTCTAAATCCATTATCAAAATCAAGAAAGCATCGTTACGACTTTGTTGACCTACCTTTGGTTTGTGCAACAAAGCACATGATGTTATCTCATAAGAAATCAAAAATAACGTATATTTGTATTGAGTAGGCATACATCGAGCCTACTCACCCAATAAACTCTTTATTCGTTCTCTGGCCGACAAAGAGCCAGAGAACCACATCTGCATTAACTTATGCTGAAGTTTTCTGGATTTCCTTCTTCATTTGAGGGACATCCAGATAACTTCAGCATAAACGAATTACAAACATGCTCTCTCGCGCTTTTGGGACTAAGCACCATAACTACATTACACTAGGGCGGGGTTCTTCAATATAATCCAATAACAGATAGTGGCCTGCCGTAAAGACCATTTCTGTCAATAGCCGAGAACAGTCTCTCAATATAATCCAATAACAGATAGTGGCCTGCCGTAAAGACCAATTCTGTCAATAGCTGAGTACACCAATCTCACTCTCCACCAAAAAAATGAATAAACCGTTTTTTCGGTTGGCGGGAAATTTTGAAAGGAATATAAAAATAATTTGGCGGGGAATAAATGTTGGGTTTTAAACTAATAAGTAATAACAACCAATATGTATAGACTTTATATATTATGTTTTTTTAGATAATTAAGCATTTTTGTGCAACTTGTCCACAAAAGTGAGCCACTGCACAGTAAGTAAAAAAGGTGACAGAAATTTTAAAAATGGGAAAAACTATTGTTGTAACAGTAGGATCTACGCATTTCGATGCATTAATAAAAATAATTGACTCCGAAGAATTTATCAATGAAGCTAAAAAGCAAGGTTATGATAATATCATTGCTCAAATCGGCGCATTCGAAGGAGAAATCAAAAATCTCAAGAATTATCAAAAATACATGAAGCCAAATGAAATGAAGGAATCTTTCGCCAAAGCTGACCTTGTAATTGGTCACGCTGGTGCAGGCACCATTATGGAAGTCATGGCTCTTGGAAAACCTCTCATTGTTGTTGTAAACGATATATTAATGGAAAACCATCAAACTGAACTTGCATCTAGACTAAAAGAAGAAGGAATTATTACAATGTCAACTACAAAACAGTTCATGGAAACATTTAAGCAAGGTAATTTTGATGGACATAAGCTAACTATGAATGCTGCACCATTTGTTCATAAAATGGATGTTTATTTCCAAGGTTAAATACATATATCTTTGTTTTGATTCATTTGTCTATTTCATTTACTATAAAATATATCTATCGACTTAGTGTATTCTTTAAAACTTACATTTTGTTTTTATTCAAAAAATTTCTAATTTTTTTTAACAAAAGATCATTAATTTAAGCATAGATTTGAATAATATTTCAGCGAAAGATTAAAAAACGTAATGATTAATAAGAAAACTAAAAACAATAAATTTATTCTCCCATTGCTTCAACTTTTTCGATAATATATTGCGGTGCTTTATAAGCATTTAGCTTCTTGATAGTCAATTCAAGCGGTAAAGCAAGTTTAGTTTTGAAGAACTTCTTTTGAGTGAAAACTGGACTCTGAGTCGTTTCAGGCCAAGCAGCACGAGGAGCATTTGCTTCAATCAAGCAAGGAACAGCTACAATTGGTTTAATATTCATTCGTGAAATCAGATTTGTTGGATAATTTGGATTATTTGATTTCATACTATCTTGGTTAACAAACGATTTTCTTAATGTCTCTGCACCAGGTTGTAGAGGACTTTCGTCTGGTTTTTCTCCAGTAATCTTTATTCTGTCATCGTTGAATTGAAGGTATCTTTTAATTTGCGTAGCGAAAAATGGAGGAATATCTTTTCTAAGGAGGAATTCAGCAGCATCTCGACGAGTCATTGTTTTAATTTTCGTTCTGAAAACAGTAAGTGAAGTTTCTGGAGGTGTAGGTAAGTTTGTACCAGGTGGGCGTGCATCTTGGAATGCTTTTAGTATTGAAGCTGTGTATAATCGTTTAATTTGCTCTGACGTCCAATTATATAATTTTGTATCTTGTATTTTTAATGAATAGTAGAATAAACTTTGTAAACTTTGAAGCGAATGAGTATACTTAATTGGAAGTGGAATGAAAGCGCTAATTGCTCGGGCAACTAGTTCTGGATTTTCGCCAGGTCGAATATTTCCTGTAGCAAGTGATCTTAATTGCTTTAAATCGTTCAATTCTTTTTGTGCAGTGGCCAATTGATTTTCAGCCACAAATATTTCGGGATCTGCTGTCATTTTAAAAATGAAATTGAAAAAAATTGACAAAAATTTTAGATCGATTCCGGTGCTGTATCTGAATCAATTTTCATAAATTTTGTCAATGTCAATATCAATATGATTGTATAACATTAGCTCTCTTAAAATTTTTCATCCAAAAATCAACGAATACATATTGATATAATTTATCTCAAGTTTGCATTCCTATAAGCAAGTAATTTTGCTACTTAGCATACATAATTAGATGAAAGAATCATAAAATGAATTATACAAATTTTTATCTGTGATTTGTCCCTTTACCCTGCATTTGTAAACTCCTTTCTTAAAATACTTCACTGTAATAAATTACAAATACCCTATTCTATTTAAAGCTTTAACATTCATTTAAAAAGTCTGGAATTCATCGAGGCCAGTGCTCACAATTCATCACCTCAGAGCCAAGTTCCTCAAGGGTCGTCATCATTAGGAATGTTCCCAGAGGAACTTGGCTCTGAACGAAAATAACAAGCTCTGGCCATTACTAAGGCCAGAGCTTCGCAAACATTCCTCGGGGCCGGTTTCCTCAAAGACCGCCCTGCTTCGGGGCGGTTGGAGAGGAATCCAGTCCTGAGAGAGTGCCCATACGAAGCTCTGGCCAAAGCTTTCAAATACAATCCTCAGGACGGAGTTTTGCGATGATCGTCCTAAAGATAGACGGTTTCGTATGAACTCAGCCCTGAAAGACATCAAATTACAGGCTATGACCACACTGAGACCAGAGCTTCGCTAACATCCTTCAGAGCCGAGTTCCATGAGATTGTCTAGATCGCAGACACTTCTCAGTAGAAACTCGGCCCTGAAAAGCATTAAATACGAAGATCTGGCTTTAGAAAAAGCCAACACCTGAAATGCAATCCTCGGGGCCGAATTTTGAGACGAATGTGGTGGATGTCTAATAACCTTTTTCAATTATCATTGATGGAGAAAGTTGAGCAAGGAGCCCTTTCTCAAAGTCAGGACTCCTTTCTCAGCTATCTCATAATGGTCAGAGAGGTTACATCCAATTTTGAATTAAGATATTTTAAGATCTTTCAACTCTCACTATTTTTCACATTTTTATATTTCCTATTCTAGGGATTTAAAAACGGTTTCGCCAAATGGCGAATTACTGAAAATTCGCTAACTCAGCCTGATTTTTTTCGAATTCGGCGAACTCAAAAAGTGACATAATAAATACTTAATCTCGCTATAATCATTGATAATTTTTGCATATGTCAATAGTTACAGTATGTTTATAACTTTATTTCGTATAGTCATGATGCTCATGATAACCATTTTGAATTTAAGTGATTAATTGACAGATTGAAGGCGTCAATACTTATTTCTGGAAACTTATCATATAACTTCAAATATATTAATACAGTACCATGCAAATACTGTAATGACTTCTCATGATTTTTAGATAATCTCGGTCATATCTTTTATTTATCTCATAATATTGAATAATTTATTCTTTTTTTTTCAATTATATTTTTACACAAGTAAATTCTATTATTAGAAATGCTGAATAATTGAGAAAAACCTAAATATTTGCAAATATTATCTATTTTTTGATAAATCCCTTCACAATATCATAAAGGAAGAGATTCCAAATAACATTAATATTATTAATTATGAGTGTGCTGAAAAGGCAACAATTTGTTTCATTCAAATTTTTCAAATTAAAACCATACCATTTCTTAAAGCGCACATAAAAACTGTTTATGTTATGAGTAATAATTTTTAACGAACTTAATAATAAAGTTCTTATTTTGAATTCAAAATTATTCTGATTAGTTAGTATGAGAATATATTGTTATGATTTAATCAAACTAACCTCAAGAAAAGCTAATTTTGCAATCAGCATAATGAAATGCAAAACCAAAAAAATTAATAATTTTTAATCGTGAACAAATATGAACTTTATTGTCATAATATATATATTCATCAAATATATTTTGCAAATTGATAAGAAAATTTGAAACATAATATTGGGCTTAACGTCTTCGCCAAATTGCGAATTCGCCATTTGGCGATCGCCATTTTGAGAATTCGCCATTTTGTAAAGTAAAATTGAGAGGAAAACGATAATCCCAAAATAAAAAAAATAGACCTTATCTTAAAATCATGAAGATTATCACACAATAAAAATGTTATACCCTTTATTAATAAAAAACGAGAATTCCACAAAATAAAAATAACAGACCCTTTTATATGGTTTCGAAATTGAAAAATGGCGAATTCGCCAAAAAATTAGAAGTGGCGCAATTCGCCATTTTGCGAACTTTTTTTAAATCCCTACCTATTCAATGTATTTCCTTTAAATAAGCAAATTTCATAATTAAATACTTTTGAAATATTAATACCAAAAATGTTAAAACTATCAATTTTCATACATATAAATGTATAAGCAGTATAAATATTTTAGTATTTTATCAATCACTGTTTCTTATATCTAATATTTCTAACTTTATTTAATAAATTTCTTTCAATATTAATTATAAATCTAAATCATTTTAATAACTTCATATAAAACACATGTGTGCCCTCACCCATATATAAATGCTTATATTTATCCAACTATGATAAATATAATTTTTATATACTATGTTTCATCTTGTGCGTATCAATTATGATCTTTCCTTGGATGAGTTCTGATCACTGGTTAACATTTAACAAAAAATAATTTTTCCTATAACCATTAGTTAAGGCTGCAATCACGCCCATCTGACTTTAATTCAAATTTTTGACAACTGGCGTGAAGCGCCATTGAAATTTAACCTTAAACATCTGAATTGAAGGCCCTGTCATAGGGCCGTAAGTGCACCCTAAAAAAATTGAGACCTTTAGTTTAAAATTTTGTCACTTTGGAACTAATACTCTCCAGTATTTTGTGTCATATATTAGCACCATGCTCGGTTAATAATTTAACAATATCAATTGAATTTTCCTGAATTGCAATAGAAAGTGGAGATTCAATATTATAAAATATATTTGATAAAATAATGATTGATATGAAATGAAAGAGGATTCCATACAATAATGATTAATAGGAAATGAAAGAGAATATCATATAATAATGATTAATATGAAATGAAATTGATTAAGTTTAGCATTGACATCAGCGCCATGTTCAATTAAGAATTTAACAATATCAATGGATGTATTGCGAATTGCAATAGAAAGTGGAGATTCAATATTATAAAATATATTTGATAAAATAATGATTGATATGAAATGAAAGAGGATTCCATAAAATAATGATTAATATGAAATGAAAGAGGATTCCATAAAATAATGATTAATATGAAATGAAAGAGAACTCTATATAATAATGATTAATATGAAATGAAATAGAACTATATATAATAATGATTAATATGAAATGAAAGAGAATATCATATAATAATGATTAATATGAAATGAAAGAGAATATCATATAATAATGATTAATATGAAATGAAAGAGAACTATATATAATAATGATTAATATGAAATGAAATAGAACTATATATAATAATGATTAATATGAAATGAAAGAGAATATCATATAATAATGATTAATATGAAATGAAATTGATTAAGTTTAGCATTGACATCAGCGCCATGTTCAATTAAGAATTTAACAATATCAATGGATGTATTGCGAATTGCAATAGAAAGTGGAGATTCAATATTATAAAATATATTTGATAAAATAATGATTGATATGAAATGAAAGAGAATATAATATAATAATGATTAATATGAAATGAAAGAGAATATAATATAATAATGATTAATATGAAATGAAAGAAGATTCCATAAAATAATGATTGATATGAAATGAAAGAGGATTCCATAAAATAATGATTAATATGAAATGAAAGAGGATTCCATAAAATAATGATTAATATGAAATGAAATAGAACTATATATAATAATGATTAATATGAAATGAAAGAGAATATAATATAATAATGATTAATAAGAAATGAAAGAGAACTATATATAATAATGATTAATATGAAATGAAAGAAGATTCCATAAAATAATGATTAATATGAAATGAAAGAGAATATCATATAATAATGATTAATATGAAATGAAAGAGAATATCATATAATAATGATTAATATGAAATGAAATAGAACTATATATAATAATGATTAATATGAAATGAAATTGATTAAGTTTAGCATTGACATCAGCGCCATGTTCAATTAAGAATTTAACAATATCAATGGATGTATTGCGAATTGCAATAGAAAGTGGAGATTCAATATTATAAAATATATTTGATAAAATAATGATTGATATGAAATGAAAGAGGATTCCATAAAATAATGATTAATATGAAATGAAAGAGAATATAATATAATAATGATTAATAAGAAATGAAAGAGAATATCATATAATAATGATTAATATGAAATGAAATTGATTAAGTTTAGCATTGACATCAGCGCCATGTTCAATTAAGAATTTAACAATATCAATGGATGTATTGCGAATTGCAATAGAAAGTGGAGATTCAATATTATAAAATATATTTGATAAAATAATGATTGATATGAAATGAAAGAGGATTCCATAAAATAATGATTAATATGAAATGAAAGAGGATTCCATAAAATAATGATTAATATGAAATGAAAGAGAACTCTATATAATAATGATTAATATGAAATGAAAGAGAATATCATATAATAATGATTAATATGAAATGAAAGAGTATAGTTTTAGCATTGACATCAGCACCATGTGAAATAAGAATAAATACTGCATCTGTATTATTATACATTGCGGCGTAATGAAGAGCAGTCATTTCATTTTTATCATGATAATTGACATCAAATTTGTCAGTTGAGTTAAATAAAAATACGAAAATATCGGAATTTTGTGACATGCATGCATATTGTAGAATATTTCTTTCCTTAAAATCAATTTTATCAGGAAATTTTTCATTTTTGAAAATATCTATAGTTTGAGGAAATGCAGCGCACCATGGAACTATGAAGTTTTTCTCTCTTTCGTAAAGAAGAAATACAGCTTTCAGGTTTTGGTATTTGATAATATCTTCGTAAATAGCTGTTGAATTTGAGTTTTCTCCATCGAAATCTTTATAAGTAAAAATATTTCTTTCTAAAACAAATTCAAGCATTTCGTTGCTATGCGAACACACAATGTCTCTGAGACAATATTTGTCCATCTGGTTTCCCTTTAAACATTCGTTGATAATGTCAGTATTTCTACCAATCAAAGAATATCGAAGACATTCTTTTGATATTGTATACTTTTGGCTTGAAATTAAGAAAAAGAAAATGTTTACTGATCCAAAATATGCACATGTTTCAATTAATGATAAATATAAATGACTATTTTGATTCAATTTAGGAATTTTTAAAAAATTATCATTTTTGAGTCCTCTTTGTGAAATATATTCCTTAAATTTATCAATTTGATCATGCATAACAATAAATTCGACTGAACCCTCCAATGGGAATGTTAAATTCGAAAGTTTCTTATTATCAAAGCCAATATTCTTGAGAATTTTTATATAATTTTCTCCTGATGCATAATTATATCGAAGTGCCTCTAAAATGATCTCGGTGAGTTGGCTTTTGGTAAGTTGATATTTCGAAATCAAAGTATTTGTGATGATATCACACATGTATTCAACAGATTCATCGGACTTTATAAGAAAAAGCTTTTCAAATGCTCCAATAAAGTCCGAATATGGCTTAGCATAGTCAGAACTCATTTTTTTTTGACTAATTTTATTTTGATCGTTTGCAAGCATTCAAATTTTGAATCTTAGATCAATTTTTAAAATTGTTATAGTTTCTGATGTATGATCCTTATGAAAATTGAATCTCAGATCTGTTGATGGATATATATTACACATCTATTGAAGAACATATATGCTTGCATAGAGTTAAAGTCAGATATAGAGATACACTCAAACATAGAAATAGATCTCTTACATAGAGTTAAAGTTAGACATCAAGATTGTCTCAGACATATAGATCCACTCAGACATAGAAATAGACTCTCACATAAGAATAAACTCTTGGATTTATTTGTTTCGCCCAAACCTCTGAATTTTAGCAATATTTTTCCCAAAAGCACTCAAAATTTGAGAGAATTGAGAACTCTATCGTTGTTTCGCCCATGTTTTGCCCAAAAAAAAATGACGTCCGATATCAGATATAGGCTCATCCCTCAAATTTCTTAGAACTTTAAGTAAGTCGTCCTAAACTTTTTCTTATTTATTTTACCTTTAGTAAATGCAAAATCTCCGAACCAATTTTCTCGTCATACAATCAAGATTTTGCGATTCTAAGAGCACCAAACAAATCTAGAGGCAACCGGGATCCATAACTATGCAGCAAGTTAAGGTAGCTACAGCACAATATCATACTTTTTTCTTTCCATACATAATACCCATCAATAGTTAATCTATCCAACAATCTTAGCTTTCATCTTAACCCAAAACTTAAAAAAAAAATTCCAAGTTTTGACAGCAGATTTAGAATCCTAATTTGATGGAGAATTTAAATCTGTCATCAAATAGTGGTTTTATCCGTTGTTGGATGAGAGAATCAGTATGATACTGGAGTATAATTTGATAGTGTAAAGTATCATTAATGATCTCAATGATTCAAAAAAATCGATTGTGCAAATCTCTAGATTTTCAATTTACCTCAAGAATAATCAAATTTGACTATTTTTGAAGAGACGATAATAACACGTTATTTTCGTGAATTGAAATAATATTCTAAACGTTAGCAATATCTTGTTTATCCATTCTTAGTATGATTTTAATTTTTTTTGCTAAATTTTCTGCAATTTTTTAATTGAAGAATTTTAATGTCTAACCGTGTTGGCTTGGCGCGTGTTAGGCCATTAACAATCAAGCCTATTAAAATGAAAAGTACGTCTGGCAAAGATGTTGCAGAACTTCCAGACGGAAAATATTTCAATGAAACTCGCGAAAAAGAATTTTGGGAGCAAATTGAAAAAGTAGACGAATCAAAAATTGATGAAAAGCAAGCCGATGAACTTAAAAGAACAGAAAAAGTTACTGATTTACAAGATACATCAGGAAAAATCCGCTCATTAGTTCGAAAGTTTGATGATATTGATCAAGAAACTCTAATGAACTTGGCCGCAATATATGACCAAGGTACATCTGAATCTCTCGATGAACAATCAATATTAAATGATTCGAAAAGACAAGTTGTCGATTTAATTTCACAATTAAAGATATTTTCGGATTCTCAATCTACTCTTGTTGAAAATTTGAAATATTGGTTTAGTTCCCTCGAAAAAAGATCAGAAGAATCAGCACTTGATCTGGGAGGAATACCAAATGTTAACGATGTTATTACTAGTTTAGGTGCAATTGTTCAAGAATTTGCAGAAAAATCAGAAAGAGCAGAGTGTTTACATAATGATATTACAGATTGCTTATTTAAACAGTTTGCTCAGCTTAAAAGAGTTGTTGCTACAAAGAATGAAGATATTAAGAAACTTCAGAAGATTATTGATGATAATAATTCAGCAGCAGAAAGAAGAAAAGCCAAAAAGAAAGAACAAGGTGCCAAAAACGAAGAAGGCATCAAAAAGGAACAATTCGAAGCCCAAATCCGTCAAAATCAAGAACTAAAAGGCCAAGTTGAACAACTTAAGAAACAATTACAAGATGCCGAAGTTCATCGTGCTTCTCTCATGGCAATGGGCGGCAGAATGGGTGGAGATGCCAGCAAAGCATCAGAAATGCAAAGCACCATCGCAACACTCAAATTGGAGAACGAATCAATGACAAAAACATTTAGTTCAAAAGTTGACGAACTAAATGCTCAAATTCAAAAATTGAAGTTACAAATCCAAGATGACGATGAGAAATTCAAGCATTACGAAGAGAAACTCAAGAAGAAAGACCAGAGAATAGAAGAACTCGATTCTATGCTACAGAAAACTCTTCAACAACAAATGCAAGATTTAGATCAAAGACAAACAAATCCATCATCTCCAAGTAAAAACAATGAACAAATAAAGAGTTTGCAAGAAGAAATGTCTATCATGGAGTTAAAGCATAGTGAAGAAATCAAGAAGATACAAAATGATTTCAAGAATGAATTGAAATCTCAATTGGATTATCAAAGAAGTGCTTTTGCTCGTGAAAGACAACAACTTGTAAATTCTTTGGGTTCACAAGACCAATCAACATTGATTAAGTCAATACAGACAGCTTGCGATAAAAGAATTGAAGAATTAACCAAAGAAAACGAAAGAATAAGAGAAGATTCTCTCAAACAATTATCCGCAAAAATTGCATTATTGACAAGACAATACGAGCACAGAATCAAATCATTGAACCAATCTCATCAAGGAGAATTAGATTCATTGAGCGCTTCAGTTGAAATGGCCAAGAAACAATTACAGATTGATTTCGATGGAAAACTTGAAGAAGAAATTCAAAAGATATCAGAACAAAACACAACAACACAAATGGATGGAAAAGTTTACATCGAAAAACTCGAAAGCCAATTAAAGAAGAGAGATGAAGAAACAAACAAACTTAGAGAAGCTTTAATGACTGCTTCTAAAACAGGTGAAGTAAATCCTGCACTTTTGATTCCACCAGAAAGAGAACCTCTCGAAAGACCAGAGAGTTTGATTTTGTTGGATTCAAATATGAAACAATCGAAGATCTTCACTTCTAAACTCAAAATAGCTAAGGAAGAATTGGAAGATCAGTGCAACTGGAAATTAGAAAAACAGAAAGAATACTATGAGAGAAAAATCTCTGAAAACGCTTTGAAACAACAAAGCGAATTAAGACAGAGCCTCATGGGATTACAAGAAGCAGTAAACAAAGTTGAAAAGGTTGATGATCTCCAAGGAATTTCAAATATCATTGAAAACATTGCTAAAGTTTTCTGTGACATGAATGATCAATTAAACCAAATCGAGAATCAACCAAAAGTTCCAATGGTTACTGTCGAAGATGCAGGAAAGAGAACTAAAGTACTTACAGACAGAATCATTGATCTCAGACAACAATGCCAAGAGTTGTCAAATCATTCAGATGATTTGGAACAGATAGAAACATTGAAACAACAATTGGCTTTGGCAAGAAACATGTCGGATGGAAATCAACAAAAGATATTCCAACAATTCGATGAAATCAAAGCCCATTATAAAGAAGAAATCGAGAAACGTGATAAGATAATAAACGAGTTCCAATCATTAGACTTTACACCTAAAGGTATTGTCGAAATGAACTGGTTCAAAGACGTAATCTTCACGAAATCTCCTGATGCAAATCAATTCCCAACCTTGGTTGATGAAAACACAAGTCAAACACCGAAACAGATGATTTCTATGTCAACAACACCATTAGAGACTAACAGGTTCTTTGATGAAGAAGAGATACCACAAATGAATCTCGAGATGCAATCAAAGACAATAGTTCACATGGATGAACCAATTGTCATCAAGAATAAAGATGATACAATTGTTGTTGAACCTGATGGAACACAAAAGGTCACAAAACAAAATGGTGTTTTGATCACGATTCAACCAAATGGAACGCAGATCATCAAAGAGCCAAATGGAACAGAAACAACAATAGATCCAAGCGGAGTTCAATACAGAAAAGAACCAGATGGAACTCACGTAACAATTGAAAATAATGGAAGTCAATTTATCGTCCGACCAAACGGTTTACAATACACAATCCAAGAAGACGGAATACAACAGGTTGTCAGACCAGATGGAAAGCATGTCACTATAGAAACAGATGGCACACAAGAGATCTCTCAAGATGACATCAAATTGAAGGCGAAGATTAAGAAAGGTGGAAATCAATTCATCGAAATTGATGGATCGATTATTACAATTGATAATGCTGGAATGCAGTTCAGGAAGCAGAAAGATGGTAGTGAAATTACATTCGATAATAATGGATCTCAGTTCATTGAAATGCAGGATGGAACAAGAGTTACAATTAACCAAAACGGAACACAAAACATCGTTGACAAAGATGGCACGAAAGTTACAATTTCTCCCGATGGTTCTCAAACAATCAAGAGAGCAAACGGTGAGTCATTCATTATAGATGATAACGGAGATACATACCAAATCAAGGAAAACGGAGAAAACGTGAAATTGGATGATGACGCTGTCAAACCGTATAAACCTTATGAAAAAGTGGAAATGTTGAAACCGTTTGAGATCACTGAGAAGCAAGAGAAGCGTAAGAAACTCGAGCCATATGTAAGCAAGGCATCTGTCAATGTATCTCCTGCCAAACCTAAAGGAAAGAGAGTTTTCACGTTTGTCAATCCAGCGCAATCTCTTTCTATTTACGGAAACAAGTTCGAATACATTGAAAGATTTGATCCAATTGATATACTTGGAACAAGACCAAGATCAGCACGCGATGAAATCAGAGTTACTAAGACAAGTGCTTCTGTTCAAACCAAAAAAGTTCCAGAAACAATCATTGAAAGAGTCATTGAGAAAGAAATGCCAATGAAATCAAGTAGATCAACATTGAGTATTTCCAATGACACATTCACAATTTCTAAATCACAAGAAGAAGTTAAATTGGCTGTAGACGAATCATTCATATCAGAACAGATGGATCAGAACATCAATTTGAAGCTTCCAAGTGCTCCTCAAACATATCACGTCGGTCCTGCTTTGACACCAAGATTCATGATACAAATGTCGTTCTGCGGAGAAAAACCTGAAATCAAAATACCACTTTCTTATTCAAATAACGAACAAATTTATTTGAGAGAGCCATTGCCAGCTGTTTATCTAGAAAATTCTCCAGAATCTTGTTACGAAAAACCTGTTCCAGACAAGAAACTCGTCATGGCTTTGTTCGATGCTTTCGAGAGACAAGAAATAAAGATAGAAGTCATCAGTTCTACGGCAAAAACATCGAAAGATAACAAACCGAAATTACAGAAATACTCTACAAATAATAACATCATTTTCGATGGAAAACCATACAAGATCTTCATAGAAAGGAAGCTATCAGATGTCTATGATCAAACAATAATCCTTGAAAACGTTGTCGAGCCAAACAAATTGATGTTGGAACAGATTAAATTGGCCGCAATTCAAAGATATGAAAAAATGATTAAATCTCTAAAAAGTGACATTGAAATTTTACATGAACAACTACAGCGTAAACCAGAGTTAGTTGTTATCAATGATGGTGGAAAGAATGATGATCTCAGACCACCACAATTCTCTCACAAACCTGCCCTCAAAACTTATGGAAGACAAGCTCTCGGATTACCTCCTGATCCAGCTCAAAACAAGGAGAGCCAACCAAAGAATGAGTTCGTGGTCGAAGAAAACCCGCAGCCTGTACAGAAAGAGAAACCAGAAATCACAAAATTACCTATTGATGAAACAGAAAAAAGTGACAACACCAAAGAAACTGTTTCATCAGCGAAATCGAAGAAATCCGTTGATGCGAAGTCCACAGCTTCTAGTATAATGATGGATTTGAACATTAATGGTGTTGACATACAGAATGATCCGTTTGGATCATCAGGAAGAATTTTATCAACACAATTACGCGCATTAAAGGAATTTATCGAAGATGACAATGAAGTCATGGAGAAAGTTGCAAGTGATACTGATGCTTACTATGCATACATCTCTGCAACAGGCGTTACCGATGAATCTCATTATGATTTTATTAATTCTCTCAAATCTTCCAAGGAAGAGCATGATAACTATCACCAGCAGCTCTTCTACATACAGAGTGTTGGTATGATGCTCAGTAAATGCTTAAATGCAATGAAATCTAAGTATTCTGAGTTACAAAACGAACTTAAATCCATGAAAGAGGAGCAGAACCAACAGAGCTCTAAGATGCAAGAAGAAATACTTTCTTCAATCGTCAACACTAACAAGGATATGTCAGATACAGTAAATCAACTAGATTTACTTCACAAACTCGAGAATTCCTTGAATGCTGTCAACGATATTGGTCTTGTTCGTTCTGAAAGTGATGAGAAAGAATGGGAATTAATGCTTTCTCAAACACAAATGTTCGAAGAAAAATTATCTAAAAACGAAAAAGTCGAACAAGAACAAATCGACAGATTATCAGTGAATGTTCAATCATTTATTGGCAAACTGAACACACAAGGTGACAGTCCTAAAGAAGACAAAAGTGTTGATGCAATGATCAAAGACTTGCAAAGAATCAGGAAGCAAAAAAACAAATTGAGAAAGAAATACGACGAAGAAAAGAAATTAAATGATTCATTAAACATCCAAATACAACAGCTCAAAGACCAACTCCAAGAGCTCAAAGATTCAGAATCTGCTGAGAAAACAGCTGCTGCAGCACAACTTGCAAATCTCAAGGAAATCGTGAATATCACGAATTCTACAAATCCTGAAGATGCAAAGGCAATTTACTCTAAACAATTGCTCAACATGGTATCAATATTTGAAGCTGCAAATGCAGAAAAAGCGATGTTGATGTCTAAATTAAATGATTTAGAACAATCTTTGGCAACTTCCCATGAAAGAGAAAACAAATTGCAAGCGGAAATCGGAGATTTAATTGAAAACAACTTGGATTTGAAGCACTCAAACTCTTCAAGTATATTGTTTAAAGATGCAGACATTGAACATCTCAGAGAACAATTATCTGCTGATAAAGAAGTGAACCAAAAACAAAGACAACAATTAGAAGAAGCAACAGCACAAAATGCATTGTTAATACAGTCAAATGCAAAATTAGAAGAAGAAAACTTTAAGTTGAGAAAAGATATAAGACAGCTGAACATGCAAATCGATGATCTTCAGCTAAAACAACAAATTAAAACTGTTAAAAAGAAAGAAAATAAAAAACCGCCAAAAATAACCGCCGACAAAGCTACACAAAAATCATGGAATCCTGAACCGATTATCATCAAACAGAAGGAAGAACAGTACAAGCCGATGAAAGATAAAGACATTGCCGATGGTTTATTGATGAAAACAATTGACCAATTAAATGCAAAACCAGTAATTGAAGAAGAAAAACCAGAAGAAATCAAACAAGAAGAAACCAAACCAGAACAAGAAGAAAAGAAGGAAGAAGAACCAAAAGTCAATGAAGAAAACATCAAACTTGCTAAAGAAGAGGAAGATACAGTAGAAATGCCATTGATCTCTTCAAGTAGTGACTTATTCTATAAATTAGACGCAGATAATGACAGTGAAGATGAATTTTCTGCTGAATTATCATCGATTACAAACCAACAACAAATCTTCTCAATCGATGAAAACGTTCCTCATTTAGTACACGAACCTTTGATGATTAACAAGAAGAAGCCAAAGATTGTATTGCCAACAGTAGAAAAGAAAGATAACAAGAGACAAAGCCATAAGAGACACATCACTCAAATGAACGCAAATCTTAACCAAATGAAACAAGAAGAATTAGATATAACAATAGGAAACGCTGTACAAGGAAAAAGACAAGTTACTGGTGTCGCAAACAAGATCAAACCAACAACAAATCTTCAGGATGTTACAGCAACAATTATTGCTGCAACACAGAAACCGAAATCAGATCAAATTCCTGTTATTACTTCTTCTTTGAAGATGCCAATGGTTTCTTTGGCAGAAAAACCATCACAAATCAATGCAGCACCAAGCAACCTGAGCCAGACGATTTCAAACAAGGAGAACCTTCCTGCGTACGTGAAGATAGACAATACATTGGAATCAGCACCTCCTGCACCTTTAAGAATCACTTTAGTTGTGAAAGAGACAGAGCAACAAAAGAAAGAAGCGGAAGAAAAAGCAGAAAAATCGAAACCAATTGTTTCAATTCCTCCTCCATTGCAGAGAACAAGCGAAGATCCAGTCAGCATAGAGATAAAAGGTGCGCAGATCCAACAAGAGAAGAACAACAGAGAAGTTCAAGCTGCAATGAGATTGGTCGGAAAACTCAGAGAACAAGTGAAGAGATTGTCAGATCAAAACGAAGAATGCGAGAAAACAATTGTAGAATTGAGACAAAAGATCAGCGATTTGACATTGCAATTGCACAGAGCTAAGTTAGACGTTATCAAGGCAAACGATGAAAGAAAGAGAACACAAATCAGAGCAGACAATATCAAGAATCGCTTGGAAATCTGTTACAAGGAAATGTCAAGTAAAGATGATCAAATTGTCAGATTGAAGAGAGACAATATGTTGCTTAGATCTGTTGCACAACCAATCAACGAAGCTGCAACAAGGATATCGCATGCACAGAGAGAAAGAGAGAGAATACAGAGAGAAAAGAAGCAAAGAGATCAAGTCAAAGCTGTTACAACAGCTGCTTTGGCTTCTGCAACAAATACAGAAACGGCAAAGCACTTGCAGACTCTCCTTGCAAACACAGAAAACTCTATGGCAAGACTGGAGGCAAAGAGAAGAATGTGGATGGAAATAGAAAGAAAGAATACAATGTCTGTTTTGTCTGCAATGTCGCTTTTGTCTACATCAGAAGTACAAACAGTTAAAAACGTTTTACCAGAATATTCTCCATTCAACAGCAGAAGAACTAATTATCCACGTACAGCACAGGCAACGATGAGAACTGATGAAGACGTGAAGATCTTAGAAGATAGTTTACCAAGCGATTTGAAGAAACCGATGACTTACACGCAAAAGATCAGTGCAATGGATAAAGTGCAGCCGCCTTTGACACCTGAAGAGAGAAGAGATATAGTATTGAGAAAAGAATCTCCTGAATTACTTTCAAGACTAGCAAAAGTTATTGCAGAAACCCCAGATCCCAATCTAAAAAATGAATCTGTTATTCCTGCAAAACAATAATTGTATATGTAATTTATATTAATTTTTATTTATTTTGATTGTTATTTTTAATTAAAACTAAAATATTTATAAGTTAATGCTTATATTTTTAATATTGAGAGGGCATTGAATGATTTAGGAGACTTATTTATATATTGATTGATATACATAGAGATTGTTATCCTTATATAAAGGAAATTAACAATGTTATACTAAATGAACATAAATCTATCTTCTTTAAGGTTACACTTACGTCCATCTGACTTTAATTCAAATTTTTGACAACCGGCGTGAAGCATAATTAAAAATTAACCTTAAACGTCTGAATTGAAAGCCATATCATAGGGGCATCAGTGCACCCTAAAAAAAGGAAATTTAAACCTCGCAAGATTAATGCATATAGAGCTTTAAGATAGAAAAGAAAGCAATATATTTAAAGTTAATTTAAGTAATAATATTTTTAAAATGATGCAGCATTAGAAAAAAAATTAATAAATAAACAATAATATATATATATACAAAAAGAAAGTTATTGTGCAATCAAGCAGCAAAGTTTGTTTGCCAATGTTTTCTGACCAACAGGGAAAGAAACTTCTAAATATTCTTCCAAAAAGGAGATTGTAATTTCTCCAGCGATTACCTTGCAAACGCTTTCAGTTTCATTTATCACGTATTCTATTGATAGTTTCTTAAGCATTTCTGCTACTTTTTCCTTAGAAACAGCAGATTTAACTCTTCTTTTAATATTCAACTTGTAGACATTGATTGAATAGTTTTTCTTGTAGTCATTCAGCGAAATCATCTTGTATCTCCTGTCCCTGTCCTTCAGAATGACTCCTTCACACGCAGATGGCTGTCCCAAAGCGAAGTTAACGCAATCTCTAGATATAGAAATAACATTTGGATTTTTCGTTGGAGTTGTCACTTTTGCGTTATTTCTTGGTGCTTCTGCAGGGATTCCTGTTGTTTGAGTGATTCTCGTTGCCAAGGCGTCGACTGATGGTTTGTCGCCGTGAATTGTAACGACTTTCGATGGTCTGACGCGATCACAAAGAGAAATTATCTCAAATTGGTCTGCATGAGCTGAGAAAGAGATTCTTTCAACTTTGCATTTAATAATGATATCAACCGTCATGGCCGGACGACGAGAAGTGAACTGAACTCTGTTTGTGGTCAAATCTCGAGTCAAAACAGCTCTTCCGAATGTATTTGGACCGCAGTAACCCGGGAATATGACCATATTGCGTGGATCATCGTACCATTTCTCGTTGACAAAGAAATTAAATGCTGGAGTTCCCGGATTTAACATACCGGACGTAGCAAGCATAACGAGACCTCTGGATTCGTCAATCTTGGACTTCTTGGGATTGAAGTTCCTTGAGTAAGTGAACTTGAAGGCTGTTGATCCGTTGTCAAATAAATTTGTTTGAACGGTCGGATTCATCCAATTGACGCACTGTTTGTAGACTTTCATGCAGTTCTCGCCGAGGTTCGTGGTGTAGTAGATTGGCTCCGTGTATCCCATTCTGTTCCAGTAATCTTCGAGCATTAAACATATTTCTTGGAGACGACCAACGGCGAAGACAGGAATGAGTACCTTGCCACCTTCGCCAACTACCTGGTGGACCATTTGTACGAATGATCGCTCACGTTTCGCGATTGAGTCTCGAACTTGATTTCCGTAGGTAGATTCAGTGATAAGGAGGTCTGGAAACAGGCGAGGAACTGCATGACCGGATAAGTGATGGTCTGCAATCGCTGAAAAGTCGCCTGTGTAAATGAATGATAAACCACGAACTTGGACAAAGAAACAGGCAGCGCCAAGGATATGTCCCGCTGGGAAGGCTTGGACGAAGATGCCTGGAGCTGCTTCGAAGCGACTGTAAAATTCGACGACTTTGATTTTTGGCTTGCAATTCGTGAGATCTTCTGCTTTGTATGGAGGATTTTCGGTAACTTTAAGAAAGTCATCAAGCATAATAGGCATCATCATTTGTGATGCACGAGTCATGTATACAGGTGCTTGACATTTGAGTACTTCAGTAAGATATGGAACTGCTGCTAAGTGATCTGTATGAATATGACTGATAAGTACTAAATCAACCTTTGGGAATGGATCTTGATATGCTGGAAGTCTGTCTTTCTCATCTGTGGCTGTAAAATTTACACCACAATCTAATAAAACCTTTTTAGATCCAATTTCAACAAGGATAGATGAACGACCAACTTCTCCACCTGCGCCAAAGCAAATTAATTGACAATGTACTTCTTTCTTCTTCTTAGTCCCTGAATGCATTTATGAAAATTTTTTGATTTGAAATCTCACAATTACCTTTCAAATAATTTTTACGTGTTTAATGCAATATTAAATTTTATTAATAAAAAATGTACTTTTAATGAGTTTTGGATTTTCAAATTGGAATCAAGCATTTATATGATCACAAGATATGAAAAATTCTTACTAAAAAGATGTAGCAACCCTATAGCCATGCACCAAAACGAATATAAATATAATATTATTCCTTTATCAAAAAAAGCGAAACTAACTATTGCAATTCATTACCAATTCTTTCAAAAACTAAAGATAGTATTTTTGTAGTTTACATTTAAATAAAAACAAACAATATAAAAAAATATAAATCAATTCTTCATTGTTTTCCAGCGTAATCATCGAGTTGGAATCCATTACCTTCAGCATATAAGATTGTTTTCATCTCTTCAAGTAGTTGATGACCCCATTGATTTCGAACACCAATTTTTTCTAAAACGCTAAGTTTAGATGTGTAGACAATTATTTCGTATAAGACGCCAGCTTTTGTCTTCAATAAAGTATTATTTGCCTCTTCTGATAATTTTATTGCCGAAATAAGTGAATCAAGTTTGTCTTGTTGTGCCTTTGTGAGTTTCTTTTTTCCTGATTTAACTTGCTCGTTAAGCTTTAGTAATCTAACAAAGCATTCTGGAGTTGAATCCATAAACAAATAAAAGTGAACGTTTATAAATTTATTCTTGAAAAAAGGAACTATTTCAATCAAAACAATTATGATATTTTTATAGATATTAAAACAATTGAATAAAATATGTAAATCAAACACAATTTTTATTACAATTTGGAAAGAATATAAAAAGGATGAGGAATAAACTAAACTTAATCATTTGCCAATATCTTTTGTTGACTTATCTTCCTTATCAGCTATGTTATACCTGAAAATAATAAAATAATAAGCAACATAAAAGACTACGGTCAAAAGACAGAACAAATTAGCATGATACCAATAATGTTGACTAAGTGCAAATACAAATTCGATTAATACAATTAAAAATACAATTAATGAAATCCGAAGATGACGATAGTACTTATTCAATAAATCTGGATCACAATTAATCTCATTTGACTGTTTTATAATATTTATCCTTCTGTATCTTAAAATAGAAAGAGCTCTTTGTCGATCCATCCTAAAAGCAATAACTGCGAACACTGTTGGGGCTAAAACAACGAGATCTGCCGTTATGGACTTGCCAAGGAAGATCAGCAAGCAAATAAAGATGTAATTTGATATCTCCCATTCAACAGGAGCAAATGGAGGTCCTGTCATTGTATAAAATATTGCAGCAAGTATAACGATGAATCTGAGCTTTGTGGCATATTCGAAAACTGCAATTAAAGATTCATCAATTTCGATTCTGATTCTGGTTGAAATAAATAAGCCTGCCCATACTATTATTAAGAATATTATGAAGAATGAGTGTAATCCTTGCTTTTCTGGCATGTTAATCAGATTCATAAGTTCAACAACGAAAAACAAAAATACTAAAGCAAGTACTTGATAATCATATTCGATTAACATAATTTCTGCAGGGGATCTATAGCCCCATGGATATCTAATTGCGCATGAAGTTTTTGAATATTTCTCTGTGTTGTAAGTTATAATGTATATGTTGCATGTGGTTGACGTTGGAAGTTCGTAAACGTGTTGGAATCCATCAACTCGAGGAACTTTGTAATCTTCGAATAATGCATGAAATTCTGAAACATGATTTGAAGAATTTTTAACGTGTTTTAATGGATCAAGAGTTGAGTTAATTGGTATGGCGAGTACATAGATTTCATCTTGCGCTTTACGAGGAGTTAATAATAAAACAGAGTCTTCAATTGGCTGAAATTGCGTAATATACTCGACCCTGATAGGTGTGTATGATTCTCCACATAAAAAGTGTACTAGTAAGTAAATAAACCCTGATAAGGATAAACAAGATAAGAATTTCAAAACAAAAAAATGAAAAAAAAATTGGTTGAAATAAGGAACTCAGGTATGTCAAATATTAAAAACTATCACAGGAGTTCCGCTTTTAAATATTAACTTTATTACGTAATAACAAACAATTTAAGAGAAAATGCAAATAAATATCATGATAATATTGCAACAACTAAGATACTCGTACTGGTACTGATGTTCGGTTATCAATAAATATGGAAGATGCTACTCTATTTCACCTTTTTAGTATATCTTTGCTTTCTGAATCTGAAAGATGGAAGATAGCCAACAGAATAGTCAGAGCTCTTAGTTTTAAGTAGTATATATGATAGAAATAGCCATAAAATCAAGGAATATGCAAAAATATTTGTGATTATTTTGTCAACACCAGTTAATTCATTGTTCACGAGTCTGTAGATCGAAAAAAGTGATATTGTTAGCATACCGCATACTAATATTGAAAAATAAGTTTCATTATAGAATTGTGACGCGAATGTTGAAATTTCAAACATTGAAGCAACAATTTCTTTGGTTTCAGAGAATGTGTATCCTATTTCAGGTGAGTTATTCTTCTTGCAAAACATATATCCTGATGTTCCAAAAATGAACAATAAAAAGAATGGTATATAAACAATTTTCGAATCAAGAGAGTCATAGTTTAGATATCCTAAACCTAAATCAGGTGCTTCAAAGAACCTTGTAAAAGGGTATAATAGAATGTCTCGAAGCATTATAAAAAATAAAAATAAAAACTCATTATGTTTTAATAATATCTTTATGTGTTTGATACGATTACGAAAATTTTGCTATTCAGTATGCAAATGGATGAATTTATGATTCTTAAAAGGTGACCAAACTATTTTTTGAAAGTCCGCCATAACTTTAATGGTACTATTTCAGCGTGTACAATGAATACAAAAATTCTAAGAGTGCCACATAAAATAGTACTTTAGACTTGAGTTAATGCTACCAAGCAAATGTTAAAAAGATGACTTTAGTGTTTTGATAATCAAAGATTAAAATCATTATTGTCTAAATCAATAATCATAACGACAGAAGTTAATGTTTTTTCATAAGTGCTTTAAATCCACTTTTAAAAGTATACCTCAAAATCAAAATATCAAAAAAAAATTGGCCGATAGTTTGGCTTTAATTTTTGTCTGCTTTTATGATTTGATATGGATGTTATAATTTTAAAAGTTGAGCCAAATTCACCAATAGATTTTTGAGATTTGCAAATACTCAATAATTTTCAGCGTGTTATCTTTTATTAAAAGAACTATTTGGTTTCAGTATCATATAAATTGATATTTACTTTTTATTTGAACCTTCATTTAGCTAATGATTTAATAATACAGATTTCATCTAGTCCTTATAAGAGAATTTTGAATTTGTTATAATAAAAAAACAAACAGATATAGCTTACACTTCTATAATAAAGATACCTTTTATAGAAATCAGTATGAAATGTGTTTTGGCTTATTGGAAGCATATCAGACATAATCGCCATAATCAAAAAATCTATATACCCAATAAGTAATAAATTTGTCGATATAGATTTTCCATAAAATTAGTTTTTAGTCTGATCTTAAAATAAATTTAATTTTTTATAAAAAAAATCACATTTAAAAGTACCTTTTTAGTAGCTCGAAATCCTGTTGGTGGATTTCGGGCGTACTTCAAAATTAGCTTTTCTTCTACATATGCAAGCTATATTTTAAATATGGGGCAAATCGGATCGGCAAAAGGAGTTTAGTTACCTTTGATTCTTATCAAAATATTTTCATATTTTGAAGTTACACAGTTAAGCAATAGCACACATTTTAAAAATGATATTGAAAATCGGCTAAGCAGAGGAAACAATTCAAAACAAGAATCGAAACATTGAATCAGTATTAGATGGTAACTTATTCAACAATAACAATGATCTTTATCATAACTTACAATAAAAATCTTAAATGGATTTTCTAAGTTAATATCTTTTATTTAGAAATCATAAAACTTGAGGATTGTAGCCTTTAATACACGAGCTTCGAAAGATACAGTTTGGTTTTCATGTGCTTCTGATGCATCTATTGTCAAATCATTGATAGCTTCGATCTTTTTACCGTATTTATCAACATTATCAAGGAATTCAATGATTTTATTGAACATTGCATCAGCAAGAACGAATTGTCTAAGTGCGAGACATCTTGTCAATTCAAACAAGCACTTCTTTGCGTAGAACCATGTATCAGCAGATAATTTATCTTGCATTGGGTTGAAAGCCTTGAAAACATAATCAATACCGAATTCGAAATTGGAGTGAGCGCAGTATAATGTGCCAATGACAAGATGAATAATTGATAAGTGGACAAACTTGGCATTTTCGTCCTCTTTCTTCTTATTGTTTTCTTCGTCAGTTAATCTGTTGATTAATTGGTCGGCAAAATCGTTTTCTTCAACCATAACGTAAGAAACGCAAAGATTTGCAACAATAATGGCTTCTACGTCAAGTAAGTTCTGTTCTGAGAGAACAAGTGGTTCGTAGTATTCGATAGCCTTGTTAACTTTGCCTGGTTCCATGAAATATGTGTGTGCAAGATTCAATCTCCACTTTCTGTTATTTTCACAGAACTCTGCGTATTTCATAAGAAGTAATTCGACTAAATCGTAGCTTCCCATATCCCAGAAGATCTTTGCTTGTGCCATAAGAACTGGAATTAAATCATTAACACTTGCTTCATATTCAAGTGTTAACTGGGTCTGTAATTGATCATCGTGTGTCTTTCTTGCATCATCGACAGCTTTGTAAATACGGCGAAGGACTTCAGCTCGTTGTTTGCAGATATCATCGAATTTTCTGTAAGCTTCTTCTTTAGAAGTAGCGCAAAGCAACAATGCATCAAGGAAGTCAAGCATTCCTGTATCCATTGATTGCTGTGCTCTTTCTGTATTTTCGGCAAGAAGATCTGCTGCGTAAGTATAATATTCGAACTTGCAATAACCGAGAAGAAGATTTCTGAATGTTTCTGGTGGAGTAATATCTTGGTTGAGTAAGAAAGAAAGCTTTGTAAAAGCAGATGTTGGATCATCATCCATATTAACAATAGCTGTGTTATGAAGAGTGACGGGATCGAGCTCTTCTTCGTTTCTGTTTGGTAATTCTTTGAGTGCTTCTTTAGCTTCTTTGATATGATTTTGATCATATTCAATTGCGCTCATAAGGTTAACGCCTTCGACATAGAATGCATCACGAGCTTTAGATATGAGACCTTGTGCATCAAAATCAACAGCATCACCAACAAGATTTCTTAATAATTCTGGATGATTTCTTCCAGCTTGTGTCTTGATTTCAGCGATCATTTGAACAGCTTCCGAAAGTCTGTTAAGTCTGTAATAGCACAAAGCAATGCAGTATGCAACTTCAGGTATGAAGCCATGAATTCTTTTAATTTCCATGTAAACGTTAAGCGCTTGTTCGAATTGTGATTCCTTGAAAAGAATGCATGCATTATCAAGCATAATGTTGATGTCTTCTGGATTACCATTAGGAAGAATTGACTTGGCTGATTGAATATCTTCTTGTGCGTAACGAATTGCAGCTTGAAGAACCAATAACTGTGGTTGTAATTCTGGATCCTCAACGCCAAATGAAGCACTCATCGCAGCTTCGTATTGGTCTATTTTATATAATGCGTTAGCATGATGTAATCGATATGAAGCTTTGTTTGGGTTTAATTCAACGAGTCTTCCGTATTCTGCAGCTGCTTTTTGATAATCTTCCATTTGCCATGCGCAGTAAGCGATTAAAGAATGAATAGCAACGCAATCTTTGAAATTGGAGAGTTGAATTTCCAAAAGACGAATTGCCTCTTGATAGTTTTCATCGCCAATTAGTGTGTAAATGTTTCGCGTGTAGTTTTCCATTGGGTTATTCATGTTGTTTCTGTTTTTTTGAGAATAAAAAATTAATAACGTTCGTTATTTTTCGAATTTGATTCCTTTTGCCATAATTAGGCTTAATTTTAAGATATGATTATAGAAATTAAGGGTTTCGTTTTGCTAAAATTGTCACTTTTATAGCATATTTGTTTTTGGATGTTTTGCGAAACCAAAAAAAAAACTATGATATACAATGTGTGTGTAAAGAAAATACTTTATTTACTAGTTAAAAAATCATTTGGTATTGATCAAGTTATTTTTTCTGGATAAGATATTATATGGATAATTGGATAGAAAATACAATTATATAATCTTGTACCTGGTTTAATTAAGCTAATTGTCATCAAAAACTTGTAATTTTTATGAATTTCAGATTTTCTTTTCATTACTGCTTTTCTTAATAGGTCAAGTTCTTATTTACGTTATAAAGTATGATATTTACAAATATCAAGTTATCATGTTTTTTGAGAAATTATGAGAAACAAACAAAAATGAAAAAGATAGGAATAGCAATGAATAGTGATGTGGGTATAGAAAATGTAAGAGATATGAATGCAAAGCAATCAGTATTTAGGATATTGACCATAGATTTCGAAAAAAAAATGCTGCATATTGAGCGAAAACTATGATTATATTATAAGGCTGTCATTTAAAGCATAATAAAACTATTCCCTTTTCATTTTAATCGAATAAGACAGTAAAGATTTTTGAATTAGCTAGAAACTGATGAGATGTTTTCACAAATCAGATTTTTAATCTCTATAATGCATAATTCACTCAATATCTCAATTTTGATATTGCGAGATATTTTTGCTATCGGTTTCGCAATTTTGACACAATAGCAAGAGGGTTCTATAAGCATTATTATCAACGTAGAATCTGAATATCATATCAGAAAATATCGCAAATCTGACATTTACTCGACCAAATAGCAAAAATAATTGAATACTTTTCGCAAAAACTTTAAAAATCGATAAAAATATGAAATATAGATATTAAAGAGACTTCTTATATAATATTCATAAAGATTTTCCAAAAATATGATACCGCAAAATTAAAAAAGTGACGTCTTGAGTGGAGTCAAAGGTCGAAATTGCTAGCTAAATGTTTTTTTAGCGAAATTGCGTATTGTACGTTTTTTCGCAAAACGAAACCCTTATAGAAATCTGTGAAAATTGATCATCTTAACACATAATTTCCAAAATTTTCTATAATTATGCTTTAAAATTGTAGTTATCATCATACTTAACAGCAAACAATTACTTTATATGAAATGATTTTCCAAAAAACTTAATTCAAATTTCAAAACAATGACGATAATGCTATAGATCATTATATTTCCAATTCCATTCTGAGTATTGCATGAATGGCTTGATTTTCAATTATTATTGCTAAAAGAATGAAGTGAAATGAAAAAAAAATGCCTTTATGCGAAGAAAAAAGGAGTATTGATTTCAAAAGAATATATCAAAATAGAAAAGAAAAGAACAGAATACAATTTTTTTTGACTCAAATATTTCAAGATGGAAAATGAAAAAAAGCCTAAGTTTAAAGCATCTAGCAATTACAAGCGGGCTAAACCTCAAAAAGACATGGATAAAATGCGTCCAAAAGACTCAGCACGTCCAATTCCCACATCTTTATCCTCAACCAAACCAGTTTTGGGCAATTTGTATAGACCTCCACCACTACAAAAAAAGCAGTATGTGATGGAATACAAGGATCTACAAATATTTGAACAACAAATTAAAGAATCTGAAAAGTTGGTTAACCAATTCTCAATGCTAGTCAAAACAATTAAATTACCTGGATATTATATAGCAGGTTTAAATTTAAATGACGACCAAAATGAAATGATTATTGATTTAATCAAAGAAGAAATTCGAAATATGAACAAAAACCTCGATGATGGCCATTGAAAAAAAATAATGATCTGTAGAATATCACAATTTTGTTTCATATTTTTCACGATTTTTACAAAAGAAACAATCATAGCTTTTTATGATACCAGTTGCAATAATTCTTGCAATAGGAACTTATTAATGTTATGCGTTATCAATTTACCAGCATTTTTTAAAATACCCTAGCAATATATTAATACTTTTTGGAATCCCAAAAATATTTCTTACTAACTCAACAAACTAAAAATAAAACAAAACCAATTAAAGATTTTCTCCATTTTTTCATTTTCTTTTTCTGACAAATATTATTTTTCATGTTTCGTTTTTTATTATGCTGCTGTTCTAACGCTTCATGCTAGAATTCTATTTAGAAGAGATTGTAGAGTATATTAAGATTAATCTCTTTATTTTCATGAATCAGACAAGAAATACATTTAATTTTTACAATACTTCTAGCATGGACATTATTTATTTAGTTCAAAGAGAGCTTTTATTTGGAAAAAGGCAAATAATGTTTTGGAAAGACTTGTTACCAACTGTTTGCAATGCTCATGAGCAAAGATGGCTAATTCATGACAATACCGATTCTATTATGAAATCATAATCCTTTAGATATTCTAGTAACATACATAAAGCATCAATAATTTTTTTGACACGTAAATTTTCATTTTACAATTGTAAACAATTTATTTATCTGCATTTTAGATAGAAAATTATGTTTAGCATTCTAAGTCAATAATAAGGTAAATACCTCAAAAATGAAAGAAGGATGATAAAATTTTATTCAAGTTTAAATTTTTCATTTTTTATAATGATAGGGTGGCCAATTGCCCAGTTTCTCACATACCCAATTGCATTCCTGTTCCCAGGATATCTTTCATTCAAGACCGTACTCAGCAAGGGAAGCGATGATGATACGCGCTGGCTTACTTATTGGCTCATTGTTGCTTTATTCTTCTTCGGTGAAGTCGCATTATCATTCCTCATTAAATTAATTCCATTTTACTATGAAATGAAGTGCTTTGTTTTGTTTTATCTTCAATGGAACTCTGCCAAGCAAGCAAAATACATTTACGATACTTGGCTTGAGCCACTTCTCACTTACATTGAACCAACTGTCGATGCTTTTGTTGATAGATACTCACAGACTGCTCTACAAATTGCAATCAAGGCTCATAACGAAGGCAAAGCTTTAATGCAAAAGGCAGGCGAAGAAATGGCAAAGCAGAAAGTTCAAGAGGCCATTGATGATGCTACAAAAATGTAACATTGTTGGAATAAAAAATCTTTGAATTCTAAATCTTTCGAATTTACACATACGATATCCAAATTAACAAACTGTGCTTAAAATCACAGAATCACCCTTTTTAGCATGCAAAAAAAAATTAGACTTTTTTGACACGTAAACCAAAATCTGACACTTCCCTCTTCGACACGCAAAACAAAAAATTCAATATGGGGAAAAAAAATGAAGAAATTTATGCCAAAAATCTAGCAATCACTTTTTGAATAAGATTTATAAATCTTGTAGATTTAATGCCTGATAATAAAATTGAGAGAAACTGAAGCAAAATTTCTGTTTGTAAATTTTCTTATAATGATCCAGAAGCTTATTGACTTTCTTGAATATTGCAGGCGTAAATTACAACAATCAAGGTTAGACATACACATTGTACTCCACCAACTGCTCATTTTTTCAAAAAAACAGATAACAATTGAAAATATATTTGTCGATTCAGAAACAAACAAAATAGCTTTCGGCGCTGACCAATCTCGAGTTTCAAACCAGGCACCAAATCGTGCTGAATTTTTTAAATTTTTACTTATGACAGTTCAAGGAGAACTCTCAGAGAATGATCAAGCATTTATTGAGTCATTTAGCACTAACGATGATAAGATAATCAAGCATGCTTTTAGACTTGTATTAATGCCTGAAGGTTTCGAAGCAATCGGTTACGGCGATCACTCGGTTGTAATAAAGCCAATAGATAATCCAATGTTCGTATTCAAGTACATGCAATGCGATAATCCTCAAGACAAACTTATCAAAGAAAGACTCGGAGAAACAGATCATTATCCAAGTATCCTAACAATTCCTCATACAAAATTTGTTTCATCCATTTACTGCCAGAATGGAACTCTTACAAGCTATGTTACCAACAATCCAGATCTTACAAATTCTCAATTAATCCAAATTTTCATAAATACATGCAACTTGGTCATGAAAATCCATTCTAGGAAGATTCTTATTAGAGATATCAAACCAGATAACATCTTGATTGACGATAATTTGATCCCACACATTTCTGATTTTGATGTTGCTTTAATTGATCAAATGGAATCAACAGAATATGTAGGCACAGAGCTATTCATGGCACCAGAAGTTAAGAAAAATAAGGAAGGTATATGCCCTTATGGTGTCAAATCTGAAATTTATTCTCTTGGATGCGTTCTCAGCTGGATGTTCACACACATATACGCAAACTTTGCTCATTTCACTCCACTAGTTCCTCCAAGTATCCAAAAACTCGCTTTGCAGATGCTTTCAGAAAAACCAGAAGATAGGCCAACTTTAGATGTAGTTGTGCGTGAATTAGATAGCATAAGAAAAATACACTATAATGATGATAATGATTTCGGAATAATTTCTACACCTTTTTATCATCAACCAAAGGCCGATGTTCCTAAAATTATTCGCGATGCAGCACAAAAGAGATCAGCATACAAAGGACATGGTAACAACGGAAAAGATGATAACAAGTTTGATTTCAAATGTGAAAGAAAAGATTCTGATGAAACCAAATATTTTCTAAGTAAACAAGATATAGAGGAAAAGATTCAAGAAGAATATAATACAAAGATATATAAATCAGCATATACTAGTGGTAACAACGGAAAAGATAATGAAAACAAGTTTGATTTCAAATTTAAAAGAAATGATTCTGATGTATTTCAATATTTTCTAAGTAAACAAGATATAAAGGAAAAGATTCAAGAAGAATATAATACAAAGATATATAAATCAGCATATACTAGACGTAGTAACAACGGAAAAGATAATGAAAACAAGTTTGATTTCAAATTTAAAAGAAATGATTCTGATGTATTTCAATATTTTCTAAGTAAACAAGATATAAAGGAAAAGATTCAAGAAGAATATAATACAAAGATATATAAATCAGCATATACTAGACGTAGTAACAACGGAAAAGATAATGAAAACAAGTTTGATTTCAAATTTAAAAGAAATGATTCTGATGTATTTCAATATTTTCTAAGGAAACAAGATATAAAGGAAAAGATTCAAGAAGAAAAACTTAAGGTTGCGCGCCTAAGATTACAGCTTTTTATCCTCAAACACTTCTTTTACCAGGATGCGAGATTAATCCTAACAAACAATTAGTTTAACGCGATAATCAACAATAATTACTCAAACATATGTTAATTATTGATTAAGTACAAAACAAATTTTGTGTTATTTTTATCAAATTGACTGGATATCGAAGGGCATACCCCGAGCAATGATATATTGTATAATATTTTAAGGGTGCACTTACCACTTTCTGACATGCTCTTCCAAAATCAATATATCTTTATTAGAATAGGAAAAACACCATAATACACATACTAGGCATTATGTATTTATTTATAATAACCTTTCCCGATCGTAAATATTAACTTTTTACATTAGAAAATTGGGATAATAAGCTTGAATGTCAAAAGTAATATTAATAAAAATCTCATTACTTTTTATTTTCTAATGATTTTTAAATTTTTATTCCTACTTTTTCGTGGCCACTCAAAGTTAAAACACCCATTCAAAATCACTGACAGTATATAATTCAAAGTGTTTATAAAAATTCTTTATATTCATTTTCATGGATTATGTCTCATTGACGTATACTCACACAGAAAAATGAGAGATGAACCTAATAGTCTTAATTATATCTTTTACAAAAAAAATTAGATTTTTGGTAAAAAATAAAATCAAATAACATAAATATTTAGTCATTCATAACAATTAACGAAGATTTTGAAACAACAACACCAGAAAATGTCTTTAATGCATGACATAATGAAGTTAAATCTTTTCTTCCAGGTACATAAATCCAAGCTTCTTCATTCAATTTATCATAAGCAAAAACGATTCCTGCAGAACCTTCATTAAGAACAGTCCTATTATCAGTGATAACAACTGTATCACCAAGTTTTGGTTCTCTACTTGAATTGTATCCACTGTATGTTTTATTCGAGCTACGAAATTCACCTTTTTCTTTGTTTTTCTCGAAGAAAACAATGTCTGTTTTTGAATAAGAATCAATAAATTTTGTGTGAAGTTTAGGGACTTCGTCATCCATTAAATTCATTATTTCATACAGTTCATTTGCACATTGAATAAGATCTTCATCAGTTGCACGTTCATTAATCATATAAACTGATTCAGGAACTTTAGAAATGTACAATTTAATATATTTTTCAATTTCTTTGTCAACGAAAAATTTTGTTCCATCAATTTTCAAAAAGAAAGGAACAGCGAAATCATCATAATGAAACTGCAAAGCATAGTTATCCTTCTTAATATATAACTTTCCAAGTATCTTCATCATTGTTTTAAACCTGTCATCCTTTGGAACACCTTCTAAAATCTTTAAAATACTGTTCAATGTTTTCCAATTTTTGTTTTGAGGAATTTTCAAAAAAACTTTTGTTGAAAAGAATTTTTTTGCTAAATGTTCTTGTTGTGAATATTCCTGTGTTAAACTCCATGGATAAACGAACTCTTTCCTTACTTGGTTGTTCGTATTTGGATCAATCGGAGCCAACAAAACAAATTTTTCTTCTGGATTTAATAAAATATGAAAATCGAAATCAGTTGGTTTCTCAACAACTTTTAACACCCTGCAAACTGTTTTATTGGGCCATTGACTGAGAACTCTCTTTCCTATGAATGATTCTGGATCATCTTTTCTCAATTCAGAGTTAATTTTTATGTCAAAAGTCCAATCTCTTTTTTCAGATTTCTTTTGAAGAGAAACATCAAATGGATAGAAAGAAGGATTGATTTTTGATTGATCTGAAATTAACAGATCTGATCTAAATGGTTTTTTGCATGTTAGTGGTATTTCTGTCATTGTTTTCATGTCTAATGGAAATTGTGGATGTATAAGTTCATCATATTCCTTTGGAACTTGCGAAAGATGCGGCTCTAAGATATCTTTAATCTTTTGGAGGTTGGGAATTTCGAATTTGAACCTTTCGTTCGTTTCATCATATTCGATTTCGGAAATATCGCGTCTGAGAGATTTTAAGTAAGGATCTGTCTCTCTAAGCTGGACAAAGTAAGGTGGGGATAATGAAGAAATACCTTTTAACGATACCATTAGAGATTGTAATAAATTTGTTGGTTCGTCTTGAACTAATTGAGATTTGAAGGTTTCAATGTAATCTAAGACGACACATAATGGTGGTGCAAAGTGGTATTGGTAAACCCATGACCAAGAAGGTATTCCTATTGCATATGATTTGACAATGTAAAGTAAACTGTCTAGAACGCAATGGGAAATCTTTTCTGTCTCTTCTGGAGTAACTTTACGTGTTTCAAAATAGTTTTTCCTCTGTTTTTCAACATATTTTGTGTATGTTGTTGATTTGCGCTCTGCAATGTGCTTGAGAATCTTATTAAGAAAGATTTTGAGATTATCAAAGTTGAAATTATCACAATCTGTGATGAAATTACAATGTGGTTCGGATTTATAACTTTGAATTAAAGATTCGAGGTCTAAATTCACTACATCTTCAAGAGGAGCACAATAATCGCTTCCTAAGATATCACATATAGTTACAAAGTCATCAAATATTTGTTCGTCCGCGATTTCAAAATCTAATTTTAGATATTCACGAAGAATGTTAATACTTATGACTGTTAAGGAGCTTGGTGTGATAGGGAAGTTAGGAGTGCGAGTACCTCTAACTAAATTAAATCTGTAATTCTGATAAATCAAATCAAAATTTTGTATGTGTGATCTAAGAGTCATTAGTATTAAATCACTGTCTGGTGTAAAGATACAATGACGTTTGTTCAGATCCCAATCAGGTTTATTCATTTCTTGACGAATATAATCAAAAATTTTTGTTTCTGCTTCACCTGGAACAGCTGAGCCTGCAAAAATGACTTTTGGCCTCTTCCAAATATCATCGTTCTTAATTTTCTCTTGTATCCAGCTCTTTAGATGTGGCTGGAACAAATTTCGAATTGAGTCATGCTGTTCGATCATGTTTCTTTGGTAAAATCTGTTGTGTGTAGCATACGTCTTGGAAATTGGCTGTGAACCTTCAAGTGCAATGTAAATTAAATCTGTTGGTTGGAGTAAATGAACTAAAGAGTCGAATAAATGAAATGCAAATGTAATGTTTTCTTCATTAAGAGTATTAAGTTTGGATGATTTTATAGATATGGCTGCGACTAATAATGTTGACGCGTCAATATATAAGCAGTTATATGCTGGATAAGGGATTTCAGATAGTGTTCGACAACTTAATGGATATCTTTTACGTATCTGGTATAGCAAGCCTTTTACACCCATTTTAAAAAAAAAAAATGAAAATTGAGGAGTAAAATGAAATGATATTATATTTGGCAGGACTAACACACTGAAATCAACCAATTGTGTGTTACTTCAATAAATTATGAGGGGAAAAAAACTTGACAAAAATGACTGAAATTCCAGAAAAGCCACCGCCGACACCAGTTGAACAGCCAGTTTTACCTGAAGTAGTCACAAAACCCCAATCCAAATCTCTTTTAAGCGAAATTGAATTTAAATATGAAAAACCTGTAGAAAATTGTTTCATAAAAATGGATGATGAAACGAAAGGAAACTTAATCAAAGCTTCACTCGTTGAACACTTATCAAATGCTCAAATTACATTGCCACATTTAGAAAAATATACGAAAACACAATTAAATTCTACGTTTCAAGATATGTTAAAGAATCCACCAAATATTAAAATTACAAATGAAATTCCATACGATGTAGAGTTTACTTCTGAAGAAGATGTTTGTCTTCTCAATTATATTAGAAATTTCAAGAAAACTCCACTTTCTGATTTTATTGCAGATCACTCACATATATTCAAATTATGTAGATCTCTATCAGAAATTGAGGATCGTGTTAAATACCTCAAATCTCTTAAAGCTGAGGAACTTGATGAAATAATTCAAGCCGAGATCGACCAAATCGTATACGAACAAATGTATTATGTCTCATTGAATCCTCAAACTGAAGAACAAAAGAAGCACGGAATTGAACCAGAAATGTTTACAGCATCTCGATGCAATTACCAGCCTTTAGCAAATCCAGAAGTCAAAAATACTGAAGTAGATAAACAGCTTGAGGCTATTAACGCAAATTTACCTTTCTACGTTGACAATTATTTCAGTCCTGATTCATCTATACCGAATTTAGCTGTTTTGAGGACAGAAAATAATATTTTCTACATGAGGAGAGAGTCCATTGTGTTCGGAAGACAATCAATTGACTGCGATGTTGATGTTGATATAAATTTCGAGTCTGAACCATCTTGTCCGCACACATCTCGCCTCCAGGCTATATTGTCTTTCCGTCCTGATATGAATTTCTACCTTGAAAACATCGGAATCCGTGCATTTAGAGTTAATGGTGAACTTTTAAAGACAGGAGAGATTTGTATGTTGCAGGAAACTGATATTTTGGATTTCAGTGGCGCTTTGTTTATGTTTTTGCCTAATAAGAGACTTGTTAACCAGATTCGTGCTAATGTTAAAATTTAAAACTAAATAAAGATGTGTTTATTTTAATTTAACGTTATGATTTTAAGTTACTATCAAAACAACCTTAAGATTTAACAATTATCAAAATAAAATTGAGATTACTTCATTTAAAATGATGATAAATGCATAATATGCTCACACATAAGTTAAATATATATGATTTTTATCATTTTAGAGTCTAAATCGATTGAAAATTCTTTTCATTCTAAAAGAATTTTCTGATATTGCAGTGTAAGCATTACAGAATATAGTTTGATCTGTGATTTGAAAATCTTAGTCTTTTGATTCAAAGATGAATGATATAAAAATTATTTAGAAAATAAATAACAAATAGTTTGTGCAAACATTGAGTTATCTTAATCATAGTTAACACTAGAGACTCTCTTCCTGCGTTTTAAGCATCCACAGCAGAAAATACTGGTAAGAAGGTCATCTTGGTCAGATTTGCGAGGTGCTGATGAGTTTCCAACAGATCCGAATGATGCAATCTTATCTTTTGAGATTTTAACCTGATTTTTATAATTTGGATCATAATCTGCAATTGGAGCAATATTTGGTATTGGATAATCTGATTCAATTGATTTTGCGTATTGAATTGCTTCTTTTGTTCTATATTTTTCTTGAATTGGAAGATCTGCAATTCCTGCATTTTCAAAAGCATCTTTTGCTTTAATATTTCCACACTCACTCATTCTATGCAATGATTCATGCTTCCAGTTATCCAATTTAACTGATCTAACAAATGAAATATGAGTTCCTAAAGCTCGATGTTCACCGGCGCATTTTAAGCAGATAAAAGTACCATATGTTAAACTGCACCACTCTGGCTTTTGCGCATTGCAATCAAAACAGTTGATATTTCCAGGACGATTTGCAATATCTTCAATACTTTCCATTTTTTCTAAACGAAATTTTTAATTGAGAAAAAAAAATTTTTTTATCATAAACCCTGTGGTGTAAGGGTACAACAACATTGCAATTTTTTTAACTACATGTTTCTAGGGAATTGATTTATATACACGATTGAAGCGGTCACTAATCTCATAAAGGTCAGTAATTCAATTGGTGGGGGTCAAAGTTGGCGTCACGACGTAAACTATTCAATTTTGAATGGAGACTGTTTATTTTTGAGAAGTTTACGGTGTCACGAGAGAAAATTTGAGAGGGCTGGCGTCACGAAAAGTGTCAATAAAGAAAGAATATAACAGAAAATATGTGTAGGAATATGATAATAGGTTAAATTTAAATGTTTTAAAGAATTTTTTTGAATAAAATAGAGCATCCTTAAATAAGAAGTGCTTACGTAGACAATGTGTCTCAGATGTAAGGAATATGACTCACAAGAACGCTTTACAGCATCTTGCCAGTCAAAGTTGTGCAATCAAATTTTGATTGCGAAGCTTCCTTCATTCAGAGGTGCTTGCGCAGACAATGTGTCTCAGATGCAAGGAATTCGACGAAAAGAAACCAATTGTTGCTAATTGAAGTTCCAAGTTCTCTGACATATTATCTCCTCAAGTATCTTCGAATGAATGAGCATTACACATTTGTTGAGCTATATGAAATATTTGGATGCACATATGAGAATTCCCTATATTGACACTTTTCGTGACGCCAGCCCTCTCAAATTTTCTCTCGTGACACCATAAACTTCTCAAAAATAAATGTAAATATCTGAATTTTCTGAACTTTACGTGGTGACGCCTCGTGACGCCAACCCTAGTTTTTACCAATTCAATTGACATCCCAGTAATTCCATGGCACATATTGTAACTAGAGAATAAGTTGAATAATTTTAGATATGATTCTTTAATTCTTTAATTCTTTAATTCATTTCGAGAAGGAAAGATCTTGTAGTAAATGTGAATGACGTATGAACTATTCGGTTCAATTTATTCTGCATTTCGAATGAAATTCTTTTTCCAAATTGCATATAAAAGCCGAAATAAAAACTCTAAGCCCTTATGTAACACTATTTGAGTTGTTTGAAATGATTACTCTATGTGTAAAAAAATCATTTTTTGAAACAAATAATGATATATTTTATATTTAATGATTACACTTGCATTCTGAGTAGCATTTATTATCCTTTGTGCAGTATGAACTACACTTGCAGCCTTCACAGCAGTGGTAGTCTTTCATTCTTGAAATCAAAAAGTAATTTAAAAAAAAATGACGACTGGTGTGACAGTTTATTCAAACCAAGATATTTATCCCATGTGAAATAAGAAGTTCAGCTATTTCTTTATACTGATGTTTTGCTGCAGGATGAAGGGTAATTTTTCCATTGTCTTATATCTCATTGATATTCGCCCCATGTGAGATGAGGATCTCAGCTGTTTCTCTATATCTCATACATGTTGCAACATAAAGAGCGGTTCTACCATCTTTATCTTTTTCATTGACATTTGCACCATGTAAAAGAAGAAGTTCGACTATTTCTTTCCTATTACCCACTGTTGCAATAAAAAGAGCAGTTTCTCCATTATAATCTTTTTCATTGACATTTGCGCCATGTGAAAGAAGAAGTTCGACTATTTCTTTACTATTTTTATATGCTGCAATATGAAGAGCGGTTTTTTTATATTTATCTTTTTCATTGATATTTGCGCCGTGTGAAAGAAGAAGTTCAACTACCTCTTTACTATTATTTTTTGCTGCTTTATGAAGAGCGGTTTGTCCATGTATATTTTTTTCATTGACATTTGCGCCGTGTGAAAGAAGAAGTTCGGCTATTTCTTTACTATTATTTTCTGCTGCTTTATGAAGAGCGATTTGTCCAAATGTATTTTTTTCATTGACATTTGCGCCGTGTGAAAGAAGAAGTTCAACTACCTCTTTACTATTATGTTCTGCTGCTTTATGAAGAGCGGTTTGTCCATATTCATTTTTTTCATTGACATTTGCACCGTGTGAAAGAAGAAGTTCGGCTATTTCTTTACTATTATTTTCTGATGCTATATGAAGAGCGGTTTGTCCAGTACTATATTTTGCATTGATATTTGCACCAAGTGTAAGGAAATATTTACAAAAGGATAGAATATCAAACATCGTTGAGCCGACAAAAGATTCGTCAATGTTATTAGTTTGATCGAAATAAACTAAAAATGACTCAAGATTTTTATGTTTTCCGCAATCTTTTAAATTGATTTTAATTCCGTACTCATTCATCAAGAATGTGACAAAATCAATGTTGTGTGAAATAATTGCATATTCCATCATTGTCCAATATGGTTTTTGATATTTCAAGCATTCACTCATGATCTCTTGTTTTCCTCCTAAAAATGAAAATTTTAGACAGTCATAAGTTATTTCTGAGTTGAATTTCGTTCTTAATAACTTGAAACAATCAACTGCTCCATGGTAACAACATAATTCAAGTAATGAATATACAATGTGATGAAAATTTGGATATAAACTACTTTTAAGTTTTTGATCTTTATCAAATCCTTCTCTTTCAGTGAATGTGATGAATCTTTCTATATCATTATACATAATAGCTCTGAAGATTGTATCTTCTGAATGAATTTTGAGATTTTGGAGGGTATTTGTATCGAAATTTTTTGTATTGCCCAAATTAATTCCGTATTCTTCATAAAATAGGTATTTAGAAAGATCATTAATACCAGGTACCGTCAATACATGATAATCATCAGTAATGAGTTTCGCAAGTTTCAAATTTGACTTAGTATAGCGGTTATTATAAGGAATGATGTCAAAAATATTTTTTATAAGATATTGCGGGCGATATTTCTTTGAATCAATCAATTCCATTTTGATCATTTTGTAAATTGAGTATAAATCTTCTTCGTTTTCCGTTTTTAACTGATACAATGCAACATATGAATCAATGTAGTATTTATAGGCACTTCTCAGTTCACTGTATTTGTCTGGACGAATGTCTTGATCGGACGTGTTAAAAATTTACAAGTCCGAAATCTGTATTTTACCTTATCATATTTTTTTATTCCATCGGGAGAAAAAAAACGTGGTAAAAACAATGTCCACAAAAATTTCAGTTCTTTTCTCTCAAAGATCTTCGAGTTTAGGAAAATACTTTATGAGATACATAAGTGCAACAAGCTTATTGTTATAATTTGCAGACTTAAAGTTTTTATTTATTTCTCTTTCAAATAATAATAATCGATTTTCAAAGCTTGTCCTTGCATTAGTTCCTATGCTTGTAAAATGCAGTATTTGTGTCTATATTTTGTAACCTCATATTTAAACTAAGCATAAATTCCAACTTTTGAGTGTTTTATTGTTGAGATGCCATATTTTTAATATCGTTACATTGCAACACAGGTGAAATGGAATGGAGTCTTGTACAGCATTATGTAGCATAACCGCAAATGAACATATAACATGAAGACAAGAAAAGATGACGAAATTGTCACACTTGTTTTTCAAGTTTTTGCTTTTTGGATAATAATCTATCTGTCTTATATCATGCTTGTTTTATATCTGGAGAAATTAAATCAGCATTGTCAAATTGTAAATTTGAAATGATGTAAATTTTTATCAAAAAATGGAATTCGAAGGGAGCGGAATTTCTATTTCACCTCTTCAGAACATTCGACTTCCATGGAATCCATACGCGTTGGCATTTAATTCTATCTTTTCTCAGGAAAAAAGATTAGTTATCTGTTCATTTGAAAAGAAAATTCAAAATCAAATTCAAATTTATCGATTTAATGGAGACAATATTGCCGCAGAAGGCATAACAAGCATTGACTATCCGCAAATTGCATGTCAATTTTCTCCATTGGGCTCTCAAGATACGACAGATTTATTTATAACTTGTGCAAACACATTAAAATTATGGCAATGTCAGCCAGGAGAGATCAATCTTCTTTCTGATGTCACTATTGCTCCAGATAATTCACCATTGACTGGTCTTGATTGGTCAACTTATGATGAAACTAAAGTTGTATGCTGTAGCTCAGATTGCTCTGCAACATGTGTTGATATATCAATGGCCCAGCCTACTACAAGAATTATGGCGCATGATCACCCAATTCATGACATTAAATTTGTTGGATCAACACCCACATTTGTTACATGTGGATTTGATGGTTCAATGAGATTCTTTGATATACGCGAGCTAGAATCATCCGTTATTTATTACCAAACTGCTCTTCCTTTAATGAGATGTGCAGTTTCACCGTATGATGCAACAAAGATCGCTGCGTTTTCATACAATTCGCATTGCATTGTTATAATAGATACTAGACAGCCCGGAATTCCTGTTTCAGTCGTTAAAGAACAAGAAGGATCCGTCAGTGCTATTAGCTGGGGACTTTCTTTCGAAAATCTACTTTTATCATCAAATCTTAACGGAAATATTTACTCTTCGACTATTAATCAGGGTCCAGAACCTCAAGTTTTTATTTCTTACATGCATGACAAAGAAATTCAGTCAGTTGCAAACCAGAGATTATATTGTGCTATAACATCTACAAAAAGCCTTTCATTGCTCAAAATGAATAATTTTTAATTTTTGTTTGTTAAAGTATTTTGTTTGAATATTTACTATTATTTTTACTTTTTATGGTTATATGCTAAATATCAATGAATTTGAAACAGATTATTTTTTGAAAATTTTTTTCAAAATCTCTAAATTATGATTTGATTTTACAATTAAATAGAATTCCAAAAGGTGTTTCTATATCTATCTAATAAAACTCTCTTTTCTGTTTAGAAACTTCAATAAGGGAAAGTTTACAATCGGTTATTTAACGGAATCTAAACAGTAACAATTTCATGGCTTTGAAGCTCACCTACGAGGATTCTTTGTTCAATACAGGAACGTATTCCATAATCCACAACGGTGACGAATATTCAGTTGATCCAGTTCTTTTCTTAAAATATTCTAGGAAATTTGCCCAATTATTTAATTTCAATGAAAACCATATCGAGATTAATGACAACTACGAAAAGAGTACATTCGACCTATTTATCAAGGCATGCCAGTGCCAGCAAATTGAAATCAAGGGAGCTGAATCAGTATATTTACTTCTTCTCGCTGAACATTGGGAAGCAACAACATTAGTCACAAAAATCGAAGAAATTATCAAGACAACAATTCCTGCTAAAATTATTCTCGAATTATATAATAAATTCCTTGGAACTGATTTCCCAATCGAAAGACTCGAAGCAATCATGACAGCTTGCCTCCCAAGATATGTCGAGGAACCTCTTTTCCCAACACTTCCTTACGAAGTTATTGATAGGATCATTCATACCTCTCGTGCTAAGATTGATCCACTCCAAATCCTCAAACTTTGCTATGCAGTCGCTGACCGTCATGGTCTTCGCTCTGTTGGCATTGTTCCAAATACTTCATTCGATGATCTTCCAAAAGATATCGTTCTCGATGTTGCTGCATTATGCGAGCAGTGCACAAACGATGGACTTGCTCAATTCTTCACAGCTATGGGACACTTACTTCGCAAAGCTTGTGATCAATCACAAGGAGGCACTCAATTCGAGTTCCAGTGGCGTTCTGGAGAAGAAGGCGACTGGAATGTTGCTTACGACTTCTACGATGAGATCTGCAAATATCAAATCGAGCAAGTCAGGCAGGAAGATGGAGATGAAGCCGCAGAAAACGTTGAACCATCAGCAACAGCCCGTGCATTCCTTAAAATTGCTGCTGATAAAGGTAACAATGTTGCCCAATACCAATATGCCCTCCATCTTATGCAAAATGCTCATAATGAAACGCAAAGACAAATTGCACTCAACTACATGATCCAAGGTGCAGCTGAGAGTAATCCTGATGCTATTACATACCTCAAGGACGCATTCCCAATGCCAATAGTCCCAACAAACATGAAACAATTCGTTTATTCCGCATATACACTTCAAAACTTACTTCTCAATCTTAACAAGCGCAACATCAATAACGCAAAGTCTGCAATCTACGCTCTCGTTTTTGGAGCCGAAAGAGACGGAATTACGGTTATTGTTTCGAATCTCATTCGCGCAGCCCAAATTCGTCAGCGCGATATGCTTCTTTTGGCAGATCTCGTTTTCTACCTCGTTAGTACAGCTAACCAAACAACAAATAACTACGGCCAGCTCGCAGATTCACTTTTCTCACATATCATGGAGACATTCTACACAGAGGAGCCACGCGCTAAGCAATACGCCCTTGCAAGATTCCTCTATCTCCTTAATCAGGTTAGAGTTTACACTAATCAAGACATTTCTGACCGTCTTTACAACTGGATGGTTCAGAACGATAGCTTTGTACAGTCCAAGCTCATTCTCTTCTACTACTTCGCTCCATTTTTAGAACGTTCTCATAAGGATGTTTACAGGAGCTTAGCAGCCCTTCAGTTCGAAGAAGGCATGGGCTTCCTTGATAAGATCATCCTAGATTTCAAGGAAAACCTCGATCAATACAAAGCAAACGATTGGGAGAAATTCTTCAAGGTTCGCGAACATCAGATCTACGCTACAGAGCTTGGAGATGCTATCTGTCGTGATGACCTTGGTAAATTCCAAGCCCTTACAAAGGAAGAAGATTTCGATTTCAATATGAAAATTACAAACGATATTTACGACATGGGAATCGACGATACAGACGAACTTACGTTATTACAGTATACATGCATTCAAGGAGCTCAATGCATTTTCACATATCTTTTACAACGCGGTTTCGTACCGATGAAGGACATCGATGGCATTTCCATCATCTGCGCCATCATTGGTCAGCGTAAATTCATTACAGATTTCATTGTTACTCAGATGAAAGAGAAAGATGAAGTATTCAGACTCGCAGCGGAATTCCAGAACGTACAGCTCCTTTCACAGTTCTTCAAGACCGCATTCCCTGTTGCAAATGTCGACGAGGCTGGTTGCACAGCGCTCCACCACGCTACAGAAAGAGGTTTGGTCGATATGGTCAGAATCCTCATTTCTCTCGATGGCTCTGACATCAATAAGAAGGATATCGAGGGATACACCGCTCTACATATCGCTGCAGAGAATAACAATATAGAACTTGTTAGAATTCTTATTGTTTTCCGCGGAATTGCTCTTGACTGCCGCACTAATAACCAGTTATTGCCATATGACTTGGCAACCCGTGATGACGTCAAGGCCCTTCTCAAGAAGAAGTAATTTTCCTTATTTATTTTTTTGTGTAGCAAAATACTAAAAATCATATTTTTTTTATTGTAATACCAATTAAAATAGTTTGATTATTTTGAATGTTTATGTATTTCATTAAATTTCAATAATTATATTTTTTTATCTGTTCCACTTCGAAATCAATTAATAAGAATATTTAAACACCTTAAGGGTTTATCGTGTTTTATTATCTAATTATGTATCAAATCAATGATAATTTTTATTAATTTATCAAAATTACGATTTAGTAAAACAATTATGGATGAATTTGATTTTATGCCTATTATTATATCTTTTTTATTTTTCAAAATTTTCCAAATTTTTCTTATTTTAGCCATTTTGATTGAAATTCTAACAGTTTTCCATTTTATTTTTTCTTTTTCAAAAAAATTTTGGAATTCATGCGTTTTAATAGTATACTCAACATGCAATGGTAAACTAAATAATATATACAAAATCCATAAAAATGACTTTTTGTCAAATAATTTTTGTTTCTATTTGTCATGCTTTGATAAACATACTATCTTATGACTCAATTTATGCAAATCTTATATTGTTTTCTATTTATTGATTCATTTGAGTAAAATCGTATCAAATTGATGAGATAAGCTTTATCAAAACATCTTAATCAGTTGAGAACTAAAATATGCAATTTCGGAAATTAGCATATATTCCATTAAATAGTTATAAAAAGTACTAAAAAAGTCAAATCATTAAAACACTCTATAAAAACTTTATTTTCAAATAAAACTAACATTCCTTTGGTTTTGCAACAGAAATTTTCTTTCCAGTTCTGAATCTCTTAAATGCTTCATTCTTAATTTCGTTCTTAATATCTTCCAAAGCCAATTTATCTCTTCCATCCATCATTGCAGCGATTGCAGCCTTCTGGCAGATACCATTGATATCAGAAGCGGTCATTCCTTCAGTCAGTCTTGCAATTTCATTTCTGTTTTCATCGACATCATTCTCGTGTTTAATTTTCTGACAAACAACACGAACAATGTCTTCTCTGTCTTCTAGAGATGGCAAGCTTACTTCAATGACTTCTTCGAACCTTCCTGGTTGTAGCAATGCAGGATCAACAGCTTCTATGGCGTTGGTTGCCGCCAAACAGAAAACAGTTCCATTTTTCGAAGACAAATCTAATTGGGCCAATAATTGGACAACCAATCGATTACTGTCTCCTCGACGCTCTGCCCTTCGTCCGAATAGGGCTTGTACTTCATCAATGAACACAATGGAAGGTGCGTTGGCTCTGGCAATCTCAAATGTCCGCGTCAAACGTTTCTCTGATTCACCAACTAAACAACGAAGTAAATCTGGAATTGCAATGGAAAAGAAGGAGCAGTGACAAGCATTAGCAGCTGCTTTGGCAAGTAATGTCTTACCTGTACCAGGTGGACCGTATAATATGGCTCCACTTGGAGGTTTAAGTCCCCAAGAAGAAATTTTCTTCGCATTGAGGACAGACCATGAAGCCATCATCATAACTGTATCTTTCGCTTTTTGGGCACCACCAATGTCATCAAATGTGACATGGGCAATGTTTTCTGACTGTAATTTCGTTGGAGGTTGTTCCATAATGAAAACATCACGGAAATAACGAGATGCGAATGGATGGATTTCATTTTTATCGCGTGTAGCGGCAATAACATTTGGTTTTCTTGAAAAGAATCGTTGAATTAAAACAAAATCAGGATCTTTCAACGGGAAAATAGTGTCAATATCATCTAAAAATATCAAATATCCGTTAGTTATAAACTTATCGAGAATAGACATTGTTTGTACATTAGGGTCAATGAATAATTGAGCAACTGTAAGATGAATGTATTGTCTTCCTGAAGATTCTAAAGCTTTAAGTATTGTAGTAGTTTTTCCACAAAGAGTAGGGCCTTCAACTAAAATTCTGACCTTTGGCTCTTTGAATAATCCTGTTAAATAAGTTAAAATCTCTGCTTGCGACATTCAAAGTGTCAAAATCTCATAATTCAAAAAGGAATATCAACAAATAAACCTAACAACTAATCATATATCATTATAACGAACATATATTTTTTGATATTAACCCTAAATATAATATTTGAACACATTTTCGATTCGATGAAAGAAAATCTTCTAAAAACTAGATAATGATCGACACATCGGACAAATACAATTTGATTATGATTATTTTATGTTTAGAGATAATGATGTAACAATATGAGACCTATAAAGATTGATATTAGGTATCATCTATGTAGATACTTAAAACGATAATACAGTTGAATACATATATGGACATATTTAATGTCTAATCAGAATTTCATGCTGGAAATCTTTTTGCAGCAGATAAAATTCTAACAATAATGAATAATTACATTATGTATAGTCCATTAATGCTAATTACAGAATTAGAATGTATATGCTTTTCAAAATTCTTCGTTTATAAAAAAAAATTATAAATGTCAGGATCTTCCTGGTGGCAACCATATATTAGTAGTCCTTCATCAGTTAATAAACTTACAAGACCTAAACTTGAAGAATTATACAATAGATCTCTTGATCACCTTCGCCAACTTTCTGAAAAAGAAAGTGAAATTTATTCAAGCATGAGAGATCTTTCTGCTAAATCATCACAATCAATGCATCAACTCTCGGCGTTAGGATCCCCTAGAGGAACACAAAAATCAACACTAATCGTTAGTTCTGATAAACGAGTTGCTCAGCTATGTAAAACAATTAATTCACTCAACGCAGATAGGGAACAACTACATGAAGAAATTAGAATCTTACAAGAAATGCTTATGAAACTTAACGCAAACATAAACAAAGATAAATTTACACCAGCTGACTTACTTTATTCATACACATTTGAAAATCCACAGATGAAAAAAATCTGCGAGTGCATTGTTGATTTGAACAATTCTACTCAAGATGAAACAGATCACGAAGATTACTTGTTTATCCTTGATCTATTCTCAGAAAATACACTTCAGCTCCTTCAACGACGCATTGACAAGACAAAGCCAGTTTACAACCAAAGAATTAATGACTATTTAGATGATATTGCTACTTTAGCTGCAGAAAAACAGCTCGCACAGAACAGAATACAGGATCTTAACAATAAAATCGATAGTATACCACCACCTGAGACGGTCAATTACGATGATATTGAATCTTTGATCCATCAAATTGACGATCTTGGTGATACAGCTGGCCGACTTGCTGCTGCTAGACGTAAAAATGATGATCTCATGGCACAGAAGCGTCTTATTGCAGAAGATGAGCCTCTTCTCAACATGATTCCAAATATTGCAGATAAAATCGATACAATTGATGTAAATGAGCTCAAGGATGAGAAAGCCAGAGAGAAAGATAGGAATACAGCATTACAACAACATAATGAAGATCTTATGAAGCGTTTCCAGGTACTTACAGAAAGAAATTCTCCAAAGAAAGCTCCAACATCAGCAAGAGGCAGAAAAGGAAGCAAAGTTAACAAATCCCCAACAGTTCCTGCTGATATGTGCACTCGTCTTGCTTCTTTGAACGTAAATCCAATTGATGTCCAAAGCGTATGGAATTGGTCACAATCTACAAGACTCGAAGACTTAATGAATGATATTAACTCTCTTACAGAGCATAAACAGCTTCTTACAAATAGAAGAGATTCTTTGCAGAGAAAGATTCAACAATTGAATGAACTTCTTGCAACTCTCGATCAACATATCGAAGAATATAATAAAGTCATTCAAGAATCAAAGAGAGCTGAAGAAGTTGCTGAATAATTGTAAAAAAAAAGATTAAAAAATATTTGTTTGTTGAAATTATACTAAAAATTTTTTTAAAATATGATTTTTAAACACGAAATTGCTCATTTACATATTGAAAAACCTTAACAATATCTTTCATATTGAAGAATTGCAATCAAAATTATGTTTTTGGAAACCAGTTACTAAACATATATACTTTACAATACATGTGTTATATCATTTTACAAAAGTTAAGACTTTATATGCATCTATTCATCAATATCAAATCCAAATTCATCAATAAAACTGAAAATAAAACCATATTTTTCAGTAAATTCGATACAATATAGTTTTTAATATTAATTTGATTCATCAGTTATAATTTGTTATGTAAACTTGGTTTCATTCTGTCACTTTTTAGACAGGAAAATGGCTACGCAGATCAAGTACGATGAAAAGTTCATTACTGAAAACGTCTGTCTCACAAATTTCGAAGTAGCTCAACGTCTGAAATCGTCAGCTTTCGAAGCAAACCAAAATGATGATCTTATTGGCCAATCATACGAATACGCTTTAGAATTTTCACATTTTCAAAATGCAGAAGACTTAGAATCAATCAAGTCATATTTATCTGATGTATTATCTCCATATGAAATTGTTACTCTCTGCAATTTGGTTCCACAAGACGCGGCAATGGCTAAACTTTGCTGTGCTTCACTCGAGAGAATCAGTGATGAAACTTTACAATCATATCTTACTTTCATCAGAGGCTTAGTCCGTTCAAATTAATTTGTTTAAAAATAATTTAAATTTAAATAATATTCAAGCTGTAAAAATATTGGAAAAGTTAATAGAAGCCCATGTTACTTACTTGTTTCATGAAAAATGCTAGTTTCATGGACAAAATATAAGAATAAAGGAAACTATATTTTATTTGGAAAAAACAAAGATAGTATTTCCCAAACCATATTTTTAAGCTTGAAAACATTTATGATTTTGAAAGAAATTTGAGATGATTTTTGAAATTAAACTCATTTTCATTGTTTGGGTCTCTATAACTAAAACTCTCACAGAAGGTTGAGATAACTTCACCAAAAGAAACTGAATTGAGAGAATTTCACTGAAAGAAACTGAATTTGAGATTATTATTGAAATTAAACTCATTTTCATGGTTTAAGTCTCTATTACTTACACTCTCACAGAAGGTTGATAGAACATCACCGAAAGGAACTTAATCGAGAGAATATCACTGAAATTATTTTTGAAATTAAAGATTTCCAAACAAAAAAATATAAAGTTTTATAAAAATAAATATATACGATTTATTGTTTGCGTTTTTCAAACAAATTCAAAATAGAAATTGGGAATCTTGACATTTCCGTCTTAAACTTGGGCAAAGCGTTCTTGAATGCCGGAGGAGCATCGAGAACATTATCAGATTGAACGACCAATTCTTGCAATCTTTCGAAGATTTGGGCCACTTGAGGTGCATTATCTCCAAATGCTTCAATTACAATTCTAAAGATTTCCTGGCATTGGTCAGGAGCGTATTTAATAATCAAGAAGAGTGGAGGAGCAGCTTCATCTGATGAAGATTTCGTTTGTTGCAAAATTGTGTCTAAAATCAACACAAAATGCTTAATCAGACATTCGAATAGCCATGCTGCATCGACTTTACCTGTTGCTCCGTTATTTTCAGGGTTATTAGTCAAAACGGCAACAATTAACTTGAAAATGGCTCTGCAGCACTCCTTCCAGATATTTGGAAGCTCCTTAGCTTTGAGAGCCCTCTTTAAGAACTTCAAGGCCGCTTGGAACAGTTCTGGTTCCGAAATAATAAAAACAGGGAAGATACTCGCTATACAAGTAATACTTGCTACAATAGCGTTAAGACATTTTTCATCTGTTAGTGGATCTTGATCCAAATTGTTCCCCAATACGCAAATTAACAAATCAAAGTAAATTCCGAGCATTCTCTCAGGATTTTCATCTTTGAAGTAGTTCATTACGCCAAAATTGACATAAGACTGGCTCAAAGATGCATGGATAACCCTGAAAGCGCTGAGTTTACGAGGAGAATTTTCAGGAGAGCAGTTTATGATGGTTTCGACGAATCGGAGTGTATGAGTGAAGATCCTTATGCCATCAGCGCTCCTCGTAGGTATGACAATCTTCATTCCTTTGTTGGATGCGATGTATAACCAAGATAATACAATGGCTTTGAAGATAACGTCAGCTTCTATGTCATCATCAGACATTGCAGCGTATTTTGCAAGGCATTCCAAGGCGTATTCGACGTAATTATTCATATATCTTTTTGCTACGTACAAAAACTCCGAAACTTGGATACCTTTGAGCAATCCTCTGATCTCACAGAATATTGTGAGTACTTCGTATCTGTCTTCGAACCCTGATTGGCTTATTATTTTAAATTTCTCATCAAAGTGGTCCAAAAACAGATTCAGAGCTTCTGTGGACTTGATATTACGTCCGTATATTGTATTTAGCATGGTTGTAAGCTTCTTGTAGGCCTTTGGTTCGTCAGCTTGGATAGAAATAAAAGTTTGCCTTGTAATGAGCTTAATAATGTTCTCATTTGTATTGGAAAGCTCATGCACGGCCTTTACGCATGATACATTTGTCATATCATCGATATATTGTAAGATTCTTTTGATTAAATCAGTTTGACCGTTGAAAATGATCAAATCATTGATGAAACGTGTAACAAAGTTATCAAAAGCGACTTTGCGACCATTAGGAAGTTGCATGGCCTCATAAATTTTTGAGATATTATCTCTATCTGTTGTAAACATGTCTCTCTTGAATGCGTTTGCGAAATTGACCAAAGCAATCTCCATAGTACTGATCTCCGGTCTGTAATTCTGAACTAGACCTTCCATTATGCCTGCAGTCGCTCCCATTATGTTAAATATGGACTGAGTAAGGGTTGCGAGGTTCGAAATTGTTTCGTTTGACATGGAACGGCTGTATCCGTATGGTCTGGCTGAGAATCTGCTCGAAATCATCAAAATAATTGAAGCAAGTCTTAATAAGCATTCTCTTACGGAATTTTCTTGGGAAATGAAGTTGATACACTCGTAGATCTTCTCATTCAAGAAGTTGATGCATGATTCTGTATCAATGGCCGCAACATTCCAAAGAAATTCGAAATTTGTCAAAAAGTCAGTTTTTGAGATATATTCGTTGGCCTCATTACTCGTAATGATTCCAGTAAGGAATGAATCAACGTAATTCTTGAAGATATCGATGAAAATTCCAGATAAATCTCCCATTTTCGGAGGATTTACGGAATAGACGGACGAGGCCCTTCCCCAGAAGTTCAAGAGATAACCACATATCTTGTTCATGTCATCTTCTTTGAAGGTTTGGTTCTGAAATTGGGCCAAAGTGTAATTTTGGACATTTGCGAAGAAAGGTTGGGCTAATTCTGTTGTACTCATGAAGTGCTGGATCGGGAGGACCAAACCAATCTTACAAATCAATCTGGATAAGGCAAGATTTACTGGAGGGATTATTTGCATTCCTGTTTCGAAAATCTCAATGATACTGCCTGCAATTGACTTAATGAAGTCCATGTGCTTGTCAATGGCCTTCCAAGTGGAATCAACCGCGGAACAGAATAATAACAAAGTATCGAGAGAATCTTTTGCCATATTCTCTAGTTCGATCTTTTCTGGGGAGTTATCGTTGTTGTTCATCTTTTCAATGGCTTTGGAGTTGCCGTAATTGAAAATCGCAAATAACTTTTGTGGGAACATCGGATCTTGGTAGAAATCAACCCAATCGTCAGGAACAGTGAATCTGTATTGAAGCATGTCTTCTTGGCGACAGTTGTAGAATAAACATTCATATAAAAGTTTTACACCGGGATGTGTGCAAAGATCGTCATCTGGCTGGTCGAGAAATGGAACAGCTGCTTGGAAGAAGGACGCAAGATATGTTTTTTGGAACTTTACTCTGAATTCGATGTATTTTTGATCTGTAAGTTGAAATTGCTCTGTTTTTATGTTGGATACTAATTCTCGAAGTGTATTTAATGCGATACGCTTTTGAATTCTGTTTCCTTGTGACAAAATTTGGTGAAGAAATTGAAGTTGTTCGGAACTTGACTGTTCAAGCAAAACTCGGTATGAAGTAGCAAGTACTAATGATAATTCTCTGTGAGAATTTTGCTCTTTCGCGGCATTTGTTGTTTCCCTTACTAAAAAGTTTGAAAGAATTTCGGTGTGCCTTTGAAGTTTTTCGACTGGAACAAGGCACCCTCGCTTGCTTAATAACACATTAATTGATTGAAGTGTTTTGAAATAAATATCATCTCTTTGTGAACCTTCTTCAAGGAATAAATCAAATAATTCTAAACAATTAGGGTTTTGGATGTATCGATTTAGTGCAAAGGTTGCTTCGTTGTCAGTAACATCCGCTAATAGCAAGGTTTTTAACTCAATATACGGATTTTCATCCATTTTTGATTTTAGTACGATTATTGTAAACTAGATTTGATATAATTTGAAAATCGTTGTTTCAAAATTTCGTTTTCCAAGAGAAGTTCATCTAAATTCTTAGATCATTTAATGTTTTGGTTGGATGTTGAATATAACTATGGTATAAAAATCCATTTTTATACATAAAAAATTTCATTTCAAAGACTTCAAAAACTGTTGCACAGCTGGAAAAATGAGTGAATTCAAGTTACATGTCTCATTAAGACATAGTTTTATATCAAATACAAACAATAATATAAAAATTAAAATTTCTATGTAGAATAAAGATTCTAGTTATTTGAATTTGCAAGCTCATCATCTTCTGAGTTAGAAAGAACTCCATTAGGGGATTTAATTTCGAAAGTTGCAATAATAGTTCCAGGAAGCTTGAATGGAGGAGACGGCTCTTCATTCTTCTTGAGAGCCATTGGATCTGTTGTTCCCCAAAGTCTGCGAAGGCCTTTTCCTACTATTAGCCAATAAGTGTAACCAACTGTAAGAGCGCAGATATGAGCGAATGTAGAAACGTTACTGAGCGCTATGTGGTAAGTTATAGATATTGCAATAGGTAGCCATCTTGTTGGAACGTGAATTAAACCGAGTAATGAAGAATATGGATTTGAAGACAGTTGTGATTCAATTACGTTTAATGCAAGCAAAATAGAAGTCATACCGATGACGGGTTTGTAGTATAAACCGAAACATCCTGCAACAGAGAATAAAATTATTATTCCAGAGTAAGTAAGACCAATAAGAACACTAAAAAGGAATACATGCATGAATAAGAAAGCCATTCCTGCTCGTTTTTCTATATGGGAGAAACGTTGCCAAATAAAAACGATATTTAAAAATAAATGCGGAAAAGATGAATGGACAAACGGAGATGTAAACAGCTTCCAGAAGTTTCTAATCTCGATTTCGTATGGAATTAGAGCATATTTCCAATATTCACGGTATTCAACTTTCATTTGCATTGAAACATATACTATGATGAGTGTTGTGATGATGCAAACTGTCGCAGGTTGTGGTTTGCTAATCGGATATTTCGTAATTTGCTCCATCACTTTTGAAAATGTGACAAGAAAAGTGACAATAAACAGAGCATCTCAAATTTGACAATGAATCACGCAGCGGAAAGACTCGCAAACGTTGCTCAGATCAGACGTTTACTTGCGGATCTCGAAAGACTTGGTCTTTGGAAATCTACAAATATCACAGATCAAGGAACAATTGATGGAACAAAAGATGAAATTATCAGAATCTTAAATCTCGTCGAAACTGAACTCGAAAGAGCTGGTCTTTGGGATAGAAGTATTGATACAGATGATAGCAGTACTGATGTTGATCAGAACCGCATGAGATCTCCTCCTGTTACAAACGAACAAATTCTACAGCATACACAAAAGGCACTCAAGTGCATTAGCCAGAAAAAAAATCAAAAGTAATTTTATTTATGTTAGTTTCGCTTTGAATTATTTTATATTTTTAGAAAGTCCTTATTCCAAAAATATCTGTTTTAAATAAACTCAAAATATTTTACTACTATACTATTTCTTAAAGATCCAATACAGTTTTTATTACTCTAATTCATTTTTTGAATTCATCAATTTATTCTTAACATAACAAAGTCTATTTCGAATAGAACTCAAACAAGTTCTATAAATGCTCGTATTTAAATTAGTTAACTTCACATTAAATATAATAATAAAGGATTTGAATTTAAAATATCAAGATTTTAGCGAGAATTTGTGAATAATTATATAGGTATACAAGCACTCAGTTAAAAAATTAAGTTATTTTGCAAATTTATTTCAAGATTTTAGAACAAGACATTATCAAAATTTGTCTGAATTTTGATGATCGACTTGAATCAGCTTGCGGAAGCTGTTTCAAATCTTAATACCCCAGATGATAAGGTTCAGAAGAGGATAACAAAGTATTTTGATGAATTTAATATCAACTGTCCTGTTGAATATGTTCAAGGATTGTTCACAGTCTTAACACATAAACCAGAATTACTAAATGGATGCTTAGCACTACTTATTTTCCCATACAGAAACTCTCTTAAGGCATATAAGCTTTACAAAACAGGTGATTCCATTAATAATTATTGCATCATTCCACCAGAGCAATTACAACAATATTTAACAACTCTACACGAAGTTTTAAGCGTAAATAATGAATCAGTTCGCAATTGCGCAGTTCAAATTATTGCAATTTCAATTACAATGCTATTATATCACGAAATAACACCAAATCCATTAGAACAAGTCTTACAAAGTGTCACAGCCGGCGAAAATTCCGAAGAAATTAAAGTTTGTTATTTAAATGTTTTATCTGATTTCTTTGGCATGCAATCACACGAAGCAGACTTAGTCAGACATACAGTTAGCATTTTACTTCCAATGATAGAGTCATCACCATCAGTTCCCATAGCAAATGCTTTAATTGGCGTTGTTTCTCAATTAACTCCTTATTTCCAAACAATTTTCACTATCGAACAGCCAGAATTTATTCGTCTCTTACAATCTCTCATTCAGTTTACTCAAATTGATGAACTTTTACAGCCATCTTTAGATTTTTGGTTAAGTCTCTGCCAGGAATGGTATCAGTGGCTTTCCATTGCATCAGAACTCATCGACTTCATTGTCCAATTGATCTCATCTGATGATGCTGAAGTTTCCTGGCGTGCAATTTCGATAATGGATGAAATTATCTTGGCAGAAGCAGAAACAGAAGGCGAAAGTTGTCTACAGATCGCATACAACAGGTTTGACAGCCTTCTTCAGCCATTACTCGCTATTTCTTTGTCAATTGACACTGAATTTGTTGAAACCAACGAAATATTCGATACAGCACTTGCATGTTTACTTAATTTGATCATGAACTCATCAGTAATCAGCGAGAAACTTCCTGCAATCTGGGAATTCGTTCAAAACGGAATTTCTTCATCAGAACCAGAAATCGAAGTTTCCTTGCGAATTATGAACGCAATTCTCGAGATGCAAGCAGACGAATCGATACTTCCTGAGTGCCTTGAAGCAGCTGTTAGTTTTGCAGGCAGCGAAAACCAACGCATTCAATACGCAGCATTGAATTTGTTGACATCAATTGTCAAATTAACTTCTGATGAAACTTTGACTTCACTTTTATCAGAAGACTTATTAAACTTGTGTTCATCTGAAACAACGGAGATTTCTCAAGCCGCCGGTGAACTTATTGAGTCCATTTGTTCATTGCCAAGTTTTGAGAATCACTCCGAATTGTTCCAAGAACTATATAATCTCAAAACCGTTGGTTCATTAAATTGTGCTTATACAATTTTGAACAAATTTGGGAGCAGCGAATGGTCATCACCTTATTTAGCAGATGCATCAGCTCTAGCTTCACTTGCCCTGGAAGAAAACAAAGAACAGCTCGCAGCAATTGCGTTAGTTATTGCTAAAGAGAGTTTGATAACAGGAATGCCTGATTCAAGACCATTTTCCATTCCTTTGTACAAAATTGCGAAAGAATGTTATGAAAAATTTGACATTCCCGAAGCAATTCAATGCATGGCTGCTTGTACATTTGCTGAAGGCACTTCCAAGCTATTGCCATCAACAATGAATGTAATACTTAATTATACAGATGAATTGGCTGAAAGAGTTCATCAATCTTTGGCTCTTTCTTCAATTACTTTTTATATATCGAAAATTCCTGTCAATCTCGAGAATTACGTTGGACAAATTGGTTCTAATTTATTGCGTATTCTTTCTTCTGTTCAAAGTGAACCTGAATCCAAACCAGAAGCTTTCGACGCAATAAACAATTTGTTCAAGTATCACCAGAACGAGATGATGCTTTTCTTTGATAGATTCGTCAACGTTGTCTTCACAGCAATTGAATCTGTTGACAAACTGTTGTATGAAGACAAAAACAGAAGAGAAATCGGAGAATCTCTCGCTGATTCAATGATTACTATCAATGAAATCAATCCAAGTGATGATACAATTGCTGCTTCTTTGGCAATTATACAGTTTAATATTGGTGTATTGGAGATGTCTCAGAGATTGGCTATTGATACTTTAAAGTTAATAGAATGCTTGATTAAAATAGCTCCAGAAAATATGAAAAATGTTGCTTCTGATGGAAAATTAATCGAATTCTTTAATGTTGTTGTGAATGAAGCTCCTGCAAAAGAGGTTCAAGAGTTAGCTATAAATCTAGCTAATACATTAGGTATACAAATAGATGTATCTAATAATGAACAATAGAGTTTATATATATTTATAGAATAAAGAACTTTTTTTTTATTAATTATGAAGTTGATTAACTTTTTCATCTTGATTATGCATAATAGGAAGAAGAAGCAGTATTTTTAGAATGTACAACTCTTATTTATAGCTTGAAACAAAGATATAAGAGGATATTGACAATTCATATCTTCGTAGCACAATATGAAGATAATTATACAACTTTTACTTATCATATATATAATTTCCTTCTTATTTATTCACATTTTCATGATAAGCATATATGATTTATTCCTTTTGAACGTACTCGAATCAATTCAAAGCAGATTACTAATTTTCTCAATGATCATAGATAAAAAAAACCGGAATTCAATGACTTATTATTTCAATCATATTATGCTTATATATGAGAAGTAAGAAAGAATTCGAAATAAAAAAGTGACAAAATGAGTATTCGATCTCAATCTGTTGGAAATAAACCAAGCCAAAAATCCCAAACAGCATCTAGCCAAAAATTCCTTCCAATTGAGTTGCAACAACCAGATCAATTGCTTCAAACTGAAATTCCTGTTCACGAATTTTCAAATGCACTTTTTGCTTCACTTGACACACTTCCAGACGTACCACAAGTATTTTGCAATTATGAACCTCAAACTTCTGTTCAAACACTTCCAGAATATCCTCAAGAACCAAATCAAAAAATTCTCCAACCAGAATTTTTCAGACGCTTCGATCTCTCAACATTACTCTACATCTTCTTCTATTTCCCTGGCACATCACAGCAGCTTTTTGCTGCCAAAGAATTAAAGGCAAGAGGCTGGAGGTATCATGCTAAATTCCAAACATGGTTCAAGAGGGTTTCTCAGCCTAAAACAGTTACTAAGGAATATGAAATCGCAGATTATGACTACTTCGATCACAGCTCAGCAGAAAATTGGTATATTCGTAGAAGAACTAATTTCCAATTCGATTTCAATTGTTTAGCAATTGATATTTAATACTCCTATACAAAATAATCCAGATTTCATTGATTCTGCAAATAGATTTAATAATATCTAAATAACAATGAATATTGATATCTGGACCGTTCTTCTTGACTTTTGTATTATTAATGTAAGCTTTACTTCATATTTAGTTACTCGTTTGTTGATATAAAATGTTATCTAACTTTCATTTTTTTTGTTTATATTTTCAGATATACTTTCCTTATAAAATGTTATCTATCGACTCAGGAACCTAAAAAAATAACAAGAATTACTATTGCTGTTTTCGAATGAATTTTTTTTTTTTGAAATTTCAATATAGTTTTCACATAGTTCATGACATAATAGATCTCTTTTTGTACAGTGTCTCACAGGACTTGAAATATTGAATTAATTATAAATATTTATGGAAAAAATCTGTGTTAAATCACATCATTATACAAGGGTTGTTGGGCTCAAACCTCGCAAAAGTTCCGGGATGCAATAATCCTAAATCTGATTCTCTTGTTCTTGAGTAATATTGCATCATTGAGAAATATTTGATTTCAATTTTCTACAGATCACAAACAAACAATAATATAGCACAAATCAACAACTGAAATTAAAATTTAGACATTAATGAGATTCAATAAATCCACTTTCCTACGTAAATAAAGTTTTGCTGCCTCAATTTTGAGTGAATCACTATCACGACTTTGAAAAAGGGACTTTACGAAGGAAAAGTGGTTTAATTTTATTGACTTCTAAAGAGTTAGTCATTGGTATTAAAATTTCATGAAATTAAAAGTAAATTTAAATCAAATAATAATGTTTTTATTTCAATAAAAATAAAATAAAAAGAAAGCTTTGTTAATGTAATTATTCAAGAATGTGTTTCAAAATCTTGTCATCATTGATGAATTTCTTATCAAATCTAAATGTGATATTAGAAAGTTTTTGATTGGACATGTACTTTTTGTGGGCTTTCATCACCTTGTATAAGAAGTCAAGTCTTGCATTTTTCGGCTCTACATCATTTTCTACGTCCTTAATTTCATCAAGAATGGATTCGCAACATCCTTCGAAATTCTTCTTAATTTCTTTATTTGACATGCAAAGAACTTTGTCTCTTCCTATGAATATATTCGTATGTAACGAAGAATCAGATTTAGTTTTGAAGAAATTCTTTTTAGATAGGTAATTATAAATTGATTCATTATCTTGTGAGAGATTTCTGAATTCATCATCCCAGTAGTTGTTTTGAAGCTCTTCATCAATTTCGAATATCCGCTCAATTGAAGGATAGTCTTTGCAATCTTTAAGAGATGTGCAACACATCAAAGAAACGAAAATTGCAGACATGTCTGGCTGATACTTATCCTTCAAGGAATAGAGAAACTGCATCAGCTTGTAATCAGTTGTATCATTAGGAATTGTGATGACTTCCGAAAGTATATCCAAAAACGGTTTAGAATTGACTGTATTAAAATCATTTGCTTTTTCAATGATTTCGCTTACAATATTCAGATCTTCTTCTTTATTTATTTCGTCAAGGTTTCTTAAATTAATGGCATTGTATTCTTTATTTGTACGGAATACACCATAAATACAACTGAACGGATTTTCTAGGTAATTTTCATTGTTATCAATATTTACTTCGAAATTCAACAAACTTTTAACATTTGGATACTCGTTGGACAATTTAATGTAATTGTAGAAAATGTCAATTGCATTTTGACGGATCTTTTCATTTTGTTTACCTTTGATCAATAAAAAATACTTCCCATCAGGCCTCATGATTTCATGAAGAAGCATCCTAATGATGCTCAAATTTGTTTCATCTTCAAATTTCACAACGATTTGGCTGTAGAGTGAGTTAAGATCTAAATTATCTGTGACTTTGATTTCGAGCCATTTATTATTCCAATATTTCAAATCGGATTGACATTCAGGATCAACCTCCATCTTTTTGAACTTTTCATTAAAACTTTCAATATCTTCTTTTTCCATTTGATTGAACCTTGATAATTCAAAGAACATTACATCCTTTAGAGGCTTATAAAAAACTTTCATGAAATCTATCGCAGTTCCTGAAGCATCCAAATACAAATTGTAGTCCAAAGATTTAATGGAATAAATCGGACAAAATGGTAATGATTGCAAAGAAAACTCACAGTTGTAGACAATGATGTAATAGTTGGTATTCGGGCATTCGTGAACTTTGTGAATCTGATACAAAAGTGCAATTAAACTCTCAGTATTGATACGAGTCAAATTGATAATAATTTGATAATCGTCTTTGATATTCTCTTGATAATCGTATTTGATATTCTGGATGAATGATACAGAATCTTTGATAACATCTTGTGAGTAAATTTTAATATTTTCATCACAAAGCATTTCTTTGAAATCATCCAATTGCATCAACCTTGATTCTGTTTTAATGATGTATTTGTGCTTTGAATGCTGTTTGTGATTTTCTTTGTTTGTACAATACAAATCATAAAAACTCTTGAAATTTTCATTAACAGAAAATTCTGTTTTTGGCGAATCTTTATAAAAGTATTCTTGGATTTTATTAATTGGGAAATCATAAATGTTGAATCTATCAAGAATTGGACCTTTCACGTAACTTCTTTGTGGAAGGAACAACAAAATCTTGAATCTTTCTTTAGCAGAAAATTTGATGCCAAAGATGTCGTTTGTTATAGTAAGATGACCGTATTGTTCTTCACCTTCATCTTCAAAAGTGCAAGTGTATTCTGTATCATTTGAATTCGTTAAATCCAATGTTGTGTCCATTGACTTAGGATAACCAATGATGATAAGTAGCTTGGATTTTTTATTTTTTTCATCAATCTTGAAGAATTCCAGCATCTGATTGAAAATGTCTTTTTCAGAAATAGTGAAATCAGATTCTGAAACTACTGAACGTTGGATACCAGCAAGATCATTTAAATGATCAAAAAGAGCAAGACAAAATGCGTATCCTTCAGAAACAACGCAAATTCCTTTTCTGAATTTTGTCTGATTGTCTTTGATCTCTTCCATCAAATTTTCGATTCTTTGTTCGGGTATCTGTTGGTTATCATTTTCTTGATTATTATCTATATGATAATAAGCAATGAAAGTTTGTTTAACTAGATCATTTTTGATTTCTTTCAGCAACTCCGGATAGTCTGATTTTCTGGCCTTTTTGAACTTTTGATACATTCTATAGATTTCAAAGTATTGGGAGAAAATGTGTCTCATTGAAAGCTCATCTGTCTTTTGGATTTGATCAAGTAAGTCGTTGTAAATAGCAGTTTCTTCTTCTTCTAGTTTGTCGAACTCGTGATACCATTCATCGAAATTTTCGATATATGGATTGCCCTCCTTTTTATCTTGTTTTGCTTTGAATGCAATAGCTCTCTGGAAATCTTCTCTTTCGTATTTATCAGTGAAGAAGATAATTGCTCTGTTCATGTTTGAGAAATCCAATCTGTAGTTTGAGAAAGCGACAACAGGAATCTTAACTCTTTGGTCAAGAATCTGAACACCTTTGACTAAAATCTCATGGAAAATCTTTGTTGGATTGAATTCCGAATTCACCAACAAACCGATTTCTTCGATGAAATTAATGAAGTAATACTTATCCATCAAATGGAGAAGTTTTTGTCTGGCGCATTCTTCGAATAAGATCTTCAAACCATCACTTGTGCATGTTCTATTTGAGTGGAAGACAGCGTACTTGATTGGAGGAAGTTTGTTGCCTATGTAGTTCATCAGTGCTTTGCAGGAGAATGATTTGGATGTGCCTGGCTGGCCAAGCAAGAAAGTGGAGAATCCTGTCCTCGCGCAAACAATTATCGCGTAAAAGTGTTCGGCCAAAGCATCGAATAACAAGATATGCTGGTTGTAATCGAAGATATCTTTTGATACTCTATAAGACATCTTTTTGAACAGTTCCAAAACATCATTGGATTTTTGGATATCCGTTGGTAAATTGCTTTTTGTAGAATTTATTTTCTGGAAAATATATTCGAGGAAATCGGATCTCGGATTAATTCCTTCTTTCTTGAATTTACCAGCTAATTCCTGAGTATAAAGCGCTTTAAGTCTCTTGTGATCTTGGAAGATTTTATCATTTTTGAACTTGAATTTCTTCGGGAGACGGCCAACGAATCTGAAGAAAATTGCGATGAAAAATGCTTTATACAAATTATTTTTCTCAAAACTATCGGAATCATTTTTCTCAAAACTATCGGAATCATTTTTCTCAAAACTATCGGAATCATTTTTCTCAAAACTATCGAAATCATTTTTAAGAATGTCTTTGAATAAACTGCAGACAAAATCAACTTCTCTGTAAGAAGCAGCAGCTCTGTCATTGTAATAGCATCTAATAAATCGAATACTTTCTACCAAAGTAGTTTGAGCGAAATTAAAGAATGCATCAATGAGGTTTTTTTCTTTAAGTTTTCCTTCGATTTTTAGTACGCAATTCATGAAATATTTGAGTTTTCCTTTTATGGTTATTTCTTCATCTTCGAACATGAAATCGTCTTTTTCATCACTAATTGAATATGGATTGCAGTCGATTTCATACTCTGATATCAAGTTGGTTTGTTCATTCACGAAATACTTCATTTGAATATGCGATTCCTTGATATAATTCTTTGTCAAAATGTAATCATGAGGCTTAATGACTTTTCCTTGTGCAAGATCTTGTGCGACATTGTTTGAAGCCATTTCATCTGTTATATCATTTGTTTTGGCCACTTTGTTGATCATGCAGCCACTTGATAACGAGAAGAATGCATTAGTTGGAAGCTTCGAAATTTGGCTAATTTCGTAGAAAATTTGTGGACAAATGAAAGAAGTGTTTGCTTCATCGAAAATAACGTGGATATGTTGTTCTCCACTTATTAATTGATAATCTGTACCTGGAAGGATGTATTGTTTCTTTGCATTGATGTAATCTTCAATTGTTGTTTCAGCATTTACATCAATGAAAATGAAAACATAATTATCATGTTTGAAGATTCTAAAAGCTTCTTTGAGGAATTCCAGAGCCATTGTCTTTCCGCAACCTGTTTCTCCAGTCAGACAATAAGGAATCTGTGCAGCAATACGAGAAAGCAAAATGACAAATCTGATAAATGATGTCTGTGTCACAGAAATTGTTCCAAACAAATCTGAAACATTAATAAATGTTCCTCTTGGTTCCCCCTTATATTCCTTTTCTCTCCTCATCATCAATGTCTGATAATTCGATTTTGATACTACATCACAAAGGTCTTTGAAATTTTCAACTGCTTTGCATAATTCTTCAATATACTTGCATTCGGTTGTGCATTCGAATTGTTTCAAAAATTCATTGCATTCAGCAATAAATACACTTGTTTTTACTTCTTCATTCGTCGTGAATTGTTTTGAAACCAATTCGTAAGCTTTTGGCCAATAATCAAGAACATTCCAGGATACGTTTGTCCTGAAGAACTTATAAATATCAACTGGCACTTTAAAATCATAACTAAATTTCTCAGAAATCTTCTTTTGAATAATATAATCTTCAATATAATTCGGAGAAAACATGAAATAAGGCATCATGTAAATAGTTTTCTTGTTCTTAAATGCATGCTGTGTGCAAACAATGAATGCAGATTCAAGGAAGAACAATTGCATTGGAACAGGTATTTCATCCGATTTCTCAGTTGATTTTTCGGATTTTGTAGATGGATTTTTGATATCAAACCATTTATAGTATTTCTCGAAATAAGTGCTGAGAGATCTCAATGTGCAAAGTGAAAAGCTTTTGATTTGATTTTCGAAAAAGATGTTGTACAATTTAACCAACAAATCATAGTATTTGAGGTTTTCTCCATTGAATTGCTTTGCAATAATGTTATCCAAAACATTTTGAAGAGTTTTTCCAATGTATTCTTCTTGGCTAATAACTGCTGCAACACCAAATTCTTTCCCATCTACTTTGACTTTTCCATCTGCTTCAAATGTGATTTTTTCGTTCCTCATGTTTAATCTGTTATCAACAAATATTGTTTCATTTGTGAAATAGTCTGGTTTCAAGACATGAACGTTCTCTGGCTTGACAGGGAATGGGAAATCATCAAGGCTGTTTAGAATACCGATCGAAGGGAATTCGATGTATAAATTGCGGTCTTCATTCAAATTGTTTTCAACAAAGTTTTCTGTAACTCTGAAGAAAGCGAATTGATAGAGTTGGTGGAAGAACTTTGTGTTTTCTGAAGCAATCTCAGGATCAATATACAAATAGACGTCTTTGTCTAAATAAGTCAACTTGGGAATTTGTGGATCTTTTGGTGAAACATAAAAAGTGACAAAATTATGGTCTTTCATCAATTTTTTCACGGAATCTGCACCAGGAACTAAATTGAAGACTAGATGGACTTTATCTCTCAATTTGTCATAAGAATCCATATAATCTATATTTCTCTTAGATTTTATTGTGTTTAAATTGTCTTCTATCTTAATCAAATCGGCTTCATTAAGATATTCGCTTTTATTTTCTCCTGATGCAGTGAAAATGATGATTCTTGTTTTATATGATTGTTCTGCTGCTATTATCGTATTCAATTCCGATCTTTGATTTTCGGAAAGGAATTCGGATCCAACAATAATGATGTAGTTTATGAACCAAAAATCGCCTTGGAAATCTAAAGATTTAACTCTTGTTTTGATATCTGTTTGTTTTGTACAGAAAATGAGGTTCGATAAATTGATTGGAGAACATTTTTGTGAGTAATGGCGAGTGACAGAAGTAAACTTGTAGAGATGCCAAAAGATCTTTGAATACTTATCAAGTTTAAATGTGAAAACCGATTTGCTCTTAAAACCGTTCAAAATTACATACTGTTCTACCCAATTTCGAGATTTCAACGCATCGTTAATATTTTCAAAAATATTTTTTTCCTCATTAACTTCGAAATTAGAAAATGCTCTTTTCATTATTTCAGCAAAACTTGATGGATTCTTGAATAAATCACGCTGTTCTGGTGATAATATTACATCAAGCGATTCACCAAAATGTTTAGTTTTAGTGTTCTTGAAATAATTGATTTGTTCTTCTGTAAAGAATTTTTCCAAATTATTTGATGGTTCTGTTTTTTCGAGTGTCGCTTTTTGATTTTTTGTCAAAAGGTTCTCCAAAATAATTAGTTGTTTCTTTGTACTAAAAAGATATTTCTTATGTTCTTCAGGAATCAAATCAGTTATTGTACCATGGAGTTGATCTTTTCCTTTGAGATGATCAATCTTTTCCTGTGTGAAGAAGGAAATTAATGGTTGAGAAATTTCTTTTACACCAAGAAGAATTTCTTTTTGTTCTTTTGAAAACAAAACATTAATGTGTTGTAGAGATGTTGATTTAGTTTGCAAAATATTCTTTTGTCCTTCTTCCAAAGGAGGTAATTGATCGATTTTAGTAATTTTGGCGTCAGAGAGATCTATCAATGAATTTGATTTGAAGAAATTAAGCTGTTCTTCAGTGAGAAAGATTTCTTTTGAATTATTCAAAATAATGATTTGGTCGTCAGAAAATTTGAATTCCGAAACTCCATCAAAATTGTTGTAAATTTCAGGGGATTTAATACGAACCAACTTATCAATACTTATTCCTTGAGAAATAAGTTGTTTATCTGTGATGAAATGTTGCATTTTTTCAGTCGGTTGTGTTTGGCATCTATTGAACAATTCTTTTGCCAATTTATCACGAACATCGTTGTTAAAAACATCTTTGATTTTGTTTTGAATTTGTTCTTTTGTCATCTTGTTGATATTTGTTTCCTTATTAAAGAGGTTTCTGATAAATTCCGAGTCAAATGATTGGAATAATTTCTGGAAAACAGATGATTCAAGATTTGTAGGGGAACTAGTGCTTTTTGAATTATTCAAATCTTCTGCCAAATGATTCAAAGTCTTTTCATCAAGTCTTGCATCAATTCTCTTTCTGATTTCTTCTTGTGACAATTTGATTCTTGTATTTGTTTTATTAAATAACTCATAATCAATGAAATTGTGGAATTGATCTTCGCTTGTGAAAATTTCCGAACAATTTTTCAAGTTATTTAATTGTTCTTCAGTTAAAGAAATCGGGCTTAAATCTTTGAGAGTAAGGATTTGTTGGTCTGTCAAATTTGTGATGAAAGGATTCTTAACGTAAATTGTGTTTTTATCCAATGTTTTGCTTGGTTTCAAAATATCCAATTGTTTTTGATTGAAGAAAATAACTGTTGGATTTTTGAAGTCTTGCATTTGTTCTTTAGTAAATGTTATTTTATACGTGTAACAAATGTGATTAAGTTGATCATCAGTGAAGAAATTCAATACACAATCAATTTGTTTCAATTTATCATTGATTTTATTAAGTTGTTCCTGAGAGAAAAACACTAAATCTTCTTGATTTCCTTTTCTGAACTGATCCATTTGTTCGTAAGTGAAATAAATTTTTTCTCCTTTTTTAAATGCCTCTATTTGTGAAGCAGTGAAGAATTTTCTGATGTAGTTTTGTTCTTTGACGCAGTTCTCCAAAAATTGCTTTGTTTCTTCTGACAAAAAATCACCTAATTCTTTGTAATCGGAAAGTAATTTTGCAAAAAATGATTCCATTAAGTGCTTTCCTAATATTTCTGGTTTCGTCTTGTATGAGCTCAATTGTTCGATATCTTCGTAGGAAATGTAACTCTTGAGTGGACCTGGATATCTGCCATTTTCGATTTTTTCAAGACATCCTCCAAAAATTTCTCCATAATTTTTCTCTTTTTCTGGAGAAATTATTTTAATTTTTTGTTTATTTGTGAGATGTTCACCCACTTCTCCAACGAATAGTGCTGGTTTCTTTATGTATTTATCGCGATCAGCAGCAAGTAATTGATTAGTTGTTAATTCTTGATTTGCCTGATCAACACCAAAAAAGAAATCTTTTACTGAATCAAAGAATTCTTCTGGATGCTTGATGCATTCTATTTGGTATTTCCTGAAGAAATCATGAAGAGTGTTCAGATATTCATCTGGATTTTTTAAGAATTCAAGTTGATCGGGTGTAAATATTGTATTTATGGCATCATACTTATCTTTGTGTAGTTTGAGCTGCTCTAAGTTATCTTTTGTAAAGAATGCACTGATCAAATCAAATACTGCTTGTTTTTCGATAGTCATGTCTTTAATAGAATGATTGTTAATGTAAACATTTAGTTTATTATTGATATTTTTAATGTCCTTAAACGCTCTTTGATCAAAATTGTATTCATATGATCCTAAATTTTGATCGTAGTTAAGAATTGTCATGATTTTGATTAGATTTTCATAAAACTCGTTGTAAAGCGCTCCAACACTTGACTGAGCTTCCTTTCCTGAAGTTCTCTTATCTGAAGATTCTGTTGTAGGAAGTGAGCTTAAAAACTTTTCGAAGAACTCTTTGTTGATAGAGATCCCAAAGTCCTGTCTGTTTTCATGGTATTGGCCTGTAATACTGAATCCATTATGAGTTACTGTAATTTTGCCGTTAGCACGTTCCAAATGTTGCTTGAATGCATCTGTATTGTTGATCTCTTCATTTGGATTGCACTTTTTGACTTTTTTAGTCAGATTTGCGATAAATTCGCTTATCTTGTCCTCCTCAAATGGTAAATCAAGTTCAATTGACTTATTTAAGAACTTTAGCGCCTTGCCTTCAAGTTTTTTGATGTTTTTGTCAAACTCGTCTTTATACTTATTTTTCTCAATTGCCTCACATAAATCTTTTTTGAAATCTTTTGCTCCGTCGTAAACATGGTAACCATCAGGCTCAATAATTAGCCTTAACATGGTCATGATAATATTAAGGGAAACTTAAAAAAAAAATATAAAAATTTTCCAGACTTTTTTAAACAACCCGAAAAAAAGGAAAGAAATGGTGTTGTCATTAAATAGTAAATAGGAATTATAAATTTAACATGTCAGAAATCTCAAACGTGAATCAATGAAATAAAAAAACCAGCACAAATATACAAATATTGACTGTGGATTGTGCACTTGGTATGTATTTGAGAATTTATATGTTTTTAGCCACAAAATTTCACATTAAGACTACATATTAGTGATTCTACTTTTTTTTATCAATCTCTCAGTTTGTAGTAATTTTTGAGCAAATACACTTACAAATGAGATGAGTTTTATTAGAAAATTCCCATAGTACTTATGCTCATCAGGAGCAACATTGAAAAGTGATCTTAAACACCAGAATTGAAGGTCGCCACATAATAGCATAAGCGACCTAGACAATTTTCTCATTAAATTAAACTTCGTTTATATCTCAATTCACACAATTTTTGAGATTCAGATTTATATTATCTGAAAACATGCTCTATAAATCTTCATCTAAACAAGACACTCAACAACAAGAAAAAGATGTTTATAATAAAAATTATTAGTTAAAATAAAATATTATAAAATAAAATCTTTATTTCTTCTTCATAATATTCATAGCTGCTATACCAGCAGCAGCTGCAACAGCAGTAGCTGCAGCTGCAATGTGCCAGCTACCTTCTGATTCTTCTTTGATCTCAAATGTCTCAAGTTCAGGGTTAAGAGAAAGAGCTTTATCTCTGTATTCTTTCGCCTTCTTTATGTCTTTCTCGCAGCCTTTTCCGACAGCGTATAACTTCGCAAGGTTCATCAGAGCGTAAGAATAATCTGGACTGATATCCAACATCTTCTGGAAATAGCCAAATGCTTTGTCTGCATCTTCGTGATCGTATTTTGGTAATTGCTCGGGTGAATATATCTCTCCGAGAGCGTTAAGAGCATCAACAATTCCTCCTTCGACGGCTGCTTCGAAGTGTGGAATGGAATCTCCGACAGTTTGTGGATTTTGTGAAAGAATGAGGCCAAGAATGAAATGGGCATGAGGATTACCGTATGCAACAGCCATATTAAGAAGAATTGCGGCTTGTTCTTGTGGATTTTCAACATCATTTGAATTTAATGTCATTTGAGCTGCAAAAACAAGAGCATCAGGATATCTGCATGCAACAGCTATCTTTAAGTAACCTAAAGCAACATTCATGATTTCTGCTTTCTTTTCATCAGGAAGATCTGGATCGGCTTGTGTATTTAAGAATAATTGTGAAAGAGTAAAGGCTGAGCGTGGATCAATAATTGATAATTCTTCTGTTGGTGCTTTGATGACCATATCCCAGTTTCCTTTCGTCTTTTTATGAATTCTGAAAATTGTAGTGTTTTCTTCGCCTGGTAATTTTTCGATTTTAGTTGCAACATCATAAAGACAGCCGCAAACGATCGGTGTCATTGTTTGTATACCGATGTAAATCTCTTGATCATTATTTTGAAGCTCTGTTAAAAGCTGATCTTGCTTGAATTCCTTTGGAAATTCACATATTACATCTATGTATTCTTCATGGTCATCTGGAAGCCATAAATATGCATTAATGAGGGCAGGATCAATAAACATTTTCTTTCAACAAAATCTTTGGGTTCGGCTTTGATCGCAAAAATGAAAATCAGCATAAAAGAATGTACATTACATGTTTTGTAATAAGGGTTTCGTTTTGCGAAAAAAACGTACAATACGCAATTTCGCTAAAAAACATTTAGCTAGCAATTTCGACCTTTGACTCCACTCAAGACGTCACTTTTTTAATTTTGCGGTATCATATTTTTAGAAAATCTTTATGAATATTATATAAAAAGTCTCTTTAATATCTATATTTCATATTTTTATCGATTTTTAAAGTTTTTGCGAAAAGTATTCAATTATTTTTGCTATTTGGTCGGGTAAATGTCAGATTTGCGACATTTTCTGATATGATATTCAGATTCTACGTTGATAATAATGCTTATAGAACCTTCTTGCTATTGTGTCAAAATTGCGAAACCGATAGCAAAAATATCTCGCAATATCAAAATTGAGATATTGAGTGAATTATGCATTATAGAGATTAAAAATCTGATTTGTGAAAACATCTCATCAGTTTCTAGCTAATTCAAAAATCTTTACTATCTTATTTGATTAAAATGAAAAGGGAATAGTTTCATTATGCTTTAAATGACAGCCTTATAATATAATCATAGTTTTCGCTCAATATGCAGCATTTTTTTTCGAAATATATGGTCAATGTCCTAAATACTGATTGCTTTGCATTCATATCTCTTACATTTTCTATACCCACATCACTATTCATTGCTATTCCTATCTTTTTCATTTTTGTTTGTTTCTCATAATTTCACAAAAAACACGATAACTTGATATTTGTAAATATCATACTTTATAACGTAAATAAGAACTTGACCTATTAAGAAAAGCAGTAATGAAAAGAAAATCTGAAATTCATAAAAATTACAAGTTTCTGATGACAATTAGCTTAATTAAACCAGGTACAAGATTATATAATTGTATTTTCTATCCAATTATCCATATAATATCTTATCCAGAAAAAATAACTTGATCAATACCAAATGATTTTTTAACTAGTAAATAAAGTATTTTCTTTACACACACATTGTATATCATAGTTTTTTTTTTTTTTTTGGTTTCGCAGAGGTAGGGCAACGATAGAAAATTTTTGGAAAAAAAGTTCGGAGATCTTAAACGTATCATATTCCCTGCATGGTTTGGTATCTTCCGCCATGCGTTGTGTCAAACATATTGACACTTTCCAATAATTAATTTATGGTATGAGTCACAGAGTTAGATTATAAAAAGAAAGTAAATAATTGCAATTAGAAATCATATATGTCGGAAATCAAATGTTGATGAGCAGAAACCTTTTACTCATCATAAAAGAGATAAATCACTAAAGATTTGTATACATTAAAATTTGATATTTGGTGCTCGAAAACTGTCTGATGGGACTCCTCCAAAATGAACCAATCTATCGCTGAGGACCAAATTAGATGATGTGGATGGTGTATTCTCTAATTCTAACTTAGGAAGAATGGGAACAAAACGAATGACGACAACAACATGTCAAACATAGATTAAATATCTATGAATCAATAAAGTATACGTGCATTGAAGGTGATAACGATCACTTGAGGCTTATAACTCTTTGACTAAATTATGCAATAATTAAATATAATCATTTTTATATTTTTATACTGATAGTAATTAATATACTATCCTGCTTAATAAATGGTATGATCAAATTTGTTTGAAAATTTAATTATGTATATGAAACTATGTCTTCTATATAAAAATCAAAATTTTCGGACGAACCTAGATTGAACCTTTATGAAAATCTATCATTTTTGTTAATTGAGTTAATATGAATTTTTTACATATGTATATATAGCATTGATAGCTTATATAATCATGGTTTATTCCATATTAACATATTTTTTCAGTTAAATTTGTTAATAATATCATGTAACAAATTAATTCAAGATTAGAATGTCTACAAAATGCTAACAAATAAGAACAAAATACGATTTCTCGACTTAAATTTTAATATGGAGTAGTTTTTCGTTTAAATCTAATTAAAAATGAATAAAAACTTATCTTGTACTATTTTCATTCAAAGATTTTAATAATGTAAATCATGCATTTTCATAATTCAGTACAGTTCTTTTAGAATTAAAGTTGATGAGGATGATATTTGTGATTTAAAATAATTTGTTAATGTTCACCTTTTATTCATCACCTTGTGGTATGCCCTAAAGCAATAGCATTATCAATTCTGCTGAATTGATCAACTCAAAATTCCAAAAAAAATTCAAAATTTCAAAAATGAAATTAAACAATTTGAATTTTCACATGAAAAAATCAATTTCGAAAAAAATTTGGAAAATCAAAGTATTTGATAATTAGTCAAATAATCAATTTACATCGTTTTTACTCATAAAAAACAACTAATTTTTTTGATATCATATTTGATAAATACTCATTCCAGAGTTGACGTAATGTATTAATTATTGTTAGAGATATTGCTTTCGCAGCAAAATTCTTATTTCATGAAAGAAAAAAAAAGATTTTATTCCAACAAAAGCAAGTAAACAGATGAATGGAAACGTACTATATTTTCATAAATGTAGTAATCAGCGTGTCAGCTTTTGTTTATCATGTTCGAGTCAAAATGTATTAACTTGTAATAAGAAATATTCGAAGATTATATGAAGTATTGAGCATTCTTTGTAGAAATATTTGTAATTCATTACTAACATATATAATAATTTTGTCTGATTTTAATAACTTTTCATGTATACGAGTTGTGTGAATATGCATCATAATATGCGTAAATATACTTATTTGCGACGAATAATGTGGTTGCATAATGGAGGTGCTAAATTTTGATTTTTAATATGGGGCTTTGGTATGTATAATCATGTTCTTATCTCAACGTAGGAGTATTGGTGCAATATGATTAAAATTTACGAGGTTGATTTTAAATTGAATAATTCTGGAGTATAAATCACAATGCAGCTAATTCTATGTTAAAGATAGATACAGATTGTAGTAATCAATTAGGGAGTACAAATTCATTCTTTCATTTCTGTCGTATTGAGCAGAAAGGAAGAGATCATAACCCTAGGAAAAAAAGCCCAAATTTGTCACTATGATAATCATATACAATATTTGAAATCAAATTTTCATTAGTTTAGGTTCCTTGTTAATAGTAAACCATTATATTTATTACTAATAATAAAATCTATGTGTCGTATTGAAATTCAATAAAATTACTTATTCGGTCCAAAAAAACAAATTAGATAAAATTTTTCTTTTTTTATGTAATTTTTGTTTTTCATTTTTCTCAAGATCCTAAGTTATGTTCTAACTTTTGACATCATATCCTATCATGCTAGGCTATATATTATAGCATATCCAAAAGGCAAGGAAATCTATCAGAGAAGCCTTTTTGACCTATCGTTGCCCTACCTCTGGTTTCGCAAAACATCCAAAAACAAATATGCTATAAAAGTGACAATTTTAGCAAAACGAAACCCTTATTTGTAATACTTTTAAAATTTTTGGTCAGACATTTTGAGACTTGAAATTTTACAAATCCAGAAATTTTCACATCGAAATCAATGAAAGTACCTATGAGCCAAGACATGGTTCGAGTAAGTGTTGTATATACATGGAATGGTATGAGCTTAATTAATATGTTATATATGGGCGCCCAACAACCCTTACATAATACAAATCTGAATAAGATAGATAGCTAAACTTGAAATCATATTCTTCGCATCTGTCTCTCAAAACTTGAGTGAAATAAAAGATTTACATGCGAAGAATATGATTTCAAGTTTAGATTCTGAAATGATCGAAATCATATTACTTACATTTATTTTTCAAGCGAATAATTTCCAAATATTTTTATTAATAGTAGTAATTTATTCATAAAAACAAATTAATGTTTAATATAAGATTTATCTTGGCGGGATATCATCCTCATCAATTTCTTGTCCAGTCAAAGTATTAAGACGAAGCTTTGCTGTAAGATATTTCGAACTTAAGCGGTCATCGTAAATATCGTCATCATTATCATCGGAATCTTCAAGAAGGCCGTTCAATTTGTCCTCTTGCTTCCAAAGCTGGACGCAGGGGGCGCAAGGAAGGTGGCGAATACTGTCAATGATGTTTGCTTGGAGTTCGTTGAGGTATTCAGGCGTATTGAAGTTGTCCATGTTCGATGGCTGTAAATGTAATCGGTAATCTGGTCCGTAATATCCGAGATAATCGTTATATGGTAACTTATCTTCGATTTCTTCGCCGAGAACTACGGCGGTTTCGTAAGCCCAGCAACGAGCGACGTTTCTAACTGTATAACCGCCACCGCCTGTGACGATCATTGGGATTCCGAAGGATTTCATGTATTCTACACAGGAAGCGTGGCCTTTAATGGTCAAATTAAAGGATCCTAAGCGATCTCCTGTAAGAGAGTCCGCTCCGCATTGAAGTAAAATCGCTTGTGGACGATACCATTCGACTAAACGAGACATGATAGGTCTGAAGATGTTTTGGTAGGATATATCGTCCATACCATCGTTTAATGGTACGTTTACCGAGTAGTGCTTGCCTCTTCCTAGGCCAACATCGGTCCAATGTCCTGTTCCTGGGAAAAATTCACCGTATTTGTGAAAAGAGACTGTCAAAACTCTGTCTGATGTATAGAAAGCTTCTTCGACACCATCACCGTGATGAATATCGATATCGATATACATTACTCTTTCGTAACGTTCTAAAAGCTTGAGAATGCCAAGAACACAATCTGCAACGTAGCAAAAGCCACTTGCTTCAGCTTTCTTGGCATGGTGAAGGCCGCCGGCCCAGTTAATCGCAATATCAGCTGTACCGTTGTTTAATTCTTGAGCTGCAGATATTGAACTACCTGCAGAAATTTGACAAAATTCGAAGAGTCCTTCGAAAATAGGAGAATCTTCTCCGACGTTGAATTTATCGAAAAGACCATTTTGTTTTCCTTCATTTTCCGGATTTACCATTTGCAAAAACTGTACATATTCATCACTATGGAAGCGGGTCATGTCTGTGGCTGTTGCCCTTCTTGGTCGAAGAACTCGCATTTTCGGAAGTAAATCATACGCAAGAATGAGATTATGGGCCATTCTTACACGATGCGGCTTCATTGGGTGATTTGGAGCATAATAGAAGTTGCCAATGTCTTCATCATAAAAGTAGACAACTCTTTGCTTCGTAGACATTTTTTTTACTAAAAAAAATTTATTTTTCATATTTTTTTCAATGTACAGGCGCTACACACCAATAATAATTGTAAAAATTGTTTGGACGAAATAAAGGAATGAGTAATCATGTTATGTTAATTCATTCATTTTCCAATAAGTTTCGTAAAATTCAACATCTGATTTGTCTAATAATTTCAAAAACTATCTAGCCTACTTGTACATAACAGAACCAAATTTTGATTATTTTCATTGAATGTAATCCAAAGCAGGATATAAAATTAAGAATATTGAGATAATTTCATAATCTCTTAAAATAAAGTTTTTGACAGGACAATTTCACTAAAAATTATTTAAAAACCCTTATACAACAATTCTTAGTATCTAAATGGAGTTATTCGTAATTATTTTTAATATTTCGTTGGTTAGTCTTTACTTAATGGACAAGCTTGAAACCAAAAAGGTAGAGATGAACAAGTAGTTAAGAAAAGATATATAAGAAATAATTTTTAAATAATGACAATAAACATTTTCAAATTTTATAAGCACATTAAAGTTCAATTATGCTTCCACATCCTGATCTTTAAGTGGCATGAGTTTCTTGTTTGTCTTGAATGTAAAACCTAAATTCTTACGTTCAAGTTCTGCAATTCCAGCAGCAACCTTCTCATCCTTCTCAAGGAAGTGCTCCAAAGCTCTCTTCTTCTCCTCAGGCGTATGTATGTAATCCATTCCGTTTATTTGGATATCGTTATAAATATCAGGATTCTTCTTCATGAGAGCGGTCATGTAAATGTCGAGCTGTTCCTTCTTCTGAAGAAGTCTTGTTCTGACGAGTAAATAAGCTTGTTGAGCCAGTAAATCAGATTCTTCTTCAGAAACATGTTCAAACTGAAAATGAATGAGCTCTTTAATGAATAGGTTAGTTCTCTGCTGAATGTACATCGTACAAGTCTGTGGATGCATTTCAATATAAATTAAGAAATCTGGCTCTTGTTTCATGAATGATTCAAGCATCTGTATAAGCAAACCCGGGATTTCTTCGTATTTACAGTTGTATCTCTCTTTATTTTTGATCTTTTCGAAATCTCGTTTCTTAAACGCAGATTTCATGCAGAAGAAGATGTCTTCGTTATCGCATAGTACAATACGGAGTGCATCTAATTCATTGCTCTCTGTAATATCGACATTAATATCAAATTTAAGTTCGACGTTTTTAGGCTCTGGATTTTCTTCATAATAACATGGGATTATGATGTATTTACTGAAAATATTTTCTGGTTTAACAACAAGATCTTCCTTTACTTCTTCAACTGGCTTTTGTTCAACAATTTCTGGTTCAGATTGCTTTTGCTGTTCTTTTCTCTTAGAATTTTTTTGTTGATGTTTGTTTTCTGGTGGAGAAACTTGACGTTTACTGGATGATCTCTTTGTTGGAGTTCTATTGCTCATAGTTTTCGGCTTTTGTTAATTTAAAAAAAATTAATCGTATAACTGAAAATAAATTCGTGTCACGTTTTTGTAAAGATTTTTGAATTATCAGTTTTCTGATTAAATATAGATAGAGTATGATTTCTTTAAGAGTCTTTTTCTGTCAATTTTTTATTGATCAAAAATTTGAGAAAATTACATGACAAAAAAACTGTTTACGTTAAGAAACTTGTTATGGGAGGTTCTGAATCAGGTGCTCTTGTAACAAAGGAATTCTTTGATGCAGAGAATCAGCGCAATTTCCTTGCAAATATGGAATCAGTAAATCCAAATGATGCACTTAGCGTTGAAGAAAAAATAAATTCGAAAAGTAGTGGCGTTAATCGCTTTGTTTTAATGACAACTGGAAGTACAGGAACAGTGTCGTGCTGGCAGACAAAACACATCTTTGTTTGCTCATGGGTTGTTAATAAAGAACTTCCAATTTCACAATTTCAATTTGTAAAACACAAATTCCAGGACATGGATTTCATTTCTATCAATTTAGACGCTTGTTCATTTGATTACATGAATTATTTCATGGAACAATCGTATTTCTTCTTAGGAAGGGACGAATTCCTGAAAACTATTGTTGAACTAGCACAGGAGAGCGATTCACTATTAAACAGATACATCTGGTCACCATTTAAAGCACCAGAAACAGAAAAACCTGTCTTTGCAACTGCTACTCCAGATGCATACGATATTGAGGAAGACAACGACATTAATTCACAAGCACAAGAAAGAGGTATCGTCAATCCATCAGAAGATGTCGAATTACAGTCAGAAGCAGCAGATCTTGAAAGTGAATCAGGTGCTTCTGGAAGTTCAAAGGCCATCCCACATCCATTCATTCCAGAACTTGAAGATCTCCAAGTTTCTGATACAGACAGCAGCGTTTTCTATCCTATTTCAGAGTATTCAGAACGTTCACGCGATTACAACATTCAGAATGGCGAATCAAGTTCATTTGTTGGTCCTGTTTCAGAAGATGAAGAAAGTTCATCATTTACAGGCGTTTTCGTTAATGGCAACCATTATCAACGTCGTGGCCAAACAACGAACCGCTCCATCCAACGCGAAATGCTTGAAGATTCAGGCATTGAATATTCATCGTCTCATCGTCGCTCTGGAACTCGTTCTAAGAAATCCCAGATTCAAAACGAGGGAAGTGACTCAGGAACAATGTCCGGAACACTTTCTCCAAGCTCTACATCATCACACCGCCATCGTCACCAGTCACAACAAGAACCAACTACACAAAATTCAAGAAGATCTACAAAATCACCGAAAGTTATCGACGACGAACCGCTTAACTTCTCCGATGGTCATAGCATGGGCCCTGTCAGCGAGGATAGTAACATTTCTGACTCAATTGTCCTTGATGAACCATCAGAAAAATCAGAATCTTACTCAAGTGCATCATCCAGCCGCAAGAAGGGCACACAGTCTACACGGCCAACAGAGAAAGGCACAGCGACATCGGCTAAACGTCGTCCAGTTGTTTTAGTCCCACAAGAGCAAAATCCAAATGATGATTTGATTCTTTCCGATAGTTCAGAGAGCCGCAGTAGTCGTAGAAGACGAGATCCACAACCAAGACGTTCTAGCCGCAACAACGGTGCCAAAGATGCAGATAATCTTTCTGAATCGAGTGGTCTCAACATTTCTGTCTCATCGCATTCATCAGATCGTCGCCGCCGTGACAAGTACATTGGTGGCACTCGCGATCAAGTTCCAATGAGTTCAGATACAGGAATTGCTGACGAACAAAGTCGAACTAAAGTTTCATCGAAAGATTTCGGAAGCAAAGCACAGAACACATCCAAAGTTTCATCACATACAGGTGATACAAAGCCAATTTCAGGATACACATCTAAGACTAAACAAACAGGACCTCTTGCAAGTGGTTCAACAAATCCAAGAAGTACTGATTTCCAGAATTTCCTAGGAACAGGAACAAGCACAAGCGATGCACATAGAGCTATTAGGAATGATGAATCAGGCCAAGTATCAACAACATCAGGTGATTACTCACGAACAGATTCAAGAATGAAATCAAACACATCCGATTTCAACTCTGAAAAATTCAAACCATTCCAAGACGGAAAGAATAACATGAGAAATGCGACATCCACTGCTACTGATTCTACTTATACAAAGTCAAGTCGGAGTACTCGATCTCGCAGGTCTACTCAATCTAGTCAATCACAAAGTCAAGGAGAACAAAATTCTTATTATGATGAATAAAAAATATACGTTTTCTTTTTACTTTACTTGCTGTGATTTTTATGCGACCATGTTTAACATTCACAAAAAAAAAATTGAAATGTTTAGGGCATCCTTAAAATTATGTATATAAGGTGATAATAATCAACATATCTCATGATATATGATGATCCATATCACAAATATAGCAATCACGAAGTCAAGGAAATTTAAATAACAAATTAAAAATGATATTTCAAGAAGCAGCTCGAATGTTAAGACTTATGAAGAAATTAGTGAGATGGAAGAGTTTAGATTCATAATAAATGTTATTATGTATTGTTTTAGGCATAAGTGGAATAGAGATGTCTTCAATAGAGATAAGTTTAAGAACATCAACTGTTGTTTGATCTGAAAGTTTAGTTGTGTTATCAAAGTGAACATGAAATGTCTTTCCTCCAAAAAAATCTTTGCAATTATATGATAAAACTGTTTGACTTGTAATATATAAATTACTTCCATATTGAAATATATTAGTGTAATCATAGCTATTATTCAAAATAAACTTTCCTGGAATGAAAATATTCAGTTGATTTTGGTTAGACGCAAATGACCAACTAGAAATATATCTTGCATTAAAACTGCTCAAAAAAGTGATATTTGTTAATGATTCGCAATCGAGGAATGCATAAATACTAATAGATGTTACACTTGCAGAGATTATGATGCTTACTAAGGATGTGCAATAAGAAAATGCATTGTTGTCAATTAATGTTACACTTTCTGGGATTATTATATTTGTTAATGATGTGCAATATTCAAATGCAGCATAATAAATGTATATTACGTTTTTTGGGATTGTGAAATTTTCTAGTAATTCGCAATAAGAAAATACGCAAGCTTCAATAGATGTAACATTATCTGGAATTGTGATACTTGTTAAGGATGAACAAAAATTAAACGCATAACTTCCAATAGATGTTACACTTTCTGGGATTGTTATGCTAATTAAAGATTCACAAAAGGAAAATGCAGAATCTCCAATAGATGTTACACTTTCTGGGATTGTTATGCTTTTTAATGATTTACAAAAAGAAAATGTTGACGATCTAATTGATGTAATTTTCCTATGAAGTTGTATAGATGAAATATTTACATAAGAAAAACACCAATCGGAGATATTTGTTATATAACTAGGAACAATATATTGGCTTTCGGAATATGATTTAAAAACTCTAAATAATGTTGAATTATCTGTTCCTGTAAATATATTTTGAAAATCACTTCTGTAATATTTATTTTCTGGATCAACTGTTATATTTTCTAAAGATTCACAATAACCAAATGCTGATGAAGAAATTTCATTTAGTGATTTTGGAATAAAGAATGTTAAAAGTTTTGTCATACTAAAGCACCTTTGGTCTAATTTTGCTAATTTAGAATTTTTTGAAATATTTATTGATGTTAAACCACTATCACCAAATGAATATTCATAAATAGTTTCGACGGAATCAGGTAAATCTATTGATGTTAGAGCATCATTATTATAAAAGCAATATTTTCCAATACTTGAAATGTCTGGAGGAAGAAAAACTGATTTCAATCTTCTGCAACTACTAAAGACTGATTCATTAAGTAATGTAAGATGATTGCAATTACTGAGATCTGCTGATTCTATATTTGTGTAATGAAAGCTATAATTACTAATACTAATAATTTCACTGCCTTCTTCAACTTTAATTGATTTGATTGTTTCTTTACAATTCATGAAGGCATAATTTGAATAGCTATAGCTATATATTTCTTTGACAGTTCGAGGAATAACAGCTTCATCACTTAATTCCGATGAACAACTAATAAGAACTTCTTGACTTTCATCTCTGTAACCAAATGGTTCAGAACTATAACTATTATAAGGAAGAAAGAAAATCATGTTTAAATAGTATTATTATCTTTTGAATAAAATACAAAATAATACGCTTTATTTGGTAAACTTTGTAAAAGGTGTATAAATATTGGTATAGAAAAGTAAATAATCATATATGGAAGTCTGTGCATCAATAATTTGTTCAGAAATTACGATGTAAACGAAAAAATTAAAAAGATTTGATGAATGATGATTAGTCGTATCAAATATCATGAATATAAATGGAATACATTATGGGTTTTGATATAAGAATTTTTGGCTGTTTTAAATTTCGAAATCAGATTCAATTTTTCATTATTAATGAATTTTAATGAATAATAATTACTGTAATTAGCAAACGTAAATATTAAAATCTCGCGGTGGGCCTTTAAAAGATTGCAATGCTGAGAATGCGTTTTGTGATTTTCAAAAAGAAAGTTGTAAGGTCGAAGTTATTGTTGGGTGTGTTTTTACAGTATAGTGTTTTGCAGAGGAATCAAGTATTTAGTGATTCATTTATTTTGATATCCATGCAAGAATTCCTCAACCAAATAAAATGAATTTTTTTTTGCAGACGATGCAAATGGCATTACATATGGGAAGAATCGAAGGGACAGCTTATTAAAATTGATTTGTCAATTTTGTAAAAAAAAATTGAGCAAAATTTACAAATGAGTGTAAAGGCACAGATTTTAAGTCTAAGAGAAAAATTAAATGCTGGAAAGCCGACATCACTTTTAGTTGATGTAATGGCAGCTAATATTGACGATTATGCAGTAGAATCAACTTTTTATGATTTACCATTCGACGTTATATGCTTAATTCTTTCCAAAGTTACAACTACTATCAGATATTCTCTAGCTAATGAAATTTTATCTAATTCTGCTTCAAAATTCGGCAAGCAAGCTGTCACATTACTTCAATATCTTGATTGCGAGACTATTGGAGCAGAATACGCTACAAATTTAATCAAGAATTTAGTCGAATGTCCTATTATACGAGAATTAATAAACACCAATGATAAACTCGAAGTACCAACGCCACGTCATTCAGGCTTAAGTATTCCAAGACCCTCTTCTAGAGTTCGACGAAATTCTCTCACGCCAACGATACATACACATGTAAAACGCGAAAGCGAAAGCACAGTTCCATCAGAAGATATTACTGCACTTAAAAGATCAAATATGAACATATTAAATGAATTAGAAAACTTTATAGATAAAATAGAGACAGATTCTTCTACTGAAAATCCAAATCATACAAAACGAATTCGAAGATTTACTTCAGATACAACACTTAGACTTAATCCGATGCCAAATAATGATGATTTAGATGATATATTTCAAGCTATTATGAATGGAAATCTTCCTTTAGTGAAATCAATTATTTCGAAAAATAGAAAAGAAATAAACCACAAAAACAACGACAATAACTACCCAATACATATAGCTTCTAAATATGGTAATCTCGCTATATGTGAACTACTTGTAAATTCAGGAGCAGACATGAACCAAAAAGGATATTCTCAACTGACGAGTGGGGGACAAACTCGCCCATTGTCACTTTTTCATTAACCTTAAACTTGTAATTTTCATTATTTTTAATTAACCTTATTTCTTTCCCAATTCCTGATTTATTTTATTCACTTACTATTAAAAGTCACATTTTAATAAAATATAATAATTTATTTATAGCATTTTTTACTATACTGTAATAAAAAATTAATTATAATAAATTAAATGTTTATTAAATCAAATGTTTTCTTTGCAATAATATTTTTAATGTTGAGTAAACAATGTTGGGATCAAGTGTATCATTTTTCAGACCTTTCTGAACAGCTTCAAGCATACTGATGCATTCGACTTTTTTAAATTGTGTCATTTCTTCGAAATCTCTTGTGACTTTTGTGATAACTTTAACACTTCTCTCTGAATCCAGACCTTTAATTTGCAACTTAATCAGGAATGAAGGAACAACACTGGAATATAACTCGATGACAAGTTCATCGAGTCGAAGATTTGGTTGTACACCACTTGTATGTGCCGGATACCATTGTGTCAAATTTTTTCTGAAATTAACTTTAAAAGTACTAAGTAAGATCATGAGATATAGCAATATATGTTTAAACCAACTTATATTTTGGTTGTACACCACTTGTATGTGCCGGATACCATTGTGTCAAATTTTTTCTGAAATTAACTTTAAAAGTACTAAGTAAGATCATGAGATATAGCAATATATGTTTAAACCAACTTATATTTTGGTTGTACACCACTTGTATGTGCCGGATACCATTGTGTCAAATTTTTTCTGAAATTAACTTTAAAAGTACTAAGTAAGATCATGAGATATAGCAATATATGTTTAAACCAACTTATATTTTGGTTGTACACCACTTGTATGTGCCGGATACCATTGTGTCAAATTTTTTCTGAAATTAACTTTAAAAGTACTAAGTAAGATCATGAGATATAGCAATATATGTTTAAACCAACTTATATTTTGGTTGTACACCACTTGTATGTGCCGGATACCATTGTGTCAAATTTTTTCTGAAATTAACTTTAAAAGTACTAAGTAAGATCATTTATTTTTGCATAATATAATGCCAATATTGTTTCTTTTGATTTTATTTCATTTATAAGCAAATCAGATTTACCCAAAAACTCCACTCCATAAGCGTTCATTTGCTAAATTAAAAAGTGACAATGGGCTAGTCTGTCCCTTTCTCCTCAACTGACACCATTACATTTGGCCGCAGATTTCAACTTTCCTGATGTACTTAAATTCTTCTTAGATAAAGGTGCAAATGTAGAAGTAAAGAGTGGATGGGGAGATACTCCTCTTCATAAAGCTGCTGAACAAGATAATGTTGAATGTGTCCAGCTTCTTCTTTCTTCAGGTGCAAACCCAAATTCTAAAAATCTTAAAAATGAAACACCATTAGAAATTACTAAAAATGCTCAGATCCAAAGACTTCTTCTTCAATTTGGAGCGAAGAAATAAATGTTTATTATTTAAAATTCATTAATTTTTATATAGACATTCCGAATTCAGAGAACCTTCTCAATTTTAAACTTTGATATGTTTGATACCATGAATATTAAATCAACTAGGAGAGAAAATTGAGCAGGGTCACATAAAAGAGTTAATCGCAATCTCAATGAGTCGAAAATGCGTATTATGATAAAAAAATAAAAATTAATTTTTATTCAAAAAAAGGTTCGTTTGTTAAGGCAAATTATGAAATTCATGAGATAAAACAATTTAGATTCATAACAATTAATGTAATGTATAGTTTTTGGATGCATCTGCGAAATATAGATATCTTCAATAGAGATGTATTGAAGAACATCAATTGTCGTTTGATCCAAAAGTTTAGTTGTGTTATCAAAGTGAACATAAATTTTTTTCTTGCCAAAAAAATTTTACAAATATCTGTTAAAACAGTTTGATTTGTTATATATAAATTGGTTTCATTAGGAAATGTATTGAAATATAAATAATAATATTTTGTGCCCAAAATAAAGTTGCCTTGAATGAAGATATTCATTGGATTATTAATATTGGAAAATAAACTGCCTCCAAGTTCGATAGTTTTAAAATGGTTTAGGAAAGAAATATTAACTAAACTTTCACAATCAGAAAATGCATAATCTCCGATATATGCTACATTTTGAGGGATTATAATATTTGTTAACAATCTACAATCAGATAATGCATGATTTCCAATATATGTTACTTTTTCTGGGATTATGATGCTTGTTAATGCTACGCAATGATAAAATGCATAATCTCCAATATATGTTACACTTACTGGGATTTTGATATTTGTTAAGTTGCTGCAATCAGAAAATGCATAATCTCCAATATATGTTACACTTACTGGGATTGTAAAATTTGTTAATAGGTAACAAGAAGAAAATTCATAATTTCCAATAGAAGTTATATTTCCTGAAATTATGATATTTGTTAATGACGCGCAAGAATAAAATGTAAAATTTCCAATAAATATCACGTTCCTTGGAATTGTGATATTTGTTAATGATTTGCACCCAGAAAATGCAGAATCTCCAATATATGTTACATTTTCTGGAATTGTGAAATTTGTTAGTGAACTACAAAAAGAAAAAGCATAATCTCCAATAGATGTAATGCTTTCCGGAATTATGATATTTGTTAATGATAAGCAAGAAGAAAACGTACCATAACCAATAGATGTAACATTTTCCGGAATTATGATATTTGTTAATGATAAGCAAGAAGAAAACGCACCATAACCAATAGATGTAACACTTTCTGGGACTATGATATATACCAATGATTTGCATTCATAAAATGTATAATTTTCAATAGATTTAACACAATCTGAAATTGTGATATTTTCCAATAATTCGCAATCAGAAAATGCATGATTTCCAATAGAGATCACATTTTCTGGGATTGTGATATTTGTTAATGATTTGCACCCAGAAAATGCAGAATCTCCAATATATGTTACATTTTCTGGAATTGTGAAATTTGTTAGTGAACTACAAAAAGAAAAAGCATAATCTCCAATAGATGTAATGCTTTCCGGAATTATGATATTTGTTAATGATAAGCAAGAAGAAAACGTACCATAACCAATAGATGTAACATTTTCCGGAATTATGATATTTGTTAATGATAAGCAAGAAGAAAACGTACCATAACCAATAGATGTAACATTTTCCGGAATTATGATATTTGTTAATGATAAGCAAGAAGAAAACGCACCATAACCAATAGATGTAACACTTTCTGGGACTATGATATATACCAATGATTTGCATTCATAAAATGTATAATTTTCAATAGATTTAACACAATCTGAAATTGTGATATTTTCCAATAATTCGCAATCAGAAAATGCATGATTTCCAATAGAGAACTTCTTGATTTTCATCTCTGTAATCAAATTGTTCAAAGCTATAACTTTGACAAAGGTGAAATAAAAACATTGTTAAATAATATTAGTATCTTTTGATTTGTAGTTTGTAAAATTATAAAATAAATGTTATTCTCCTGAAATGGAAGAGTGCCTTGCAAAATATATTTCAGAATTCAATAATTTACCCAGATTTGCCTTACTTTTACCACCCCTCTAAAGCTGGGGACACCGCCTATCGTTGGGAGTAGCTATTAAATAGAACCACCAAGGGTATTTTTCGAACTGCCGGTGTAGTGGAAACATCCAACATAATGATTCATTATGCCAAGGTTTGATTCCCATTTAGCCAATTTTTTTCTTTTTTGGATCATGAATTTTTTTTTGGGTCACTATAAGATTTGTTTCATGTTCTAAATCTGCTGCATATGTAATCTATTTTTATTTACTTATTTTTTAAAAATCTATTGGATTGCCAAATTTGAATCTATTTAAAATCATAAAAATCCAAAAAAACTATAAATATATGTTTTATGCATAGTGCCGATACTCAAATATCAGATTACTTAAATCCATGAATAATATCCGAATTTTTTTTCTTAAAATTAAACTTCAAAACTTCTTCCAATCTTATTCTTAATCAATTGTAAATTTTTAAAACCATTTTTTAAAATAATTTTGCGTAAATTTTATTCTCATGTTGTTTTAATCGAAAATTGATACATTTTCAAAAAAATAATATTGACTTATGAAATTCATTTTTAAGGTGAAATAGTATTGTTTTTATTAAAGTATATGAATAATATATAAAAAATTAATGAATAATATAAGCAGATTTTTAGTTTACAAAACAAATATGAGCAATGCAATTTCAAACTTTTGCTGGCAATTTCGATATTGCTCAAGTTTGTAGTATTTGTGATACCTATAACATCGGCTTAATCAAAATTCGATTTTTCTTATGAGTTATTGAGAAAATTTGATTGCAATGAGAAGGATTTCGACGTTTTTGATAAACTAAGAGCTGAGCTTTAGGGGTTCAGTTCATTTATGGCTGTAGTTTGATGCGTAGATCTCTTTTTTATTGTAAATTCTTTCAGCATGGAGATCGAGAATGAATCTTTTGAGAACTTTATGAGTTTTTACACCCGTAAAGAGGTCCTTCGAGGAAAGATAGTCCAGACTACATGAAGATGTGGGTTAACCAAAAAAATCCGATGGTTTCCCCATATTCATGTAGATCTTCGAAAAAATGAGCACCAAAAAAGCCAAAAAAATAGGCTTTTTATTGGATTTGTACACTAGATCAATAACCTATTTAGGATCTGACACTCTTTTTAGCCAGAGATATGAGGTCCTTTCTAGGAAAACGATCTATTCATCCATAAAAAAAATGAATTATCGTTTTCCCCAGAAATTACATGGGGAGTGGTAAAAGTAAAGCAAATCTGGGTAAGATGAAATTAATCTGAAATAAGCAAATAAATCTTTAAAGATTAAAGTCTACTGAACAATCATACGAATGTACATCGAATATATCGTGACTTAAGACTAATAGTATAATATTTTGTAACGTTTTAAATTCAAAAATAAAAATTACTGAATTTATGAATAAAAGAACGTTTTAATATAGCTTGATCAGTCATTTAAAAGATGATATCTCTGACAATTACATTGAAATCGTTAGTAATTGCAGTTATTTCGCTTTAAGAGTATAATGGTTCACATGAAAGATCAGATATTAATCATTTATTCACCATGATGAAAAATTTTGTACAAAAATTCATCATACATCATAAAAAAAATGAAGTGAATTTTTAAGGGAGTAGATATATGGTAATTACTAAGGTATTTTATAATTCAGGTATAGGACTACCATTCAAGATTCATATAATCTGTTATGGCTAATACATAATGCATAATATTTGCAGATTGGCTTCAGATTAGAAAATTAATCATTCATGATATATGTGATTCGAGTTCTTTAGTTCTATTTTGAAAGGAATTGAATATATTGATGAATAAAAATAAGCAATGTAGAAAGGTCCAAAAAGACTTTAAAAAATCGAAATGACAGAGTGAAATTTGACCTAACACATTAATTAAATTTTTCACTCTATCCAAGATATAAGGAAACTAGCATCCAGGTAGCTCGAATATATAAATAGTATCTATTTTTGGAGAAAAATCCAAAATGTCAATAATTAATACATAAACAAGAGAAATTTTTAGAATCTTAGATTCATACATTCTACAACGAATGGAAGAATAACAAATGGAAGTGTTAAATTATCAATTTGGGATGTGAAAGCTTCATCCAAAGCTCCAACAAGTGAAGGAATGGATAGAAGCAATGATTTGATGATGTCAATATTAAAAACACCAATTGATGTCAAAACAACAATAGTAATCCATGTACCAAAGAATGCACCAATTGTGCCTTCAATTGATTTCTTAGATCCTGGCCATTTGTGCTTTCCAAACTTAATTCCAATAGCACTTGCCGCAGCATCACCAATAGCGAGAACAGAAATTCCACAAACTTTGCACGCCATTCCACCAAATCCTTCATTGGACGAAAAGATAACAGGAAGACCACATCCAAGCAATAAGAAAAGATGTGTTAAAATAAGCTCACCGCTGTCTCTTTCATCAAGGAAATCTCCAACATATGACTCAATCATTGTTGCAACAAATGGAAATCGAGTTAATCGAAGCATTTCAACAAATAAGAAAACATAAATAGCTCCTGAAATGGCGAATCGCATCAGGATAACATCCATAGAAACAGGGACTATGAATACTAGCAATGCCATGATATGGAAGAACTTACGTTGAACAATTTGTGGAAAATTAGATAATCCTTTCCAAAAAACCGAAATAAGAATAAAAATGACGCAGACTGCAGCACAATAGCCAATAATAGCTATCCTCTTAATGTCGAAAATAAACTGGATCAAGTATTTGTAGTGATAAACTGCGAAATACAAAGGTAAGAAACCGAAAACGATGCAAATAGGGCGGCGAATGAGAAGACCCATACAAAGGCAAAGTATACCATCTAATATGAGTGCCGAATCGATCTGAACTAATGGATTCTCGAAGTCAATAACTGTTCGAATTGGAAGTCCTGAAAGAGTGGCAACCATGATAGCTTCACCGACTGTAAATGAACCTGTAGCTTTGCGCATGATAACTGTGATCACAAATGATGAAAAGATTATTGTTACAAGCGAAAGAATGATATTTTGATTTGAAAAGTATGAGACCAAACAAGGGAACCCAATTAAAACGACAATAGAAAATTTGAAATCGAGTGTTGGAAATCTTTGCTTAGAAAGTAAAAATAGAAATGCAAATGTAATCGAGATCAAAAGAGCGTCAAAAGCATGATTTGATTCAAGAGCGACCAAAGCTGTTGGAACTGATAATAATCCGCCAACAATCTGTGGTGCTGAACCATGCCTGAAAACTGGTCGCTCGTGAATTAAGTTATTAAGCCATGCAAGGATCAAAAGAATGGCTAGATATATAGAATAGTGTATATCACCTGCAAATGCGTCATGAATAGCTATGATTATCAATCCATATGACCAAATAGTTGAATCTCTAAATTCAAGCGACATTTTTGACAAAAAAAAATTCAGAAAAAAGTGACAAAATTGACAAAAATGAATGAACAACAAATTCTATCATGTAGAAAGATATTTGAAGCAGTAACAAGGCGTCCAATTGCTAAACTTTTCTGGGATTCGTCAGCAGATCTTAATAATAAGGATATTTCTCGCCCAATTTCGTTAAGTTATATTTCTGAAAAATTAGATCGACAAATATACAAAACACCAGCAGATTTCGTTAACGATATGCGTCAACTCTTCTTGAATGGTGATTGCTATGATCGAGAGGACTCCTTAAGACCTGCAGCGATTGGTTTATTAATTAACGACTTTGAAAATGCGCTTGCTATATATTCACCATCCTCATTATCTCTAAACATCAAACTCCGTGTTACTCTTGACGAACTCGAAAATGTAGTTGAATCTCCTGTAGAAGAAACAACTGGACGCGTAACCTACAAATCAGAGCCAGCAAGTTACTTCCTGACGCATTACAATATTGATCCTGAGAATGTAACAATCGCAGATCTAAAACATGAAATTTCGTTACTTAAAACGCCCAAATTAATTTTGAAGGTTATCCACTACATTCACAAGCTCCAGCCAGATGCGCTGCTCTCCGGACAAGGAGTTTCGATTTTATATTCAAGACTTACTAAAGAAAACCTTTCTCTCATTCAAACATACATCAAAAAGATCATGACTGATGCTGCAATTGGAAGAATCAGTGGTCTTGAAAATTCTGCACTTAGAGAACCAGAATCAACAATTATTCAACAGATTGACTTCGTTGAGTCAGATAAACCAGAAAGAAGATCTTCTCGAAGAAGTAAGAATTAATTGCTTTTACATTGATAGATGCAATTACTTTGTTTGTTTTTAATTCCAAATAAATGTTATTTTGTATTATTTAGAACACAAGTTATTACACTAACTTTGCTTTTAGTATGAGAGTTTTCTTTTCTAGCTCTTGTTTGATAACTTTTCTTTATTTTTTTCCATCCAAAAGAAATATTCACATTAATATTTTATTCTATTGGCTCCAATATTTTTAACAACCGCTATGCAGAGCAATACTTTGACTTTCAGAGGATCTTCAGATACGACATAGATACATACAATGGGCTACATCAGTTGAATACTGAAAATAAAGAAGAATTAAACAAAATTTACCGAATGATCAAAACAAATTTGATTGATTCACGGAGATATCGCCCAAAAAAGATTATAGAAAATATTTTGAATATTATCCCTTATAACAACCGCTATGCAGAGCAATATTTGGAACTTGCAAAACACATATATGATGAATATCGCGTTGAAGGGGTTATGTATTGTAATATATTTAATGATCTGTTTTATAAAGAATATGGAATTAAATTAAACAAGTCTGCCGATTTTAAAGAAAATAACTCAGGCAATCTCGATGTTCATACAGAAAATACAATTTACAGAACAATTATGTATAACGACCTAAAAATATTCATCTTATTCACAGAAAGAGAAGGTTTTGATAAAGACGAAAGACTTATCAGTAGATTATATCCACCATCTAAGAAAGGATATTCAATGCTTGAATTATGTTGTTATCATGGAGCAGTTGATTGTTTCAAGTTATTAAGAACAAAATTTAACTCAGATATAACTCAAAAATGTCTACGATTTTCATTTTTAGGCGGAAATCCAGAGATCATGAGTGAATGTTTGAAATTTCAAACACCAAATCAAAAATGCATGAAATATGCAATTATTTCACACAACATTGATTTTGTTACATTCTTGATGAATGAATACAATTTAGAGATTAGTTTATATGATTGTGGAAAATATAATAATCTTGAATCATTTTTTGTTTATTATGTTCAAACTAATGATATTAACGAATGTTTTTATCTTTCAGCATTTTATGAAATGTTACCTCTTTGTGAATACTTCATTGTACATGGTGCAAATATCCATACTAAAGATTGTTGTGGGGATAGCGCTTTTCATAGAGCAGTAAATTATAATAACAAAGAGATGGCCGAACTTCTTCTTTCTTATGGTGCAAATATCAATGCCAAAAATAGTTTTGGAAATACACCTCTTCATATGGCAGCATTAGCTGATCGTAAAGAAATGGTCGAATTTCTTATTTCACATGGTGCAAATATTTATTTACAAGGTAGAGCTGGAGAAACAGCTCTTCTATATGCAGCAGCAAATAATCGTAAAGAAGTTTTAAAAGTTCTTATTTCACATGGTGCAAATATCAATGAAAAGGATTACCATGATAATACCGCACTTCAATTAGCATCATATAATGATAGTAAAGAAATGATCGAATATCTTATTTCTAATGGTGCGAATATCTATGATAAAAATAAACATGGAAGAACTGCCCTTCATAATGCAGCCAATGAAAATCGCAAAGAAACAGCCGAGATTCTTATTTCTCATGGTGCAAATGTCAATGACAAAGATAATTATGGGAATACCCCTCTTCATTTTGCAGCATGTAAAAATTGTAAAGAAACGGCCGAACTTCTTCTTTCTCATGGTGCAAATATCAGAATGAAGGATAATGATGGGAAAACCGCTTTTTGTGTTGCATCAGAAAATAATTGTAAAGAAACAGCGGAACTTCTTTTTGCATATGGAACTGGATTAAAGTTAATTTTGCCTCCAGAACCAAGAACAGCATAATTTCATAAGTCATAGCCATTTGAAATTGCACTTCATATATGATGTATTCAAACATAAATTACTTCTAGCAATTCATATTTAACAAAAAATATAACGAAATGTTAACATCACATATGTTATTATTTCGTCTTTACAAAAATCATTCTATTAGCAGAAACGCATCATCCTTTGCCATTAAGATTCTTATCTTTCTTTTTCATTTTAAATAAGTATATAAAGAGATATTTAATTAAACATTGAATTTGATCCGCTTATATAATTTTACAATGCAAAAACAATTTTATTTATAAACTTTATTCAGGTTGTTTTTCAGATCTGGAAATTTTACAACTAATTCTTCATACTTTGGTAATAAAGACTTAATAAAGTTAATATATTCCGGATCAACAGAGAAAAGTGCTGCAACTAAGAAAAGATCTTTTATATCTTGTTTAGATTAAAATACATGTATTCTTCATGATGAATTACTATATATAAACACCATATTTTCAACTATTAAAATCTGAATTTATATTTTTGATAAGAAATATAGAAGCAGCTGATCGAAATAATAAATATTATTTGCAAGAAAAAAAGTATTTAAAAAAGGGTTTAGTAAAATAATAAATAATAATAAAAATATTACAGAATAGATATGATTGTAGTATTAGTTCCTGGTTGTTGCTTAGCGACTACAAGCTTCTGTGGCTTCTTTGATGCAGCAGCGATGAACAACAATACTTTAACAATTCTTGAAAGAGTTGTTTGATTTGATTTCTTTTCTTCATCAGGTTTCTTCTCTTCGTTATCTTTGATATCTCTCTCCTTTACTTCTTCTTCCTCATTTCCGTCAATGAAATCTTTAATCTCTTCTTTGATTACATCTGTCACTTTTTCTTTTACTTCCTCTGACACTTTTACTTCCTCTTTTTGAGAATTTTCTTTTTGAGGATTTTCTTGTTGTTTCTGCTGCTGGATGAGGATTTCCTTCTGAGCGCGGAGTGACTCAACAACTGAGATAGATCTTGGAGAAACGAGTGCCAAGATATCATTTAATCTAATTCTCATTTCGTTGTCAGTAATTCCTGATTTGTAACCAGGAGATTTCTTCTGCAAAACTTGGTCAGCCCATTCAGACCATTCTCTCGACATCTGTATAGATCTAGAGTTCTTGATCTGGTTGCTTTCGTTGTCATTCTGTTCTACTTTCTGTATCAAAGCATCAACAGTTTTAATAACTCTTTGTTTGTTCCATCTGATTTCTTTTCCGATGAAAGAATTCAGCATTTCTCCCAACTCCCCAACAAACACTTCAACCTCGTGTTTCTGTCTGTTTATTGCTGTCTGGCTGAGCTGTGTAACTTGGCTCATCTCTGTCTGTTTGGATGGAGACATCTGCAATGAAACAGAGTTGTTCAAATCCCTTGTAACAGGTTTGGAAGGTGAAGTTTGTTTGACAGGAGAAATGGATGTTTGTCTAACAGGAGAACTCGATGTCAAAGAGATACTTCTTGTTGTTGTCGTGTATTTCCTGAGCTCTTGTGTTAGTTCTTGGTTCTTCTGCTTCTCTTCTTCAAGCTTGGCCTGTAAATTCTTCAATCTCTTCTGTTGTTTATCGCTGTCGGAAACGGCCATGATCAATGTGGATTTTTCGGCTTCGTTTTGGTTCTTTTCTGTTGATCTTGTTTCTTGTAACTCGTTATAAAGATCTGTGATTCTTCTGACTTTGGCTTGTTCCTTCTTCAGTTTTCCTCGTGAAACTGTTAATTCGTTGGTCAAAGCATTGATTTCATCTTTAAATCTCTTTTCAAGCCTAGCCTTTTCTTCTTCATTGAGTTTCCTTTGGTGATCCAAGACATTGTTCAATCTCGTCTCGTATTTGTCTTGTCTTTCTTTCATTGTTTGCTCTAATTGTTCTCTTTCTTGAATTAGCTGTTCTTTTGCAGCTGTTAAGGTCTTGTTAGTCTCCTTTTGGCTGTCAAGCTCCCTTGTGAGTTCTTTAGACTTGGTTTGTTGGTCGTTGTTGGCGATTTCGGAATTCTTTATCTTATTCTGAAGTTCAGCGATTTGCTTCTGTAAATCGTTGATAACATGGCCAGAGTTATCGACTTGATCTTGTAATTCTTTGACTTGCCTCTTCCAGTTCGCTTTCTCTTTTTCTGTTTCAATCTTTGAGTTCATGATCTCTTTGGAAACGCCATTCCTATGGAGATTCAAGTCTTCTCTCAATTCTGTCAAAGCTTGGGAAACAACTGGTGGAAGACCTGTAATTTTGCCGGAATATCCGATAAGTGGTCGGACGTATTTATCGAGGTCGTTGATCATGTTACTTGTTTCTTCGATATATTTGCAGAGGCACTGGAAAATATCGGTTGTTGTGCCATGGAAATTCAATGTCTTGGAAATTACGTCCAAAAGCTGTTTGAAGACCGGTTGGAGTTCAAGCAGATACTGGGATACTGCAGTTGGAAGTTCTTTGTCGGTGCAAACAAATGGAAGAACTAATTTGACCTTCTTGAGCTCGTCAATCTCGTATTTGGTGAATTCCCTGAGCTTTGTGCAGATTGCTGCAAGAACTGCTCCAGATCCAGCTTCTGTTGTAGATTTCATTTCGTATTTATCAGTAAATCCAGCGATATATGCACAAAGTGAGTCTTCTTCAGCTGATGAATAGCAAATATCCTTAAGAAGTTGCTTAACTTCTGCAATTTCGTTAAGAATATCTAATCTAAGTGTAGAATCAGTCAAAACAGGACGTTGGATGTCCTGAAGGAGCTTAATATCAGCATGGTTGTTTCTAATAAGCTCTGTTGTGAAGCGGCTAAGAGAATCAACCAAAGCTGTCAAATCTTGTAAGTTTTTAGCAGTTTCTGGGTCAATTCTTGTTGAAGCGAGGTTACGAACGACATCAGGAAGCTCTGCTTCAGTAACATGGTACTTAGGAAGTACTGCTTCTAAGCATCTTGAAACGATATTTCTTAATCGGGCCAATTCCTCTGTTCTTGTATCCAAAATGTTCTGTGCTTCATCTTTATTGGAATGAGCTTCTTCGAGTTCTTGTTGAAGGTTTTCGATTTCTCCTTCTGCTTCGTTGATATTCATTTGGAAAGAAGAAGCTTGGGCATCGTATTCATCGATTAGTTGATTCTGGCGTTCAATGATGAGAGCCGCGTTATGGTTGGCCTCAACAATCTGAGCAATTTGCTTATCTTGCTCATGAATGTGGTTTGTAAGCTTTGCGATGATGTTTTTAGTCTTAGATTCAGAATCCATCGATTGTAACTTGATTTGCTGAGAAAGAGACATTTCTGATTCTGATTTTTCGATCTTTAATTGCTCATATTCGCTTTTACTGAGTTGTATTTTAGCCTGGAGCTTGTTGATGTAATCATTCTTCATCTTTAAGCGATTCATGGCTTCGTCGTATTGTTTTCTGATGCTTTCCGTTTGAGCTTCAGTTTCACGAAGTCTCTTTTGTATTGAAGCAACAGAATCTGTCATCTGATGATCTTTATCTGTTTGTCCGGCAAGCTGTTCTTCGAGAGATGAGATTTTGGCTTTCAAATTTGTAATTTCAAGCATATGTTTGTTTTCCAAGTCTTCTTTTTCATGTGAGAGTGCAACGCACTTTTCGTTTGCAATATCTGTCTCTTGGTGAGCGAGTTTGACCTCTTGGACTTTCTGAGTGTTTAAATTCTTTAAATTTTTATTTTCTCGTTGAAGTTCAATTAATTTAAGGCGCTCGATATTAACATCCGATGGATGCTGTGCAAGCATTGATGATAATTCTGCAACAGATTGATTTTCCTTCGCTTCTGTGATTGAAGAAATTATATGACGTAAAGCTGTTTCGATTGCCTTTGATGCTTCGTATTGAATCGGTGACTCTTTGGATGATTCGAGAAGATTTTGGAGCTTTTGGGTAATTTCAGAAAGATCTTCGTGATTTTGAATCAAATCTTCAAGTGAAGGAGAGATTGCCGAACAAAATGCTTTTACATAACTGACAAATTCATTTTGTGTTTGATTCGACTGGACCTGCTCCTCCTGAGGGTGATTCTCCGCTGGATTAGGCTCAGAAGACGTCATTGTAAATACTTTTGTAAACTATTCAAATCAATTTAGGCTGTTACTTCGTCTTTTTGCAATTTTGATTCTAAATTCATATTATACAATGTATGGTGATCCGTTTTTCAATCGTGTAATACGAAAATAATTTAGCTCATTTTTTGCGCGCCAAAAAAAAATTCTTTACATCATTGAATTATGAAAAAAGCCAATTGTTTCATTATACGAATGTAGAAAACTTGTATTTATTGATCGTAATCAAATGGCCTCCAAATATGCTATTTTCAGCTTTATTTCGATTCAATAATCCTAAATTTGAATGATTTATAATCTCTTTAAAAAATCTATAAGTGTTCAGCAAATTATAATGGACTATATATGCTTTAATTTCTGAAATAAAAGATATTAAAATTTATTGAACGGAAATATATATAATAGTTTATTTGGGACAAACCGCATAATCTTTTTATTCGCTTGGCTCCTTCAAATTTGGATCCCAAGCCTTGCAAACATCAATCCACTCAATACTTTTTGTCAAAGTGAACAATTCATCGCAAGTTAGTTTAATTGCGGATGATGCTGTTCCACAAGCAGGGAAAACATGTGAAAATCTCTTCAAAGAGACATCACAATATTTCTTGCAAGGTTCTGGATTATCAAAACCGCATACACCACCAGGTGGATAGCCTGTTAATTCAAATACATCTGATGATTTAAGCATGTTACATTTGCAATTAAATTGGGCTCTGAATTTCTGATTATCAATTCTTGCATCACCTGCGGCCATCACAAGTACTGGTCCTGAAGGTGTTTGAAAAGAAAGAGTCTTGCAAATAATTGCGGGAAGTGTTTTTAGTGCTTGTGCTGCGAGTTCAACTGTGGCGCTTGATTCATGCAATTCTATTACTTCGTTGTCTCTCCCAAACTGCTTTAAATAGTTACGGACCTTTTCCGTAGTGAAATTTCCTTCATGTGACATGAAATTTTTGACACTTTTATTGAATTTGTAATCAAACATTTCAGATTTTTAAGAGTTGGATTGGTCAAATATGGATTATATCAATTGTCCTTCCTGATTATGAAAACGATATTCGTTATTAATTACATTGATGCAACGCGCCACTGATCCATAATCACTAGAGACACTCACATTTTTTGGAATATCTTTTGACATCAAATTTGTATCCAATTTTTTGTTAATAGCTATTGACAATAGCTAGTCAGTGGGCCAGTCTGAGCTATATGTTTACATATAGGAATCAGCATTTGAAAAAGATAGAAAGCCCATGGCGCACTGCGCACCACTAAATTTCAAAAATAATTAGATAATAGAGCTAAGGCTCGATTTGTATATAATGATGTGATGCATAGCTATTTAAAGAAGCAAAATTGCAGTTTTTGAATTGATATCAACTTTTGAAGGTAAAAAATTAAATATAACTTCTTTCTTGCTAAATTCTGTATTTATTCCTCTTCAGCTTGTTGCGTGTTTAATTTTTCATATTTTTTAATCAAACGGAAAATTGACTGAAAATCCGTTAGTTCAAAATGCAGGATCAACTTCAAGCCCTGAATCATCAGGTTATAAAGAAGATCAACCTGTCGAAACATATTGCAGAACTTCTTGAAACTATCACACGCGATCAGCCAGCAGATCCAATCGGCTGCTACGAAGAAATGTCAAAACTTATTTGGAAACAGCGTCATGTCCAAGAAAATCCAGTCATGCCATCTGTTCCACAGGAGGAATTAAATCGTTGCCAAGAAACACTTGATTTGTTAGCCAAGCTTGAATCTCCAGCACGTTCTAAAGTTGATACATTATTCTTCGAAATGAGCTCTAAATGGTCATCATACGGCATTACAATGAGCAAGGACAACGCTCTTATGCTCCAGTGTTCCCTTATTGGACTTGCCGAAAAAGAAGAGATCGTCGGCCTCCGCTTCTGGGGTACATTTTCCACTCCAAACGGCTTGATATATATTGCTGAAGCTGATGTTCCACTTGAGCATCACAATACTCCAGACAACCTTCCACCAGTCGGACAATACGATGTCCCAGCCGAAATTGGCGTTGGTGTCAACAGATTTGTCTACTACTACACTAAATCTCCATTCGATCAATGGCAGCGCCTTCCAGATGTTCGTCCATCTGATATTGTTACATCAAGAAAAGTAACATGGCAGATTTCTGGCGACTTCTCTGCTGCTGTCCGCTCATTTGTACCATTCGATGTTACAGAGGATATCTACATCCGCGCTCTTATTGCTCGTATTTCATCTGCTTGCATTGCCGCGCCAACAGGCTACATGCAGGAATATACACCAGAAGAGGAAGAAGAAGCCCAAGAGCAGCCAGAAGAAGATGGCGAGGAAAAGTCAAAACCACCGAAACAGCTCAAGCTCGTTATCGCTCCAGATTTCGAAGGAACAGAAGTCGATGCTGTTGAATGGGTCCATGTCAGACCATTCATTCTTCCACAGGGTCGTGAGAAATATATTAAGGCACCAAAGCCACCGAAACAGCCAAAGGAGAAGAAGCCAAAAGAAGAGAAGGAAGAACATGGCGAAGAAGAAGGAGAGGAGGAAGATCAGAAGCAACAGGAAGAGCCAGAGGAAGATGCTCCAGAAGAGGAAGAGCAGCCAGAAGAAGGCCCAGAACTCTTCGGAGGCATCAACGATGATGAAGGCTTCGGAGAAGAACAACCAGCTTGGAATTTCAAGACAGTTACATCTCCAATCGCAGGAGAATCATTTGTTGTCGCTGAGTCCCTCAGATGGCCAGGCGCTTACAACCTTACAGACGGAAAGAAGTCATGCTCTATCTATATGGGTACTGGAACTAAGTTCATCGTCGATGGATTCCAGCCACCATCTCCACCTCCAATGGCTGGCGAATACAGACTCAAGATGACAGAAAAGATCGATCCAACTCTTGATGAAGAGAAAGAAGCTGAAAGAAGAAAGAACCCACCGAAAGAGGAAGAAGAGGAGGAAGAGCAGAATGAGTAAAGTTTTTGAATGTCTTCATTTTAATATAATATAACTCTTTTTATTATTAATTCTGAAATTGTATCTCAAAATCCGAACATATTTCTGTAAGTATGGCAGAGTTCGATATGTTATATGGATTATTTCTCATTTTTCGAATGAAAATTTGATTATACTGGAATAATTCTATATTTCAAAAAGATTGGATTAGACTTGGTCCAAAGTTAGCATGGAAATTGAATAATTCCTATTTATTGGAAGCAAAATATGATATGCTAAATCTAAAATCTGACATTTTTAATGAGTGAAAAAGTTATCAATAAAATAATTAAAAACCTAAAGTCTGCAAATGATAACGATAAGCTTGCTGCACTTATGTATCTCACAAAGCTCTTTCCTAAACCAGAAGATCTGAAAAATTCAAAAAGATCAACTGAAATATGGCAAGCTCTACGTTCAACACAGTTCCTTGAAAGAGCACTCAAGTTAGAATCGACGCAGCCGTTGGTTTTTTCGATCCTTTCTGTATTTAATGGAATAGTTCCAAAAAATGAATTAAAACCATTTCTTCCTTTATTGAAAGATGCAATTTCTGCCGAAGACTCGTCATCTGTTATAGTTGAAATATGCCAGAATCTTGATGATATTGTTGACTTTATAAAATTATATCCTTTTAATAAGGAAAATCTTCCAATATTTGCTGCTGCAACAGATGGACCAAAGAAATGTTCAATGGACTCTTCTGTATATAATCTTAGAAAACAGATATTTGACGAAATTGGAAAAGATGAAGATTTAAACATCAGAAGATATCTATTTCTGATTATTTCTCACATGTGCCGATTATCCAATGGATTGTTTGCACTTTATTCGGCTCCAAATAAAATGGATTTGGCTCCATTTTTAGGATCAATTAGATTAGCTTTTATTGAAATCAGACTCCAACTTGATGTACCAGTAAATTATCTGGAAATAGAAAAAGAAGAGAAAGAAGAGAGGCTAAAAGAAGAAAAAGAAGTCAAAAAAGACAAAGATGAAATTGATCTTGATGATGAGGAAGAAGAATTTAAACTTCCTGAGCCAATCCATGGTATGAAATTCTCTCCAAATATAGGTCCTCTAATTAACCCCGATATTACAGCAGCAGCTTCTCAATTACTTGAAAATGCAGTATTTGTTTTACTAGAAAACGAAGATAGACTCAGTGATGATGAAGTTAATAGTTATTTCGAAACACTCAACACTGTTATTATGGATTCAATGGAGATCGTTAAAGCAGCTAATGGAGAAAGAGACAAAGATAGAAAAGAACTTCAAGTTTTGCTTTCAATTATTGGTATGTGGCTACGAGATGCAGAGTTTCTGTGCGCAAACAAATCTCTTATTATTGCACTTCCAAATCTTATCCGTCTGTTGAAGTATTTTCCAGCTCAAGCTTTGCAATTCCTCCCTGCTTTCTCAATTTGGAGCGATGAATATCTCAGAAACTTAAAAGTTGCTCAATTCTCTGAACTTGTTGATGTAATTAATGAAGCTGGAGATGATGTAGAGAAGGAAACTGCAAAAATGATTAATTCAAAGATAAGGGGGCTTAAGTGAATATTTTAAGCCTTTCACAGCGAGATTTAAATATTCATTTCAAAGAGAATTCTCTCAATCCAGAATATAAAAGAACGAGAGGAAATTTAAACGTGATCTACTTGATTTCAAAAGAAATTGGGGAGATTAGTTTCCGGCGGTTTGACACTAGCTAGATTACGATTTGAGAGGGGACTAAATTAAAAATTGAAAAGAATGTTTATTTTTCAAATTCTTCTATGAGATTTGATTGAACTTAAGTAGTACATGATAAATTAAAATTTCACTACAAATTGAAAAGAATTTTTTGAGAAGGAAAAGAGTTTCTTTCAAAATATTGAGAATGCATAGAAACTGTAGAATTTTCATTTTTAGGAATGTCATCCGAGACAACATGCCATTGCAATAAGCAAGCTACAGAGACCTGCCACTGCGGCAAAGAATGTAAATGTTGTGGCTCAAAGCAAGAAGGAAAGACTGAATGCCACTGCTGCGAAGGTTGCAAGTGTGGTCCAGATTGCCACTGCACTAAGGATAATAAGTGCTGCCCAGAATGCAAGTGTGGAGAAGGCTGCCACTGCTGCGAAGGCTGCAAATGTGGTCCAGATTGCCACTGCACTAAGGATAATAAGTGCTGCCCAGAATGCAAGTGTGGAGAAGGCTGCCACTGCTGCGAAGGCTGCAAATGTGGTCCAGATTGCCACTGCACTAAGGATAATAAGTGCTGCCCAGAATGCAAGTGCGGAGAAGGCTGCCACTGCTGTGAAGGCTGCAAGTGTGGTCCAGATTGCCACTGCACTAAGGACAATAAGTGCTGCCCAGAGTGCAAGTGTGATCATTAAATATAAAAAATCACTATATTTGTATCAAATAATATTATTTATTTATTTTTTTTACATAGAATATTTATTTCAAACAACATACTTTTGAATAAATCTTGTAGAAAACTAAAGTAATGTAATCTAAATGCATAGAAAAAATCGAAATTGAAATTTTCTGTTTGATCGTAAGATATTTACGAATCATCACATAAGATGAGTATGAAATCTTCTGATATTGCGAATATTTGTATTTGGTTCACAAATTAATCGACATATAAGAATTCTATTTAGATAATTCTTGCATAAGTTTCTTTCTTTGTTTTAACAAGCTTCTCAATTCCTCTTCTTTTTCAACTATTTGCATTTGGTAATCTTTTATCTCATCTTCAGAAATTTTTGTTTCAGTTTTTGAAGATTGTGCAGCATTTCTTTTGCTAATCGCTTTTATTTCTGATTTTAAATTCTTTTCCTGTAATTGTAGTTCTTCTATTTGTTTTTGATATTTTTCATATAGTGGCTTCGAAGCTGCTTCATATGCCATATAGGCTCTTAAATCCAAAGCAAGCTTTTTAACTAATTTTCTGAGTTCTTGTTCATTTTTTGGCTCAGTAACAGAAAAAAAGCTTGATTCTGGTAACATATGAGGCTACCATTTTATATAATCTACTCCCCCATCTTATTTGCTAAATGATAATGATTACATTTCCGGTATAATACTGGCTTTAATTCCGAGTTTCAAAAAGTTCCTGATGAATTTTACTATCAAACAAAGATAAATAAGATTTTAATAATTCACTGATCGTTAATCTTTTAAAAATATCAAGTTAAATATAACAAACAATTAAAAATAATACTTTTTACATATAGATATCCAGCTAATAATGTCCAAAAAATAACAAAATTTTGAAATTTGAATTTAAAAATAAAATTTTTGCTAAACAAAATCTTTTGTAATTGTAATTTTGAGGAATGATACTTAAGCTAATAATTTTAAAGACATAGTGTTTGTTAAATTTTTCATATTGAACTTGAAATATTTTATAAATATCAAAATTATATTTCTTATAAGGCATGACATCATATCAATGATTGGTTGGCAAGTAAATATCATCAAATATAAAGCAGTTGGGCTAAGTTGAATCTCAATATATAAGAATTTTATGATTCAATTATATGAATCATAATATATAACATATGTGGATGCCTTAAGGTAAGCAAAAATCCATAAAAACACATGTAATCTCTTCAAAGCACTGTTTAAAAATAGTATCTTATGATTTCTGAATTTACAAAAGAATCTAAAATTCATTCAATAACATTGAGCCAAATGCTCCATTGGTTGATAAGCAAATGAGCTGTAGAAAGTTCAATCTTATTCTTGATTTATTAAACGCTAATTTTTTACAAGTTTGTTTTTTATGTTTTCAGAGAAGAACTTGAAAAAGTTTTCGAAGTTGTTTCTCGATCATTATTATCTATTTTTCACAGTAGTGTTCGCGTTATCATATTATATCATGCAAATCGCGCCATTACCAAGTTTATCAATTTTATTCTCAATAATTTTTCATTTCCCTTATATATTTGCAGATATTTCAAAGTATCATCACATTTACTTAATGACTGCTCAATGCTTAATTGTTACATCTTTAGTTTCTTCAGGATTAGACTTTTCAGAATGTTTATTTTACTTTTTCATTCAACAAAATACTATTTCATTACTAAAGGATCGTTCTCCAATTGTTATTTTACTTCTTTCTCTCGAATCAATTTTCATATTTAATTCTGACCATCTTACACATTTATCAATCGCTTTTATTGCATTTTGTTTTGTTGGCCAGTTCGCAATTTACATCGTATTCCCATCAGAATTCCATAATTTACAATTCCCTTCAAAAACAATGATTTTTGGTATGTTAATCGATTTATGCTGCGGAGTTAAAGTGAAACCATTTTTGTTCCTAATTGCAGTTGTACTATATCCGGTCTCTAATTTTACATATACTTCAATTTACAGATTTACAAGAGAAAATCTCTTTTCTTTCATATATTTAATAGTATCATTCACAATGAATATATACGGTATAATGTCTGGCATTAAACTGGGGGCAGGACCATTGATAATTTCATCAGAATTATCACTTTATAATACAATTTCATTGATGATCGTTCTTTTCGGTGAAATCATTGCTAGAGAACCGATATCAAAAGAATTTTCATACGGAAAGGGCAGAATTAAATATGTTTTCCAATTAACAAGTTCAATTATTATTTTATACTCCGCTTTCTTTTTACTCGTTGATAATACAACATCCTGCTTCATGGATTCGATTTATGTTCGCGATCCGTCACGAGTTGTTTTACTTTCCCTTGTAGATTTTGGAATTTCTTTATTTGGTGCTATATCAATAGGAAATGCTGCATTGACATCATTCTCTTTGATGTGTGATATATTTATATCATCATCTGCTCTTATTTCTTCACTATTTGATTATTTATTCAATTTTCCCTCATTTGATATCGTAATTTCTTACTTTATTATTGTCACAATATTCATAACTACTGTATCAGAACTAAGAGATTCATTATATGCTTTAATGTTGTGTTCTTCAAGAAAATTATTTGCAAAGACATTGAATGCATTTAATCTAAGCTATAGAACAACAGTTTTCCACTATTGGAGTACTGGATCGCAGCGAAATGTTATTAATATAAAGACCCAAGTAAGTCGAAGCAATAATAAGACAAGCTTGAAGGCAATGAAGCAATACTTTAGGAAAAAAGGAATAGAATCAACCATTGAACTACATTATAATGATTAATTAGCATTTTAATCGCATTATTCAAAATAATTTCATCTTTATTGCAAATTAATCATACAGTATAGAGTATAATACAATTTTTAGAACATTTATGACGCATGTTATGCATTTTTGTTGCAACATTTCATATTTTCAGAATTTATTTTCCTGAAATATGATTTAATCATTGACTTACCGAAACCAAGAGTCTTTGATTCAAGTAATTTAGTCAATTCTTTCTTGCTTTCAAGAATTTCAATAAAATCCAAACCAAAATATATTTACATTCTATTATAAAGAAATATATCTCTGATATTTTGTTCGTATGGTGTACTGTCATGTTGTTATTAATAGTAAAGCTGTTTCTGTCTGATAATAAATTTTTGAAATTTTTGCAGGATAAAGATTCACTCCAAAATTGCGAATACGCAATCCCCATATTACTCTTAGTATAATTTTACAGGAAAATCTAAATTTTGAATTTGAGGGGAAAAAACGGCTTGGCTTATCCTTTTTGATATGAAGAGCGTCCAAGTTTTTGGTCGTAAGAAGACCGCTACAGCCGTAGCCTACTGCTGCGAAGGCTCTGGCCTTATCAAACTCAATGGCACACCAATCAATATGGTCTCTTCTGAAACACTCCGTGCCAAGATCCTCGAACCACTCCAACTCATTGGTGAAGAGTCTTGGGGCAACCTCGACATCCGCGTTCGCGTCCACGGTGGTGGCCACGTCGCTCAGGTCTACGCTATCCGCCAGGCTGTCGCTAAGGCCATCGTTGCTTACTATCAGAAGTATGTTGATGAGGCAACAAAGACAGAAATCAAGAACACACTCCTCGGCTACGATCGTACACTCCTTGTCGCAGATCCACGTCGTATGGAACCAAAGAAGTTCGGTGGTCAGGGTGCCCGTGTCCGCAGACAGATGTCATACCGTTAAAAATTTCGTCATACAATTGCTATTGTCAATTACGACAAAAATTATAATATTTTTATTATAATAAATCAAAATTTTTCTTTTTGCAATGAATATACAGGACTTAAATTGATAAAAAACATGTCATATGCCCTGTATATATCCTTCTGAGTTATAAAATCACTTTCATTGCAAAAATTCTAATTTGAATTTTTGAAATTTACACATATAATAATGATCATGCATCATCTTCATTAGTAGCTTGCAAAAACTAATATATAGATCATAATATCAACTCTAGATTAAAACTCATTTTCATGATTAAGGTCTCATTAGCCTACATTTACGCAGAAAATTGACAGAAACTTACTGATAAAGTGAAATGAAGGCGAAGTTAGTGAAAATGGATTTATGCTTTCATGAAATTTTGATATTTTTGATAATTTTGAATTAATGAAGACATTATTAAGGGTTTGTTTGAGTGTGCTATCAAAAAATTATGAAGATGATTTGAAATAAATCTTTTATTTAATACATAAAAAAATAGATAGTTTTTTGTTGGAGATTATTTGGCCTTTTGGAGGCTCTTTCTAATCTGATCGGAATCTGCTTTGAGTTCTTGAATCTTCTTCTGGTATTCGACAATTTGCCTGTTGAGGTCGACATTTTGGATAATTAGCTCTTCAAGAAGGAGCTGTTTCTGCTGGAACTCTGGAGATGATGTAATCTGAGTACTTGGCTGCTGTTTGAGGGTCTGGTTCTGGATTTGGAACTCAACAGTGTCGATTTCGTTCTTTTTTCCTTGAATTTCTGATTTGAGCTGGGCCATGTGTTTGGAAATTCTTTCTTTATCGAAAATGATTCCTTCAATCTTCTTTTGAAGTTCTACGTCGATTCTAGGAATCGATGGATCAATTCCGGTGTCTTTCAACTGGGTAACGATCTTTCTGAGATCTGTAGCTTGTTGTTTCCATTTGGATTTGTCTTCTTCGAGCTTCTTTTTCTGGTTGTCGAGGTCTGACAAAAGATTATTGTATTGGTCTGTTAATTCTTCAAGCTGCTTGTTGTATTCGTCGTTAATAACTGTATATTTCTTGAGTTCGACCTCCTGCTGCTCGATATATGCTTTGTTTTCTTGAATAACTGCATCAAGTCTTCCTCTGGCCGCTGCAATCGAATCCTGGGTCTGGGCGATCTCTTTATCAGCAGAGGCTATACGTGTCTTTGTAGTTTCGTAACGAGAATTGGCCATACTTAGTTCTTGATTTTTGATTTGAATTTTCATAGCTATAGAGCGATTGAATGCCTCAAGACTTTCCTGTCTCTTTAGGAATTCAGCCTTGGAGTTTTGGAGAGTCTCTAACTTCATTCTGAGCTTGCGGCTTTGCATTGTTAGATCTTCATGATACATTGGGTAAGCGCGTGATGTTTTAAGAAAATCTACAAGTGGTTGAAGTCTCTTGCATCTTGCTCTAAGCATATCTAAATCTCTCTTCTTTTTAATAATTCTGACTTCGAATTTTTTGTTGTTTTGCGTGAGCATCGATATTTTGCTCTCTTTAACTTCAATTTTCTGTTTGGTAGTTTCGATTTTGTCTGTTAAGTCTTTGAATTGGTTATTTTGGTCTTCTTCATTTTGTGTTTTAAGTGTTACAAGTTTTTGTTTAAGCGAAGCGATTTCATCTTGCACGAGAGCAAGTGATTCTTGATGTCTCTTTTTACTATCTGCTTTCTGTTTCTCTAAATCTTCAACTTGGGCTTTTAATGTCTGATATTCCGCATTTGGCTTTGATAATTCCTTTACTCTTTCTTTAAGGGCAAATGTCTCCTTTCGGACTGCATTCATCCTCGCCTGGAATGACATAAATTCATCTTCTGATATCATCAGGCGTATGTCACATTTTTCATCGGTTGATTTTATTCTAAAAAAAAGGATTTCTGTAGTTTACAAAATTGAGCAATGCCTAAAATCAAATTACTTGAAAATAAGATCAGATATCTCAAACCAACAAAAAATCTCTTTTACATCAATGTTGGAAATTTTTTATCTTATCATGAAACTGAGAAATAATGTTAAACATAATAATTTGAGGCGATTCATCTGTTTCTAAGGTATTCTTGTTGTCGCCATAAAGTAAATAGGTCTTTTGCCGGGTATTGTTACAAAATCAATCAAATTTCAACATAAAAATACAATAATAAAGGATTACAAATTAGTATTTCTAAAGACATATGGTTCCTTTTCATTTAAAGCCAGAAATGTATTAAGAATGCATGATTTTTTGAAAAATATAATTTTATTAGATTTAAACAGTAGATAAATTTTTACATTTAATACTTAATAGTTATTACTCGATCAAACCGTGCTTGTAAGCCATCTGATATGAGAATAATAGCATTTGCATGAGCGGATGTTCGAGTTTAGGTCTTTGATTAAGAACAATAACTGTATCAATAAAATCATCAATGCGAGACATAATATATTCATGAATATCGCGTAAGGCAGGGTTGACATTCATTGGTGAGAAAGTAACTGGAATTTCTGCACCAAGAATATGGACAACGGTGCGTTGGACGAGCTCTAATGACTGAGCATATGTTTTATCTCCGAATAAGAAGCCTTTCTTCAAGCTTTCGAACTGATCAATCTGTTTAGATGCGATTGTGAACGGACGAACTGCCAATTCAAGGAACATTGAGATGGCAGATGAACCCTTAGCATCATCGTAAGCTGCAATGCAAAGAGCAGCCTTTAAAACGTATAAAGCTTCGAAAGGAATATATCTATGAGTAATTGACATGCAAATATCATGAATCATGTCGGCAATGCCCCTCTGCATCGTAATACGAGCTGCCCATTCGCCTGACATGGCCATAAATAGGTTTGTTAAGGCAACAATATTAATATTTTGGGCAACTTGGAATCCTTGGACAACTCCGAGTGATGCAACTGATAATTCTCTCAAGAACAAGTCAATGACGTTATCGCAGCCCAAAACTAAGAATAAATTCTGTAATGAGGCATAATCTGAATGTTGGCGAGCCAATAAACAGATTGCTGTAGCAAAGGACATGTCCATTGAGCATAATGAGTTTCTAAATGATGTAATATAATCTGATGGAGGTCTATTTGAATTTAATACTGAAATGAAAGCAGCAAATTGATTGCGACGGCCAATTTTCGGTGATTCGTTAAATACAAATTGCCTAATCCTGGCTTCATCTTCTGGACTGACGCCTTTGAATCTCAATGATGGTGGAATTGTGAAATTTTCCTTTGTTGTTGGATCTGGAAGAATAGGAATTCTTGCGACTGTATCATTTAGATCGATGACGAGGTTAAAGTAGCCATCAACGTATGCTTGAATTGGATCTGGAATTAATTCTTTTGCATGTATATAAACACGAGCAGTAAATAACGACATTGACGAAAGAACGATAAATCTGAGTGGATTTGGATTAGAAGGAAGAATTCTACGTAATATTTCTTGTAATAATTCAGTTTCTTTTGAAACATAAAAGTGGATAATTTGATCTAAATGCCCTTTGATGTCTCTAAACAATTCGTGGACTGGAATTGCACTTGAATCGTAAATAAAACTTTCAGAACACTGGCGAGATAACAAATGTAAGAATTTCAACACCATTTTAGCGTTTGCAACACCTTCTTCTGAACCCTCACCGAGATAATAGTGGCTAGGGCACTTATTATGATGCTGGACAACAATGTCCATAGCGTGTTTCAGTTCCCTCTCCATACAAATTCTTCGTTAACGAATTGCGTTTTAATTTATATTCAAATTTAAATATCAAAATCAGGATCTGTATGACATCAATATTTTAAATATTAAATTAAAATGGAAAAGAAAATATTAAAAAGTGTCAATACCAAAAAAATCGTTTACAAATTTCAAGTTTTCATTTGAGAGAGGGTCAAAGTTGCTATTTGTCACTTTTCCACAAGAATATAATGGGAAAAAAGTTATCATATAGTTGATCTCATTCACTGAGGTGAGAGATGCATGTAGTGTAGTTTGATAAACAGTGGGATTGCTGCTCTAAGTCCTAGGTTCGAGACACATTGGCTTCATTTTTCTCTTTTTTATTGACGTAAACTATTCAATTTTTGTGTTATCCATTCAAATTTCAGAATTTTTTTTGCAGATTTCACGCTACATTCGAAGTTACCTTTTGTAACAACCACCACCGCCTACGAAAGACGAAAGTGTGTCACGATTTCACCCGGAAATCCGACGGTTGTTTAAGAGTAAGCACTTTTGGCACCTACTCGTTTTCATTTTTTTTTTATTCCTATTCCTCCATGCCAATTTTATATACTTTCTTAACACCCTTCTATGAATTTTGGAAGTACTACTTGAGTTGAAGACATTTCATATATATTTTTACTTACATTATCGGAATCCAATTTGATTATACAATTTGAATGAATAGCTCAATTATACATGATGATACAAATAGTATGTGGAATAGTTCATCTATTAATTTGATGAATATCATTTAGTATCAAGATATATCTTTTATTTTATTGTTCATTTTTCTTGATAAGTATGTGGTTTAAAAATAACTTGAAACAAATAATAAAAAGACAGATTTACAAAGAAAAAAATAACATGAAAATTTCGCAAATATAAAAAAAGTTAAAAAATAATATAAATTAGACTTGATCATTAGCGGTAAACATGATCTTTGAGGATGTGAACTCTTTTAGACGCTGAAGTAATTTATCAATTTGATCTTCTCTGACATTCATCATTTTTGTCTCTCTAGTGATTGATTCTGTAGCATCATCTGCTGCAGCAATAAGCTCCGAGATAGGATCTTCTTTCTTTGATCTCGGTTGTGATTTTTCTATTGAAATTGCAAATAAAGGCAAAAGAGAAGCCGCAGATTCCTTATTTAACTTGAGAGCTAAATCACCACAAACCAAGAGGAAGATTGAGTTAACGCAATCAAATGAAATCGAAGTTTGTTTAAATAAAGTGTAATTATTTGAATTTGCGCTCTTAACTGATACACAGTCGTTAGTTACTCCAACATCTAACTTCTTTCCATTATCTAAATAAACATTAAAATGTCTTGAAGATAATAATTCAGATTCAAACAGTTTTTTAGATAATTGCTGCAGTTCTTCTTGCGGTGTATTGTCATTTGGTAATAACCTAAGAGCTTGGGCAAGAAACATATCTTCTTTATGCATTTCTTGCTGCTGTATAATGTATGATTTTACTAAAGGCAAAATTTGAGGTGTAATTGTAGGTGGGATGTATTTCAACTCAAAAGACCATTTAGCATCAGGATAAAAATATGGAGCAATAGGAGTTAAATCGGGTATTAAGTATAATTTGTATTTTTCTGAAACTGTGCGAACAATAAAGATATAGTCTTTAATCGTTGATAGTTCTGGATGTGTCAAGATAAAAAGTTCATGTAATGTGATCTCAGGAGAAATAGAAATACAAGTGATTTTTCCATCTGGTTCAGTTAGATTAAGTACGATTTGATTAAGTTGTGAGCTTTCTGAAAGTATCTGCTTTACCATCTTTTGCGTGCATTTCTGATTATTTCCAAAACGAAGATTTTCTGGATGTTTTCTAATTTCAGGGAGTGAGAATAAAACTATTGGCGGAATCATAATAGGATTGTGTGATATATTGATTCTTTCTAATAAAAAGCATTGTGAAATTGATAACGGAAGAAAATGAAGATTATTATTTGATAAATCGAGTTCTAAAAGAAAACTATAATCAAAAAACAAGTCATTTCTCAAGAATGATATCTTGTCTCGTTCCATTGCATCATCACGACGGCTCAAATTTAAAATTGTGACATAATTTGGACTCGAACTCATTTTTTTGTAAAAAAAATGCGCCTCAGAAACGCAATGAATAGAAAAACATATGAGATAAAATATACCTTATATCAATGAGATCATGATTATATAAGTATTGCAAGCAAAGTAGACATCTTTGGCGAAATCCAAGAATTCTTCACTAAAATAAGAAGAATTAGAACAAATTATAACTAAGAATATGCTAACTTTCTACTAGGTATGTATGATGTAACGTATAATATACTTTGGAATTCTGAATCAAAAAAATATTTATATGGAAATGAGTATTAAAAGCACCAAAACATTACTGCGTATAAATCATAACTATATTTCTATACATTTACAAATAAACAAACAATAATAAGCGTAAAAAGCTTAAATATTATTAAAAACAAAGGTATAATTCAAAAGTTGTTGGCAGTTTGCTCTTAATTCAGCTCCCATTGGTGTTCTAGAGAATCTTGGTGGTGCAGGAATGACTCTTTTAGCTAATGAAGGGTCAAATTCGATTGGATCTGCAGTTGGAGGTGCAGGAGCGAGCAGCATTGTGAAGTTATACAATGCCTGCTCAGTCATACCTGCAGTTCTCATCAAACTCAGACTTTCAAGGAATTCTCCGTTGATATCAAGAAATTGTGACTCTTGAGGAGTAACAGAAAACACAGACTGTGTTGATTGTGTCGAATGAGTTGATTGTGTAGAGTCTCCACTGGTTTCTGACTCTTGGGAGCCAACATCCATGTCTGATGAAGGAATTTCTTCATCTTTTTTAAGGGCAACCATCATAGATGAAGGCGGAAGCATCATCTCGTTATTAAACGAATTGAATTGTGGCACGTTATCTTCGACTTCCCTCTTTGCGAAATCTTCAAAATCCGTCCAAGCGTCTGATGGTTGGTTTGCTGGCTTTGGAGGCTTCGGAGGTTCTTGTTTGGGCTGCTGCTGGACAGTTTCTTGTGGTATTTGTTGGTTTTCTGAAGGAATTGTTTGAGATTCTGGAGATTGTTGGTTATTTTGAGCAGAAAATGCTTCAAATTCATCACGAAGTCTCTCTTCTTGTTGTGGCATGTCCATTGGCTGCTGGGGTATCGAAATTGGTTGTGGAAAACGTGGTCTTTCTGCTGCACGGCCAAACATTGGATCGTAACCGAAAGGAAGGGTTGCATCAGGGTTAAACTGTGGCTGTGGTTGAGGTTCTTGTGGTCTGTTGGGGTAATTTTGAGGGGAAACAGTTTGTTGAGGATATCTTTGTTGATAAGTCTGAAATTGAGGCTGGAAATTCTGCTGTGGTGACGGTCCTCTTTGCTGTGTTGAGTATCCCGTTGGGGATTGGTTTCTTACTGGGTAATTTTGTGGAGATTGATTTCGGACGGGATAATTTTGAGGTGACGGGCCACGAGCAGGATAACCCTGCGGAGAAGGACCTCTAGCAACATATCCTGTTGGAGATGGACCTCTTGGCTGGTAACTTGAGGGAGATTGATTTCTAACTGGGTAATTTTGAGGAGAAGGACCTCTCTGAGGAAAACTCTGCGGAGATGTATTTCGGACAGGATAATTCTGAGGGGATGGACCTCTTTGTGGGAAATTTTGGGGAGATGCATTTCGCATTTGGTAATTTGGAGGAATTTGATCTCTCATTGGGTAGTTGGGCTGAAAGCTATTTGGTGATGGATTCCTTTGCTGATACATTTGAGGATTTTGCGGGTATTGGTTTGGAGAAGGTCCTCTTTGAGGATATTGCTGCATTCCTGGGTCTCGCATAGGGTAATTCGGTTGCATTTGAGTTCTTACGTGGTAATCTTGAGGAGATGGACCTCTTTGCTGATATGATGGAGGAACTTGCATACTTGGTCTAAATTCAGGGTTAAAACTTTGCGGAGAATTATCTCGGTGTTGAAATGCTTGATTTTGTTGATACATATTGGGTGAATTATCTCTCATTGGAAAATTTGGTGGATAATTTTGAGGAGATGTATTTCTCATAGCATAATCATTTGGCGACATATTTCTAGGATGGAAATCTTGAGGTGAAGCATTTCTATTTGCCATATTTTGTTGAATAAAGCCTGGAGGATAATTATTTGATTGTGGAGGCTGCTGACGAGAAACCTGTTGTTGGAAATCATTTCCTTGAAAGTTTTGAGGTGAGTTATCTCTTGCTTGGAAATTTTGATAATTTTGAGGAGAATTGCTTCTGATTTCATAGTCAATTTGGTAGTTTTGGGGTGAATTATCTCGAACAGGATAATTTGGAGGATATCCTGGTTTAAAATTTGGAGGAGGATTTCTTTGTTGAAAATCATTGGGAGATGGCCCTCTTTGAGGATAGTTTTGTGGATAAAAGCGTTGGTTAAACTCTGGTATTGGCTGTGTTTGGCGATTCACTCCGCCATTATTGTTCTGCATTTTCAGAGTTTTCCTTTTATCTAAAAAAGTGATATTTTCGGGAATCAAGGATTTCGACAACATTCTTAATAACAGTTATACCAATAATTACTGTCAAGTATATATAATGCCATTTTTGACCTTTTTTAAATGTTTACTCAAAGATAGCTTTTCAAATTAATCATTACATTTAAAAATTCATTATAAATTGGTATTTGTACCATGTGGAAGAAGAATCTTGACTGGATCTTCATAAGTAATATCTTCTGCAATATGAAGAGCTTTATTCTTCTCCATCTTTTGAGTTGAAATAGCCTATGTAAAAGAAAAAGTTTTTTATTATTAATTTATTGGACAATATGAAATGCTGCTTTTCCATATTTATCTTTCTCTATGAGGTTTGCATCAAGAGTTAGAAGAAACTCCAGCGGGTTCTCCGTTTTTATCATTTTTCATTGAAATTTGCACCATGTGATAGAAGAACTTCTGCTACTTCTTTATATTTATGTTTTGATGCAATATCAAGAGCAGTTTCTTTATCAAAATCTTTTTCATTGATATTTGCACCATGTGAAAGAAGAAGTTCGACTATTTCTTTGTTATTTTTATATGTTGCTTTATGAAGAGCTGTTTCGCCATCTTGATCCTTTGCATTGACATCTGCACCATGTGTAAGAAGAAGCTCGGCTATTTCTTTATTTTCATTAATTATTGATAAATGAAGGGCTGTTGTTACCCACATATCTTCCTCATTGACATTTGCACCATATGATAGAAGAACTTCTATTGTTTCTTTGCAATTATATTTTGTTGCAATATGAAGAGCGGTTTGATCATCATGATCTTTTTCATTGATATTTGCGCCATGTGAAAGAAGAAGTTCGATTATTTCTTTACAATCATAAAATGCTGCATCAAGAAGAGCTGTTCCTCCATATCCACTTTTTGAATTGATATTTGCACCGTGTGAAATTAGAAGTTCGATTGATTCTTTATTAGCGCGAAATGCTGCTATTTGAAGAGCCGTTTTCCCATCATAATTAAATGCATCGATATTTGCACCATGCGAAAGAAGAAATTCAATTATTTCTGTATTGTTATAACTTGCTGCAATATGAAGAGAAGTTTTTTCAGATTGATTTCGTGCATTGATATTTGCTCCAAGTGAAAAGAAATATTCGCAAAGAGATGGAATACTAAACATCGGTGAATAAACAAAGCATTTATTAACATCATTAGTTTGATCGAAATAAACTAAAAATGCGTCAAGATTTTTATGGATTCCACAGAAAAGTAAATCGATCTCTATATTGTACTCATACATCAAGAATGTAACAAAATCTATTTTATGTGAGATAATTGCATATTTCATACATTCTCTATCTGGTTTTTGATATTTCAAACATTCACTCATGATCTCTGGATTTCCGCCTAAAAATGAGAATTGTAGACATTTTTGAGTTATTTCTGAGTAAAATTTTGTTCTTAATATCTTGAAACAATCAACAGCTCCATGATAACAACATAATTCAAGCATTGAATATCCTTCGTGAAGAAAAGTGTATAAACTACTTTTAAGATTTTTAACTTGATCGAATTCTTCTTTTTCTGTTAAATAAATGAATCTTTCTACATCATTATTCATAATAGCTTTGTAAATTGCATTTTCTGAATGAATATCGATATTTTCTAATTTAATTTCTCCGAGATCATCAGCCTTGTCTAATTTAATCCCATATTCTATATAGAACAATTTATTAGCAAGTTTTGAAATATGCATGACTTCTGTTATATGATAATCATCACAAATTTGTTTCACAAGAGACAAGTATGACTTTGTATAGCGATTATTATATAGAATAATATTCAAAATATCTTTTATAATATTTTGCGGAAGATATTTATTTGAATCAATCAAGTTTGTTTTGATCATATTGTAAATTGAGTTTAATTCTTTTTCATTTGTCGTTTTTAACTGATACAATGCAATATATGAATCAATGTAGTTTTTGTGGATATTTCTTAATTCACTGTATTTGCTTGGAACAATGACTTGATGAGACATTATATAAAATAAAAGATATTCAGTTGCATTTTACCGAATAAATTAATTTTCAGATTTATAAGTAGAAGAAAATCAGCTTCATACATTCCAAGAACAAAGATAAAAAAAATTCGGATTGTTATTATTATTGATCAAAAATCTTAGATCATAATCAATTGTATGCCATAATTTATCCATTTTATCCATTAAAACACGACTTTACTCTATGTTTGAAAAATCAATTTGACAATAAACAAAAATAAAGCCCTAGGATTACCCATGCAGCAAAACAAGCTTTTCTGAATAATAAAAAACTTTTGATTTGAACTGTGAATATAAATATAAAAAATAAAAATAATAAAAGCTTTTTAAAAGATTTTCTGATATCCGCCAATTGTAACCGAAAGGATTTTATAAGCAAGCATTAGCTGAGCCAAATCAGATTTCTTTAATTTTTCAGCCAAAAACTTGTCAGCTTGAGTTAGAGGTTTGGGTTGAGGCCTTTGAGAAGATTTATAGTGGAATTCTGCAATTCTGCCTTCTTTGAATAATAAGTAATCTGAAAAAGAAGGATCGACAATTCGTTCGTATTCAATATCGATTTTATCAATTAGTTTGTTGATGAAGTAATCATTACCTGTTCGTTCGAATGTTTGAAGTGCTGTCATCATAGGTGTTTCAACAACAACATGACGAAGTGATGACCTTTCAAGCAAAAGATCAAAGCATTTCATAGAATTGAACTCAATACTTGCATTGATCAATGTAAAGTTGTCTGTTGAATAGATATGATCAAATGTCAAGCCTGCAGAAATGAAGAGTTGTAAAATGTCTGATCGATTTTTACTGATTGCTTCTAAAGAAGGAGAGAGGAGATTATAGTAGCCTTCAACTTCTTCGATTGAAGCACCGTTTTCTAAAAGACTCTTCAAAACATTAATATTTCCAAGTCTTGTTGCAATGAACAATAGTTGATGAAGTTGATCAGAAGGATCAGTTAATTCGGTGTCTGTGATTACACAATAAACTGTTCTAAACACTGAATTGCTCTTCGTAATGTTATTTACAACAAAGTTCCATAGGTCAGGATTGGCTGATTGCTTTCTTACTTTAATAAGGAAACTAATTGGACTTAAGTCAATATTAGCTATTGTAAGAATTAGATTCAGTGCTGTTGCATAATTACAACAATTTTGCATTTCTTTAGCTATAAAATCTAAATCTAAATCATTTGGGAGTGAAATTTGTTTGATCATTTTTACCAAATCTTCTTTTTCAGGAAAGCCCGACGATTTACCAGAGATTTTGAGCTGAATCTGATTAACGGATTTGAAATGAGATTCGTATTCATAATCTATCTTGCTGCATATTAAAGAAATGATTTCACTGTTTTTACAATTCATGCATTCTCCAACAGCAGTTTGCATTCCATTAAATTTAAGAGATGCTCCTAAACTAACTAATCTCTCAACACATTCAAACGAATTATAATATATTCCATCTTGAAGAGGAGTCTTTGAATTTATAATAGCATTAATAGGAGCACCTTTTGAAATCAATAAATGCACTGCATCAATGTTGTTCCATCTGATAGCATTGATAAATCCCAATGCAATTGCAAGTTTGGAAACTTTGTAGTCGAACAAATTTTCATAATTTAACTTATTCGGCGAGGCAAATATCTGTTGAAAGTAAAAATCTTCAATTGGAGTTCCTTTCTCAACTAATTGCGTTGAGGTCCTGATTGAATATATGATCAAACAAGAATCGTTAATCCTTTCTCTTCGAGAAACAATAAAATCATAAGCCTCTTTGTCTGTCGGAATTTTAAGAAACAAATTGCATTTGGAAGAATCATTCATTTCCCTTGAAAGTAGCTCATCTAAAATTTTGAATGATATTTCATCGAAAGATTTTTCTTTCCAGAGAACAAAAAGTAACCATTTTGTTTCAAAACCCTGACAAATTTCGTCTTTTATGAATATTTGCCTGTACAAGTTATATTTATTAGAAAAATCCTTATCATCGAATAGGTTTTTGATTAAGGAGATATCTTGTGGATTCAACGGTTTGTTCATTATTGCATGGACAATTGTACTTGGTTTTCCGAATTTAAGGACTTCTTCAATTGTAAAGAATCTTGAATTAACTGGATTAAACATCATATTAGATTTGCCGAAAGAATTTTTCTTTAAAATTTGAAATTCTTCATCTGAAAATTCGAGGAATCTGATGAAATCGAAATTATGTTTTGACTTAGAAAGTGCTTTTATGTCAATATGCTTCTTGTTGACAGGATCTGTGAGAAAATCAAGAAAATCGCTGTGAAGTTTAACCATTTCTTCTGGGAATTTAAATAGTTTAGAATGAAAATTCTTCTCCAATCTTTCTCTGTTGATTGGTTTAAACATAATGATGAATAATTGGAGAATTTTATCATAAAATTCTTTCGTGACTTCAATTCCAATGACTTTATTGATAAAATCAAGATGTGGTGGGATAATGTTTAAGAATTCATCAATATCTTCTTTAACAAGTTCATCAATTTTAGGTGAATTATAAACAAATTCTTGAATTTCATTAATTGTTTTGAGTTTTTCATCAGTTATCAATCCGAATTTTCTTAGAAGAGAAATTAATGGAGAAATATCGGTGTACTCTGGTTGTACCATTGATAACAAGTTGATGCAATCATAAGCAGTAAGCTGTGATTGTAAATCTTGATCTTTCATAATGATATCGGCAACTTTTGCTGGAATGATGCTATTATCATTTGAAATTGAGAAATATCTTGTTAATGGAATACAAACTGATCCATCGGGTTCTTTTTCAACAATCTTTTTTGATGCAAAAGGCCATGTTAAAGATGATGATTGAAGGAATCCAATCAATTGTTCGATCGTGCAATCAGCATCATTAAATTTCTCGCAGAGATTTTGAAACGTTTGGAGGTCGTTCATATTCATTGAATACTTCATAACGTCTATGAGAACTGAGATATTAATTGGGATTCCAGCAATGAATTTCTGATAATTTTTCTCAATGTCAGTATCAATTTGTAAAATATTGTTTACTTCTTTAAATATTTCTGGGTTTTTGCTCTTGATGAAATCAAGAATTTTTGGATTCAACTGGCAAATGCTTGGGAATTTCATATGATTAATAATAACATGAAGGTGTAATGAATATCCGAAAATTAGGGAATAATCAAGAAGTTTTAATATGTAAACATCTCGAGCATTATCAAGGAAATTATTAAGAATTTCTTCATCAGTAACATTGAAAAACAAAGAGCCCAAAAACATGCAACTCTTTGAGAGTTCTCTGATTGGTTCTATTAATCCATCTAATGAAAAAACTGATAACCAATCATTTGTATAGATTAAACGATTCTTCTTAGTTAATGAATAAATTGCACGAATCGTAAGTGTATCTGTAATTGAATATTCAAGATGATTTTGATTCCTTTGTGTAGTTTCTTCTGTTTTTTGGGATTGAAGCCAGTCAAATAATTCATCACGGCGGAAATATAATGCAACAATTGCGGATTCATCGAATCTAATTCCTTTTTGAATAAGAATTCTGATAATTTCCATATTACCACCAACAACTGCATAATTAGAAATATCGGTAAAATTTGGCTCCTGAAGTGACAAATACTTGAAACAGTTAACTGCACCATATAAAGCGGACAATTTTGTTAATGTTTCTAAAATATCGCCTTCTGAGAAATCCATTTTTGATGTTAACTCAATGAATTTATCTGGATTATCATCAATGAAGGTTTCAATTATCTCGATATTAATTTTCTCAAAAAGTTTGCAATTAAAACAATCAATTAGTCTTGAAAATGTTGCTATGTAGGAACGAAATATATTGCTTGCGGTTGTTGCCATTAGTTGCTCTGCTTCAAAGACAGAACAGACTTTTTCTTTGATTAAATAATATGAAAAAATTGGAGTGCAAATAAGGTTTTGACATACGATAATCTTAACATTTTTTGATAGTAATGAGTATAAATGAACGTAATCTCTGACTTTTTGCGGTCTAAGAAAGATATTTGTCGATAACTCTTGGAAGCCAGTATGAATGTTATTTTCGATGAAATCTAAAAGTTTAGATGTCTGTTCTTTGTTGTTACGGTCGTAATTCAAAAATAAATTCTGAATTTCATTAATAAATTCTAAACTTTTTGGTAATTCTGTGTTTACTATATCTTCTGGTGGGTAGAATGTAAATCCTGTAGCTAATTCTTGTGGACTCAGAATTGTGTTTTGAAACCTAGTAAAATCAAATAGAGCCAGAACTGTGTTCATCTCTGTATTTTTAGATATTAGCTTAAAAATATCTAATTGAGCATTGTTATTGTGAGATATAGAAAAAAAAACATGAGTAGAAATAGGCATGCGCTCTAAAGCTGGAATATTACCCGATACTAGCTCATTATGTTTAATATTCTCTATTTGAGAAGATTTTGTTTGCAAACTTATCATAGGATTTATTTATCTTTTATGTTGGAATTTTTTTAAAAAAATTCCTAACTTTCAAGTTTTATCGTCCATTCAAAATTCTATGGATCTGATTTGGAAGCCTATGGATGATATTTGAATTTTTTCCATGTTATTAGTATGAAACAACATACTATGTTTCATTTATGGAGCTACAAAAATTTTGTAAAACTTTCAACCGTTAGTAGTAGGGTAGGAAGGGTTGTGTGACTTTTTTTGTTACATCTATATATAGACGATGCATAAAAATATATTTATTCATAAATCATTAAAAAATTAACATTGATTTTAAAATAATTTATTTTATCTTTTATAAAAGAAGTTATATATAGATGATGTCAGATATTCCACGATTAATTAAACCAATGTTAAAATCCTGAATGGAATCAATGGAGTCATAAACGAGTAAAATAAATGAGAAAAATAAATTGAAACTAATGATTATTTGAATTTATGAAATCAATTATTTGATTCATTCTTTCTTCAATCTCTTCTATTCTTTTTGTTAAATCATCTATTTTCATTAATGAGGTGATTCTTGATTGAGGAATAGATTTCAAACTAACCACTCCTTTTATTTTTGAAATTTTGAATCCATCAACTTTAAACATTTTATTCAATTTACATGTTGTCAATTCTTCAAATAATTTTTTATTATTAGCATAATAGTCATTAAATTCTTCAATAGATGAAAAAATTTTTATTTCAGTAATTGGTTTAACAACGTTTATTTTTTGTTGAACATTTTCACTTTCATTTATTTCTTCCTCCTCTGTAACATTTATTTTTAAAATCGGTTTCATTTATCATTAAATAAAAATTAGAATATAAGTGATGAAATATATTTTTTAATTAATATTAAATCAGAAATGGCTGCAGGATTCTTTAAAAAATTATGGGATGGAATTAAGAAAGCTGCAGGTTGGGTTTATAAAAAGGTTATTAAACCTGTTGCAAACTTTTTGGCACCAGTAGCGAAAACGGCAGGAACTATCATAGGTGGAGTATTAGGTACTAAAGCAGGTAATCCAGCGATGGGAGCACAAGCAGGTAACGCAATTGGTGGAATTGCTGAAGGAATACTTAATAAAATAGGAGGAAGATAGTGGAAAAAATAAATAAATATTATTTTTATCTTAGTATCGGTTGTAGTCTTTGATAAACTTTTTCTCCTTTATTTAAAATTTCTCTTATTGGGGCAGCTTTTGGCGTTATTGATTCAGCAACATCACTAATTGCTTCTTTATTCTTAAATATCCAATTTGCTCCCTTCTTCAATGTTTCCCAAACTTTACTCGCTCCTCTTTTTACTCTATCCCACAGTTTCTTAAATATACCTGCAGCCATAGTTGATTATTTCATTAAAATTAAAAATTCATTTCCATCTTTTAATTTTGATTTTTTTATTTATTAATAAATGACGACTAACTATTTAGTGCCAAACACCAAACCGATTAATGGAAATGTGTTTCATTCATTCGAAAAGATAAATGAAATATTTGCAAAGAATGACGGTAGAAGATATTATAGAGAACTTGAAAGTTCATGCTATGACTCTGATGCTCCATATTTTGATGATAAACAAACTCATTTAAGAATTACAAATCCAGCTCATGATGTGAACCAATTAGGTGACACATATATTAAACGCAAAGTTAAAGCAACTCTAGTTTCAAATAAAGCTTTCACATGTGATGCCGCTTTTAAATGCATGCGTTTATTTGTTGGTTACAAATCATCAAATCAAAGCTTTAAACAATTAGAAGTAGAAACCGAAAGAGGTGATGCTGGTTATCTTCAGATGGATTGCGCCCGTGAATCTTTCGCATTTGCAACATATAAACCAAAATCAGAAAGGAAAGTTAAAAAGTTTGTTCATTCGTTATATAATAATGTTCAAAAATATGATAACTCAGTATGTGGTAAATATATTGATCCTTCAGAAGTTTTCAAGAGAGCAAATGAAGAAGTTGATATCACTTTTGATATGATTATTCCGGTAAATGATTTGTTAGCATTTCAGGCGTTCGATGATTATCCTAAATCATTTGGTGATATCATTCTTAAATATTATGTTTTAAGGGATACTTTAGTATTTTGTCAGGTTGACCCGTTAAGAGTTGCTGATTTACAAAATTACGTTTATGAAAAGATAACTGATGAAAATTATGAAAAGATTATGAATCATGTTTATAAATATGATCGCAAATTCCAACAAATTGGACTTCCTGCCAAATTAATTACAAGCTTAGCCGCTACATCTGCTGACGCATCAGTTGAAAGTGTTATTATTTCATGCACAAAGATGGAAGTTTTAGAGGATAAATGCATTACACCAGGATACGGTTTAATTGAAGAATCAGTTAAAGCAATACCACGTTTATTCAGTAAGGAAGATCCATTCATGATTCCAGCTCAACATATTGACGTTCGTTCACTCAATGGAGGTCGCATCACTCCTGAAGGTATTAGCTCAGATTTCTCATACGCTCTTCATAATGTTACAGATGTTGTGTTAACATTTCCGAAAAATGCAATGCAAAGAACAGTTTTAGAAAATCCAATGCTTCGAGGTCTTCAGGTCAATATAGATTCCAGAAACTTCCCCGATCAAGCGATGACCACAGTGGGCGACATATTCTTTACACGTATGCTTCAAGCTTCTGATTTAGATGGAGTGAATGAATGCACGGAAGAATACGAGGACTCATTAACTAGACCACTGAATGCAGATGATGGCACACCATTAGCTAGAACATGGAAAGACCAAACTTCATTCTTATGCACTATTCCAGTTCAACGTGATGGAGCAGGTATATTCTTTGATGGATTAGAAACTTTCAACTCACAAGTTACAGTACAAGTGAAAGCTTATCCAATCATTCAGGGTGAAAATGACACTTACTGTTCAAAGGTGACAAATCCTCCTCAGGTTTGGTTTACTAGGACTACATATTGGACATGGACACCGGATGAAGGTTTGAAATATCATCCAACAGGTACACCACCACAGTATAGAAGTTCATATGATGAAATATTGATGAATAGAAATGTTTAAAATTATAAATTTATTTTTGATTAAATGGATTTAAATTCATCCACCCCTTATGAAGAATTAGCAGGAGTATATAATACATACGTAGATGATATGATTAATGAAGCATTGAGTGATAATAGAAATGCTCTATCTAAGGAAAAATTAATGAAAATTCCATATTCTGAATGTTACTTAAATTCAATCACTGCAGCAATTGGTAAACAAAATAAAGGTAAAACATTAACGATATTAAAACAAATTATCATTATTGCTAACACTTCCCCCATTCACATGTGTTAATTTATATCAACCGTTCAGGTTCACCTTCAGATGATACATTTGAATCTTTAAAGCATTTAATCAAAATTCCAATTATTTATTTATCACAAGAAGAAGCAGAAGATTATTTAAAAAACTTTTTAATGTATAAAGAATTATATAATACAATCAAGAAGCAAGATTAGAGGATAAAATTATTGATAAACAACGGGATGAATTATTTGAAACACTTTCTATTTCAAATTTTGATAGAGAATTTTTGCATTCACTCATTTTTCTAGATGATGCAGTGAAATCAAAACTCATAACAAATGAGAAATCATATTTTAATCAGTTATTAACTCAATGTCGACACATTCAGTGTTCATTCTTTATGGCTGTTCAATATTTCAAAGCATTAAGCACAAACATTAAATCAAATCTATCAACCCTTTTCATTTTCAGTGGGTTTAGTCGTCAACAGTTGAACGTTATGCTTTATCAAGTGAATTTACCAATGAGCATTAATGAACTTTACACACAATATCAGCAATTAGGTGAACATGGAAAAATAATAGTTGATTTAAATAAAGGAGGTGTTAAATTTGATTAACTTTTTATAATTAATTTTTATTTTTTATTTATAATTAAACATGACAGAAATAGCAAATCTTCTACAGGTTCCATTAAAACAAGGAACAAACAAAAAGGGTACATATAATAGAACTATGAAAGTTCCTGATGGAATGAAAGAATTAGTTCATATTGTTGCTGGTCTTCAAAAAGATGTTAAACAAATGAGAAACGTTTTAACATTACCAGAAGCTCAAGCATATGCCAAACGTCATGGTCCAAATTGGGAAGCACACGAAGCAGACATTACGGGTCCAAATGGAAAACCTGATGGTATAAATGAAGTTTTCGTTACTGATGGTCAAGGTAATATTAAAGTCATAAATGGTTATAAATTAACTATATCTGATTATCCTAAACGTAAAGCATATAATGAACGTTATCCTATGCAATTTGATGAAAATGGAAAAGCTGTTAAACAATACATTGGAGAAGGTGAAAATGGTCCAATTAATTCATACCGTCATAATCCATATTCTTATTTCAATGAAGAATTAAATGCTATTGAAGAGGGACCGGATGGATTACCACGATATTCTAACCAGTTTGATGGTCAATATGCAAATATTAGACCTGAAATTTCAGCTAAGAAATTCTTTAAAGTTGCTTTATTCGATCCAGTTTTCGCAAATGTTAAAGATGAACTTAAACAGCAATTCCAACCAATTATAGTAGCAAGAATTGCATCAGGTGCTTTATCTCAAGCATTCAAAGATTTAATTAAGAAACCATTATATCAGCAACGAGGTTTAACTTATGATTTAGTTAAGGAATCAGATAAAAGAAAATTTGAGAAATCACTTGATTATAAGAATGCAATTAATGAATATATTCGGTCTATTAATTTCGATGAAACAGCTAAAAATCAACTTCATGAACAAATACAGGGAATAATAGATTCAAAAGTTCCAGCAAAATAAAAGTTTAAATATATTTTTTTTATTCGAATATAAATGAGAAGACGTTTCACTAGTCAAAAGAACACTAACGCAAAAGCAGAGATTACGGTTGGTTATAACGTAAATGATGATAAATCACGAATTATTCAAAATGTTAAAGTTAATGTTAGCCCTGAATTAACGAGGTCAGCAACTCAACCAAATTTATTAACTCGTGACTTACCGAAAAAGGAGGAGGAGAATGAAGAAAACCATGAGAATGGAGACCCAATCATTTTATCTGAACCTGGTAAAGAACCCGTTGAAATTCCCACTTATCCAACATACCCCCCACCTCTTTCATCAAACATCGAGAACCCATATAAAATAGACATTAATTCTGAATTAATGAAAATTTACCGTGATATAATAATTAATAATTATGATTCAATAATAAATTTAATTGACCGATCCGGTTTAATTATTTTACCTTATGAATCATTAATTCACATTATCGCCATTCTTTGTGATGTTCAAGATTCAGACGTTAAGATTCAATTTTTCATAGATGATGAGGTTTCATGCTGCGGAACAGTTGCAAAAATAAATCCTATAAAGGATATTAGCACAATTAAGATATCAAAGAACGGAACAACAACTGAACTTCATTTAACATATAATGATATTTATAATAAAATAGTTGATGAATATAAAATATCACTTGAAAAATTCTTTGTTAAGGCTATTTAATATTCAAGCATTAACATTATCGAATAATAATCCTTTGAATCATAATCAATAATAATTGACCTTTCACCAGTTTCTATCGTTTGTTTTATTTCTTTTTGTTCCCCACTATCCGGATCGGTCATTGTAATTGTTTTTGTTATAGTATCAGCTTTATCTTTAACTTCAATCTTTTTTCCATCAGGATATTTAAACCAAAATTCCAAAAATTCGATATTGTCAATCTGTTCATATTTTAATCTATCAATTACATTTTTAATACCATCTGAAAATCTTATGAAATGGTCATTATATGGGTTTGATTGAACTAAATTTGAATGAAGTGAAATATAACCTGTTGATGAATATGACATCGACTCATATTTTCTGAAAACACTAAAATTTATAACATGAATGAATTTCTTATTCGTTGAATTTATGAATTCTTGAGGTAAATTTAATCCCATTCTTTTAGACCCTTCAAATTATATATCATTTATTAAAGATGACCATGAAAAAACGTATGATATGTATATAAATAATGTGATAACGAAATGGGATATTAACATGATTTTAAGTTATTTAAATGAATCATTTATCGTATGGTATGAAGAAAATTTTAAATCAAAACCTGATAAACTTTTTGAACTTGATGAAATAAATAACCTTATTAAATTTCCGCTGAAAATTAAATTTTGTACTCCTCATCTTCGTTCATTGTTGGGGATATTAAATTTTGAAAAAGATGTTGGGGATGTTTTGTATTCTGACACCGGTTCCAATTTCATTTTAATCAAATGTGATAAAGTTAATACCCCAATGAGATTTTCACATCAAACATTAGACCCTAACTCTTACCCATCAATACAAAACATTTTATCCATCAACTTAAACACATTTTCTTTATCATATCCGTTTCAATTATCCGGGAATTCATTTATTCTTCATTCAAAAGATTTATCAAATATTAAATTTAGAATAACTGACCTATTTGATTGTGATTTAGAATTTATGAATGAAATATTATGGCAATTTCAAATAGAAAAAATAGCTGATGAGATAACGGATTAAATATTTTTAAATCATAATAAATGATTAAACAACAGCAACCACAGCAACTTAAGGCGCAAAGCACCCAGGTCCTTCAGACCATTACATACGCCATATATGCATATAATTCAAAGACAGCAGAACAAACACAAAGGTTGAAATATAGAGATTTGGAGATAGTATTGAAAAATGACCATTTCGAATTCGTTTGCAAAGGTGGTGCAGTGATATCAAATATAAAAGAAATTTTATTTATGAATTCAAAAATTAAAGGAATAACGGATGATATAACATCAATTCCACCAGAAGAACAAAGATATTACGCATTAAATGCATTTCCTAAAGTTTTGAAGATTGGAAGATTTAATTTAAATGAGGAATTCATAAAAGGTTTCCTTAATGACATAATGAAGAAGGCAGATAAGGAATATGTTAATGGTGAATTAATGAAGAAGGCAAATTTGGTTTATGTTGATGAAAAAGATAATGAAATTAAAGAAAGGGTTGAATGGTATCATGAATGGACATCAAAGATTTTAAAAACTAAAGCTGATACAGGATGGGTTTCAGGATGTTTAGACCTTAAAGCAGATAAAACTTATGTTAATGATGAGTTAGAGAAGAAGGCAGATAAGGAATATGTTAATGAAATATACCAAAGTTTGATAGGAACAACTAAAAATATTGAAACTATTGTTGGTGACTTTTCTGTCAATGAAGAAAATAAATATTTTAGATGGCAGTTTGTACAGTCCTTAAAAAATGGTATACGATGTAAACTCATTCCGAAAAATAACAATGAAATGTATGTAAGCTATATAAAGAATAATGGTACACAAGTTAAAGTTCCATTAGACAACAACTGCTACTTAAACTTATATGAAGACGAACAAAAGAAATATTTAAGAGTTTATGAAATGACAGATATGACATTGCCTGACCCAGCTCCAGCACCATATTATTATGACTATGGAGATGACGATAGAACACCACATGTAGATGAACAAAAGCTAACATTATATTTAGATTATTATAGATATAAAAGATATAATGCAATAGAAAAAACGAGAATAGTATATTATTATACAGATGACAAAAATAAATATTATAGTCAAGATTTTACCTACCCTGAAAACATAAGATTATATTATAAAAAATATTCTGACACAAACCAGAAGAAACCTGAAATAGTTACACTATATTTTAAGTTCAAAAGAGACAATCCTATATTATCTCATATGTTTGATTTAATGAACCCAGTAGGTTCTATTTATACATCTATGGATGCAAGAGGTCCTCAAGTAATGTTTGGTGTTGGTGCATGGGAACAGATTGTAGACAGGTTTTTGTATTGTGCAAACTCTTCAAAGGAAACAGGTGGAAGTAAAACGATTTCAGGTGAAAATTTACCTGCACACAGTCACTACATAGATTTAAGTACATCTCAGGCAGGTTGGCATAAGCATAGATATTGGGATTGGTCAGGAATGACAAAAGGTAAAGGATATGATGTTAAAGACGACGTTAAGTTTGCTATAAATTGTTACTGGAGTGACACTCAGGGAGAAGGAAACCATACACATTCCGTTTCAGGATATACACAAACAACGGGACAAAGTAAAGAATACATGCCACCTTACATGACAGTTTACGCATGGTATAGAGTTCAATGAACGCTCAATGTTTGTAAAACAAACTTTAGAACGGACTGAAAGTCCTGAGCTCCAAAAGAGCGAACAGCATAATTTAAATTTTTATTTTAGTATAAATGAAGATTCTACCATATGGTGTTATTGGAAGAGATAAAGATGGAAACCCAATATTTGATCCAAAGTTAAAATTAAAGTTACTGACAAGACAACAACTTGAAAAGTTGCTGAAACCAAAACAGGATGAAAAATGAGAAAATGAGAAAGAAAAATTTAAATTATGTAATTTTATTTTTATCATAAATGACAAAATTAATTAAGCCAACTATTTCTAAATTAATGATGCCAATGAAATCATTTCGTGGAGTACTTATCCCAGGTTCTTCACAATTAGCCAGGGCAGGTGTTGTGACTCAAGGTGGAACATTAGCGAATCCATTCAAATTATTAACTAAAGATGAACTTAATAAAACGATGATAAAATAACTGATAACAAAATTTTATTTCACTGCTACCAGGTAATTTAACTTTTCTGAAAAAATGAGACAACATGACATTTTGACAACAGTCCTGGAAATATGATGCAGCCCAAAAATAAAGTTAGTTTTAAAATTATTTTTATTTTTTTTTATTTTGTATGTAAGAACAGAAATGTCAGTCGAAGCAAAAACATTCACAAACAAATCTAATGGTGAAACATTCACAAAAGGCACTTATAATGGTATTGAAGTCTTACGTAGAGACAAGGATGGTTACATTAATGCAACAAAGATGTGTCAACAGTTTAGGAAAGACTTTAGAAAGTTGTTGGAAAATAAGTCCTGGGAAGAGTATTATAAGGCATTTTGTGAAGAATATAGCAACCGCCAGAATTCCGACGGTTGCTTTTTATACAAAATTCATGCAGGAATTCCTGATGAAATCAAACAGGTTAGAGGAACGTATGTAGACCCAAGACTTATAAACTATATAGCAATGTTGGCTTCTCCAAAATATTGCATAGCAGTTGGAAAAATTATGGACTCCATAGACAAGAAAGTTCATGAGAAATTAGAAGAAGAAGAACTCGAAGATACAGTAGAGAATGCTAAACATTTGTTTGAAGAAGAAGTTGGAAAAATGTGTGAAAAACAATTAGAACACGAACGTGAGATATGTTATGGTTATAGAGATTCTCCATACGAACTAGACCAATGGGAACAAGAAGATTTAAAGAGAGAATTTAGAGAATATGAACTCGCTAAGATAGCATTTGAAGCTGCAGAAAAGAGGTTAAAAGTTTGGGGTTGTTTTGTACAAAAATATTGTGAGTAAATGAATCATTTATTTTTATCATAAACGACCAAAAATATATTTTATCGTTAATGTTTTCAGGTACTTCAATAATGAATTATTTTTAAAGAACCGAAGGTGCTACCATGTTACCATGTGCTACCAGGTCATTTAACTTCTCTGAAAAATGTTGACAACATGACATTTTGACAACATCATGGGAGGAAGGTATTTATGAATTATTTTTGGATTGAGTTTAAAAATTCATCTTTATTAAATTCATCTCTTCCAATCAATTTATTTATTCTATTAAATTTTTTATTTTTGCTTCACTCAGTTTAATGATTGAACGATAAGTTTCTAATTTTTCGATTATTTCTTTCCTCTCTTTATCGTTTTCAACCCCACCACATTGCTGCTTCTTTTTGCAATAGCATATTTTTGATTTAATTCTGTTTAGTTTCTTTTTATATTCATCGTCTGGACTCTTGGTTGCTTCGTTGTCACTCATTTCTTACGAAATAAAAAAATTAAATGTTATTTAAATATAATGGAGTAATAAAATAAATCGGAATTTCTATTAATTTATTGTTAACCTCAACTAATACATTACCGTTAATATATCTAACAAATTCAGCTATTGTGTCAAATCTTCGTCTTCTTTTTGTCATTGATTTATCAGTTTTTCCATAATCGAGATGAATCAAAACTTTATCCCCTTGTTTAAAATTCATGAGCCCCGAATTAATTTGTTCACGTTTAACATCATTTAACCTTTCCATTTGCTTTCTAATATATTCCCATTCTTTTGAAATATCATTTTTCATTTCCACCGGTTTCATGTTTATAGTTCTATGCCATGAATTATTGTAATAATATACTAACTGCTGTATGATGGAGTCATGATTTCCATCCCAGTATATCTGACCGTTAACCCCTAACGCATCTCTAAGAGTTCTCATTACTGCATCAACTATTTTATTATGAAACGTATATGGAGAGGATGAAAAGTAAAAATTAATTTGTGGGAAATAATGAGCCATAGCTGCCTGAAATCCTTTATCACCATCACCCCTGATATTATCCACTCTTTCATGATCTAGTAAGTATTGAATAGCTCTTCTTGTTTCCTGTTCTGTTTTCCCTTTCACCGGAATGCAATATAAATATCTTGTGTTAATGTTAATGACAAATAAATAAGTAACATTTCCTTTTGAATATTCTAAATGATCGATTTCGTATGAATATGGATATGGTGCAAATGAAGGGCGACCAAATTTTTCCTTTAACGGTTGAATTTTTGGGTCAATTGGTTTATTTAATATTTTGAAATCCTTTTTAAAATCTTTTTGCTTCTTTAATGTTTGAAATGGATATAATAAAGTGAATGATGAAGGATTAACTGAAGGAGGAGGAGGTACTACTGTTGGAGGTTTTGGGGTTGCAAGTGGTTTAATTTTATTTGCTTTGATTTTGGATGATGAAGTTTTGGATTTCATTCCCCTTTCATTAATTCCGGATGTATTCTATTCATTTGTTTTAAATATGCTGTATATAAAGGTTTGATATACTTTCCCGCTTCGAGTTTATGTTGAAGGATGAATTCCAAAAGTTGATCTTCATTTAAAAGTCGGGCTGAATGTGGTTTAACTAATGAATCATAAATTAAAGCTTGTGCTTCATTTATGGTCTGAATGACCTGGGCGTTTTGCACTTTTAGCTTTTGTTCCTTTGTTTTTTGCAGCTCAGGATTATATAATTTATATAATTCATCAATATCTTCTTCTGTTAATACTTTATTTTTGAAATCTTTCAATTGTTTAAGTTGTGATTTAGTTTTTCCCTTTGTATATTCATTATTTTTAATTTTGTCTTTAATTTTAGAAATTATTTTATCATGATATTTCAAAATTTCATTTTTATAATATGAATAATAATAATCCATATCATCACCCGTTATATTTTCATCATATTTTTGGAGATATGCTTTTAATTCATAATAAGTAAGAAAATTTTGATTAAATACTAAATCATCAATTAAAATTTTTAAATCTACATTATCCATTTATATAAAAATAAAATAAATGTTTTAAGGGCGCCCACCTCTTTGATCAAGAATCAAAACCATCATTAACGGTTCCTTTTGTCTCTTCTGTGGCATTTTATTAAAAATAAAATTTTAAATTGTATTAAATAAATGGCATACAACATCCATTTTCACAACATACAGCCTTAGTGTGTGCTCCTGTTAATGCAGTCTTACCAATTGTTAAGCGAGTCATTGACCCATTTTTAAGTTGTAAATTAATATTCTGACCATCAAATATCACTTTATCATTTATTATATCCAAATAATTTTTAGGTGTTAATTGTTTATTTTGTCGTAAACTAACACCTTTCATTTTTTGTGCAATCTTTTTAAAATCACCTCCATCAATTGAACCGTTGAATGATGTATAACACTTGGGGCATAAAGCAACCATGTTATCACCTTGTTTCTCAATTGCTAAACCCAATAACTTCTTCTCATGTGCTTTTTCTTCAGCTTTATTCTTTAATTTAGGTTTAAATTTCTCATCAAAACAGAAGAAATCAAATGGTGCGAATTTGAAAATGTTTTTATCATAAAATTGTTTATCAGTAACAATTGCTTGAAATGCTTGAGTGTTAGGAAGATTTGGATCACCAGCGATTGCCCAATAAGATGAATCAGTATCACCTTCAATGAAATGAAAACGATTAACATTCATGCATTTATACATAAAATCATAAATGAAAACCAAATACCAGTATTTAGCATTATCTAAAGTGAAGAATGCCTCTTGTAAACGTGTATCACATCTATAAAATCTATCTTTGAGCATCACTTGATACGTATCCTCTCCTATTTCTCTTATGTTTTTAAACTTATTTGACATACATGCAACGCGTGCCTTCTGTGCATTCATTATTTTAGTCTTTGTGTAATTTTGTGTATTCATTGCATCGTAACCATATGATCCATTAAGTGAAATCTTGCAAAATAAACTTTTTCCTTTATTTCCTTCTAATTCAGCCTTTTGTCTTTCGTTCATAAATTCATTCGCAAATTCATTAAAGCAAGTGTTTTTAGTAAATGTTAAAATTGATTGAATGTCATCAATGATAAAATGAAATCTGTCGATTAGATACCAAAGATAATAAGAAGAAAATGGTTGATATTGGTTGTGTGTTGATGCTAACTGAGTTAATTTTCTCTGTTTCTGGTCAACTGGTAGATTGTTTGATTTCATGTAATTATACATAAAACCACCAATTGTTTTTTCATCTGTGATAATATCTAAGTTTCTTATTATCGGTAAAAAGTTTATGTAATCATTAATGTATTTTTCATCAATGTGACCCTTTACTTCAGCCACGAATAAAGTATTTTTCTTCTTAATTATTCCCAATGCTTTTGCTTTCTTTGTTGTTGTATCACAAATGATAACACCATTCAATCTTCCCGGCATATACATTTTATGGTCAGTATATTGAATGAAATCATGAGGATTAGATGAAAATGATGAAGGATATAATGAATTAAAGTCAACACCAACGAAATGAGTCATAATGTTAGTGGTGTCCTCATTTGATACAGTTTTAGTTTCTGGATTATATGAAAGTTTATTAATGTGCGTGATTCCTTTAAGATTTACTCTATGTTGAACATTTGATAGACCACCAGTAATTCCATTACGGAGAATGTGATAAGCTTCAACTGAATCTAAAGTCATTGGTAAATTATTTTTTAATGCATAATTTCTTAAATTGATTCTTAAACGTTGAACATCTTCATCTTTATTTGATTTTACGACATTGCAATAACAACACATTAACTGACAATTTTCTTTGGTATGTGGTTTTTCATTATCGATTCTATCTAATGTTGGTTTATTTGCATATGTAAACACTTTACCACACATTTTGCATTTAGATGAAAGGATTAAATCATGATAGTATTGAAAATCATCCATTGAAACATTATTTTTAGTATCTCTTTCTGCTTTTTTATCTTGTTTCTTATATGATTCAATTTTATATTTCCAATACTTTTTCGTTAATTCAAAACTTGATTCTATCTCTTCCTCAGGATATTTTTCATTAGGATTAAAGTCTTTATATGCTAAAGCGTAACGAATCATTGAAGCATTCGATGATAAAGAAAGATTATGAAGCGTGTCAATTTTATAAACAAATGTTTCTTCAATAATTTTATCAATTGGGTCAATCATAATTTCAACATCTTTATTGCAATAATGAATAAAATATTCTAATCTATTCTTAAAGTTTTTAGCATCATTGAGATATATTTGATAATCACTATCTGATATAGTTTCTTGAGTTAATGCTGAATAAAATGAATCTTGAGTGAATGGTTCCACTTTATATAATTCTTCTTCGTAATTTTCCCACGTGATGAATTGATAAGGGAAAAAGGATTTAACACGTGATTTATTGTTTCCGAAATCTTGAGTGAATTGGTCTAATGTCCCACCCGCTATATAATTTCTGATGTCAATAAATCTTAATTCATATGGAACGTTTGTTTTCTTTACAATGATTTGCTTAAATTGTGAAGATGAACCCAGCATTGATTTTATTTTCCATTTTGCAGTGTTTAAATCATGAAGAATTAAATTTAAATCAAACTTTCCTGAATTAAAACCTATGATATTCACTTTATTGAATTCCTCATCTAGAAGTTCTTTAAATGCTTCCTTCTGTTTTTCATTTAATGTATGAGACAAAGTCCCCACCGTTTGCGGCTTCAATAATTCTTCATATTGTTCAATATTTGATTTAGCAACTAATGAACAGGTTGAAAATAAAAACTCAATCCAATCAGAAATAAAAGAATCACTCGAAGTTAAGCAAAAATTCCTCGTATATGTTTTATCGTTTAATTTAACCGTTGATGATACCATGAATGGTTTTAAGTAAGCGTTCAAAGTTGCACACTCAGAAAGTTGTAATTCTTCTTTAGTCTCTAATGTTTCAAAGTCAAAAGTAATATAATATCTTGTCGGTTTATAATATTCCTGCAAATTGTGAGCTAATAACCACTGATATATCTTCTGTTTCGTAATATGTGGTGCATATGGTTGCTGGGTATTTTGCAATTGAACGTCTTGAATTAATCTTCCATTATTTTCTTTACATTTCTCACAATGCTTTAAAAATCTTCTTTGGTTTTTCCTTTCTGGATCATCACGGATAGAATAAACTTCTTCTTTACAATATGGACAAACTTTATAGCCGGTGAGTGCTTCAACGTCTGTTATTCTGTCAGCGTGAAGTTTTCCACATGGACTCTGTGTTAATAAAATATTTACTGTTTCAAATTCTGGATCTATCATTATTGATTCCACTAATGGAAAGTCTACCTTATTTATGTCCACGTCTTCTGGTTGAGGATCACAATAATAGAAATCAATATTAACATTTAACATTCTCGCTAATCTCTCACTTTCTGATGAAATGTTAAACCCGTCATATGCATCTATTGCTTCATTTAAATAGCTTCTACGAGTTTTAGGATTAACACCATCAGGAATGTTATAGAAGCGTTTAAATAACCTTCTACCTTCTGCCCTAATTTGATTATCATTCATTTTAGCTGTTCCGTTTTTGTTCATTTATGAAAGAATAAAATATCAAAAAATAAATAAAAATAAAGTTTATTTTTATTAAAGTCCATAAAATGAATTAAGAACACATAAATTTTTATCATCTGCGACGTGACGAATACATTTTAATTTACTCAAGAATGCGTACCCTGATACATTAAATTTAATTCCTGTCTTATTTAATTTCACAACTTTGAAAAGGAATGTATGAATAGCTATAAAATGATGAGAAGATGTTTTATGGGTTGCTTCCATTTTTTCTGAAATAAATGAATAAATATAATGCTTATACGTTTTCATATCTTTTATGTTCTTAATAACGAATGGTATAGACCTTTCCACTTCATCTTCCTTCGGTGCTGTTCTTTCATATGAAACATTATTGGTATCTTCAACAATGAAACCGCAATCACACAAAATTTTATATGTTCCAATGGTTTCTTTTGATATTTTATCTAATAAATCAAAAACTTTATCAACACCCGTGCATTTACTTAAATAATAATTTGTGTAAATATCATGATCTTCTTTCTTAATCGTATTAGTTGCATATGTCACGTTTCTAAGAGCTTTTTTGAATTTTTCGGAATCTAAAGGTGATGAAAATAAGATACAGGGGTATTCTTCATTATCAATAAATTGTAACTTATGTTTACGAATAAATTTAGTACCTTCTTCTGAAAGTGTTTCGTCTATTTCACCATCTAATAAATTTTGTGTTGATTCTGAGACATAATTTTTATATCTTTTTTCATGAGATTTCTGAACTTCTGATTCTGAAGCTGGGATATTCATTAAACCCTCTACTTCATTTTCATTATATTTTTCAACTTCTCTTAATTCCTTAATTTTTTCATCTATTTCATCTCTTATTTTTTCCAGTCTTTCAATTTCATCATATTCATCATCTTTAATTCGTTCTTCATAATATTCAGGGAAAACATCAGGTTCTTTAGGTTTTTCTTTTTTAGATGCGGGATATAAGAAATTTATAACATCATCTTTATTCATTTTTCCATCATAATCAAACTCATTTAAAAACTCCGCGAATTTTTGACAATTTCTTAAATAATATTTATCAACCTCATAACCCGCCTCCTCTAATATATCCTTTATTTCCCTGTTTGTGAATCCTAATTTTTTAACGTCGTTAGTCTTGACACTCATTTCATACAAAATAAAAATAAATTATTCAGAAATGAAAGACATGAATTTTTAAAGTTTATTTTACTCGTTTATGACTCCATTGATTCCATTCAGGATTTTAACATTGGTTTAATTAATCGTGGAATATCTGACATCATCTATATATAACTTCTTTTATAAAAGATAAAATAAATTATTTTAAAATCAATGTTAATTTTTTAATGATTTATGAATAAATATATTTTTATGCATCGTCTATATATAGATGTAACAAAAAAAGTCACACAACCCTTCCTACCCTACTACTACCGTTACATGAAAAAGGACTTAAAGCAAACTTAATGACTGTTTAGAATCTAAACTTTAGATGTTGAAAAAGAAAAGTTTTAAATATGAAAAAATGTAAAACAAAATTACTTAAGTTTCCAAACAGTAACTTGAGATTTTCTGATCTCAGCAACTCTTGAAGACTTCTTAACGAGGAATGAAATGTCCTTTGGCTCTTGAACAAGTTCGAAATGCTTTCCTAAGACTTCCTTGAGTCCGTCAAGAGAAGTAACTGGTTCTCCGTCCTTCTTGAAGCCACCAAGGAGGTCCTCGCGCTTAGTGATTTCATTGTTGAACTCGTAAGTAGAAGAGATGATGAGAGTTGATCCTTTGTTCATTCTCTCGTGAATGGAAGAAAGAACTCTACGTGGATAAATGAGTTCTTCAAGGAGATTTGGAATAATTACAAGGTCATAACCTGTGTAAAGTTCCTTAATGTTCTGAGCATCAGCCTGCATGAAGAGGATGTTGTCACGCTTCTTAAGACCGTACTCATCAAGGACAACGTCTCTGTAGAATGACAACTCGCCTTCGTCTTTGAATACGTAACGAGCGCAGCCTCTTTCCTGGAGCTGGATTGCAAATCTCAGGAATCTGGCGGTGAAATCAAGAGCTGTAATGTCCTCAAAATGTGAGGCAAGTTCGAATGCAAGACGTCCTGTGTCTGCATTGAGATCTAAGACACGCTTGATGTCTTTGCCCTTTGTAACATCGAGAATGAGTTGTTTGAGTGAGATGTAGAAGTTCGGGAAGAGAGGATTTGAATCGTATTTCTCTCCGTAGCTGGCTTCGCATGAAAGGACGACATCTGGGTCTGTTGCGTATTCATTAGTGTTGATAACAACGTCCTGGTCGGATTCGATGTATCTAATACCCGCAACTTGGTAGAAATGACGTCTGAAAGCGTATCTTGCGTATTTCGTAGCTTCATTTCCTGAAGAAAGCCAAGCACCACCTTTGAAGAGGTTATGCTTGCCATCGTATGTTGGAACTGTGAAATCGTCGTAAATTGGGTGAACTTTGAAACCGCTGTATCCTGTGATTGGCGATTCGGTCCATTGCCAAGCGTTGCCGACAACATCGTAGAATTCTCCGAAAGCGAACTTGTTGACTGGGCATGTCGACATGTAGTGCTCGAAGTTGAGATTTCCTGGAGCTTCCTTCCATTCCAAGATGTCCTTGACTTGGCAGTACTCATGGAGTCTCATCCATTCAGCTTCTGTTGGTAATCTGATCTTTTTACCTGTAACTTCAGCCTTCCAGTTTGTAAAGGCCTTGGCTTCGAGGTAGTTGATCTCAACAGGCCAGGACCATGGCATTGGAATGATTTCAGCTACAAGCCTTAACTTGTAATCTTCGCCTTCCTTGATCCAGAACAATGGCATTTCGGCTTTCTTGTATTCCTTCCAGTTCCAGCCTTCCTCTGTCCAGTACTTCTGCTGATGATAGCCGCCAGCTTTGACGAATTCAAGATACTCTTCGTTAGAAACGAGGTACTTGGAAGCTTTGAAGTCCTTGATGGTTTCTGTATGTGTGCCATATTCGTTATCCCAGCCGTATGTTGGATGGTCCATGGATTTTCCAAGATTGACGACGCCTCCTGGGACTGGAAGCAATTCGTTCTTTGGAGCTGCTGGGTATTCAGTGCAGATCTTTCCAAATCTGCCAGAAACGAGTTCATTAATTGGGAGTTGTCTAAGGAGAAGTGATGATGTTTCAATATGAATTCTTGCGTGCTCAATACCCATAAGAATGATCCAGAATGGATTTTCCCATGTGATTGGCATTGTAAGCGGAGCAGTCTTGATATAGTTAACAACAACATCGTAGACCTGCTTTCTGTATTTGCGGCATTCATCAACGGATGGCCAGTTGTAATGCTTGTTATTAAGATCATCCCAGCTCATCTCGTCGACGCCGATAGCAAAAATGGATTCATAGTTTGGGTTGATTCGATGGTCGATCATTTTGGCCAACATCATCTTGTTAATATAAAAGGCAGCTGTATGGCCATAATAGAAGATGATAACGTGGCGGAGTGGATCTCCACGGTGATAGAAAACATCATCAGACTTTAATTGTGTGTAGACCATTTCATCGATATCCCAAGTCTGTTGGAAATACTTTAAGATTTCTTGGCGCTTGGTTTCTGGATCTCCATGCTGTAAGTCGAGATCGCGAGAGATCAGGGATGACTCCATAATGATTTTGAAAGCTTATTGAATTTTTTCTAAAATTGAATTAATCGAGAAAAAATAACGCGCTCTATATTAGTAAGCTTTTGAGCTTAATCTGAATATCAATTTCAATTGAAAAATTTGAAATTGAGAGTATTTTTTGGATATTTCAGAGATTCATTTTTTTCGTAATCAAGTTTTATCATAATATCAGTAGGTAAATAGAATTCTGTGTGACAAAATATATTTTGGGGAAAAAATTTTGCGATCAAAAAGTGACCTGAATTATCAAAGGGTTTTTTAATAATTTGTTATGGTGTGTAAAATATTAACATAAACATAGGTGAATAAATTATTTTGTAAAACAGGTTATTGAATTTGAGCATTATCTGAAATTAAGGGTGCACACGAGAGGATCGTGTAAACTTCAGAATTTAGAACCTTATTTTTAGGCATTATCTTGGCTACCTATTTAGGCTCGAAAAGCAAAAAATATCAAAAAATACAACTTGACTCCATTATGACCCTTTCATGGAGGTAGTTTTTATCCGCTAGTATTTTCCCTTTGAATCTCTTTACAATTCGAAATCAAATTCAAAACTCAGTAGAAGAAAGGAAGAATCGACTTACTACGGTTGTAATACGAATAAATACATATATTTAATTATTTTTATTTACATAATAATTGTTTGAAGCTCATATTCCATCAAATTTTTAAATAAAAACATTAAAATGTTGAAAATGTTCATATATTTTAATAGAGTTTTGGCACTTTATTGAGGAATTACTACATACATAGTCGAACTGAACTTGATATTTTGAAATTTAAATTATTTATCAAAATTAAAATTTAACTTGAAATTTATAATTATTTAGTCATATTTTGCATAATTCTAAGTAGATTTTGTAAAAAATCAAGAAAGAAAAATTTTAACGTGCTTTATTTTTTCTTTTTTATAATAATACATATTATTATATAATTAACATATTCATAATGTTTCACCCTTTCAAAAATATAATCCTCCTCCTCTCAAATAAACGTACATACGGGTGGCCTCTTTTTTCAAAAAATTAAAATTTGAAATTTTGGGCTCAAATATTAGAGATTTTTTCAACCTTCAACGATATATGTTGTCTATATCAGACCTCCTTTCTTTTTGATACTTAACATTGTTCCTAAATCTTAGCCGTTAAGGCTGTTCTGAAAATATTTTTTTTTCGAAAAAATTCGAAAAAAATTCTTAAAATTCAAAAATCCCTTAATTCCTGAGGATTTTGGAAAAAAGTTTTTACATGAACATGTGTATATTATATGAAGTATATTGATAAGGTAAAAATCAAATTTTATTGCATATTCATCGAGAAAATAAACTAACGAATCCCTCAAAATTGAGAGGGTAATCCTCCTCCTCTCAAATAAACGTACATACGGGTGCACCCTGAATATTAAATAAAGGTACATTCACTAGGCGATAACAGTAAAATGGGATGAAAATAGGATAAATAGCATCCCTATATAGTGCCTAACAATATTTATACGGGCCAAAAAAATTTGGCTAGAGATTTGGCGAGTTATAAAAGTTAAAAAATTGAGAGGGATTTTTATTTTTGAATTTTTTTTGGAAAGTTAAAATTGCGATTAAAAATCGATTTCCAGGAGAACTAAGCATCTCATCATATATATAAATCGATAAAAATATTAAATAATAGTTGAATAGTATAACAACGTGAAATTATGGCTGAATCTACAGAAAAAATGAACATATTTGACATTTTTGAAAATTCATACGTTAGATGGTGACAGACTCATAAACTATACTTTAGCTAAGATTGATATATGGTTTCAACAACACATGGTTAAAATCGTAAAAATATTTTAGATTTCAAAAAGATATATATGGTAATATAATGGAACAAAGTCAACAAATAGCATGTTAAATATGTTATAATTAACTTTTTATTAGATCCAATAGTAGATATCGAATGGTTTCCAGCTTTATGGTTAAATATTTTCTTTTCGAGCTTCTCTTTAACTGTTGTATTAAGGTTGTAAATTTTTGATGCTAGAAACTATGGAATCTTCTTTGCTGCTGCATTTTTCTTGATAGTTCTTGCAATTTCGAATAGATCTGCGCATTGTATGAAATGGAGGCTTTAAAATATCTTGAAAACAGAATAGGACTGCTTTTCCAAAGGAATGCTTACTTGTAAATCAGAGAGTTTCAAAATTGACAGCAAGATTATCATCATAACTTTCGATTTTGCTGCGAAAAAGGAAGACAAGTAATTAACAAATCATTTACTGTTGCTCATCAAAAGAAGAAAACTTTGATAACAACTAATGATGATAAAATCAAGCTATCTTTTAATATTTTAAATTGATAAGACATTCAAAATATTTGAATGGTTTAAAATATTTTCTTTTAATTTCTATAAGATATTATCATGATTATATAATAAAATTTAAATTTTTATTCAAAAAGGCAATATTTCAAACTTTTAATTTCAAAAATCTTAATTCTGCAATAAGTGTATTTAATTGTAGCAAATTTAATGATCCTTCGTCATGCTTAGCAATTTGGAACTCATAAATTAATGATTTCTTCAAGTAAAATTCTGCATTATTTCAAAAGTCAATAATTCTCTAGTAACTTTTCTTCAAACCCTAACCATTATATTATATGTATAATGGAGAATAATTGCAAAGAAAGATAGCCGAATTTACTGGGTAGTTCTTGTGATGCGAAATAATTGCAAATTAACACCTAGTTTAAACAGCATTAATCTCTTTTTGCTCTCATTTAAATGCATTCGCACACTTTAATTTTGAAATATAAGAGTTTTGGAAATTATCAAATTTATCTGCTCAAATACTATAGATCTTCATAAGTGTTAATAGAATCATTAGCCTTACATATAGTGTTTAATATAATGATGCACATTATACTGGGATTCATTCCTTATTCATCTAGTTATTATAAGATTTACAACCCCATGAAAATTTAAAATTTTGTCAAAAATAGTGAATGTACCTTTTATTAAATTAATATAAATTACTATCAGGAATTGTGTCTACTGATAAATTTGCATTGGCATTATTCCTATCAATTTTTTTCTCTCACAATTTATGCTTATATAATTTTTATAATCAATTGAATTAAGTATAATTTTAATTTAATTTTTTCTTCACAAATCGATTTGAATAACCTTTTCAAAATTTATGTCAGGTCGATTTCTTCTTCTTCAGTTAAAACCATCTAAATTGAGGCAATTTGATAGAATGCAATCTAAAAGAATATGTATGCATTCCGTAGTAATTATTCTCATGAAATAACTTTATTAATTAAATATTTAAGTTAAAATTTGAAAAATTAGAGATCCAATTTTAACTTTATGCGTAACACTTTTACAAATCATTGTTGTATTATTGAATTATTCAATATTTTTCAAATTTAATTTAAGCAAATATCAAAGGCAATTGACATAAAAACTCATCATGCTCGTTGATATCAAATTAATATAATAAATCAATGAGATTGAATTCAAATTATATAAGAAGAACTTTTAAAATATTAAATAAAAATTTGAATTCAATATTCTTAAATCTTTCTGCAGATACCATTAAATCTCATCATAAGCATTTGGTCACATAGATATCTAAATAGCAAGGATATAGGACAATTCTTTCAAAATATTGCCTAAAGTATATTGAAAGATTGACTAGGTGGATAAATAGTATGTCTTGATTGAGAAAAACTTTGATTTAATGATCCAAAAGATTAATCCCATTGACGAAAAGAGTTTTTGTTATAATATAACTTGTACCATTTATAGTCTCCAAATATTAGCCATGATAAACTTGTTAATTAACTAATGTTGTCATTTTGATATCAAAATCATTTCTTTGTTTCAAAACTAATGGTGTTAATACATGGAATAGCAAGCAGACAATTCTTAAGACATATATAATCGATTTGTTCGAAACCTAAAGTCCAGCCATTTGGTTGCCAAGCAGCCATTTATCTTCTAAAAATTTGAAATTGAAGTCGATAAATAAAAAATTTTTGTCAAAATTTTAAAAAAGAGAATACATATCCATGCAAAGCGGAATCCAGTTAATGTTAACGATATTTGTAGCAGGGATCGTATATGTTACATTCAGAGGAATGGCTGTGCATAGATCAGGAAGGCAAAGCCGTTTAATTATGTTGTATTCATTATGGGAAGACTATAATGTCTATGAAGTTGGTGCGGGCCTGGTTTTCCTTATAGTTTTATACTATGTCCTTCGATGGCTTGCCAATGACAACAAAAAATTCGACCTTTATTCTCTTTTGAAAAACAATACAGAAGAAATATATTCATTTCTTCTAACAGTTACTAATTTTATTAACTCTCTCACTATTCCCGAAATAGTTCTTTTCTTTATGATCAAAATTTTTGACAATTACATGACCAATCGAGTTGGTATGATTCCTCTAGCGTTCAAATTGCCATCGCCTATACAGTTTACCAAGATTGTTATGTTTTCTTACATTTTATTTTTCTTATCAATTTTTTTCATGGTTAATATCAATTCCATTGGTACTGTTCTCGTCATAAATTGTTTAAGAACTATTGCTTCTCAATTTAATGTCATTATTGATGGAGAAGACCATGGAAATTCAGATAGGGCAGTCAATGCATCCCAATACATTAGTTTAGCCGCGAATATTTTAGTTGCATTGTATTTCATTATCCGCTGTATCTTTGAATTAGTTGGTACCAAACTTTTCTCCGATGATGGAATTTCAGACTTTTCTTTGATGCCAATTTTTCTATCTGTCAATGGTATATACCAAGAATTGTCGGCTTACATTCGTATGAGGCAGATTACTAATCAATTAGATAGTCTTCCATCAATTAAACCGGAAGAAGACGATGTTTGCATTATTTGCAGATTAGGATACGAAGGAGAGGAAGCCAAAAGACTTCCTTGCGGTCATACTTTCCATGCAAATTGCCTTGAAAGATGGGTTAAAAGTCATAACAGGTGTCCTATTTGCGAACAAGAAATTAAGTTCGATGGAACAATGGTCAACATGTATGAAACTCACACTCACAACCCTGATGATGAAAATCATGACCATGAAGAAAATCAAAATAATAATCCAGGAAATAATGAGTTCGGTGAAGAATTCCATGATCATGATCACGAGGACAATATGATTCATAATGAATTTAACAATAATAATGATTTCCAACAGCAAGAAATTTTTAATAACGTTCCAAACAATCATTTTGATCAAAATGATAATAGAATGCAAGGTGAAGTTGACTTCCGACAGTATGATGACGATCGCGTCGAAGAAGAAGATCCAAATACGTTCAATTTCGCTGATTTCAACGATGGTAACTGAAATGTTTAATAATTTTGTATATTTTATAAAAACTTACTATTCTACTATGTTAAATAATCCAGATTTTTCTTCATTACTTGATATTTTAATGAATAATTTTAAAGAACCTGTGATTGGTAATCTCACCTTTTGAAATTCTAAGTTTTATGAGTTATCATGTACATTAGATCAATTGTTCTTTTCTAATTGAGATTATCGAAACTACTTATATAAGGAATTGAGAAAATCCGAATGACAAAAGTGCTTTTTATGTATAGATAAAGCTATTTTTGGTGTTATTCAAATCTAATTCACTTTTCATTTTTGTTTATAAAAAGTGACAGTTAGCTATGCAAGGTGCCACTCCCAGAGATATATTCAACTCACAACTCCTTAGTACACAGCCCCATGAGCTTGTAGATAAATCACATGGCAAGGTTGTCTCCATAATTACATCAGCAGGATACGATTATAGAGGAACTTTGAAAGGCTTCGACGAATCTGTTAACTGCATTCTCGAAGATGCAACAGAAACTTACATTTTAACAGAAAACCCAACACCAAAGCATCATAATCAAATTTTAATTAACGGCCGTATTATTCAAATGATTCTTCCAGACCAGCCACCTTTAGAGTAAAATGTTTTTTACAATACTATATTAATACACGGATTTAAACAAGATTCTTTCTGAATTTCTTATGAACTCCAAAATTTATTTATTTTCTATAAATATCAACAAGTTTTGAGATATAAATATAATGAAATATTACACACAAATAATAATATAATATCCTTATTTAGTAAAATCACTAAACTAAGGAAAAATAATTCTTGAATTGAAACAATTTTGATTCTCATCATATAATATATTCTCTTTTGAATTGAGTGTATTACGTCCTTGCAATTCCAATATCATATATTGCATAGAATAATGAAAAACAACTTCAATTAAATAAAATGAGGTTCTGATATCATTAGGATATAGGACTGCAACATTAGCATGTATATGCTTAACACTAAATCATGTCCTCATATTGTTTCAAAGATATTCAATAAAATGTGTTTATTTGAGAAAAGTGACATAAAAAATAAATGAGTGAAGAAGAGATGACGCAGTGGGTTTTATCTCTTGGACTTTCTAAGAAACCAAGAAATTTCCCAAGAGATTTTAGCGATGCAGTTTTAATGACAGAATTAATTCACAAATTTTATCCAAAATTAGTTGATCTTCACAACTACGAATCTGCACTTAAAGTTGATACAAAAATATATAACTGGAATACTCTCAATACAAAAACACTGAAAAAGCTCGGAATGTCACTTGATACAGCAACAATCACAGCTTTAGGCAACTCTCAAGCAGGAACAATATTTAAAGTCCTCGAAATGTTCAAAAACGTTGTGGATGGTAAAGCATCTTCAACTTCTGCAGCAACTCCAAATAAAAAGAAGCGTGAGAAAAAGCCAGAGCCTCCAAAACCAATGACAGACGCCGAGAGAGAACAATACGTCGACAAAATTTACGAAAGTAGAAAGCAAAAAACAGAAATAATGATGTTAGAAACTAAATTGGCAAAGTTAATGGAGTTAATGAGCATTAAAGATGCTAAGATTATCAAAGAGCTCGAAAAGAACTAATATTCACTGCCAATTCAATATCTATTAACTTTATATTATTTGTTTGTAAATGAAACGAATTCAAAGGAAATAAATACTGTTTATTATCTCGAAAAATAAATTTTTTACCCTATGTTTGAGTTTTGAATTGTTGATAGAGGCATTTCATGGATTTAATAAAATTGCAATGATTATATCCATATCATAGTAATTACATATGAAAAATTCTATGTATTAAACAGAATAATGAGATTTTACAATGATCATCAAAATATGAAAATTAATATAGTATTTCAAGATGACAGTAATTAACAGATTATTGTTTTCTTGGTCTCTTGTTTCTTTCAATGATCTCCTGGAGAACTTTATCTGGGTTCTTCAACATCAATGGTTTAATAAGGCCATCTGTTGTGCCTGATGGATCATCTGGTTGGACATAGCGTAAATCTGGTGCTTCATCGTAATAAGAACCACCTTTGAAGTAATCATCAACCCAGATACCTTCAAGTCTTCTTTTTGTTGCAACAATATGTAAGACACCTTCGCCATTTCTCATATCATTTTCATAATGGCCTGTAAACCAGTCTCCATTAGCTTTTGTAAGCTTTCCTTCACCACAACGAAGATCATTAACCCATTCGCCTTCGTATTCATCACCATTGGCATAGTACATGATACCATGTCCATGTCTCTTGCCTTTGTAGAATTCGCCATCGTATGTATCATCGTTTTGGTAGTATCTAATGCCATGTCCATCTTGTTTGCCATCTTTCCAATCGCCAGAGCCATAAGCCCACTTTCCTGGTTGATCGCAGTTTGTTTTATCTGACCAGAGGTAGTAATCACCTTTTCCACAATATTCATCATCAACAAACTCACCAACATAAACGCCTTCTGCAGTAAAGTGTTCACCACATCCATGACGAAGGTTATTCTTCCATTCACCGACGTATTCTGTACCATCATCGAGCACAATTAAATGGCGTGCACCATTTTTGTTAGCTTTAGCATCATTTTGAGCCCAAATAAATGGTTTTCCTTGTCTATTTGTTGTTTGTCCGAAACGGAGTGCAGCGTATTTCTTGGAGGATAAGAAGCACTGAGGATTTGGTTTACGCTTCATAATTCTTTCCTTACGAACTTTTGGAGAAACGCCACCATCATCATAGTACTGATTTTCATAGGTAGCCGAGCCCAGTTCCTCTTCTTCTTCAATCATAACTAAAATAATACGTTACTACTTGTCACTTTTTATAAAGGATTTTTTGTGTGCTGCTTCACGCCAATGAAAAAATCTTTTCAAAATTCCCGCCAAAGCAAGAAAATTAGAAACCTATGAAAAGAGCAAAACTAAACAGTCTATAGCATGAATGTTTTAATCACTTATGAAACCAAGTGATTGCAAAATTACTGAAGGCATAGAAAAATTCGCGCCAAATTTATTGGTCATTTAGATGTCGAACTTAATTAGAGAGCAATTCCAAGCAATGATAAACCAGCAGGTTACAAGCAACCTGACTGATGATCTGCTAAGTCTTTTTGAATTAGATGATGCAATGCCAAACATGTTGGAAATTCTCAACGATCCTGATCAAAGGATGCGTAAATACGCTGCAGTCAACTTCAGGCTTGTTGTAGAGAAGCAATGGGAAGCTTTAGAAGACAATGGGAGCGCAGAATCCTATCTTAATCAATTTTTAAAATTTTTACAAAAAGAAACAGATAATAACATAATAGAAAACTTCATGCACAGTATTGAGAGAGTCCTCGAGAAGTACGGAAGCATGTGGCTAGATTTATTCAATTTTGCCTTTGAAATCGCTCAAACACGTACAGTTACGGCCCTAATCATTCTCGTTTACGCTACACACACAGTTGAAAACGATTTCATCTGCCAAATCGCTGAATCCATCATTCAACTTGTATCTCAAGCCGCAACAACAATTACAGACAAAAAAGGCAAAGTAAGAGCATTCCAACTCTTTGCAGAAGCCTTTGATAGAGATGAACCACTCTTTCAGCCATATCCAGACTCATTCCTCCAAATTTTTAGTTTAATGATGGAAACTTACGTGAACGATCTTAAGAATCCAGTTCAACCGATGGCCCAAGCCGAAGAGATCGTCAACCTTGAATCTGAAGTCATTTCTACAGTATTAAGATGGAATTTCCCTTTTGTTGATTTTTCACAGACATATGAATACCTTTTACAGCTTCTCCAAGACGAAACCATCTCTTCAGATCTCATTTATTCCTTGTTTGATCCAATCCAAGCCATTATTGAAACTCATGGAAATATAATCCGAGAATATTTGCCAGCAACCCTTGATTTATTCCTCAATTACTCAGCAGCCAAATGTATTGAAGGCTCCTTCAGCGATCAGTCCTTAAACATCGGAGAAGTCGTAGATGCACTTTCAATGCACATGTTACCATCAGATTTCATCAAATACATCACGGAATATCGTTCAAAAGCATCAACATTTGGTGAACATTATGCCTGGATGTTGATTTTGAACCACGCGTGCCAAAATATCATGGATGAAATCGAGATGCACATAAATGACATCTTACAGCCATTACTTGATATCCTTGAAGAAGGAAATGAGTCACTCGCGCAAATTTCAATGCTCACGATGTATTCCATCATTGATGTTTGCGAAAGAGCCGCTGAAGGATACACAAACAAGATTTTGGAATCAGTTTTAGCGTACAAAGACGGCGAACTCGAAGGAACTGTTATTGCCATGTGCCAAGTCATATCTGTTTTGTTCAGTTACAACTTCGCTGAGACAGAAATTGTCATTGAAGTTGTCGGAATCATTGTACAAACATTCGAAAACAGAACAGACGCAACAGAAAAGAAATACATGATGGAAGTTTTTAACATGGCAATACAATCCTGCGAAAGTGCCTGTGTTCAATTCGATGAGTCTGTTTTCCATCTCATTGAACATTACTCGCAAACCACTGAACAAGAAGAGATTGCTATTAAACCTGATGCTCTTGAAGCTGTTGGATCAATTGTCAGTTTTTATCCTGATCTTTCTGAAGAACAAATTGAGTTTTATGTCAATCTGTTAATCAACAATCTCTGTGAAGCTGATGACATTGACAACTTGAACTCTGTATCAAGAGCATTCTCCACAATCATCAAGAACAGAAAGGAAGCCATCAATTTGTTAGTTGCAACATCAGTTTTGATGTCTTTGATGGCGGTTATTGATGCGATTTACAAGAATTACGTGTCCCAGGATTTCTCAGAAAGCGAATTAGCACAGAACCAAATAACTACTGTTGGTTCTTTCATAAGACTCGAAACGAGACTCCTTAAATCTTATAAAGATGATTTTCTCGCAATAAACGATGAATCATCTGATGAAGAAAAAGAGATTCTCAAGAGTTTCTTAACTAATGTTACATCATTAGTCATCCAGTTCCAACAGTACTCCAATGAATCTTATTTATTACAATATCTCTTGAATTTGGGAATCCCGATTTTCGAAATCCCTATTGAGCAGCTCGAAAACAACAAGTTAACAAGTGAAGATTTCATCAAAGAGTACATGCTCAAGCTAATGGCTTGCTTCCCAGAAGATGACAAAGACAATGTAATGTCTGCTTTAAGAAATGCGACAAAAATTGTCAAAAAACGTCAGAATTCTCAAGAAGAAAATGTTTTTAGCCAATATGTCCCTGAGTTATATGATTACGCTATAAAGGCATGCAATAGAGAACTTCCTGTTCTTGAAGAAGTTGATGAGAAATTCAAATACGATCCAGACATTATTTATCACGCACATAATTTGATATCAAACATTATTTTGTATTATCCAGATACTGTTGATTTGTCAGCATTTTTGAATTATGTTGTTAACGCTATTGATAAGTTCGGAGAGTATGAGATCTGTGAGTTGTTCTCTCCTTTGGCTTCTTATCCACATTGTGTTGAATCAATTCCAGACGAAATTTTAGATTTGGCTGTGAAAAGTTTGAATCTTTGCGACTTTTCTCATCCTCCAAATCCAATTTATTTCTTCTTGGAACTAACAGAAGAAAAGCCACAGTTAATGACCGCTTTCCTTCAGCAGTACCCGCAGTTCATTGAGCTCTTGTTCAACGTATTGACCAAAGAAGACAACAGAGAAAGATATTACGCAGAAACAATTGCAAATGCTGCTTCCTTGATTTTGAGTTTGACAAATAAAATTGGTCAAATTCCTATTGATCAATTCTTGCCACACATCGTCAATAAACTCCCTTACAAGAGAGATACAATTGAAGGAAAGAAGATTGCATTGTGGGTTGTTGATTTGATACAAAACAATAAGATGCAAATTGACAAATCAGTTGAATTTGAAATTTTAAGAGGTTTGATTTTACAAATGTCAATGAACGATTCTGAACTCGAAAAATACGAGTTTAATGATGAAGAAAGAAACAGAATTGTTCATGTCATTATGAGTCTTTCTAAGTCAAACCCAGATTTCATTCCAACAATCTTTGAAAACATCAGTGATGTTAAGAAGATGATGTTCCAAAAGCATACAAATATCGAATTTTAATATGTTATTTTCTTTCATTATTTATATATTATTTATAAAACATTTAATTCTTTATTATATAATCTATATTTCATGTTAGCATTAGAATAAAAAAACTAATGACATTAGCATTTACATTAAAGATTACACAGATGCGATTATAATCATTGATAAGGAAATTAATATAATCTCCGGTTCATCCCATTTATTTTTCAACTTTCCAGTTCATTATTGATATTACATATTTAGTACAATTTTGAAGGTATAAGAAAATATGTTTGTTTACATGATTCATGAAATCTTTTGTTCAAGGTTTCTGAGCAAGTTAATAAAATCTTAAATGTGCAATAAGGATGTCAATTTGGAAGGAAAGTGAGAAAATTCCTAAAATGCTAAAAATGAATTTTCCAAACGTATTTTTTTATCTCATTTTTTTGATTTTGAAAAAAATTTGGAGAGAAGAACTCTTCGTTTTTGAATTTTATCACGATGGTTTTAAAGTATATTAGACACATGTATTGATATTACTATTTTTGTATATTTTGAGAGAAAATCCCCAAAAAGTAAGAAAATCTAAGACGGTTTGAGAAACTATATAAACTATTGAAAATTTGAATTAAACTTCTAATTTGGAAAAAAGAAATCTGGAAAGAAGAAAATTCAAAAATCGAGATTTAGACTCAGCATCAAATGGAGAACAAAATGTTTCTTCATATGAAGGAAAAAATTTTCTTGTGAAGAAATAGAGTTTTTAAAATTTTATTGTATGTAATGAAATAAACAAATATTAAAATTATTTTTTGATAACAAGAAAATTCCCAACAGAAAATATTTGAGACAAAGAAAAAAAGAAAATTGAAAAATATTACTCTTCTTTATATTTCATGAGATTTTAAATTTATTCTCATAAAATTGACAATTTTATACGTTTAGATGAAAATAAGTGATTTTGCTTGAAATAAAAGTTATTGTTTGCTTACAGCTATCAAATAGATTTTTGCTATTTTGATTAAAATTTGTTAATCAAATTAATAAATTTTTTCAAAATATCTTAAATATCTGGATCACTCACTGATACAATGAATTGAACGATAAAAATAATACAAACTCAAATAAGTTTCCTGTTTTTCAACTAAAAAAAATTATGCAAATTAAATTAAATTGTTTATTCAAATATAAAGCAAAGATGAAGTAATTACAGTTATCATAAACTTTATGAATAACTCTGTAATTGGTTCAGATTTTCGTAAAAATATTTTTATTAATATCGATAAGAATACGTTTACCTATTATCACAACATATCGATAAACAAGAGTAGAGTGATTTTTATCATCGAAACTTTTTAAAAGCTGTAAGCTGGAAGTAAAAATCTTGTTTTTTCTGAGTCAGTTGTAGAACTATTGATGTACGAGTTATCATTGTGATGTAGAAGGATGTCAATGTACTGACTGAAGGATATGAAGTGAATTGAATTTCATTGAATTTCAATTTGATCAAAATTTGTTGAAATGATATGAATGTGTCAACATCTGTATCACTCTCTTTCACTCCTTCCCTATTCTTTCGAGAACGAAGCTAGCTCAGCTTTCGCTGAGCGAATTGACACTTTTGATGCCCTAAACGTACATATTCTCAAATTTATCGAAAAAAATATACCACCCAAACTAGTATATTCTTATTTTAAATATGATATTATCCTTAGAAATCACACTAGAATATATTTAAATCAACTTTTAAAAAGGTTCGAATCCTGCGCGTCTCACTTTTTAAATTTTCCAAAAGGAAAATTATATTCTCCTAAAATGAAAACAATTTTCCGAATTGACATCCTTATGTGCAATATTTTGAAATATATTGCTATTGGACATTACCTTTTGATTTATAAATGTGATAGGTATCCCTTATAAAAAAGATTACTATATAATTTGCCTGCAATATTTCATACAACATAGTGCTTTGATACAGAGAAAACCTGCATTAAGCACTATAGTGTAAAATTATTCATTTTATGGCGGCCACTCTCACCGATAAGAGCCAAAATTAATGTGTTATCGTTATGTATTTAATCGAAATATTCATGTTATTGAGATGGTGATAATATGTGATGAATGAAAATTAATAAAATTTATGAACGATTATGGCATCAACGAAAATCGAAATCATTTATTTTTTAATGAACGAATCAATTAGCATTTAAACGGAAAAAATTTAATGAACGATCGAAACGGTATAAGTGCGGATTTTCCGTTTATAAATTGTTCTCAAGGTTTTCTTCAATAAAAAGAAATGTGTAATTCACCTAGTATAGGATATATTTTTGTATCTATTCAAATTTCGAAAAATTGAATGAAAATTTTCGGAATTTATTTTCCGTTTATAAATTGTTCTCAAGGTTTTCTTCAATAAAAAGAAATGTGTAATTCACCTAGTATAGGATATATTTTTGTATCCATTCAAATTTCGAAAAATTGAACGAAAATTTTCGTAACTCGGATTTGAGAAAGGGACAGACTAGCCCATTGTCACTTTTTAATTTAGCAAATGAACGCTTATGGAGTGGAGTTTTTGGGTAAATCTGATTTGCTTATAAATGAAATAAAATCAAAAGAAACCATATTGGCATTATATTATGCAAAAATAAATGATCTTACTTAGTACTTTTAAAGTTAATTTCAGAAAAAATTTGACAGAATGGTATCCGGCACATACAAGTGGTGTACAACCAAAATATAAGTTGGTTTAAACATATATTGCTATATCTCATGATCTTACTTAGTACTTTTAAAGTTAATTTCAGAAAAAATTTGACAGAATGGTATCCGGCACATACAAGTGGTGTACAACCAAAATATAAGTTGGTTTAAACATATATTGCTATATCTCATGATCTTACTTAGTACTTTTAAAGTTAATTTCAGAAAAAATTTGACAGAATGGTATCCGGCACATACAAGTGGTGTACAACCAAAATTTCATATTCCTAGTTTTACATTTATGTTTAGTTTTATTTCACCTAATTTTCAAAGATCATAATTGAATTAGATGGCCAAGCTATTCAAAACACGACCAAGCTTATCAAAATAAGACCAATATATTCAAAATTCTTTATTCTTTCAAATCATTTCATTTTAATGCAGATCCAAGATCACGAACTCACATATATCGAGTTGCTTAAGTATGGGGTGCAACAAGAAATCCAAGCAGGTTGTAGTTATTCATATAAAACTAGGAAAGAAAGAAATCAAATCCAATTTAATTGTAAGTGGCCGAATTGTCCATGTCGCTTCCTTGTTGATACACTTCCCGATGACAAGTACCACATACGAAAATGTATTAACACCCACAATCATTCTGCCCCTTTTCCAAACAAATCACAACAAATTACATCATATTTTTATAGATCTTATTTAACAAGATATTTTGAATCAAATCAAGACCGTGTTTACGCACAATTAAGGTGTTTCAAAGATCTTAATATCCCATTTGATAGTGGGATCATTCCGGAAATGTTTCAACAATCTACAGATGCTTTAAAAAAGTTTTCTAAACGCCTTCATGCAATCAATACCCGTTTCTCAGCGGATGATGTTACATCTCTTGCAATTTTTGTCGACATGGTTAAGAGTCATTCTCCGGATGATCTCATCGAGTTTATTCACGAGCCAGATCGTATGATTTTCTATTACGCCCCATTCGAAGCAAATGCTTTTTCACATCAAATACAAACTTATCACATTGATTCCACTTATAAGCTCTTGCGCTCTCGCATACCATTTTATGCCGTCACTGGCAAATTCGCGGAATCAATTGTTTTTCCGTTTTTGTATTTTTTCGTTTGGCCCGACACAAGTGAAAATATACAAGTTTGTCTCACAGCATATTTTGGCTCCATCAATCGCGAACCATCTTATTTTTCAATGGACTGCGCACCTCAAATCACAAATGCTGTTGAAACAGCCATCCCCTTATGCCAGATCATTTGGTGTGGCGTTCATGTGTTGCGCGCTGTCATGAGAAAGGCTGAAAAGTTTCAAGATCGTTCCAACTTCGAAACTTTCTATAACTTAATGAAGTTATTGGTCTTTGGTTCTGAAGAGGAAGAAATTGATCCTGATGAAGTTTACAACAATTTAGAAGAAATTTTAAATGAGGAACCTGCTGCCCGTGAATACTTTGACCGACAGTGGCGCCATCATCTTGACAGGCGGATGCTTCGCTATAGAAATGAAGGAGATGGAACAAACAACATCTCGGAATCACATTTCAAGGTTTTGAAGCACCAGTACTTCCCAGAAAGGCGAAATCTTCGACTCGATGAACTTGTCATCGAGTTATATTCCAGTGTTGTTCCTTCATTCCTGATTAAGTTGCAAATTAAAGGTCTGGATTCAGAGAGAAGTGTTAAAGTTATCAAAAAAGTCACAAGAGATTTCGAAGAAATGACACAATTTAAAAAAGTCGAATGCATCAGTATGCTTGAAGCTGTTCAGAAAGGTCTGAAAAATGATACACTTGATCCCAACATTGTTTACTCAACATTAAAAATATTATTGCAAAGAAAACATTTGATTTAATAAACATTTAATTTATTATAATTAATTTTTTATTACAGTATAGTAAAAAATGCTATAAATAAATTATTATATTTTATTAAAATGTGACTTTTAATAGTAAGTGAATAAAATAAATCAGGAATTGGGAAAGAAATAAGGTTAATTAAAAATAATGAAAATTACAAGTTTAAGGTTAATGAAAAGTGACAATGGGCGAGTTTGTCCCCCACTCACTCGGATTTCATAAATTTTAATGTGCGCAAATCATATTTCGCTCACTATTCCTGCAATTCTTTCTAAGGAATCTAGGACATTAGCATCAGGCTTTATAGTTCCGAATGATTTTCAATTCGATTTGACAAATGAACCAGGAGATATTTTTGCTCTTTTCGTTAATAAAGTTAACCAGAGAATTAGAACAAACTATGGAGATGCTTTTGAGTTTCCAGCACCACAAACACATGTTGATATCTATGATTACCTTTTATATGCGCCCGTACAATGCAAAAATGTCAATCGTATTTCTCAAGTTAATTTTGAAACCGCAATCATGGTTTGTAAGGCCATTGTTTCAGGTGCAATTCAATATGAACCTTCATTCACAAGTCAGCAACAAGCGAAGTTTTACAAATTCGTCGAAAATCTGAAAGTTCAAATGATGATCACTCCTCTTATATTTGAAAATTATGAAGATGCTTTTTCAAAAATTCCCACAATGCAACGGGAGATTGCGACAATGCAACGAGATATTGCCACAATTAAAAATGATCTCAGTAAATTTGCAGAAACAATCAATAACTCAATAAATGACATGTTACATAGAATACTTGACCAACATGAAAGAATAGTGGGTGATTCCGTTTCAAAGAGTCGGCTTATTGCTGCTTTGAAGCAGTAAGAATAGTTTATGCATGATTTTCCATAGCACAAGTTTAAAATTTTCAAATTTTTACATATTTTTTTATAGATATTCTGGCATGTATACTTTTTATATCATTAAAAGTAAGATACTTATTAAATGTTGTATTGAAATGGATGTAAAATATGACAGAGAGTCGAAATTTAAATGAATACAAATGTTGATTAAATTTAAATTGAATGAAATTCCAAATAGATATAGATAAATAAATTAATGCTATTGGATTTGTTTTCCTGTAAGTGTTTTAAATAATCTCTAATATATTTTATTAAAGTCGATCGTTTTTTCCTATAAAAAAATCTGCCTCCTAGAATTTCGGTTTTTTCCCCTCAAAATTTGGCAAATCTGGTAGACTTGGGTATACCCCCTTCCATAAAAGCTCACATTTCTGACACCTAAGTGTCAAATGAGCTTAAGGCGCTGGACTTCTTTAAGGTCCTTACTTGTCCTTCAAGCTAATGAATCAGGATCCAAAGTGGTACTAATTCATATGGTTATTGAAGAAACTTCGGAGAAATAATTTAGATAATTTCACAAAAACTCAAGAATTTCCTTTCAAATCAGCAACACACCTCTTGTTCCAGAAACAAATATTATTCCTAACATCAGATCTTGATTTATGTTGGTAGTTGAAATTTCGAAATACAAAACCAGAGTTTTCGAACTGTTACTACATAAATGACTTTTTTCCATGAAAAAATGTCATTTCTGTCGTTGCTGCTCGAAAATGAAACTCTTGATTCAAATTTTAAATTAAAATTACCAAAATCAAAAAACATCGAGTTAAGCATATTATCAAGGATAATCATTAATACTCCAAGATATCAAACTTAACAGACATGAAATTTTTATAAATTATTGTAATTTTTACCTTTTTGAAATGGATTAAACAATTGTTTCTATAATCATTTATTTACCTATTCTTTTTACATCTTATTGATATGATTGTTTCATAACTTTTCAGATTTAATTACACAATTTCGATCTGAATTTCAACCCCATATAATGACTCAGGCTATCTTATATAATTTTTGCAACTACATATTAGTTTTAAATATAATCTATATGGTTTCATGCAAATTAATGTTTAATTTTTTAAATTTAATTTCAAATTTTTTTTAGCTTTTTGCACATAATAATAGTGCTTTAGATAAATTAAATCCTATTGGCAGATTTCATTTTTGTTTTTGTCAAACTTTTACGATTAAAAAATCAATTTATAGTGATTTTTTACAAAAATTTTAAATAACCGCTAAAAAAATTTAAATTTTCTTCTGTGTCCTTGACCATTTCACATTTTTGGTATCATTTTATTGATTTGAATTTTTTTTTGGAGTGACATCAACACAAGAAAATAAGAAATATCGATGCCTCAATGTAGTACTAAACATACAGATGCAACATCATACGAAAAACAAAAACTTATTCCAACATTACCAAATCTTTCAACAAACTAAGCATAAATACGCAATAATAACATACCAAACGATTACACATATACAAGATTATATATAAACAACTCACAAACCATTACTTAAACGAAAACAGAAAGGAAATTCAAACAGATTACTGAAAGGAAGACCTGAAGAAAGACTGAAACACAAGGAAAGTGATAGAAAAGCAAGTAGAAGACAAGACCAGCTAAAGAAGTACAGAAGAGCGAAAAAGTTCGATACGACTGGAAGATTAATTCACTGTTTTTCAGTCTCCTAGCCAAGTTGAAGACTCAGAACAAACACTACAAGTATGTTGATTATGTATTATATCTACTTATATGGTTGTTATAGGAATAAAATCTTTTTTTATGCTTTAAATTTAACTTTTTTTATCCTCATTGAATGTCAAAAAATTTTGAATAGTTTACACTTTTTGGCGGGCTTACATTTTTTCTTTTATTTCTTGTTAAATAAAATTAGCATCTAATAACAAATTAATTTTTCATATAATATGGATTTTTTTTTGTTATTCTAGAATTTGACAGCTTACAAAATATGCTTATTTTTATGATATTTAGAATGCTCATTAAATGAACAATCTATATTCCCAATATCAAAGAATTTTTGTTTTTCTCACCTTTCTGACATAGGAAAAGGGTAAATTTTTAGCAAAAAACGATTGACTTTATTTATTCATATTTAAAAAATAAATAAAGTTGTTTAAGCAATTTCCCTATTGATATTAGACAATAAGCTATAATCATTTCAATAATATGAGTGAAATAGAATTTGATGAAGAAATTAACGAAAAACTTGAAAAATACGCATACAAATGATTACAAAGTGGATGAAACTATTTGAATATGTTTCTGATTCGATTCGTCAATCCAGAAACACTACTTTGATTTTATTTTTCTTGAAAAATTAAATTTGATTTTTGAATTAAAGGATATTATGATGTTTCCTTGATGCATTTGAGATATAATATGTTATTATGATATATTCAACTTATATGTGAGAAAAATAATGTTGTAAAATGTTGATTTCATGAATTAAATGTTTCAACTGGGTTGTAACCGATTAAATGATATTTTGGTGTTTCATGTATAAGTATGAGAAGCTTTACAATTTGGAGGAATATCCCAATGATCTCAAAAACTGATGATATTGAATATCGGATTTTTTTAGAGGATTTTGTGCCTAATCTGCGAACGAAAATGTATAATATCAAAAACATTATAATGGACCATGTAGCTATACGTGAATAAAGTTTTGGTGGTCGATTTAATTTTGAACAAATGAAATCATCAATGACAAAGTAAATAAAGATGCAGATAAAGTATAATCCGGCTGAAAAGTTATGTGTATTTCTATATTGAGTAACAGGACTTGTAGAAAAAACAATCATTCCAAGAGAAGCTACAACCATGAAACAAATCATTAGGATTTTCATTATAAGGATAAGTTTTCGAAAACCGTTTTTATGACGAGCTTGATAAAATGTGATGATATGAAATCGAAAAATTGCAAAAATGTCAAATAAAATGGCGGTGAATGATAAACGCATCCCAAATATGCGTGACTCTGGTAAAACAACATTCATTTCTGATATTGTTGGGATATAATCGAACAATTTATAATGACCTAAAGAGTAGAATAGAATTCCATCAATAACCATGACTAAAAGAGGTATTATAGCAGTAGCATAGTTGATATATGTCAAGTTTATCTTGAATGTATCAACTTTCTCTGCATTACTTGACATTTTCAAAAAAATTATTGATATTTTTATACAACTTTTTCTATAATCAAACACTTTCAAGTAAGGACAACAATGATGCGCTCTTTAAGAGATAATCAGGATGATTTTGATCAGTTGAACCTTTATCTTGAGTTTTAAGGGTATTAGTCTAAGTGAATATATTCTGTTTATGTGTAATTAACACAAAAACAGCATTAAAATCATATTTTTTTTTCTCAAATTCCCAAAAATAACGAATATCTAATGCAAGGATCATCTAGACCGAAAACAGCAATGTCATCAAACGTTTCAAAGCTTCCTGAGCTTCCAATGCCTAAAAGTTCAAATGGAGAATATACAGTTGATGATATTACTGATATTAAGCTTAAAACTAATATGATGATTGAACAAAGAAAGCTTTTAGGATCAAAAATCCAGCGTGCAAAACAACTAACCAAAGAAAGAAACCAATCAATTGAATCTGTGTTTTCTCAAACTGCAGAGAAACAATGCATTCAAACTGCTTCACCAAATACGATTAAATCATTGAAAGAAACTGCCGATTCATTAGAATATTCAGTTGATGTTCGTCAAAAAGAACTTGAAAAGATTAAAAAGTCTGATAAATTATCCCAAATTAAAGAATTACAAGTGGAAATTCAGTTATTTTACCTTGAGCATAAGCGCTTAGTCCAAAAGCAGAAAGCAATGGCTCAAAGCGAGAAAGTTGTCTCTTCGGAACTTGACAGAATTAGACAACAATCAAATTCCTCCAGACACAACGAAGAAAGGGTTAAAGAATTACAGCAAGAAATTAATGGACTCACTGATCGTCTATTTGCTTATACAAAAAGCGAAGCAAAATTATACTCTACTAAAAAGCTGAAGCAGCTATATGATAACCCGGATAAAGTTAATGAGATAAAACAAGAAATACAGAAGCAAATAGCCGCCGAAGAGCAGCAAATGGAAGCCAATCAAAAAGAAATGGCTCAAATACAGAAGAAAGAGCAAAGGAATGTTGATTTCCTTCATAAAATTATTGATGAACAAGCTGCCCGTATACGTCAAAAACTCGAAAATTCTGAAAATTAATTATTTGTTATTATTGTTAAAGATATGTCTATTTTCTACATTACATGTATCTTATAATCTTTAGTATAGTAACACTACAAAAGATTTAATAGTGATTTTAACTAACTAATAGCAATATCTTTGGAATTAGAATAAGAGTTTTATCTCTAACTTCTTCATCGCCTGTGATCGTATGAAAACATTTGTGGAGCTTCTCAACATCAATAGGATGTTCCCAAAAGAATTCGGTATTTTTCAATATTTATTGTCGTGGAAGGATCTCATCCTTATTTAGTGTAACTTCATTCTCACCATTTTAATAGGTCATATCATTTCATTTTTTCTAAAATTATTCATAATCAACATCAAATTCGAATCAGATCGTAATTTTTAGTACCCAAATTTCGAATTAAGGAAGTAATAACAATTGCACATATATATTTCTGAGGTATTGTATGAGCGATTTAAGCATAATTCCCTTTTAGAGAAGGACAAAAAAATATCATGCGTTAAACAACAGCAAATATTCATAATTCGGTTAATACAGATCGATAACTCCTGAAAATGATGAATTATTCTATTCTTTGCCTTAGTTCTTAAATATTTATCAATAAAATTGCATTTTTGAAATTTAACGATTGTTAATCAATTCTGGAGGCAGAAACTGCTGTTCCTAGTTTACATCAATTACGTTAAACTTGCTGAATCATCAAAATCGGTGTAATCCAGTACACAAGTGATTTCGGTTAAACGGATAAAAATTGCATGAATTTAATTCTGTACGAATATAAATTTTGGAAATCATGATAAAATGGATCTACACAATATATAAAATAATTTTTGTCGAGGTACGATCGATTATGTGTTATAGACCGAAAATATATTTTTTCGGTTTTCTCTTCAAATAATTGAAAGAATGATACTATTATAGGTTTATTATATTATATAGCATATAATCATGCTATAGCCGAAAATTATAAGTTTTGAGAAGATTGAATATAACACAAATAAATTTGAATGTAAGTTAAATTGCTTGTTGTTTTTAATAGCTATTTAATGAGAAATCCAATATTGCAAAATTCAAATTGAATGATTGAAAGAACAGAAAAAGTCATTCTTTTCAATTTCGAATATGTTTCATTGTATTTATAATTATATGGCAAATAAGATATTTAAACTTGATTTTTGAAGGAAAATTCACAAAATTGAATATATTCAAATAATTTTTATTCAAAAATAAACTAGTTATTTGAGTTTAATACTAATTATCTATTCAAACTACAAAGTTTGTAATTTAAAATATTTTGTGAGATCAGATTGAATTAATTCAAGGTTCTTTTCAATTAATATTCATGACCATATTACGCATTTTCGAACATTCTAAACCAAATATATAAAAATAGGAGACGAATGTTAAATTTGCTAGACATGGGGGAGTTGTCTGCAAAGTTTTAGCTCTTATCTCTAACAAAAAATTAATTTTAAAAAATTGGTACTTTCACAGCGAGAAAAAATAAAAGGCAAGATAGAATTTTCTAGACATAAAGAAGTTGTTTACCGAGTTTTAGCTCTTATCTCTAACAAAAAATTAATTTTTAAAAAAATGACCGAATACGTTTCACAGCGAGAAAAAAATAAAAGGCAAGATAGAATTTTCTAGACATAAAGAAGTTGTTTACCGAGTTTTAGCTCTTATCTCTAACAAAAAATTAATTTTTAAAAAAATGACCGAATACGTTTCACAGCGAGAAAAAAATAAAAGGCAAGATAGAATTTTCTAGACATAAAGAAGTTGTTTACGAGTTTTAGCTCTTATCTCTAACAAAAAATTAATTTTTAAAAAAAATGACCGAATACGTTTCACAGCGAGAAAAAAATAAAAGGCAAGATAGAATTTTCTAGACATAAAGAAGTGTTTACCGAGTTTTAGCTCTTATCTCTAACAAAAAATTAATTTTTAAAAAAATGACCGAATACGTTTCACAGCGAGAAAAAAATAAAAGGCAAGATAGAATTTTCTAGACATAAAGAAGTTGTTTACCGAGTTTTAGCTCTTATCTCTAACAAAAAATTAATTTTTAAAAAAATGACCGAATACGTTTCACAGCGAGAAAAAAATAAAAGGCAAGATAGAATTTTCTAGACATAAAGAAGTTGTTTACGAGTTTTAGCTCTTATCTCTAACAAAAAATTAATTTTTAAAAAAAATGACCGAATACGTTTCACAGCGAGAAAAAAATAAAAGGCAAGATAGAATTTTCTAGACATAAAGAAGTTGTCTACCAAGTGTCAGCTGTTACTTCTTCTCAATACTGATATAAAATAAAAATCTTTATTATTTATTTAACCTTTATTGTTTCATTAAACTTCATTTATTTTATATTATAGTTTTATTCTTTTAGCTACTTGTAAAATAATCTAATTTTATATCATCATTTTACCGGATTATTCTTCAGTACATCGATTGTGTATCTAAAATAATATCATTATCCTTATTCTGTTTTTTCCAAAATTCTTTTAAATATCTTTTTTGGTTAGATTACTTTATACTTTTTACTTTTATTTTTTAATTTCAAAAAAAAATTTGGTGATTGTTCTATTCTGTTACAATGTGCATTATCATATTCTAATGAATTATTCATTACATACATTTAAAAAAACTTGTTAAAAATAATTAAAAAATTATGTTTATTATTACGCTGTGAATGTGTCAACAGCGGTCATGCCTGTATCTGTATCCCATATTTGCCACAACCTTTCTGTATCTGCATTTGTGTATTTCGGTTTCAGCTGATACATTTGATTTGGCGTGTAATTTGTTCCAGTTAATGGATTAATTGGGAGATCTTCATGCGGTGTGTTATTATTGTACTCCCAAATAAAGGCAGGAATAGCCTGAATGCTTTGGCAGCGCTCCAATGTCGGCCAGAATCTCTCAATCTTCCCATTTTGGTAGGGAGAATGAGAGTCTGTATGCCGCCATTGGACGCCCCAAAGATCAAGTAGATCTTGAAAGGCGCCCCTATTTTCTGAACCGTTGTCGGTCCAGAAACAATAAGGGGCGCCAAATTCAATGAAGGCGGAAGCCGCAACGTTCGCTGTCGTCGCTGCCAGCATATCTGGTATTTGTATACACGCTAGGACTTTGCGGCTAAAATCGTCGATTATGCCATAAATATACTGGCCACGAACACCCTAAAATAATGAACATCTGCGTGCCAGATAAGATTGGGTGAAAGCGCCCAATATCTTACTGCTGTTTCTGGCCCGGCATGCTCTAATTCGCGTCTTGGTGAAATGATTTTCTTTGAAGTATCTGCGTACTTCTCTATAAGATACATCAATTTGTTGTAATTTCAAACGTTTCCATTGTTTTGTTTGACCACAGGGAAAGGCCCAGTGGTCATGTATCACAGCAAGAGCTTTGATTTGGTCGTAGGGATTGACCCTACGACCTTCTTGCCTTTAGGCAATGGGATATTCTGTAAGCTAAATTGATTTTGTAAAAAAGATTTTGAAACATCTAAATATTTGAAATCATTTGATTGAAGGGTTGGGGCGATGGGAACATGGGTGCAAGCTTCTTCCCATGTCATTTTACCTTCTTCAATCTGATTGGAAATACCAATTAGGTAAATTCGATCGACATACCCTTTGTAAGGATTCATTCTAATGAAGTACGTTAACAATCAAAATATTCTATAAGTGTCTAGTATGGAATTCAAAAGAATAAAGAAAATGGTAACGTAAATAAACGTATTATGAAAAATTTATAATTAAAATGAAAAAAAGAAAAAATAATAAGTAAAGTGACTGGAAATGAAAATTAAAATCAGTGTACAGTTTTATTTTTTTCTCGCTGTGAAACGTATTCGGTCATTTTTTTAAAAATTAATTTTTTGTTAGAGATAAGAGCTAAAACTCGGTAAACAACTTCTTTATGTCTAGAAAATTCTATCTTGCCTTTTATTTTTTTCTCGCTGTGAAACGTATTCGGTCATTTTTTTAAAAATTAATTTTTTGTTAGAGATAAGAGCTAAAACTCGGTAAACAACTTCTTTATGTCTAGAAAATTCTATCTTGCCTTTTATTTTTTTCTCGCTGTGAAACGTATTCGGTCATTTTTTTAAAAATTAATTTTTTGTTAGAGATAAGAGCTAAAACTCGGTAAACAACTTCTTTATGTCTAGAAAATTCTATCTTGCCTTTTATTTTTTTCTCGCTGTGAAACGTATTCGGTCATTTTTTTAAAAATTAATTTTTTGTTAGAGATAAGAGCTAAAACTCGGTAAACAACTTCTTTATGTCTAGAAAATTCTATCTTGCCTTTTATTTTTTTCTCGCTGTGAAACGTATTCGGTCATTTTTTTAAAAATTAATTTTTTGTTAGAGATAAGAGCTAAAACTTTGCAGACAACTCCCCCATGTCTAGCAAATTTAACATTCGTCTCCTATTTTTATATATTTGGTTTAGAATGTTCGAAAATGCGTAATATGGTCATGAATATTAATTGAAAAGAACCTTGAATTAATTCAATCTGATCTCACAAAATATTTTAAATTACAAACTTTGTAGTTTGAATAGATAATTAGTATTAAACTCAAATAACTAGTTTATTTTTGAATAAAAATTATTTGAATATATTCAATTTTGTGAATTTTCCTTCAAAAATCAAGTTTAAATATCTTATTTGCCATATAATTATAAATACAATGAAACATATTCGAAATTGAAAAGAATGACTTTTTCTGTTCTTTCAATCATTCAATTTGAATTTTGCAATATTGGATTTCTCATTAAATAGCTATTAAAAACAACAAGCAATTTAACTTACATTCAAATTTATTTGTGTTATATTCAATCTTCTCAAAACTTATAATTTTCGGCTATAGCATGATTATATGCTATATAATATAATAAACCTATAATAGTATCATTCTTTCAATTATTTGAAGAGAAAACCGAAAAAATATATTTTCGGTCTATAACACATAATCGATTATGGGCATTTTCAAAAGGCCGCTATCAATTGTGAAGACCGCTACGGTTTATCGTATAAATTGAATGCAAAATTGAGGTCTCACAATTTTAAATAAACTGTTTATGCTCGCATCATCCTCACGTGCTGCAGCCAATATCCGCTGGGTTGATACATCCCATAATGCTATTGCCTTTGATATGCACAAGTGCATCAATTGCCAAGCTTGTGTCCGTGCATGCAAGAATGTCGCCGGCCAATCCGTCCTCAAATCTGTCAAGATTAATGAAGGAAAGAAGAAGGGTGTAGTCCAAACAGTTACAGGCAAATTACTTGCTGAGACAAACTGCATCGGCTGTGGCCAATGTACACTTGTTTGCCCAACACAGGCCATCCATGAAAAGGATGCCCTCAAACAGATGAACAACATTTTCAAGAACAAGGGTGACCGTATCCTTGTCTGCCAGATTGCTCCAGCCATCCGTATCAACATGGCCGAAGGCCTTGGTGTTCCAGTCGGAACAGTTTCCACAGGCAAAGTCGTTACAGCCCTCAAGCGTCTCGGTTTCGACTACGTTTTCGATACAAACTTCGGTGCCGATCTTACAATCGTCGAAGAAGCCACAGAACTCCTCCAACGTCTCAACGATCCAAAGGCCGTTCTTCCAATGTTCACATCTTGCTGCCCTGCTTGGGTCAATTACGTTGAAAAGTCATATCCACAATGGATGCCACATCTTTCAACATGCCGTTCTCCAATTGGTATGCTTTCTGCTGTCATCAAGAACGTCTTCCCTAAGCACATCGGTGTTGATCCAAAGAGAATCTTCTCTGTTGGTATTATGCCATGCACAGCCAAGAAGGATGAAGCCGCTCGTGAGCAGCTCATGACAAAGTCTGGCCTTCACGAGACAGATCTTGATATTACATCTCGCGAACTCGCCAAGATGATCAAGGCCGCTAAGATCAACTTCAAGGAACTCCCAGACACAGAACTTGACTCACCATACGCTATGGCTACAGGTGGTGGTGCTATCTTCTGCGCTACAGGTGGTGTTATGGAAGCTGCCGTCAGATCCGCTTACAAATTCGCTACAGGAAAGGAACTCGCTCCAATTGAGTTCGTCCAAGTCCGTGGCGCTGAGAAGGGCATCAAGGTTGGCACAGTCGACATCAATGGTCGTGAGATTAAGGTTGCTGTCGCCCAGGGTGTCAAGAATGCTATGAGCCTTATCAAGAAGATCGAAGAAGGCCAGGATGATGTCAAGGGTGTCGTCTTCTGCGAAGTTATGGCTTGCCCAGGTGGCTGTGTTGGTGGTGGTGGTTCACCACGTGCTAAGACAAAAGCCGCGATGAACAAGCGTCTTGATGCTACATACAGAATTGACAGAGCTTCCAAGTACAGAACACCACAAGATAATACACAACTCCAGGATCTTTACAACGCTTACTTGGGTGGTAAGTTTGGTCATGGATTAGCTCATGAATACTTCCACACCCACTTCAAGCCACAGCCAATCGGCGCTAAGAAGAACTAAAATATATTATTTATTTATCGTCAATAATATAATCAAGCATTGAATGTTTTTCCATTTTTTTATAACCTGAAAGTGAGAACTTTATTCTGATTTGGTTAATTATCAACTTTGGAAGATATTTTTCACCCAATCTTTTTCCTGGTAATCCTTTGAGAAGTGTTTGAAATCATTTCGTCATACAATTGTCAATTTTCATGAAAATAAAGTGAATTTTCCATCAGACTTTTATTTTCCATGTATATTTGTTGAGCAAATATGAAAAACAGAAACATCAAGGTGATACTTTGAAACTGGAAGATAATCTATCATATAAATTTTTCTTTAGATTCGGAAACAAAAAAAATTAAGTTTATTTACCAGGAGTAACAGGTCTACGTGATGAATGTTGACCATCAGGTGAAACACTCATTTTGCTAACAGATAATCTTAAGGAAGAATCAATAGAAGCGGCCTTTTGACCAGCAGATTGATCTGCGATTACGTACTTCGCGAGCAAAGCTTCACCTTCTGTTTCGAATGTCCACTGCTCATCGCCGACTTCTTCGTAAGCGTCAAACATTGAGCCAGCGTCATCGTCATCGTTATCTAAATCACCATTGTTTTGAATTTCGCCACCAATAGCTCTGATTACTAAGTTGATCTCTTCAGCTATTGATTGGTCGGCGTTCTGTCTCATTTGGTCAAATAGAACTGGCAAACCGATAGCTTTGGCCTTTTCTCTCAAACTTGGCTCTTTCATAAACAATTGAGCGAGTAAAACGAGGGAATATGACTGTAATTGTGGATTTGGTGCTCCAGAAAGCTCGGCCAATATTGACAAGCCGTCATTAGTCAAGTATTTCTGAGCAGCTTCATGTATTGACGAAAGATTAAGTAATAAAGCAACTGTATATTCCGCTGTATATTCTGAGTATCTTGACGGGTCTGAAAGCATCTTGAGACAATGATCGAATATTCCTGTCTTCAACATCTCTGGTTTTGCAGCTTTCATCAAGCTGAGCTTCTGTAAAATACCGATGATGTTCATCATATCGCTTGAATCTTCATCTTTAAGCATCTTCGAGAGAATTTCGATTAATTTTGGATGTTTGAGTAAATAAGTACGGCCTGGACTATCAGTTGCAAGGATATTCATGACTCTGAGGCAGTAGACGCGAGCAGGGCCTGTAGAAGCTAACAGAGGTGGTAAAATTTTGCCGTTTTGGACATCAAAAACGTCTCCTTCGATAAGTTCGATGAAGAAACGCCTGACGTGTTCGGCAGGAGAGCGAGTAAGTCTGTTAACCATGGCTTTGAGAAGAGGAGCAGCTGCTTCTGTATTGAGTAACTCCTTTTTGACCTTTGTGAAGTCGAGAGGAGAGAAATCTGTTGTAGCAGTGAATTTTACAGCACCACCGGAGAAAATTCCGATACGGCGGAACATTGCATCAACTCTTTCACGAGTTGGAGCTTCTCCTTGCATTGCATGTTGTAATGCGTCTGCTAATTCGAGAGCTGCTGACCAAAGCTCGGCATCTGTTGATGCTGTCTGGTCTGTAGGTGACCTTAATGCTGTAACGATGAGTGGTAATTGAGAACCGCTGATTTGGCGGTCGAGCCAATCACTTAAGCGTTTCTTCAACTGATTGAACCAATCAATTGTGAAGATATGCTTAAACGATGGGTGATCGGCTGGATTTGGAATGTAAGGAAGTGCATAGTATGGAAGAAATTCGGTAGATTGAGATAAATCTGAAGTATGTGAATCGAGGAAGTCCTTAAATCTTTTGAGGGAGTCATTAATATCACCGAATTTAACGCGATTTGCTGGATGTAATGGAAAAACAGCAAAGAATACTTCACATAAGAAGATTAAATGTTGTGCATTTTGATCTGGTGGTGCAGACCACTTCGAATTCCAAAGTACTCTGAATCTCTGACAGTCACCTGTTGTTAAACTGTTGACTAAGTCACGTTTAAACTCTGATTGCGATTCAGATCTTTGTCTGGAGATTTCTTCGATTGGAGGAATCGAGAGACGCTCGCTTTGAAAAACAGCAAGTGTAGAATTCATGCCGCAGAACTGTAAAAAGTCTGCAACAGCATCAAACACTTCATTTGACATTTTTAAAAGATTTTTTAACGTGCACCTTTATTGTTTTCTATGTAATAGGAGATATAGATCCACAATAAAAAATTAATTAAGATTTTTTCATCAAATCTTTCGAATTCATATAAATTGTCTTAAAATTCTCCTGAATCGAACAAAAAAGCACAAGCTATGTCTGCATTATTGAAGAGGACTCTATCTAAAGCATGTTGATTCCCCAAAAATAATTCGAAATTGAGAAAATTATTAATGAATACATACTTATTCAAGATAATTTTGTTAAATCAAAAAAATTTTGGCGGTTTTCCAAAATTATTTTACCTTTATTCGATTCAAAAAGAAATACAATGATTTTTAACACGGCAAATCGATTTTATTTTATATTATATTTCGTTTTCCATTTTAAATTTGTGAATATTATGAATTTAAAAGATCAAATTCTGGACAAATATAGTGAGTCACTATTTTTTACTAGAAAAGAAATTAAATATCTAGATTATATCACGAATGATAGAGTTATCGTTCAATTTAATGTTCAAAAAATTGAAATTAAAAAAAAAAATGTTGGAGGAGTAAAATTAAAATTTAAAAGGGATGAATATTTTACCAATCTGATTCTGAATCTGACTGATCATCGTCTTCATCTGAGTCTGTTTCGACAATATCTTCTCTTCTTCTCTGCATTTCCATAAGAAGAAGTTCTGCAACATTTGCATTGTTTGGATCTGTAATTGTATGCTTCTTTTCTTTTTCCTCGTCCTGATCGACCTTCTTGAGCGAGAAATTACCTTGTTTGATCAAGCTGAGGAAGTCTCCTGGGTTATCTGGAGCAGGATTGCTTGCCTTTGGTGCAGAAGGAGCTGAAGGAGCCTTTGGAGCTGAAGGAGGAGGTGGTGGAGGAAGATTTGCTGGTGGAGGTGGCGGAGGTGGTAAATTGGCAGCAGGAGGTGGAGGAGGTGGTGGAGCAGCAGCGGATGATGAAGATGAAGAAGATTTGCTCGCTTTCTTCGATTCGTGCTTTGATGGCGCTGGTTCTTGGGGTTGAGATGTAGCATTGATAACATTTGTTGCTGAGGATATATTGATGAACTTTTTCGTTGGAGCTTTTGGCTCTGGAGGCCTCTGCGGCTGCAATTTCGGAGCAGCTATTGGTTTCGGCTTTGGAATGTAAGCTGGACGCGGCTTCTTTGGTGCGTGAGGCTTAATTTCGTGGACTTGTGTAACTTCGTGAACTTCTTCATCGATCATTTTAGCTTCATATCTTGTTGGTAATTTTGCAACGTAATGGCGCCAGTCAGTAGTACCCTTAGGTGGTGGATTAACAAGGAACTTATCTGCCGGACGAATTCTTCCGGAGAAAGCGTTGATGATAGCATCTGATTCTTGCTGAGTGATAAATGACTGATGAGCTGCTGCCGGTGGCTTAGAAGGCTTGTGCTCTGGCTGGGGTTCTTCCATTTCCTTAAGCTCATTAAGAAGTTCTTCAACGTATTGATTATGAAGAATCGATGGATCTGACATTCTTTTCTTGATTTCAATTGGATCAGTAATTCTTCCAACACCGACAAATTCTTTAAATGTCAAATTATCTTCAGGAACTTTCATCATTTGAGCTAAGTTTGTATAAGTTTGGCCTGGTTGCTTAGACTTATCATAACTAACACGTTCAATCTTCAAATCAACAGACTTTGTGTTTTCGAAATAAGATAATGGTTTAGATGCAAGAAATTCGTATGTTTTAGATGCGCGTGCTTTCACTTGTTGAATTTTTGCATTAAGGTTTTCTGCTCTTGTCTTTACTAGAGATAGATCACTCATTATATCTTTAAATAAATTCATAGCAAATTTGTTTAGGAAGACAATTTGGGAAACAACACCTCTGTTGATGATATCTTGGAGACTGTCTAAAACAGATACAGTATCGCGGTGTGTTAGTTCCAAAAAGTTGGCGCTAGACTCAACAGATGGAACAGAAATACCTGGATACATATTTTTATGAAATTTTTCATTTCACTTTAATTTTCAGATCCCGAACGAATCACTTATTAGGAATTCGGAAAATGATTTTATCTAAATAATTACGATTCGAAATTATCCCCATTCATTATTTTTCTGAGGTGTGTGAAAAAAATAATCATACTCTCTTGATGAGATTTATTCCATACAGTGCTTAGCATCATATAAAAAAGCTCATCCACTCGGAAAATTTTGTTTATTTCGACGCTAAATGGAAGATATTGTATTTGTGCTCTTATTTGTTCACAGTTCTAATTCGTTCACGAAACAAAACTCTAAAATTCATATTACACATGAGTTATTGACGAATCCACAGATTATTTTAGATTTCTTATTATGAATTTGATTTGGTCGAGCCATTCTTATTCAAGTAGATTTTCCATAAGAAAACTCTAACGAATTTAAAATTTTGAAGACGTAAGGATTTATGAGTTACAAAGGTTAAGAGTTTTATATAAAAAAGCAAAAAAAAGTTATAGAATAAAGTTAGTAACCACGAACACCACCCTTGCCAATAACTTCACCAACAGCGGCTGTACCAGGTGGAATAACGACTTTCATGTCTTGGAAGTATAATGGATGATCATCCTTATTAGCAAGATAATCTGGATAATCTCCACGCATTGTTGTTGTTAACGTATTTTCTGTAAGAGGTGTATGATCGAATGGGCAAGAATAACAAGCCTTATGCTGAGAAGCAGCCTTGAATGTCTCTTCTGGCTTCTTAAGAGGAACGTATGCTGTTTTCTCTTCAGACTTCCAGTAGGACTCTGGTGCACGCTTTTCACCTTGAGAGACTGTTGGAATTGGATCTCTCCATTTTGGATGAACATAGCGCTCACCTGGAGCTGGCTTCTTAACAATTGTATGAGCTGTACGATATGCTGTTGAATCTGCAGATTGTGTTAAGCTGCGGCACATTTCTCTGAAACTACGAGTCCAATTTGGATCAACATCTATATACTTTTGTGCGCGTTCCATAGCCTTGTCATTTAGAACGCCTTTTGAGTAAACAAGTACTTGCTGCATAACAGTTTGATTTTTGATGGTGCTACCTGTCTGGCCGCTGCAATAATCAACGATATATGTTGTCTTCATGTTGCGCTCAGCCCATCTTGAGATATATGCTGGTGAATTTTCGGTAGAGTTGATTTGAGATTTGTCAGAATCGCGAGTTCTTGTTGGAACAGCTCTGCATACTTTGCGCTGATCATTTGTGAAGTTAGTGTATGTAAGATTTGACTCTGTTGGTTTTCTCAAAAGCGCGTCAACTGAATCACGATCTTCGACGTTTTTTTCAACTTCGTTAATTGGAAGCTGTTTCCATTCCGGAATTGTATATCTTGAAGCTGTTAATGTTGTTTTCTGCTTAACTTTTTCTAAGTCTCCTGTTTCTCCTTCATCAACAGATAATCTCTTGAAAACACGTTCAAAAAGATTAAGAACTTCTGGCTGCATAGCGTTTACCCAACGATACGCAGCTGGAAGATAGTCCTCTTTGAAAACAGCATCAATAATATCTTTATGTGGTGCTGAACTCATAATAATTTTAATAACGTATCCAACCGTTTTTTCAATTTCAGCTATTTTATCAACCAAAATGAATACTTAAAATAACATTCTTATACCATGATATATATTATCTTTGATTTACAACGGAATCTTTACAAATTTTGTTTCAAAATCTTCGAAAGAATCAAAATCCAGACAAATACATATATCATATTGTTATTGTATCACATATCATGCCGATTGAGATATATTTTGATCAATTTAAAATGATATCTTCTCTGATAAAATCTCATCTTTAAAGATGGTTAGAGATTAGGGACAATATTTCATGACTTTCAATCTTTAGTGACTAGACATAAGAATGCATGCATTCATTTTGATTATTATATCAAATATATTTCTCATACATTATTTGGTCAGTATTTTCAAAACTAATGGAGTTTATCTAGCGATCAAAGCTATAAGGAGAATGTTTATTAAGGATCTCAATGAATATCAAATTATCCATTAATATTGTTGGGGCATTTTCTTAGGAGAGGGTAAATTTGAATACCATTCAAAAGTAAAAATTCACAATTTGTTCGATTTGGACATATAATCTATTATTATATATAATGTAATTAAGAAAAAAATAAAATGACCTGCATATATTAATTATTTAGATTGCAAGATTCAAAAAAGCTATTAAAATTAGAGACTAAATAAATAGCGAATTGATTCATATGGATTTATGTAATTGTGAACATTAAAAGAGTTTATTTATTGATCTAATAAAAAAAGATAAAATATTAATGAGAAAATTGAAAGAATAGAGTGTCCCATTCACTCGTGTTGGTCGCAATGTATCATTCTGGGGGACATTGCCTCTGCATGTCTCCCACAATGGCACAATGTTCCTTGGAGAAAGACCTGGAAGGGGGTCCTTTCTCAAGGTCAGGGCCCTCTTCTAGTCTTTCTGGTCCTGGAAGGAGCGCTTCTGACTGGTCTGTGCGCTGCTTCCAGGAAGATCAGGAGATTGCTCGAAGTTCGCGGCAAGTGCATTCCGACACCACAGATGCACTTGCCGCAACATATAATTGCGAGTGTCTGCTGCTTTGGTCAAAAGAAGCAGCAGACACTCGCAATGCGAACCGAATTGTCCCAGAAAGACCTGGAAGGGGGTCCTTTCTCAAGGGCAGGACCCCCTTCTAGTCTTTCTGGTCCTGGAAGGAGCGCTTCTGACTGGTCTGTGCGCTGCTTCCAGGAAGAACATGAGATTGCGCCAATAAGCTCCTATCAACAAATTTTGACTAAAAATATAAAGTATCCTTTTGTGATTTAACAAATAGCTCAATTTTAAAATAGATTTGATTCTAATAATAAATTGAATGAGTTTCGCTTACGTTTAGAATTTAATGATTTATATGATTTTTTCGTTCACAGAAGAGTCATTGATATCCAATATCAAAAAAACAGCAAAGACACACCATAATAAATGATATTGAAGCTAAATATTACATATTTCAACATATCTAAAAAATTATTATAAGATTAGATCTCATGCAATGCCGAGCAGTTTCCTAAAGCATAATTACTTATTTATACAGAATCAATTATATAATATTCACATTGCAAATTATATACATTCTCACGAAGCAACATGAAATAGACCGTCCGAATTTGAATTCAAATAGAGATCTACTTCAAAAGGATTTCTTACAATATGTAATCTCGATGTTGATCACTGGAATACAAGGGATGCACGTAATTTACAAATTGTTGCAAAAATAGTAGTGCAACAAAAATTTTATTTTTAGCTTGTCACTTGATATATAACAATTGCAAAAACTCAATCAAAAATAGGATTTGAACAACTTTTTAAAATTGTGAGAAAAATTCTATCAGCACATTCTATTCAATTTTAAAGTATTTCTTTCATATTCCAATCGATTATTCAATATTTGCCAATCACAAATTTTAGTTCAAAATTCAAAAAATCCCTAATTTTAATTTCAGATGAAATCTCGCAAAAATAACATTGTTTTAACCATATAAATATATATTTTATATATTGTATAGTGATTTTTTAATATTTTTATGAGTAAAATCGAGAGTGAGGAAATGTGGACTACAAAAAACAATAGAAATGAATAGTTTACATGGGAATTCAATACTTACAAGTATTCAATGTCACTTTTGTGCTCGAGATTTTGACTCTAGTATAATCCCATCCATTCACAATTTTTGTTAGAATTTTTTTGATTAGGCGGAAAATTTTTAAAATCTTATAATTTAAATGCTAAAACCTCAATATCATGAGATGTACGAGTGGAATTACACAGACAGAGAAAATGATTGCATAATAGAATTTCATTTTCCTGGAACATTTAATCCAGATTGTGTAGAATCCAAGCTCAATAACAATAAAACAGCGTTAATGGTTTCCTTTGCAGGAAATCCTCCAATAGTATGCGGAGCATTATTCGGAACTGCATCCGGAATCGAAATTTCTTTAAAAGAACAAACATATTCCATTGTAATTACAAAGAATCAAAATGAAAAATGGCCAATTCTTATCAAAATGGTCCATCCTGATTACCAAACAATTGACCCAAAGTCAGCCTTTATTTGTTACCAAGAATTATGTTCACTTCCTGATGACAAAACCAGCCAAAATCTAGCCATTCAATTTCTCGAAAAAAGCGCGAATGCTGGCTACTTAAATGCTTTGCAAATTCTTGGGCAAATCTATCTCAATACAGAAGATCATTATGCTGAAGGAGCAGTATTATTAAAACACGGTGCAGACAAATATAAAGATCCCATCTGCTGTTATCATATTGGTCTTGTCTGTGTATCACATATTGATGAAATTGACGCAGGAATTCAATACCTTACTCGTTCCGCAGAAGGAGGATACGGAATGGCTAATTTCACACTTGGCCAAATTTATTCTCCTATCTCAAATATTAAATACGAGCATAAAGATGGCGCAAAGGCTATGCAATATTTCAAATCTGTTCCTGAAGAAAATATCACTCCAGCCCTTCTCACTGAAATGGCTCAATTTTACGAACAAGGAATAGGTGTAGAAAAGGACGAAAAGAAAGCTGAAGAGCTTCGAGGAAAAGCTAACGAAATGATACAAAAAATGTTAGAAACTGCAAAAGCAAACCATCAAATTCTATCAGCTGATGATCAACAAGACATTTCGAAACAGAATACACCAAAAACTTCTACATCTCAAACAATTTTTATGGTTGGAGCAATTTCTGCTTTCGTTGCTGGCTTTGGATACATGGTTTATAGAAGATTCACTAAGTAATGTAAGAATTTCTTAGATACAATTCCTTTCTTTTCAATTTACATTATATTTGTATTAATTTTTAATAAAGTGTTTGTTTACTCTCTAATTAAGGGTTTCGTTTTGCTAAAATTGTCACTTTTATAGCATATTTGTTTTTGGATGTTTTGCGAAACCAAAAAAAAAACTATGATATACAATGTGTGTGTAAAGAAAATACTTTATTTACTAGTTAAAAAATCATTTGGTATTGATCAAGTTATTTTTTCTGGATAAGATATTATATGGATAATTGGATAGAAAATACAATTATATAATCTTGTACCTGGTTTAATTAAGCTAATTGTCATCAGAAACTTGTAATTTTTATGAATTTCAGATTTTCTTTTCATTACTGCTTTTCTTAATAGGTCAAGTTCTTATTTACGTTATAAAGTATGATATTTACAAATATCAAGTTATCATGTTTTTTGAGAAATTATGAGAAACAAACAAAAATGAAAAAGATAGGAATAGCAATGAATAGTGATGTGGGTATAGAAAATGTAAGAGATATGAATGCAAAGCAATCAGTATTTAGGATATTGACCATAGATTTCGAAAAAAAAATGCTGCATATTGAGCGAAAACTATGATTATATTATAAGGCTGTCATTTAAAGCATAATGAAACTATTCCCTTTTCATTTTAATCGAATAAGATAGTAAAGATTTTTGAATTAGCTAGAAACTGATGAGATGTTTTCACAAATCAGATTTTTAATCTCTATAATGCATAATTCACTCAATATCTCAATTTTGATATTGCGAGATATTTTTGCTATCGGTTTCGCAATTTTGACACAATAGCAAGAGGGTTCTATAAGCATTATTATCAACGTAGAATCTGAATATCATAATCAGAAAATGTCGCAAATCTGACATTTACCCGACCAAATAGCAAAAATAATTGAATACTTTTCGCAAAAACTTTAAAAAATCGATAAAAATATGAAATATAGATATTAAAGAGACTTTTTATATAATATTCATAAAGATTTTCCAAAAATATGATACCGCAAAATTAAAAAAGTGACGTCTTGAGTGGAGTCAAAGGTCGAAATTGCTAGCTAAATGTTTTTTTAGCGAAATTGCGTATTGTACGTTTTTTTCGCAAAACGAAACCCTTACTCTAATTTTATATAATTCAAGGAAGGCAATTAAATTTAATTGAGTTCTTCAAATTCAGACTCCCACTCAATTTTTTTTTCTGATCGCAAAATAATAACTATTCAATCAATTTATGTTTCCTCCTAAGATATTTATATAGCCAGATCGAAGTACCTTAACTATATCATAAATCGAGAGATCTCTCAAAATTCAGAGGGTGAGGATATTGTTGGATATTTTAATTGTAATGCATGAAAATTCGGTTCAATTCATTTTTGACACTTTACATATATCATATTGCAAAAAAGTTTTTAAAATATGATGTATGAATAAGAGTATGATTGGTATAGATTTGGGTTGTATAAATGTGATTGAACAATTGTTAATGGAAAGTTCAAAAACTTGGGTGCAATCAGTTCTGATTGCACCCAAGTTTTTGAACTTTGTATAAGGAATTGTTGGCTATGATGTACTGATCATGAATCAGTACATCATAGCCAACAATTCTTCCCAAACAGCGGGAAAACTTTGTCTGAATAGTTTAACATCCAGACAAAGTTTCCCGCTGTTTGCGAAGGAATGGAAGGGTAAGAGGTATACATTATGAATATATACCTCTTACCCTTCCATTCCCTCGAGAAAGTTCAAAAACTTGGGTGCAATCAGTTCTGATTGCACCCAAGTTTTTGAACTTTGTATAAGGAATTGTTGGCTATGATGCACTGATCATGAATCAGTACATCATAGCCAACAATTCCTTCCCAAACAACCCGAAATTTGTCTGAATAGTTTAACATTCAGACAAAGTTTCCCGCTGTTTGCGAAGGAATGGAAGGGTAAGAGGTATACATTATGAATATATACCTCTTACCCTTCCATTCCCTCGAGAAAGTTCAAAAACTTGGGTGCAATCAGTTCTGATTGCACCCAAGTTTTTGAACTTTGTATAAGGAATTGTTGGCTATGATGTACTGATCATGAATCAGTACATCATAGCCAACAATTCCTTCCCAAACAACCCGAAATTTGTCTGATTCCACACTAATTTTATTAATTTATCTAAACTTTTATCCTCGTCTACAATTTAATCATCAATAATTATCTCTTGTTCTATTTCACTATTATATATATATATATTTATATGATTTGATTTAAAAAAAATAAATAAATAAATTAATAAATCATTTACTCAAATATATCAAAAGTTTTATTTTTATATATAAAGATAACTACTTTTAAAAAAAAATACCCTATATATTTTTGCCATGTAAACTTGTCACTTTTGTCAGAAGTGAAGTGAACCGAATTTTCATGCACAACAGTTGGATATTTTAATGTTGCTTCATTTCAAAAATGAACCAGGGTATTACTTCGAATTCCGAATACATCGCAGCTTATAAGCTTATACTCAAAGACAAAGAAGCAACAATCAATCATTCGAATGATATTGTTGAAGTTTACAATTTTCTTGCTGACCTTTCTGAGAATGGAAATCACGAAATGATGGCGAAAGCTTGTGAAGATGGACTTTGGAAAAAGGAATCAAACGATACATTTAATATACTTCATCTTGCATGTCGCAATGGAATTTTTCAACTCGTTAATTCTCTTATACTCTGTGGCTGTGATAAAGAATCACAAACTAAATATGGATACACTCCACTCATTATTGCATCATGCTTTGGTAAACTTGAAATTGTTAAATATCTTATCTCTATTGGAGCTGATAAAGAAGCAAAGGATAAATATGGATACACTCCACTCATTATTGCATCAGGAAATGGTCATCTTGAAGTTGTTAAATATCTTATCTCTATTGGAGCTGATAAAGAAGCACGCAATAATGATGAATATACTCCGCTCAATTGTGCATCGATTAAGGGTCATGAGGAAATTGTCAAATATCTTATCTCTGTTGGAGCTAATAAAGAAGCAAAGTATTATGAAAGAAAAACTGCACTTACAGTGGTCAAAGATAATGTGAGAAACTATTTATCTTCATGGATCAAAAACACCTTGGATTCAATTTAAAAACCACTGTTTAGTATATGTAATAAAGGTCAGTTAGTTATTGGCATCTTTCAGTAATAATTTCATGAAAAATGTTTCTCTAGTACAGCACTGTTTAACTCTGAGCGAACAATAAAATTTCATATTTTATATTTTAGTGACTCTCTGATAAGATAATAAATGAGCAATTTACACAATTCTCTTGAAATGATTTTTTTTGAATTCTAACAATTGTAGACCGGAAATGAATCATGGAAAATTATTAAACGTATAATCCCTAATGTACTTAACTCTGCAAATGAAAAAGGAAATCTCAACTTGATCACATCTCTCATCGATTGCAAAATCAATAAAAACATGAAGGATTAACCTGGTGAAACATCACTCAATATTGCATCATGTTAGAGAATTCTTGAAGTTGTTAAATATCTTATCTCTGATGGAACTAAATATATCATTTATATAGAGAATTTTATATCAAATTTTATATTAAATTTCAATGATAACTATAAAGGCCGATAGAAAATTTTATAGTGTCACTTTTACGGGCCTATTATGAAAGAAGCAAGAGCAGCCTCAGATGAACTTATTAATCTGCTTACAAGAAGCAAGGGAGTACCTCCAAAACTCCCAAATCAAACAATTTTAACAGTTTTACACGCATCAAAAGAATTATTTGAAAAAGAACCCAATATTTTAGATCTAAGAACACCAATCAATGTTGTTGGTGACATCCATGGCCAATTTCCTGACTTAATGACCATATTTCAAGACGGAGAATTCCCACCTAATTCAAGATATTTATTTTTAGGTGATTACGTTGACAGAGGTACGCAATCACTAGAAGTAATATGTCTTCTTCTAGCTCTAAAAGTTCGGTATCCAAATCACATGTTCCTTTTGCGAGGAAATCACGAAACAAAAGAAATGACCGAAGAATACGGATTTGCTGTAGAATGCAGCTCAAAGCAAAACAAAGCTACATACTCCGAGTTTATATCTGTTTTTGATACCTTACCATTAGCCGCAATTATTAATAATTCTTATTTTTGCGTTCACGGCGGATTGACACCAGATCTTCACGAGCTTTCACAGATACGAGCATTACCACGCCCTACACAAATACAGGAGCACGGATTCCTTGCAGATCTCGTTTGGTCAGATCCAGACAGAGATTTCGAAGAATTCGCTCCAAGTGAACGCGGATTAACAGTTAAATGGGGTTTTAAACCTGCACAGCAGTTCATGGAAGCAAATAACCTGACTAAAATCATCAGAGCGCATCAAATGGCTGAAGAAGGAATTGAATATCCTTTTTCACCGGAAAACTCAGTAATTACGGTGTTTTCAGCACCATGGTATGCTGGAGAGTTCAAAAATAAAGGTGGATTCCTTAAAATAGATAAAAATAACAACATTGAACCAATAATTATAAATCATAACGATAAAGCTCCTCCAGTGACATTTGCACAGCCTACACAGAACAAGAATGAGGGAAAGGGAAGAGGCAAAGGCGGAAAAGATGGTAAGAAAGGAAAAAGAAAATAATTTAATTTTAATTTTGTTAAAATCATTAAATTTGTTGTTAAAAATTGTGTGTATACATTTATTTATTGACTCTGCTTTTTAAAATACTCCAACCACAAAGGTTCAACGAAAATTTTCTCCATCACTCTTAAATTTTCTAAGATATAAATATTTTATATTTCAGACTAAGTAGAACACTTCTATCAATTATTTTGTTAATGATCGGCAATTTTTTCTGAAGTATTTCAATTTTTCAGATGGCTTACGATGAAATTGTTATCAATTACATCGATCCTTACATTCCTACTATTAGTATTTTTTATTATTCCGTTATGTACCAATTACATTTAACTATTAAAGCCAAAACTCTTATTAAACTCTCAAATTTGAAAACATGTAAAAAATTCCCTTAAAAATAGTTTTAAAATTAATGCTTCCAATACTCTTTTTAACAGCGTTTTCTATCAATTATTCTAGGTATTCTCGAGAGTCAACTGTTGTTTTGTCCTCTAAAACATGGAGTTCGAGCGGAACATACCAAGCAGTTTTGTATCCAGGAACGTATACCTTCACTGCTAAAGGAGCCTCAGGAGGAATATATAATTCTGGTTCCTCACCAGGTGAAGATCCTGGACTAGGGGCACATATAACTGGTATTTATAATTATGAGGGACAAAGTGCCTTAACATTTGAAATTATTGTAGGAGGTGATGGGCAAAAAGGAACTGCTGGATATTCAAATGGTGGTTCTGCTGGCACTTATACAGGAAAATCAGGATTAACAACAAATTCTGGCGCTGGTGGTGGGTCAAGCGGTATTTATCTGGATAGCTCGCCAATTATTGTTGCAGCAGGAGGATCAGGATCTGTAAATGTAGTTCGCGGTGCTCCTGGTGGATGTGGTAATAACGTATATCATATTATTTGGAATTCTGGCTATTATGAAGAAGAAGTTATTACTGATTCAGCAAGTGTAGTTGATTGCTCTGGATCTGGGAAAGATGGAACAAGCGGAACATTCCCGGGGAGCGGTGGAGGAGGGGGTATTTTGTGTGGCAAAGGTGGCTCAGGACAATCAAGCATTTCAGCAAGCTTGGTTGGTTATGGAGGAAAATCTTATATGCCTTCGGGGTTTACGTGTACCCCTGGCCATAAAACCACGGAAAATAGTTATGTGACAATAACTCCATATTCTTGCACGTCTCCATGCCAAATTTGCTACACTAACTCCACTTGTACAAAATGCAATGATGGTTACAAATTATACAAAGGAAGTTGCGTTACAAGCTGCCCATATGGCACTGATACTGATGGAAATTGTGTCGTTTGTCCAACAGGCTGCTCAAGTTGCTCCAGTTCTACACAATGTACAAGCTGCTCTTCAGGATACTATCTTTACGAAAGCTCATGCCTTACATCATGCCCATTAGGCTTTTACGCCTCAGGATCAATTTGTCAAAGTTGTGATTCTTCATGTACTGCCTGCACTAGTTCCACAGTTTGTTCAGCTTGTGCCTCTGGTAAAAAATTCTACAAAAATCAATGCTTAAGTAATCACCCTGATGGTACATATAAAAGTAACTCAAATTGCATTGAATGTTCATCAAACTGTCTACTATGCATGGATTCAACAACATGTAGCAAATGTGAATCAGGATTTTATTTATATAATAGTTCTTGTCATTCTAGTTGTCCTTCAGGAACTTATGCATCAAACTCTTCTTGCGAGAATTGCCCAGATCATTGCACTTCATGCGAAATCACAAAATCTCTTAAATGCACCAAATGTGAAGATAAATATCACTTATTTTCAAGAAGATGTATCAATGAAACATTATATAATCAATTAAATAGTCCCGAACTTGATATACATTTGCTTAATTATGGAGTCAATAGAAGAAAAGTTGGAACAAAAGAACGTTTCGTTTGATAATTTATTGGCTTTTATGGCAAAACCACGAATTTTGATTTCTGATAGAAATATTATCCATATAAAAGATGCATCAGACAATATGAGGAATATCATGTAGTCTAACATGCAACTGTTGATAATCCACATTCTAAAAATAGCAAACTTGGAAGAGGATATTTAATATTAATTCCATTTTTGTTAAATCTAATTATAAAAATATCAAATTAGTTTTTAGAAAATCATTCATATTTTTTCGAATTTTGATAACGATCAAAACCATTTACTCGGAATACTTTATAAAATAAACTATCTCTTAATAAGTCAATTTAAGATTAATCTCATCATATTCTCTAGAGTAAAAAAACAAAAATAATTCCAATTTTATTAATATACTTAAATTTATTACAAAATTCATTTTCTTCCACCTTTTCCTTTTGGCAGATCCGCTTTGTTGAACTGTGTTTCGATGTGATTCTTTCTTGCCTGGAATGTTTGTGTTGGCATAGCTCTCTTTGTCTGTGTCAATATTGGTTCTGCAGCTCTCTTTATTCTTGCTAATGAGTCCTTCATGTAGTTCTCGTAGTCATTGATTCTATTTGCCGTTTCTGTCTTGATTCCGCTAACCATCTCTTCGAAGATTGCTGCAACTTTCTTCTTATCAGAAAGATGATCCAAAACTTCCTTGGGAGCGTTCTGGACGCAATCAGCGACCTTCTGGAATCCATTATCTATTGGCAAATTAGAGATAATCTCCTTGAGATCATTGACTTTCGCGCCTTGTCCTTTCTGAACAAGTTCAGCTGCTTTTCTTCTGAGTAACTCGTAATGGATGTCGTCGATGAATTTCATGAGAACTTGTGGTGGATTCTCAGTGAAATCAGGGACATTTGAAGGTGTCTCTTTCGGTGTGAATGCGCAAACTTGGTTCGTGTATTCGTTCTGTTCTGTAATCTGGTTCAAATATGCACGTCCAAAGAGTTCTGTCAAGCGGAATAATCCTGCGCCTGCTTTCCATGTCCTTCTGAATTCTTCCCTCATTCTGAGATGCTCGTCGTAAAGCTCTTGGTAATGCTGTGCGAGTTTCTGAGATTTCTCTTTCATCTCATCGCGTTCTGCAGTGACTTGTTCGAGCATTTCTGTGAGAATCTGTTTGGAGGATTCGGCGCTTTCGCTTTGTTCCTGTAAAGCGTGGATTTCAGTAAGCAAACGCTCGTTGAGAGAATGGAGTTTCTCTATTCTTTGCTTGCCTGTTTCCGTGGCCAATCTTTCTGCATTCTTTCGGAGAGTCAATTCTGATCTCAAACGCTGAGTTTTCTCTTTGAGAGCGGCGTACTGGTTGTCTGCTTGAATGAGCTGCATCTCTATGGAATCTGCTGCTGCTCCTGCCGCTTCTGGATCTGTTAAAGCGGTCATTGTTGCTGGCTCATCAGTATTCAACGGTTTTTGTGTGAGAGGAGGTAATGGTTCACTGAATTTGAGGGTAGGACAGACAATGAGCTGGTTAAGGAGCTCTGTTTCATCAGGTAATCTTGAGATTGAATCTTCGGATTTCTTCTGAGCTTCAGCTACAGCGCCGCGGACAACGGCAAGCTCGTTTTGTAGTGCAACAAGGAATGCTCTGAGTGTTGCAGGTTCGCATTTTGTAAGACGACGTGGTCTAAGAAGGGATTCTGATGAAAATCTGATTCTTCTGACTTTTAGCTTCTCGTTTTCTTCTTGAAGCATGCGTACTTTATCTAAAAGATTCGAAATAGAACCGAATTGGTCGATAACAACTGAAGCGCATTCAAGGCGTTGTTCAGCTGTTCGAATTCTTTGTTTAAGTGCATCAACAAGCTGACGGAGACGATTTTCACGAAAATCAAGTAAGTCTAAGTAAAGCTGTTGCTGCGATGTTGATGAAGATATTAGAGATTGAAGAGAATCTCGATCTGGAAGTGGACCAATTGCAGAAATATCTCTTTCTAAGGATTCGATCATGTTTTTCAATGAGGCAACATCAGGTCCTGCTTGATAAAATTCGAGTTCTGTTAAAAATGAAACGGAATTTTTGAGTTCTTGGTATTGTTCGTTAACTTTGTTGAAATTTGCTTTAACATCGATAATTGCAGCATCGAGTCTCTCACCTTCGGCAATTGCAGCAGAATAATCAGCTGCATGCTTTTTCATTAATTTTTTAAGTTCATTCAGGAATGAATTTTTTTCACGAACTGAGTTAGAGGCTAAAGCCTTTTGGAATAACATGGAAATTCTCTTTGATTCTGTTGTCGGGGCTGTATCCGCTTGACTCATATTTTTTTACTCCCCTTGAAATTTTAAAAACGGATTTTAGAACGGTTTTTAAGCTTTCTGCAAATAGGATTCCTATCCAATGAGGGTGACTCATACATCAAAGTTTTCCATTGATTTGTATTGCTATTCATCAGATCATGTAGATATCAACTAATTTTACAATCGGACATTGCAAATACTAAAATTAATGTTTAAAACCATATTCTAATTTACTCTTTAGGTTATTCCTTAATAAAATAAAAATATTTTGATTTTAATTGTGAAAGTGTTTGTCCATTAGGTAAACTCATAACCAATTGAAATTCAGTTCGTTCTCGCTCTGCTGGTTAGTCTATCGGATAATACGTCATTATTTGATATGAAATCTTGTTGTTATTCTATAACTGACAAATCCTATATTGCTCATAAAGGATAGAGTGAAAAACAATCGATCATTACTATCAGTAAAAAATGATTAAAATTTTGGGTTTAAAATTTTCAGTGTAGAACAGATTTTTGATGATAAATTTCATCAATACTTAAAGTTAGTGATATTGCTAGTCAGACATTCAAATCTCAAAGAAATTTTGTTGTGACGATAGAGACGGTTGGCCTTTCTCGATGGTAGCTAAGAACAACCAAATTCCAAATGATCACCTTCGTAAATACTGGTATCACCGCGTAAAGACATACTTCGATGATCCAGCTCGCGCTCAACGCCGCCGTAATGCTCGTAACCTTAAGGCCAAGAATATTGCCCCACGTCCAGCTGAGGGACCACTCCGCCCAGTTGTTCGTTGCCCAACAGTTCGTTACAACATGAAGGTTCGCCTTGGTCGTGGTTTCACACCAAAGGAACTTGTTGCTGCCGGATTTGATCCAGCTCTTGCCAGATTCCAAGGCATTGCCGTCGATACTCGCCGTGCTCACTCTAAGGATGCCATGGTCAAGCAGAACGTTGAGCGCCTTGTCGCTTACAAGTCCCGCCTTATCAAGGTCAAGAAGGGCGAGACAGCTGAACAAGTTAACGATGCTGCTCTCTTCGCTCTTCCAAAGGCACAGAACGAAATCAAGTTCCGTGTTATCAAGGCTGAAGAGGCCAAGAAGGATCTCTTCAAGGAGAAGACAGATAAGCTCAAGGCTTTCCGCGAGGCTAAGAAGGAAAAGGCCGCTGCTAAGCACAAGAAATAAGCTGACAATTCCTCATATTAGCAAATAAATCTGATTTTATAAGACGCATATATAAATCAAGACAAAAAATAACCAAAGAAATTTTATCTACGCTCAAGACTACAAAAATTCTGAAATATATAATTTTCCATTTTTTTTAATAGTAGTATATGAGAGCGGGTCGTGTGACTTTTTTTGTAAACGTAAGAATTCATACAATATTGAACGATTTTGTATCATTTTTTTAACATATGAAGTAAAAAATGTATGATTCTTACGGTTTTTATTCTTACGTTTTTGAATAAATCAAGATTTAAAAATGTTCAAAATTGTAAGACATTTACACTCAACCCATACATAATGAAATATTTTTTATCTTTTATAAAAGAAGCTATATATATATAGATGATGTCAGATATTCCGCGATTAATTAAACATTGTTTAAATCCTGAATGGGTTAAACTTCAATTTAAAAATGAAGATTGTGAATTATTAAATGAATATGAAAGCCAAAATAAGCTAATGAGGTATAAATATAATGATAAAGAATATTTAATTTCATGGAATCAATGAAGTCATAATCAAAGACCTCATAAACGAGAAAAAGAAATTAGAAACTAATGATTATTTGAATTTATGAAATCAATTATTTGATTCATTCTTTCTTCAATCTCTTCTATTCTTTTTGTTAAATCATCTATTTTCATTAATGAGGTGATTCTTGATTGAGGAATAGATTTCAAACTAACCACCCCCTTTATTTTTGAAATTTTGAATCCATCAACTTTAAACATTTTATTCAATTTACACGTTGTCAATTCTTCAAATAATTTTTTATTATTGGTATAATAGTCATTAAATTCTTCAACAGATGAAAAAATTTTTATTTCAGTAATTGGTTTAACAACGTTTATTTTTTGTTGAACATTTCCACTCTCATTTATTTCTTCCTCCTCTGTTTCATTTATTTTTAAAATTGGTTTCATTTATCATTAAATAAAAATTAGAATATAAGTGATGAAATATATTTTTTAATTAATATTAAATCAGAAATGGCGGCAGGATTCTTTAAAAAATTATGGGATGGAATTAAGAAAGCTGCGGGTTGGGTTTATAAAAAGGTTATTAAACCTGTTGCAAACTTTTTGGCACCAGTAGCGAAAACGGCAGGAACTATCATAGGTGGAGTATTAGGTACTAAAGCAGGTAATCCGGCGATGGGAGCACAAGCAGGTAACGCAATTGGTGGAATAGCTGAAGGAATACTTAATAAAATAGGGGGTAGATAGTGGAAAAATAAATTATTTTAAAATTATTTTTATCTTAGTATCGGTTGTAGTCTTTGATAAACTTTTTCTCCTTTATTTAAAATTTCTCTTATTGGGGCAGCTTTTGGTGTTATTGATTCAGCAACGTCACTAATTGCTTCTTTATTCTTAAATATCCAATTTGCTCCCTTCTTCAATGTTTCCCAAACTTTACTCGCTCCTCTTTTTACTTTATCCCACAGTTTCTTAAATATACCTGCAGCCATAGTTAATTATTTCATTAAAATTAAAAATTCATTTCCATCTTTTTAATTTTGATTTTTTATTTATTAATAAATGACGACTAACTATTTAGTGCCAAATACCAAACCGATTAATGGAAATGTGTTTCATTCATTCGAAAAGATAAATGAAATATTCGCAAAGAATGATGGTAGAAGATATTATAGAGAACTTGAAAGTTCATGCTATGACTCTGATACTCCATATTTTGATGATAAACAAACTCATTTAAGAATTACAAATCCAGCTCATGATGTGAACCAATTAGGTGACACATATATTAAACGCAAAGTTAAAGTAACTCTAGTTTCAAATAAAGCTTTCACATGTGATGCCGCTTTTAAATGTATGCGTTTATTCGTTGGTTACAAATCATCAAATCAAAACTTTAAACAATTAGAAGTAGAAACCGAAAGAGGTGATGCCGGTTATCTTCAAATGGATTGCGCCCGTGAATCTTTCGCATTTGCAACATATAAACCAAAATCAGAAAGGAAAGTTAAAAAGTTTGTTCATTCGTTATATAATAATGTTCAAAAATATGATAACTCAGTATGTGGTAAATATATTGACCCTTCAGAAGTTTTTAAGAAAGCAAATGAAGAAGTTGATGTCACTTTTGATATGATTATTCCGGTAAATGATTTGTTAGCATTTCAGGCGTTCGATGATTATCCTAAATCATTTGGTGATATCATTCTTAAATATAGGGTGTCCAAAGGTGTGTTTAGCACAAACCTGAATACTGCGAATAGAAATAAACAAGTTACATATATATAAAGTTTATTTAAATATAATCACCATTGGATTCAATCACGCGTTCGCAGCGATCGATCCAGGCTTGAAAGACACGCTTTAAATCATCATGAGAAAATTGCTCAAATTACTCTCTTACAAAATTTTCAAGATCATCTGGACTCGCGAATTCGCGACCTTCAGCTCTCTTTTTTAGCGTGCCGAATAAATAAAAGTCAGAGGGTGCAATATCAGGTGAATAAATTGGGTTTGGAACAACTTTGACATTGTTTTCCACCAAGTAATTCATTACCTTATGACTTTTGTGAACTCTTGAATTATCAAAATGAATTGCAAACTTTTGTTTTTGTTGTTTGGATTTCTCAAACTCATCAGAATTGATAATTTGAGTAAGAACATTGTCAATTAGATACTGAGCATTCATCGTATTAGGTTTTTGAAGAATATCAATTGCGATGATGCCATTCACGCCCCAAAAAACCGACAACATCATCATTGGTGTGTCAATTTTTTTCTTCGGGAATGTTTGCGGATTTTCATCCTTCGGGATCCACATGATTTTGGCTTCTGTTGCATATTGAAACCAATACTCGTCCCCTGTTACTAAAAAGCGAAACTTCTTGGATTGATATGCACCCAATATAGAGAGGAGCTCTTTCGAAGATTGGACTCTAGATTTTTTTTGAACTGAATTAAGGTTGTGCGGAACCCAACGTGTATACGCTAGTTTGTAGTTCAAATAATTGTGCAGATAATAACTGACTGTTGTATGTGGTATCTTTGTCATCTCCTCTATCCTTCTGAGTGATGCTCTTGGGTCTTCATCTAGCGCTTGAAGAATTGCTTTGATTTTTCTTTGATCCGGCGATTTTTTGTCAATTTTTATGATGGGCGCCTTTTTGTTCATGAAGTGATACATCCTAACATGATACGTTACAGTGGAATAGCTAGGAGCATCCATACCGAAGCATTTTACCAATGTCTCGTAGATTTTTTTACAGTCTTTGCATTTTTTTGCAAGAGCGAGGATGTTTTCTTTATGATTCATTAAAAAAATGAAAAAATCCCGCCAAAATTTCCCGCGAAACCACCTCTTGTCTCAAAATTCATTTTATATCCCGGCATGGCGCCAAAATACAACATACTCATCATATACATATATTCATATTTTTTATTATATATTTATAATCAGCATATATCTTCTTTAATAGTCTCATATAGAGCGCTGTGCTAAACGCACCTTTGGACACCCTATATTATGTTTACAGGGATACTTTAGTATTTTGTCAGGTTGACCCGTTAAGAGTTGCTGATTTACAAAATTACGTTTATGAAAAGATAACTGATGAAAATTATGAAAAGATTATGAATCATGTTTATAAATATGATCGCAAATTCCAACAAATCGGACTTCCTGCCAAATTAATTACAAGCTTAGCCGCTACATCTGCTGACGCAACAGTTGATGACGTTATTATTTCATGCACAAAGATGGATGTTTTAGAGGATAAATGTATTACACCAGGATATGGTTTAATTGAAGAATCAGTTAAAGCAATACCACGTTTATTCAGTAAGGAAGATCCATTCATGATTCCAGCTCAACATATTGACGTTCGTTCACTAAATGGAGGTTGCATCACTCCTGAAGGTATTAGCTCAGATTTCTCATATGCTCTTCATAATGTTACAGATGTTGTGTTAACATTTCCGAAAAATGCAATGCAAAGAACAGTTTTAGAAAATCTAATGCTTCGAGGTCTTCAGGTCACTATAGATTCAAGAAACTTCCCCGATCAAGCGATGACCACAGTGGGTGACATATTCTTTACACGTATGCTTCAAGCTTCTGATTTAGATGGAGTGAATGAATGCACGGAAGAATACGAGGACTCATTAACTAGACCACTGAATGCAGATGATGGCACGCCATCAGCTAGAACATGGAAAGACCAAACTTCATTCTTATGCACTATTCCAGTTCAACGTGATGGAGCGGGTATATTCTTTGATGGATTAGAAACTTTTAACTCACAAGTTACAGTACAAGTGAAAGCTTATCCAATCATTCAGGGTGAAAATGACACTTACTGTTCAAAGGTGACAAATCCTCCTCAGGTTTGGTTTACTAGGACTACATATTGGACATGGACACCGGATGAAGGTTTGAAATATCATTCAACAGGTACACCACCACAGTATAGAAGTTCATATGATGAAATATTGATGAATAGAAATGTTTAAAATTATAAATTTATTTTTGAGTAAATGGATTTAAATTCATCCACCCCTTATGAAGAATTAGCAGGAGTATATAATACATACGTAGATGATATGATTAATGAAGCATTGAGTGATAATAAAATGCTCTATCTAAGGAAAAATTAATGAAAATTCCATATTCTGAATGTTACTTAAATTCAATCACTGCAGCAATTGGTAAACAAAATAAAGGTAAAACATTAACGATATTAAAACAAATTATCATTATTGCTAACACTTCCCCCATTCACATGTGTTAATTTATATCAACCGTTCAGGTTCACCTTCAGATGATACATTTGAATCTTTAAAGCATTTAATCAAAATTCCAATTATTTATTTATCACAAGAAGAAGCAGAAGATTATTTAAAAAACTTTTTAATGTATAAAGAATTATATAATACAATCAAGAAGCAAGGATTAGAGGATAAAATTATTGATAAACAACGGGATGAATTATTTGAAACACTTTCTATTTCAAATTTTGATAGAGAATTTTTGCATTCACTCATTTTTCTAGATGATGCAGTGAAATCAAAACTAATAACAAATGAGAAATCATATTTTAATCAGTTATTAACTCAATGTCGACACATTCAGTGTTCATTCTTTATGGCTGTTCAATATTTCAAAGCATTAAGCACAAACATTAAATCAAATCTATCAACACTTTTCATTTTCAGTGGGTTTAGTCGTCAACAGTTGAACGTTATGCTTTATCAAGTGAATTTACCAATGAGCATTAATGAACTTTACACACAATATCAGCAATTAGGTGAACATGGAAAAATAATAGTTGATTTAAATAAAGGGGTGTTAAATTTGATTAACTTTTTATAATTAATTTTTATTTTTTATTTATAATTAAACATGACAGAAATAGCAAATCTTTTACAGTTCCATTAAAACAAGGGACAAACAAAAGGGGTGCATATAATAGAACTATGAAAGTTCCTGATGGAATGAAAGAATTAGTTCATATTGTTGCTGGTCTTCAAAAAGATGTTAAACAAATGAGAAATGTTTTAACATTACCAGAAGCTCAAGCATATGCCAAACGTCATGGTCCAAATTGGGAAGCACACGAAGCAGACATTACGGGTCCAAATGGAAAACCTGATGGTATAAATGAAGTTTTCGTTACTGATGGTCAAGGTAATATTAAAGTCATAAATGGTTATAAATTAACTGTATCTGATTATCCTAAACGTAAAGCATATAATGAACATTATCCTATGCAATTTGATGAAAATGGAAAAGCTGTTAAACAATACATTGGAGAAGGTGAAAATGGTCCAATTAATTCATACCGTCATAATCCATATTATTATTTCAATGAAGAATTAAATGCTATTGAAGAGGGACCGGATGGATTACCACGATATTCTAACCAGTTTGATGGCCAATATGTAAATATTAGACCCGAAATTTCAGCTAAGAAATTCTTTAAAGTTGCTTTATTCGATCCAGTTTTCGCAAATGTTAAAGATGAACTTAAACAGCAATTCCAACCAATTATAGTAGCAAGAATTGCATCAGGTGCTTTATCTCAAGCATTCAAAGATTTAATTAAGAAACCATTATATCAGCAACGAGGTTTAACTTATGATTTAGTTAAGGAATCAGATAAAAGAAAATTTGAGAAATCAGTTGATTATAAGAATGCAATTAATGAATATATTCGGTCTATTAATTTCGATGAAACAGCTAAAAATCAACTTCATGAACAAATACAGGGATAATAGATTCAAAAGTTCCAGCAAAATAAAAGTTTAAATATATTTTTTTATTCGAATATAAATGAGAAGACGTTTCACTAGTCAAAAGAACACTAACGCAAAAGCAGAGATTACGGTTGGTTATAACGTAAATGATGATAAATCACGAATTATTCAAAATGTTAAAGTTAATGTTAGCCCTGAATTAACAAGGTCAGCAACTCAACCAAATTTATTAACTCGTGACTTACCAAAGAATGAGGAGAATGAAGAAAACCATGAGAATGGAGACCCAATCATTTTATCTGAACCTGGTAAAGAACCCGTTGAAATTCCCACTTATCCAACATACCCAGCACCTCTTTCATCAAATATCGAGAACCCATATAAAATAGACATTAATTTTGAATTAATGAAAATTTACCGTGATATAATAATTAATAATTATGATTCAATAATAAATTTAATTGATCAATCTGGTTTAATTATTTTACCTTATGAATCATTAATTCACATTATCGCCATTCTTTGTGATGTTCAAGATTCAGACGTTAAGATTCAATTTTTCATAGATGATGAGGTTTCATGCTGCGGAATAGTTGCAAAAATAAATCCTATAAAGGATATTAGCACAATTAAGATATCAAAGAATGGAACAACAACTGAACTTCATTTAACATATAATGATATTTATAATAAAATAGTTGATGAATATAAAATATCACTTGAAAAATTCTTTGTTAAGGCTATTTAATATTCAAGCATTAACATTAACGAATAATAATCCTTTGAATCATAATCAATAATAATTGACCTTTCACCAGTTTCTATCGTTTGTTTTATTTCTTTTTGTTTCCCACTATCTGGATCAGTCATTGTAATTGTTTTTGTTATAGTATCAGCTTTATCTTTAACTTCAATCTTTTTTCCATCAGGATATTTAAACCAAAATTCCAAAAATTCGATATTGTCAATCTGTTCATATTTTAATCTATCAATTGCATTTTTAATACCATCTGAAAATCTTATGAAATGGTCATTATATGGGTTTGATTGAACTAAATTTGAATGAAGTGAAATATAACCTGATGATGAATATGACATCGACTCATATTTTCTGAAAACACTAAAATTTATAACATGAATGAATTTCTTATTCGTTGAATTTATGAATTCTTGAGGTAATCTTATTCTAGTTTTATTTATCACTGGAAAATAACGCTTTACCATATTTTTAATCGTAATAAAAATGTCAATTATCAATATTATTTCGAATAATAGTTGTGAATTAAATTTAACAGTTAGCGGAATTTATAATGTTACTCTCGTTTCTGTGAGTGGTAAATTTAATCCCATTCTTTTAGACCCTTCAGATTATATATCATTTATTAAAGATGACCATGAAAAAACGTATGATATGTATATAAATAATGTGATCGCGAGGGGGGATATTAATATGATTTTAAGTTATTTAAATGAATCATTTATCGTATGGTATGAAGAAAATTTTAAATCAAAACCTGAAAAACTTTTTGAACTTGATGAAATAAATAACCTTATTAAATTCCCGCTGAAAATTAAATTTTGTACTCCTCACCTTCGTTCATTGTTGGGGATATTAAATTTTGAAAAAGATGTTGGGGATGTTTTGTATTCTGACACTGGTTCCAATTTCATTTTAATCAAATGTGATAAAGTTAATACCCCAATGAGATTTTCACATCAAACATTAGACCCTAACTCTTACCCATCAATACAAAACATTTTATCCATCAACTTAAACACATTTTCTTTATCATATCCGTTTCAATTATCTGGGAATTCATTTATTCTTCATTCAAAAGATTTATCAAATATTAAATTTAGAATAACTGACCTATTTGATTGTGATTTAGAATTTATGAATGAAATATTATGGCAATTTCAAATAGAAAAAATAGCTGATGAGATAATGGATTAAATATTTATTTTTAAATCATAATAAATGATTAAACAACAGCAACCACAGCAACTTAAGGCGCAAAGCACCCAGGTCCTTCAAACCATTACATACGCCATATATGCATATAATTCAAAGACGGCAGAACAAACGCAAAGGTTGAAATATGGAGATTTGGAGATAGTATTGAAAAATGACCATTTCGAATTCGTTTGCAAAGGTGGTGCAGTGATATCAAATATAAAAGAAATTTTATTTATGAATTCTAAAATTAAAGGTATAACGGATGATATAACATCAATTCCACCAGAAGAACAAAGATATTACGCATTAAATGCATTTCCTAAAGTTTTGAAGATTGGAAGATTTAATTTAAATGAGGAATTCATAAAAGGTTTCCTAAATGACATAATGAAGAAAGCGGATAAGGAATATGTGGCTAGTGAGTTAATGAAGAAGGCAGATAAGGAATATGTGGATGAAAAAGATAATGAAATTAAAGAAAGGGTTGAATGGTATCATGAATGGACATCGAAGATTTTTAAAACTAAAGCTGATACAGGATGGGTTTCAGGATGTTTAGACCTTAAAGCGGATAAAACTTATGTTAACGATGAGTTAGAGAAGAAAGCGGATAAGGAATATGTGGCTAGTGAGTTAATGAAGAAGGCAGATAAGGAATATGTTAACGAAATATACCAAAGTTTGATAGGAACAACAAAAAATATTGAAACTATTGTTGGTGACTTTTCTGTCAATGAAGAAAATAAATATTTTAGATGGCAGTTTGTACAGTCCTTAAAAAATGGTACACGGTGTAAACTCATTCCGAAAAATAACAATGAAATGTATGTAAGCTATAAAAAGAATGATGGCACACAAGTTAAAGTTCCATTAGACAACAACTGTTACTTAAACTTATATGGAGACGAACAAAAGAAATATTTAAGAGTTTATGAAATGGCAGATATGACATTGCCTAATCCAGCTCCAGCACCATATTATTATGACTATGGAGATGATGTCAGAACACCACATGTAGATGAAAAAAAGTTAACATTATATTTAGATTATTATAGATATAAAAGATATAATGCAATAGAAAAAAAAAGAATAGTATATTATTATACAGATGACAGAAATAAATATTATAGTCAAGATTTTACCCACCCTGAAAACATAAGATTATATTATAAAAAATATTCTGACACAAACCAGAAGAAACCTGAAATAGTTGCACTATATTTTAAGTTCAAAAGAGGCAATCCTATAATATCTCATATGTTTGATTTAATGAACCCAGTAGGTTCTATTTATACATCTATGGATGCAAGAGGTCCTCAAGTAATGTTTGGTGTTGGTGCATGGGAACAAATAGTCGACAGGTTTTTGTATTGTGCAAACTCATCAAAGGAAACAGGGGGAAGTAAAACGATTACAGGTGAAAATTTACCTGCACACAGTCACTACATAGATTTAAGCACATCTCAAGCGGGTTGGCATAAGCATAGATATTGGGATTGGTCAGGAATGACAAAAGGTAAAGGATATGATGTTAAAGATGACGTTAAGTTTGCTATAAATTGTTACTGGAGTGACACTCAGGGAGAAGGAAACCATACACATTTCGTTTCAGGATATACACAAACAACAGGACAAAGTAAAGAATACATGCCACCATTTATGACTGTATTCGCATGGTATAGAGTTCAATGAACGCTCAATGTTTGTGAAACAAACTTTAGGAGCTCCAAAAGAGTGAACGGTATAATTTAAATTTTTATTTTAGTATAAATGAAGATTCTACCATATGGTGTTATTGGAAGAGATAAAGATGGAAACCCAATATTTGATCCAAAGTTAAAATTCAAGTTACTGACAAGACAACAACTTGAAAAGTTGCTGAAACCAAAACAGGATGAGAAAATGAGAAAGAAAAAAATTTAAATTATGCAATTTTATTTTTATCATAAATGACAAAATTAATTAAGCCAACTATTTCTAAATTAATGTTACCAATGAAATCATTTCATGGAGTACTTATCCCAGGTTCTTCACAATTAGCCGGGGTAGGTGTTGTGACTCAAGGTGGAACATTAGCGAATCCATTCAAATTATTAACTAAAGATGAACTTAATAAAATGATGATAAAATAACTGATAACAAAATTTGATTTCGGTGCTACCATGTTACCATGTGCTACCAGGTAATTTAACTTCTTTTAAAAATGATGACAACATGACATTTTGACAACAGTTCAGGAGGAAGGTAAAAATAAATTATTTTTGAAGAACTGAAGGTGCTACCATGTTACCATGACGTTTTGACAACAACACGAGAGGAAGGCATTTATGAATTATTTTTGAAGAACTGAAGGTGCTACCATGTTACCATGTGCTACCAGGTAATTTAATTTCTTTTAAAAATGGTGACAACATGACATTTTGACAACATCACTGGAGGAAGGTAAAAATAAATTATTTTTGAAGAACTGAAGGTGCTACCATGTTACCATGACGTTTTGACAACAACACGAGAGGAAGGCATTTATGAATTATTTTTGAAGAACTGAAGGTGCTACCATGTTACCATGTGCTACCAGGTAATTTAATTTCTTTTAAAAATGGTGACAACATGACATTTTGACAACATCACTGGAGGAAGGTAAAAATAAATTATTTTTGAAGAACTGAAGGTGCTACCATGTTACCATGACGTTTTGACAACAACACGAGAGGAAGGCATTTATGAATTATTTTTGAAGAACTGAAGGTGCTACCATGTTACCATGTGCTACCAGGTAATTTAATTTCTTTTAAAAATGATGACAACATGACATTTTGACAACATCACTGGAGGAAGGTAAAAATAAATTCAAATCATACTTTATAAAGCTTCATTTACAGGTATTTCATCGTCAGTAAATGAATCCTCATTATCGTTTGGTTCAACCTGTTTATATAATCCTTTCATTTCTTCTTTCAAAACATAACACCATGTTTGTTTATCGTCTATTCTTCTATGTTTCCTATCACATTTATCCTTAATACTCATTTGAAAATTCTTGTCTTTCATGTCTGATGGTTTGCAGAATAAAGCATTTTTACACATCATACCTACACACAATTCATCATAATGTGTATTTATCCATGCATCTAAAGGATTTGATGATAATTCAATTAAATCTTGTTTGGCTTCAGTCATCGGTATGATTCGTACATTAAATGATGAAAGGTCGTAATTGATAAAATATGTTAGTAAATTATCATAAAATTCCTTAGTGCATGAATTCATCAAATTCTTGAAGTAATCAAATTGACCCTTAAATTTACCATTAACTCTTAAAACTACATATCTTCTGTCTCCAACTTCAATTTTGACAGGGTAAACGTTATTAGTTACGAAAATGAAGTTTGCAACGTTCTGAGCTGTTCTTCTGGGTTGATTCTTTTCATTAATTCTAATCTCATTATCCGTTATAATTGATTTCAAAGCGTTGAAGTTTGCGAGTCTATCTTCACCTACATTCTTGAGTTCATTAAGTACAAGAAACATTTTATTCTCAACTACTGAATTGAAATTACCCGTTAGCTCACCTATTTCAGTAATGTTTTTACATGAATAACCGGCGAGAAGTTCAGAAATAATGTCTGTAAATCTGTTTTTACCTGTTCCCTGAAGTCCTTTCAAAATAATTGCTGTTTCATTCTTGATTCCGGGATGTTGAATCATTGATGCAATCCAGCCGAGAAGGTATTTATACACTTCATCGTTATTATCACAAATGACTTCTTTAATGAAATTCATAAACATCTCAATTTTTGAGTAATCTGGTTTTTCGAGAATGTTGTATTTATAACCTTGAAACGTTGAGAAAACATCCAGGGAATCAGATTTAAAGCAAACACCCTTAACGGTTAATGAAGACAATTGATTTAATAGTACATCCCATGCTGTTATTGTTTTACCTTCTTCATTAAATAATTTAATCATTTTAAGTGACTCTTTCATGTTTGATTGAAGAACGAATGATATTTGATTCATTTTATCGTGGATATTATAGTCCTTTTGAATGAAATATTTATTTCCACAATCTACAAAACGGATTACACGTGATAAATCCTCAATTACTTCAGAACTGTTTTTATACTGATGATTTTCAGCCTTGCGTCTAATATCTGTTATCAAAAACGAGTCATCAAGTTTTATATCAAATGTTATTTTTGGCTTACGTAATAAAGGTAAAACATATTCATCATAATATTCCTTTTGATATAGTTTTAGAATCTTCACCAAAACAAATGGAGAAGTCATTAAATATGCATATCTATTACGTGCTTTTTCAAAATTACTTTTTGCATTTTCTGTTAAACTACAGAAGTTATAGGGTGTCCAAAGGTGTGTTTAGCACAAACCTGAATACTGCGAATAGAAATAAACAAGTTACATATATATAAAGTTTATTTAAATATAATCACCATTGGATTCAATCACGCGTTCGCAGCGATCGATCCAGGCTTGAAAGACACGCTTTAAATCATCATGAGAAAATTGCTCAAATTACTCTCTTACAAAATTTTCAAGATCATCTGGACTCGCGAATTCGCGACCTTCAGCTCTCTTTTTTAGCGTGCCGAATAAATAAAAGTCAGAGGGTGCAATATCAGGTGAATAAATTGGGTTTGGAACAACTTTGACATTGTTTTCCACCAAGTAATTCATTACCTTATGACTTTTGTGAACTCTTGAATTATCAAAATGAATTGCAAACTTTTGTTTTTGTTGTTTGGATTTCTCAAACTCATCAGAATTGATAATTTGAGTAAGAACATTGTCAATTAGATACTGAGCATTCATCGTATTAGGTTTTTGAAGAATATCAATTGCGATGATGCCATTCACGCCCCAAAAAACGACAACATCATCATTGGTGTGTCAATTTTTTTCTTCGGGAATGTTTGCGGATTTTCATCCTTCGGGATCCACATGATTTTGGCTTCTGTTGCATATTGAAACCAATACTCGTCCCCTGTTACTAAAAAGCGAAACTTCTTGGATTGATATGCACCCAATATAGAGAGGAGCTCTTTCGAAGATTGGACTCTAGATTTTTTTTGAACTGAATTAAGGTTGTGCGGAACCCAACGTGTATACGCTAGTTTGTAGTTCAAATAATTGTGCAGATAATAACTGACTGTTGTATGTGGTATCTTTGTCATCTCCTCTATCCTTCTGAGTGATGCTCTTGGGTCTTCATCTAGCGCTTGAAGAATTGCTTTGATTTTTCTTTGATCCGGCGATTTTTTGTCAATTTTTATGATGGCGCCTTTTTGTTCATGAAGTGATACATCCTAACATGATACGTTACAGTGGAATAGCTAGGAGCATCCATACCGAAGCATTTTACCAATATCTCGTAGATTTTTTTACAGTCTTTGCATTTTTTTGCGAGAGCGAGGATGTTTTCTTTATGATTCATTAAAAAAATGAAAAAATCCCGCCAAAATTTCCCGCGAAACCACCTCTTGTCTCAAAATTCATTTTATATCCCGGCATGGCGCCAAAATACAACATACTCATCATATACATATATTCATATTTTTTATTATATATTTATAATCAGCATATATCTTCTTTAATAGTCTCATATAGAGCGCTGTGCTAAACGCACCTTTGGACACCCTATATAAACGTTATCGTATGCTTCATTAATTAAATGATTAGGTAACGAATTAATTGCTTGAAACAGTGTGAATAATGTTATTTCTTTTTCTAAATTCATGTTTCCACCGTCATTATGTACTTCAAAATCACAGATACCATCGACTATGCTTTGAGCTAGTTTATCGTCAATGTTTACATCTTTGTTTTCATTCATGATAGTCTTTATTTCTTCGTTCTTTTGTTCAACTCTTACCTTAATATTCAAATCATTTAATATATCATTCACTGTTCTGGTTAATGTTGAATCATAACTTCCACGAATGAATGAGTATGTTTTGATTGGTTCTGTTGCATTCTTGCGAACTCTTGAATCAGCCATAACTACTAATGAACGCTTTGAATCATCCATTGAAGTCATTATATCAATATCGTAATCATTGCAGGAATAACATTTAATCATTCTGTTCGAGGTTGAATAGAAGAAATTAGTGTTGCAATAAATGTGAAGACCTCCCGAAGCGGTTTTAACGATAACATCTTTATCCGAAAGTTTTGATAAAATGTCTTTTCTAACTGTTTCTTTAAGTTCATCATCGTATGATTTATTGATATCAACATCTATAATCGTTAAATTTGATATTTTATTTACTAATAAAGCCATACCAGTTTTCCTTCCTCTTCCTCCATCATGTTTGAGGTAGTTGTGTAAATCAATCATGTTTTCACCAATTCTTTCGTTGAGGGTTTTAGTTTCTGTCATAATTAATTCCTCAACTAATGAATCAATAACTTTTTCATCAGAAACGATATAGTTGCTGTTGTTGTTTGTTGCCGTCATTTATATAGGAATAAAAAAATAAAAATAATTTTAAAACTAACTTTATTTTTGGACTGCATCAAATTTCCTGAACTGTTGTCAAAATGTCATGTTGTCTCATTTTTTCAGAGAAGTTAAATTACCTGGTAGCACATGGTAACATGGTAGCACCTTCAGTTCTTCAAAAATAAATCATGAATGCCTTCCTCCAGTGATGTTGTCAAAATGTCATGTTGTCTCATTTTTTCAGAGAAGTTAAATTACCTGGTAGCACATGGTAACATGGTAGCACCTTCAGTTCTTCAAAAATAAATCATAAATGCCTTCCTCCAGTGATGTTGTCAAAATGTCATGTTGTCTCATTTTTTCAGAGAAGTTAAATTACCTGGTAGCACATGGTAACATGGTAGCACCTTCAGTTCTTCAAAAATAAATCATAAATGCCTTCCTCCAGTGATGTTGTCAAAATGTCATGTTGTCTCATTTTTTCAGAGAAGTTAAATTACCTGGTAGCACATGGTAACATGGTAGCACCTTCAGTTCTTCAAAAATAAATCATAAATGCCTTCCTCCAGTGATGTTGTCAAAATGTCATGTTGTCTCATTTTTTCAGAGAAGTTAAATTACCTGGTAGCACATGGTAACATGGTAGCACCTTCAGTTCTTCAAAAATAAATAATTATTGAATAACCTGAAATCATTAATGATAACATAACGATAACAAAATTTTATATAAATGGATACCCCACAAGCTCAAAATTTACCACGAATCATAACAAGGGAGGAAATGATAAAAATGATGCAAGAACAAATTAAAAACAACAAACCACGAAAACCGAGAAGATGAGGAATAAAAATTAAATTTGGATAGAGTTTAAAAATTCATCTTTATTAAATTCATCTCTTCCAATCAATTTATTTATTCTATTAAATTCTTTTATTTTTGCTTCACTCAGTTTAATGATTGAACGATAAGTTTCTAATTTTTCGATTATTTCTTTCCTCTCTTGATCGTTTTCAACCCCACCACATTGCGGCTTCTTTTTGTAATAGCATATTTTTGATTTAATTCTGTTTAGTTTCTTTTTATATTCATCGTCCGGACTCTTGGTTGCTTCGTTGTCACTCATTTCTTACGAAATAAAAAAAATTAAATAATATTTAAATATAATGAAGTAATAAAATAAATCGGAATTTCTATTAATTTATTGTCAACTTCAACTAATGCATTGCCGTTAATATATCTAACAAATTCAGCTATTGTGTCAAATCTTCGTCTTCTTTTTGTCATTGATTTATCAGTTTTTCCATAATCGAGATGAATCAAAACTTTATCCCCTTGTTTAAAATTCATGAGCCCCGAATTAATTTGTTCACGTTTAACATCATTTAACCTTTCCATTTGTTTTCTAATATATTCCCATTCTTTTGAAATCTCATTTTTCATTTCCACTGGTTTCATGTTTATAGTTCTATGCCATGTATTATTGTAATAATATACTAACTGCTGTATGATGGAGTCATGATTTCCATCCCAGTATATCTGACCGTTAACCCCTAACGCATCTCTAAGAGTTCTCATTACTGCATCAACTATTTTATTATGAAACGTATATGGAGAGGATGAAAAGTAAAAATTAATTTGTGGAAATAATGAGCCATAGCTGCCTGAAATCCTTTATCACCATCACCCCTTATATTATCTACTCTTTCATGATCTAGTAAGTATTGAATAGCTCTTCTTGTTTCCTGTTCTGTTTTCCCTTTCACTGGAATGCAATATAAATATCTAGTGTTAATGTTAATGGCAATAAATAAGTAACGTTTCCTTTTGAATATTCTAGATGATCGATTTCGTATGAATATGGATATGGTGCAAATGAAGGGCGACCAAATTTTTCCTTTAACGGGTGAATTTTTGGGTCAATTGGTTTATTTAATATCTTGAAATCCTTTTTAAAATCTTTTTGCTTCTTTAATGTTTGAAATGGATATAATAAAGTGAATGATGAAAGATTAACTGAAGGAGGGGAGGTACTACTGTTGGAGGTTTTGGTGTTGCAAGTGTTTAATTTTATCTGCTTTGATTTTGGAATTCATTCCCCCCTTCATTAATTCTGGATGTATTCTATTCATTTGTTTTAAATATACTGATATTAAAGGTTATATACTTTCCGCTTCGAGTTTTGTTGAAGGATGAATTCCAAAGTTGATCTTCATTTAAAAGTCGGGCTGAATATGATTTAACTAACGAATCATAAATTAAAGCTTGTGCTTCATTTGGTCTGAATGACCTGGGCGTTTTGCAACCTTTGTTTTTTGCGGCTCAGGATTATATAAATTATATAATTCATCAATATCTTCTTCTGTTAATACTTTATTTTGAAATCTTTCAATTGTTTAAGTTTGTGATTTAGTTTTTCCCTTTGCATATTCATTATTTTTAATTTTGTCTTTAATTTTAGAAATTATTTTATCATGATATTTCAAATTTCATTTTTATAATATGGATAATAATATTCCATATCATCACCGTTCGTTATATTGTTATCATATTTTTGAAGATATGCTTTTAAATCATAATAATTAAGAAAATTTTGATTAAATACTAAATCAAAAATTTTTAAATCTGCGTTTTCATTTATATAAAAATAAAATAAATGTTTAAGGGTGCTCACCTCTTTGATCAAGAATCAAAACCATCATTAACAGTTCCTTTTGTCTCTTCTGTGGCATTTTATTAAAAATAAAATTTTAAATTGTATTAAATAAATGGCATACAACATCCATTTTCACAACATACAGCCTTAGTGTGTGCTCCTGTTAATGCAGTCTTACCGATTGTTAAGCGAGTCATTGACCCGTTTTTAAGTTGTAAATTAATATTTTGACCATCAAATATCACTTTATCATTTATTATATCCAAATAATTTTCAGGTGTTAATTGTTTATTTTGTCGTAAACTAACACCTTTCATTTTTTGTGCAATCTTTTTAAAATCACTTCCATCAATTGAACCGTTAAATGATGTATAACACTTGGGGCATAAAGCAACCATGTTATCACCTTGTTTCTCAATTGCTAAACCCAATAACTTCTTCTCATGTGCTTTTTCTTCAGCTTTATTCTTTAATTTAGGTTTAAATTTCTCATCAAAACAGAAGAAATCAAATGGTGCGAATTTGAAAATGTTTTTATCATAAAATTGTTTATCGGTAACAATTGCTTGAAATGCTTGAGTGTTAGGAAGACTTGGATCGCCAGCGATTGCCCAATAAGATGAATCAGTATCACCTTCAATGAAATGAAAACGATTAACATTCATGCATTTATACATAAAATCATAAATGAAAACTAAATACCAGTATTTTGCGTTATCTAAAGTGAAGAATGCCTCTTGTAAACATGTATCACATCTATAAAATCTATCTTTAAGCATCACTTGATATGTATCCTCACCTATTTCTCTTATGTTTTTAAACTTATTTGGCATACATGCAACGCGTGCCTTCTGTGCATTCATTATTTTAGTCTTTGCGTAATTTTGTCTATTCATTGCATCGTAACCATATGATCCATTAAGTGAAATCTTGCAAAATAAACTTTTTCCTTTATTTCCTTCTAATTCAGCCTTTTGTCTTTCGTTCATAAATTTGTTCGCAAATTCATTAAAACAAGTGTTTTTCGTAAATGTTAAAATTGATTGAATATCATCAATGATAAAATGAAATCTGTCTATTAGATACCAAAGATAATAAGAAGAAAATGGTTGATATTGGTTGTGTGTTGATGCTAACTGAGTTAATTTCCTCTGTTTCTGGTCAACCCGTAGATTGTTTGATTTCATGTAATTATACATAAAACCGCAATTGTTTTTCATCTGTGATAATATCTAAGTTTCTTATTATCGGTAAAAAGTTTATGTAATCATTAATGTATTTTCATCAATGTGACCTTTACTTCAGCCACGAATAAAGTATTTTTCTTCTTAATTATTCCCATTGCTTTTGCTTTCTTTGTTGCTGTATCACAAATGATAACACCATTCAATCTTCCCGCATATACATTTTATGGTCAGTATATTGAATGAAATCATGAGGATTAGATGAAAATGATGAAGGATATAATGAATTAAAATCAACACCAACGAAATGAGTCATGATGTTGGAAGTGTCCTCATTTGATACAGTTTTAGTTCTGGATTATATGAAAGTTTATTAATGTGCGTGATTCCTTTAAGATTAACACGATGTTGAACATTTGATAAACCACCAGTAATTCCATTACGGAGAATGTGATAAGCTTCAACTGAATCTAAAGTCATTGGTAAATTATTTTTTAATGCATAATTTCTTAAATTGATTCTTAAACGTTGAACATCTTCATCTTTATTTGATTTCACGATATGCAATAACAACACATTAACTGACAATTTTCTTTGGTATGTGTTTTTCATTATCGATTCTATCCAATGTTGGTTTATTTGCATATGTAAACGCTTTACCGCACATTTTGCATTTAGATGAAAGGATTAAATCGTGATAGTATTGAAAATCATCCATTGAAACATTATTTTTACTATCCCTTCTGCTTTTTCATCTTGTTTCTTATATGATTCAATTTATATTCCAATACTTTTTCGTTAATTCAAAACTTGATTCTATCTCTTCCTCAAGATAGTTTTCATTAGGATTAAAGTTTTTATATGCTAAAGCGTAACGAATCATTGAAGCATTCGATGATAAAGAAAGATTATGAAGCATGTCAATTTTATAAACAAATGTTTCTTCAATAATTTTATCAATTGGTTAATCATAATTTCAACATCTTTATTGCAATAATGAATAAATATTCTAATCTATTCTTAAATTTTTTAGCATCATTGAGATATATTTGATAATCACTATCTGATATAGTTTCTTGAGTTAATGCTGAATAAAATGAATCTTTCGTGAATGGTTCCACTTTATATAATTCTTCTTCATAATTCTCCCATGTGATGAATTGATAAGGGAAAAAGGATTTAACACGTGATTTATTGTTTCCGAAATCTTGAGTGAATTGGTCTAATGTCCCACCCGCTATATAATTTCTGATGTCAATAAATCTCAATTCATATGGAACGTTTGTTTTCTTTACAATGATTTGCTTAAATTGTGAAGATGAACCCAGCATTGATTTTATTTTCCATTTTGCAGTGTTTAAATCATGAAGAATTAAATTTAAATCAAACTTTCCCGAATTAAAACCTATGATATTCACTTTATTGAATTCCTCATTTAGAAGTTCTTTAAATGCTTCCTTCTGTTTTTCATTTAATGTTTGCGACTTCAATAATTCATTGTATTGACTCATATTTGATTCAACAACTAATGAACAGGTTGAAAATAAAAACTCAATCCAATCAGAAATAAAAGAATCACTCGAAGTTAAGCAAAAATTCCTCGTATATGTTTTATCGTTTAATTTAACCGTTGATGATACCATGAATGGTTTTAAGTAAGCGTTCAAAGTTGCACACTCAGAAAGTTGTAATTCTTCTTTAGTCTCTAATGTTTCAAAGTCAAAAGTAATATAATATCTTGTTGGTTGATAATATTCCTGCAAATTGTGAGCTAATAACCACTGATATATCTTCTGTTTCGTAATATGTGGTGCATATGGTTGCTGTATCTTTTGCAATTGAACGTCTTGAATTAATCTTCCATTATTTTCTTTACATTTCTCACAATGCTTTAAAAATCTTCTTTGGTTTTTCCTTTTTGGATCATCGCGGATAGAATAAACTTCTTCTTTACAATATGGACAAACTTTATAGCCGGTGAGTGCTTCTACGTCTGTTATTCTGTCAGCGTGAAGTTTTCCACATGGACTCTGTGTTAATAAAATATTTACTGTTTCAAATTCTGGATCTATCATTATTGATTCCACTAATGGAAAGTCTACCTTATTTATGTCCACGTCTTCTGGTTGAGGATCACAATAATAGAAATCAATATTAACATTTAACATTCTCGCTAATCTCTCACTTTCTGATGAAATGTCAAACCCTTCATATGCATCTATTGCTTCATTTAAATAGCTTCTACGAGTTTTAGGATTAACACCATCAGGAATGTTATAGAAGCGTTTAAATAACCTTCTACCTTCTGCTCTAATTTGATTATCATTCATTTTAGCTGTTCCGTTTTTGTTCATTTATGTAAGAAAAAAAATTAAAAAAATAAATAAAAATAAACTTTATTTTTTAAAGCCCATAAAATGAATTAAGAATACATAAATTTTTATCATCGGCGACGTGACGAATACATTTTAATTTACTCAAGAATGCGTACCCTGATACATTAAATCTAATTCCTGTCTTATTTAATTTCACAACTTTGAAAAGGAATGTATGAATAGCTATAAAATGATGAGAAGATGTTTTATGGGTTGCTTCCATTTTTTCTGAAATAAATGAATAAATATAATGCTTATAAGTTTTCATATCTTTTATGTTCTTAATAACGAATGGTATAGACCTTTCAACTTCATCTTCCTTCGGTGCTGTTCTTTCATATGAAACATTATTGGTATCTTCAATAATGAAACCACAATCACACAAAATTTTATAGTTCCAATGGTTTCTTTTGATATTTTATCTAATAAATCAAAAACTTTATCAACACCCGTGCATTTATTTAAATAATAATTTGTGTAAATATCATGATCTTCTTTCTTAATCGTATTAGTTGCATATGTCACGTTTTTAAGAGCTTTTTTGAATTTCTCAGAATCTAAAGGTGGTGAAAGTAATATACAAGGGTATTCTTCATTATCAATAAATTGTAACTTATGTTTACGAATAAATTTAGTTCCTTCTTCTGAAAGTGTTTCATCTATTTCACCATCTAATAAATTTTGTGTTGATTCAGAGACATAATTTTTATATCTTTCTTCATGAGATTTCTGAACTTCTGATTCTGAAGCTGGGATATTCATTAAACCCTCTACTTCATTTTCATTATATTTTTCAACTTCTCTTAATTCCTTAATTTTTTCATCTATTTCATCTCTTATTTTTTCCAGTCTTTCAATTTCATCATATTCATCATCTTTAATCCGTTCTTCATAATATTCAGGGAAAACATCAGGTTCTTTAGGTTTTTCTTTTTTAGAAGTGGGATATAAGAAATTTATAACATCATCTTTATTCATTTTCCCATCATAATCAAACTCATTTAAAAACTCCGCAAATTTTTGACAATTTCTTAAATAATATTTATCAACCTCATAACCCGCCTCCTCTAATATATCCTTTATTTCCTCATTTGTGAATCCCAATTTTTTAACGCTGTTAGTTTTGACACTCATTTCATACAAAATAAAAAAATAAAATATTCAAAAATGTAAGACATGAATCAAATAATTAATTTCATAAATTCAAATAATCATTAGTTTCTTAAAGTTCTATGTTGAACTCATCAAATTCTTCTTCATCATTACCAATAGCGAGTTTATTTATTCTTTCGACTCTATATTTTGATAGTCTATCGTTTAATTTTTTCTGAAGTTTTTTGTTACCAAGTTCTAAAATTTTACATGGATGATATTTAAACTCGTTAAATTCTTTTTCCTCAGTTTTAATCATTAATCTACAAAGAACTTTAGTGAGGTGGTTTTGTTGTTTAAACCATTTATCCTTAATATTTGTTATAAATTCAATATCCGGAATTAATTCCCAAATTTTTGAATTTTCGATTAATTTACCATCAAATGCAAAAGCAATAGGTTTTAATATTAAACTTACCTTTTAATATTAAACTTACCTTTATAAAACTTTCTATGTAATCATCAAAATAAACGTCTACTTGTTTAACCTGGGTGAGAATTGGTGAAAGTTTATCCATTAATTGATTCACAGTCATGAATCTTGTTCCGCTCATTTATGTAAGAATAAAAAAAATAAATTATTTTTTAATTAATGTCAATTTTTTTAATGTGTTTATTTCATTATGTATGGGTTGAGTGTAAATGTCTTACAATTTTGAACATTTTTAAATCTTGATTTATTCAAAAACGTAAGAATAAAAACCGTAAGAATCATACATTTTTTACTTCATATGTTAAAAAAAATGATACAAAATCGTTCAATATTGTATGAATTCTTACGTTTACAAAAAAAGTCACACGACCCGCTCTCATATACTACTTTTAATTTTGTTTTCAAGATTTTCCTCTTCTACTTCGAATTCTATTTTATTTGATTGATGGCGTTATTTCATAACCCTAATTATACGCAAATAAAATATCTTTACAAAAATAAGAAATAAAGATGTTTTAACTTGGCTATCGATTTGCTCATCATAATAGAGTACTACAGCTTTACATTTTATCTTTATCACTATGGCAAATTCATGATTATTGTTACCGTATTCAAATTTTCTCAAGGAATTAATTTTATGCTAAGGAATCCCTTCGTACCGTATATAATATCATTAAATATCATCTTTTTACCTGCTTTTTTCTCATATTTTATGTAATTTTGAAAAAAATCTTGAAAAATTTTTGGCCCCTTAAAAGTGACACATAAATTTTCTAATGTTCGCTTGAGAGATTTATGTGTCACTAGAGAGATTATGAGAGAAGCTGCTTGACATACTATCTATTTTATATTTTTCGTGCTTAAATAACTTATTTCGTGTACCTAAGTCTTTTACAGACTCTGCAAGGCTATTACCACATAGAAACCTGTGACAAAAACACATATATACTGACTTCGTATTCTGATCTCATGACATATTATCGCAAAAACCATATTTATACAACACACCTCATAAAGTCTCATTTTATCCCTATATAAGCGTTCAAAACCAATTTAACTTGCGTAATCTGATTCTTCAGGCTCCGCCAATTCGATTTCTGCAGTTAGATCGTGAAAATATGCATCATATAACAATATAAACACACACTCTATATTTATATAGTCCTATTTTGATATTAAGTTAAATCTGATATAAATCTGACATATTTATATAAATTTCCGCAATTTTATGTACACACATATATACTGTGGCAAGAACTACCCAATAAATTTCAACCACTAAGCTAAATCTCAATTCTATAATCCCAGAAGAAGCACAACAAAAAAATTTTTGAACAATTTTTTTTTCATCAATGGAAGATCCTCTAATTGGAGAAAATCAGCATGCATTTCTTGAACAAAAACTTCCAATGAAGCGTTTAGTTCTCAGTCCTAACTTGTATATTGTTGTTTTTACACCAATTGGGCTTATTTGTCTCGTTATTGGAGCAGTTCTCCTCTTTGCAAAAGATTCTGCAATAGAAGTCAAGAAAGATTATAGTAACATTTGTGAAATAGGCAACGTTTGCGAATTTATTTTAAACATTCCTCAAAGAATGTCTTATCCAATCGCAGTTATGTTCGAATTAACAAACTTTTACCAGAACCATTGGAAATCAGTTCGCTCTCGCTCAGATGATCAGCTTATGGGAAAATACGTTCGATTTGACGATATGAAATCTTGTTATCCATACAGATCAAATGGCGACGATCCATCACCAAACAATTGGATTTTACCTTGTGGTCTTCATGCAATTTCATTTTTTAATGATACTTTCGATGTCAAAGAATTTAAAACATTAGAATTATCCGATGTTCAACAGACAGGAATCAAAGTAAAGTCATTAAATTCACTTTACAAAGGTCATAAATGGCTCGAGGATACTCCTTCATGGCCAAATAGCAACACATTGAACAGATTTTCTATGTGGATGGATACGGCAGCTTTTCCTAACTTCAGAAGACTCTACGGCATTGCTCAAGGAAAAGGATATGTCGAACCAGGAAATGTAACAATTTCAGTGATGAATAACTACAACGTCAGCTCCTTTAATGGAAAGAAATCCATTATACTGACGACAAAAGGTGACTTCCCTCCATCATCCAAATATTTAGGAATTGTTTATATTGTTTCTGGCACAATTATGGAAATTGCTTCATTAATCACAATTTTCACGAAGCCAATATTCACATCAGCTTAAATTCCAAAATATATTTTGTTATTACATTTATAAATCTTGTTATTTATCTTATTTTTCAACAAATTTCTTTTTTTCTATTCCCATTTCTTCAAATAAATAAATATCAATTTAGATACATCATTTATAAGATATGAAATCAATTACTGAATCTCAAAGCAAGAAATAGAAATATAATAATGAAATCTGATAAAATTTATTATAAATTATAAAAGAAGCAATACCACCTCAACCACGTATTTATTGTTTCTTATATGGATAGTGTGTGAATCTGAATTGCTTCTTTATTTGAGATAATAAATTGCGATGTGAACTAACTATTTATGAAATAGTCTTAATAGAGCTTCTTTCTACAATAATATAACTCTATGAACCAAATACTACTATTTCTGAAAAATCAATCTAGAATTTCTAATGACTTTCAAGATTTTTGTTTAAAAATTTTAGATAATTATTAATAGAAAGATAAATTTAATATTCTATAAAAAATATACATATATAAACTTGTTTTCATATTTTTTCCCGTTTGACTCTCAAAAATTGAGAGAATTGAGAAATTTACACGTAAAAATAATGAAAACAAATTTATATAAAAAATTGTATTTTTTACCACCATGGATACCAACTTGGTGGCATTTTTGCGATATTATTAATATCAGTAGCAGATTCAATCAGTTGCTGAAGTTCTGTTTCAAGAGATACATCAGTTCCTACTAGTCTTGCGTAGATGTCATTGATTTCTTCGTCAATTTCTTTTTCTTCTTGTGTCTGATTCTCTTCCACAGGAATTTCGACACCAAGTTGTTTCATGAAGCTGTGAGGAATCTTTGGCTTTGTGAAAGGCGGGTCTGCAATGAAGAACTGAAGTACAGGAGCGAGAGAAATTGCTCTCTTCCTGATATCCTTCATTGTCTGCGTGAAATAGCTCGAGAAAGGTCCACTGTACTGGCATCTTCCCAAAGCATTCGAAAGCTGTGGTGTCAATCTGAAAGGAACACTCTGTTTACGGCTTCCGCCTGCAAATGAACTGAATGTCACGTTTCCTGTAATTTTATCGATCAAAAACTGTTGTGGAGAGTGATCAACTGATCCCAACATGAAAGCCAAAGCAGACATTGCTCCAAGTGATGAAGAGAAGTGGGATGTTCTATATGCCCACGCGTCCGCATCCTTTGAAGTAACCAAAATAGCTCTGCTGAGTTCGTTTCCTTCGAAGTATTTTCTGACATTCTTCAAAGCATTGACTCTGTCTTCGACACTTAATTGGCTGTAATCGACGTTGTACCACTTCTTTATTGATGCCTGCTCAGCGTCGATGATTCTTCCTTTGCTTTGCTCATAGACAGTGATCATTTCGTACATTGAAGCTTGTCCTTTCGGTACTTCGAACAAATACAAATTTCCACTCAATTGGATGATTGATCCATGATTAATGTGATGTATATCATCCAAAATCGGTGTCAAAGCGTCGACCAATTGTTCTGTTGCCAATGACCTGACTTTCTTCAAGTTCCTTCTCAACTGATAGTTGTATCTTTTACCATCGGTTCCTATCAATGTCAGGTGCATTCCGTGTTCATGATTTCCAACAGAATGGGAGAATTTTCCGATTTTCACGCCGTTTTTCTGGAGAGAATGAGATCCAAGTAACTTGAGTTCCCAGTTCGTTTGTTGCTCCAATCTTGGGGAAATAGAACTAAGTCTGATAACTCTAAGTGACTGGAATCTCTTCTGAAGAGACTTCCTAATATTGTAAAGAGTTGCGAAGTCTTCTTCTTCGATCTTTCCTTTGTTTTGTATCTCTTGCAAAACCTTTTGTAACTGTGTTGCATATCCGGAAAAGAATTGGGTATCATGGACTGTTTTGTTTGGATCATTCAACAGTTTCAAGAAAGCCATCAATTTGTCCAAAGCTCCTTTGTTGTCGCCAGCTTTGAACAATTGATTTGCTTCTTCAATTGATGTCTGATAAACAATGTATAAAATGTTTGACATCTTCAAAAGTTCCTTGTAAATCAAAGAAACATGAGAAAAGATGACTGGATATTCCATCTGCATCTTATCATACATCTGTTCCAATGCGTCTATGTCCCAATGCTTAGATTCCATCATTAATAACTGGAATCCGACGTATTGAGGATGCGAAGAAACGAGTTTGAAGCAAATTTGTGCTGCAACGTCTCTTATATTCTCTGATGGATTTAGTAACAAATGGAAGGCTGTTGAATAAATTGTTGCCAATGATTGTGGACTTAATTCATTCATGGCTTCAGCAACAGCATCTGCGACTTGTTTTTCTTGTCCGAAATTGACTAAAGCGCCGAATAATTGGTTTGCAAACAAATTCTGTTTTACAGGTTTCATCTTTATTGATTTTCCTAATGCAACAACACCTGTTTTAGCTGCATCAATTCCGCCACCTGCATGAGCAATAATTATAAAGATATTTCCTATCTTTTCATATGATTTGTTTGCGTTCAAATAATGTTCAGAAACCTTCTTGAAATCATCCAATTTCGAAGCAGATTTCATTCTAATGTTACCAATCAATTGCAACAATCTACTTGACAATTCTTGGTTATTGCAAGTTGTTGCCAACTCGAGCATTTCATTGATTTTCTCTTCTCTTCCTGATAACTCGAGTTGAACGTATTGTGCGTGTGGAGAGTTTTCATCTGGGAAGAAAACGTCGACTAATCTGATTGCGACATCTCTTTGTCCGAGCCATATATAATAAGAAATTGTATCTAACATCAAAGCATCGAAATGAGGTAAATTAGGAACTAATGATCTTATCTTGTAGAGTTCTTTTTGTCTGTCAGGACTGTTCTGTATCAAATGGAGTCTTCCAAGCCAAACATTGTTAATATTCTCGATTTCACTTGGATCTTTAAGACAATCAATAACTTCTCCTAATTCCAAAAGTTGTTGTGCTTGTAGGGAATAATCTTGTAACAAGTTTTTGTTGCATTTCTCAATGGCTGAAACAGAAGATGCCAAATATCTCCATCCTGTTCTTATTGCTTGAAGAGCTGCATCCAATTTGTTGTTTCTTATCAACATTTGCGCTCTCATTATTTGGTCATCTGTTGTGAAGCCATTTGACATTTGGAAGAATTCCTCAGCTGTTTCATCTTCACCCATGTAAACAGCTGCCATCATGAAATACTTTGCAAGATCAACTTTGTCGTGCAAAGGAAGATCATAGAAAGAATCTCTTAGTTTAAGAATTCCATCCCAATCTTCTGTTGCAGCTTTGCAAATCACTTGTGGATAAATGAATCGAGATGGATCAAGTGATTTGTTGATACATGCAATAGCATTATCCCATTCTCCTAATTCCATCCACAAATTATGATCTATGTCTTGTGAATATCGCTTTGCAAGAGCTCGAGCTTCGAGTTTTCTGCCGCAAATCGAATTCAAATGGATCAATTTTGTGAATGGAAATGTTGATGGAGCGTAATCAAGGAAGAAAAGAGCCTTGGCGTAGAATTGATGGTTCTCGCAGAAAGGAATCAATGCTGCGAAGTCAAGTCTGATGTCGATTTCACTGAGAACGGAAAACTCAGCGAGATTTGTGAATTGTTTGGCAATCCACGTTGGAATCGACTCGCACTTGAAAATTTGGTTCAAAAGAACAGTGATTTCGCCTTTTTGTGGCCGAGAAAGGTTCTGCCATGTTGTTAAGAAGGCGAAAGTGAAGGAGAAACTTGGAAGAAGACCTGGGAAGTCATTCAAAGGTACCAAAGCTCTGACAACAGGTGAAGGAGCAATGTTTATCAGTCTTGTTTCGAGTTCTCTGTACCATTTGGCCAAGGAATCGTCGTTGAGCTCTTCTGGAAGTTGCATCCATGTTGCAATATCAGCAGCAACAACGGAATCAACAACAGGAGGTGTTGGACGTTTTTCGAAATCATCATCTACTTCTGTTGTATCGTCGTCTTGTTCTACACGGCCATCGATGGCTTCGACGATGTTTATGGCACGTTCTCTGTATTTGGCGGAGTTTGCTTTGACTTTCATGGCACATCTCTTGATTGTGGCCAAATGTTCGGAACAATCGCATTGGTCAACGATGAATGACAATGTTTTGACGCAGAGATCTAATACATTGTCTTGTGTCTCAGGAGATTGGGCCAATTCTGCAATTCCTTCGATAATTGTCTTCAAATAACTTGGTGTGTAATCTGCAGCGGCTCTTAACAACCTGAATAGCTCGGAATGGCCTTGTTTCTTGAATCTGATCAATTGGAAACAGATTGGAACAACCAAGTGAAGAATTGAGTCGCATTGTCCATGTGTTGCTTCAATAAGAGCGGAAATAACATGAGAACCTTCAACAGTTAATTGTTGCTGCCAGTGATTTTCAATGGCAACGAAAACACTCGTTGCGTGAGGTGAAATCATTCGACCGGCCAATTTAACGATAACGGTCAGGTAGTCGAAGAACTTCCTCAGGGTTGAGATGGAAGTGTTGGGGAACATCGGCAAGAAGACATTAAAGAATGGAGTCAAATAATTTGCGACGGAATCGGGATCAGCAACGAACAATTGGGTCAAAACGCCTGCAATTGTCTCGCGCTTTGTATCAATCATTGGTTCGGAAAGGATATCTAATAATTCTGTGAAATATCTCTTAATAAAGAAGTTCTTGAACTCATTTAATCCTGAGAAGAAGCTTCTGAATATGAAAATGTTCTTCCTGGAGCTTGGATTCAACATTGTTGGCATTGAACAAGCGGAAATTGAACCAAGGAGCTTCAATGAGAGAGTAACAAGCTTAAGAGATGCATTCTCTCTAATAATCTTGATGACTGACTCAATTAAATTGAAATGATCCCTCCATACAAATGAGATATCATATTCGCCTTGGGCGATGCATCTTAAAGCTTTAAGAGCATGAGCTTTGGTCCATGGGTGGACAGGAAGTGCAAGAACTTTGGAGAGAACGTTGATAACTGGTCCGGATAAGACAATATCAGGGCAAAGTTCGTTCAAATGGGAAAGAGACTTGATCAATGAGCCATCAATATCTCTAAGTTGGGCGCTGTTCATATAAACTAATGATGGATCCTTGAATGTTGTTTGACTAAACCTTTCATTCAACATTTTGAGGAATCTCTGGAAAATTGCATCGGCGTACAAGTATATGATAGGCTCAGAAGCAGAGATAAGCTCAGGGAATATGTCAGAAATGTGGGGAGGAATAATTGGATTATATTTGTTGGGAAGTTGTCTCAATGTGGTCAAAAGGAGTTCACGGAGGATGGATGCTGATGTTCTAGGTACCAATGCGCCAAGGATTTCAATGGCGTGCTTCCTAACTCCGAATGATTCATCGTAAATGAGTCTGGAGAACTTCCAAATGATCTCAGGTTGGGCCAAATATTTATACACATTTGGTTTGAAGGCGAAAAGTGATTTCTTTCTGACAGATCTGACGGAATCATAAACAGCGAGGTCGACCAATTTCATCATCGTCTCGAGCGGCATCTTATCTATATGGTTCTTGAAGAGATGGAGGGCAGAAGAGGCCACTCTTTCTCTTACTTGCCAATCTGGAGAATTTATTAAGGCCATAACCAAAGAATGGAGGACAACAGCATCCGGATAACTCAAGTCGTTAAGTTGGTCGATAGCGTTAAGTGAAATAACAGTGACTTCCCATCTTTGATACGGACCACCCATTTCCTCGTGGATTAAACGGACCAAGAACTTCTTGTAGTTGTGTAGTTCGCGATCCCAGTTGGGATGATGCTGGTTGAGAGACTGTAGAAGCATGTGAATCGGAGTTGGCATCGATGAATTGGACATGAGTTGATTTACAAGCTCGAGAAGGTGGGAAAGCTGTTTCTGATCTGTAACAACGTCAATTGATGCAACAACTAATTGGAAAACTAAAATAAATGATGCATTTTTAGGTAATGTGGTCATAAAGACTCCAAACCAGTCAATTAATTGCTGTAATTCTTTTCGAACATATTCTGGATATGTGTGAATGACTTTTGTAAATAAAGGTTCGATCATTTTTCCGTATTTTAATGTAACATCGAATAATTGCTTCATAATCGTTTGTATGACGTAAGGATCTGTAACGTAAATCTCGCTTTCGTGAAGGAACATGATTGTAACGATTGCGTAATTCATTATTTCGAAATTTGGAGATGTAACAAGTCTTGAGCAAGTTGGAATCAAATATCTTGCTGTAAGATCAGGGTCGATGTATGGTCTTTGACGGAGAAGGATTTGAAGAAGCTTAAAACATGAAATTAAGTCATCATCATTCTTTTCTCTCGAGAGTCTTTCAACAGACTGATAGCGCATCTTCTCAAGGATATCAGTTAAGAAGAATACGCCAACAGACGCTGCCTGTGATGTAAATAGAGTTTCGACTATATCTACACAGATATCTCTCACATTTGAATCATGTGAGTATAACCCACAGTATATCATTTTGATGAAGTATTGCGATGTGAGGACGAATATGTGTTCTGGCGCGGCAGTCGCGACTTCTTTGAGAATAATCGCGGCTGTGAAAAGATTTTCTGGTCTTTGGTTAGGAGCAGACAACAGAGCGGCGTTCTTTTCGGCGAGGATCTTAATTAAGTGATTTCTGTTTTGTCCTGTAAGGCCACCAAGATATCCTACAACTTTAGCGCCAACGACGACGAGTCTTTTGAATCCAGGCCGTAGAAGTTGCATGATGATGGGCTCGAATTGCGGGATTAGATCGTCGAAGGGAAACAGGCTAATAAGAGTTGCTAAACATACTGCGGCCGCATATCGCCTCTTCTTATCATCTGTCTTAGCACCTGACATAGTTGTACTCAACATTGAGTCGATAAACTCAGGAACTTCTTGAATTCGATGATAGTTGAAGTGTGTGATGATTTGATCTTGTAAATCTTCGACATAGTAATCAAATTCTTCTTCCTTCAAGGACTGATTTGAAGGAACTGCCTTTTCAATGAGAGCGCAAACTGCTTGTCCTACAGGATCATCAGCATTTGCGATAAACATTGAACAGAAATTGTTGCTATTTCTGCTTTCTCAGAAAATTTTTTTTCATAAAAAAAAACGTTGGCTAATGAGTATCCAATAAAGTATTTTTTTAAATAAAAAAAGTTGTTTTGAATTTTTTTTTTAATTTAAAACAGACATGGATGAAAGTGGCCGTCGTACTCGATGGGGAACACAAATTAAGCAACTTTTTGGTAACGAGTTCTATGACCATGTGATTTACTATGATGTCGTTGGTTGTTCTTTCAAAAATTCCCTACAGTTTATTGTTATCACAGATTTACATTTATATATCTACGATCTTAACGCGAAAGTAGTCCCAGAACCATTCTGCAAGCTATGGGATATCATGGAGATTGATTCAGACCACGAAACACCAGAAACTTTTAGATTATATCCAGAATACAAACCACATAGAATTATTATATGCGTTGATGGCTTATATCACGCTCTTTACACATTCGAAACAGGTACAGACTTATACTGGAGGCTCTCAAACTCAGTTGAAAACGCAAAAAGACATAAGATTGTTCAAAGAGATTCTGGAACAAAAGAACCAGATGAAATCCGACTCATTACTATAGACGGCAAGGAAATATCCTTACATAACTACTATGTTCAGAAATTTAATAAAATTGCATCTCATGTTATTCATGAAACAGTCCATGAATCAAGAATGAAAGCTATGGCAGAGTTAGAAGAGATTTCCAACCAATATTTTGCCATTAGAATCATATTTTTCCAATCTTCTTATCTTGTCCAATATTTAATGGACACATTATCATTCCTGAGTGATTATCATTCAGTACCACCACAAATTACAAGCAGCCGCGTTCAACAAGTCCAATTAATTAAGACCATTTTAGATACTTTTCAATTTTACCTTCGCGGATCAGCATCTGTGCATGATGCACTCAGATTGATATCATTCAACAGCGGAGAACACTTCAAAACGCTTCTTCGCTCATGTTTCAAAGTTGAATATTTCATTATTTCGCAACCAAAGCGCACTAGCTTTTTCATTACCAAAAACACAAACCAGGAGAAGTACATGACAGAACTGCAAGCAGTAGAAATGGCTGTTCCATCTCTTTGCTATCATCTCTATGGTTTATCAAATATTTCTGTTCGAAAAATGTCAAATACTGCTCAAACTCTATTCCAAGCCATTATTACTGAAGAAGCAGATGATATAATAAGAGGAGCATTGCATACCATTGCATTTATGACTGTACAACTCGGATATCTTTTGAAAGAGACACAAGTTAATGATATCATTGCTTATACATTCCATGACCACATTTGGTTCGTAGATTACATGTGTACGAAGTTCCCTGCTGCTGCATTGATGGTAAAGAATGAGTTTGAAGTAGAATTGAACTTCATTTTGACTGAAGAAAGAGTTTCGAAGGAAACTTTCCAACATTTCTTGCTTTACGAGGAATTAATTAAAGTATTAAGACATTTGAAACAAGTCCTGAAGCAAACAGTTCAACCAAGAGGTCTGATGCAAAATCTTCCTGTTCAGTTTAGATAAATATATTGTTTGATTGTTTTTCCATTTGTAAATATATATATTACTGTTTATTTAATTATCATTACATCTAATTTATAAATCTAAAGTTTGATTTAATATCCATATGAATGCATGGCGTGTATTACTGAATGCTAAACATTTTTATTATCATTATTATAAATAGTTGGTTCAAAGCATTACATTCTATTGCCTAATGTAGATAATCATCTTCACATTTGTTTATGTTTATTATTATTTTCAAGTGTCTCAAGAAATCTCATATACCTCAAAATAAATTAAGGGTTGACCGACGTCCATTCAATTTTTGAGAGGGCATTCAAAATTTATTGATATTAAGTATCAAATATCTCGTTATCTATAATTTTTTAAAACATGGTTGTTTTGTTGCATGCTAAGTTCGGTCAATGATAGAAATTGAGTGGAAATTAATCGTCGAGGAAGTACGATTATGTAAAGTAAAAAAATGTTGTGGGATTTTTAATATTATATATTATTTTATAATAAAATTTTTTTGAGTCATTTTAAGAAGCACATATAATTTTTTGAATTTAAAAATTAAAGTAGTGTCAAACGAATTTATCACTTAATTTAATACTCAGATTTCTTAAAATTAATGAAAAAAAGGTTTTCTGAGAACTTTTGAGAATGGTTTTCAAATTCCATTATTGAAAATATATAGGTATTGTATGAAATTCAAACTCTATATTTATTAAAATTCTAAATTTTTAATAAAATAACTTTTCAGAGGAATATGATTTTGAATGGTTGATTAATAAGTATAAAATTGTCTACGATTTTAAGGAGGGAATTGTTCCTTATGAGGTATACATCATAACTATATACCTCATAAGGAACAATTCCCTCTTGATAGCTGGGAAACTTTCTCTGAATAACTTATCATTTGGAGAAAGTTCCCCAGCTATCTATTAGGAACTAAAGGCTATGAGGCACTAATATATAATCAGTGCCTCATAGCCTTTAGTTTCCTATTAAAAACGAGAAAACTTGTTCGAAATGATAAACGATTTCGAACAAGTTTCTCATTTTAAGGAGGGAATTGTTCCTTATGAGGTATACATCATAACTATATACCTCATAAGGAACAATTCCCTCTTGATATCCTGGATATTTTTGAATATATTTTTTTAATTAAAGTTCTCAAAAGTATGATCAAAAGTGATTTTTTTAAAAATATCTCCAATTAATTAACTAATTAAAAGTATTATATTTTTAAAATTAAATAGTTTTTCAATTTTTTTGAAGGAATTGAGATACTTCCCACAACAATAAAATTGAGAGGTTTACATTATGACTGATCTTAGCATGCAACATAACTACAATTTTCGATCATATTTTGAAAATTTAGTCCAAGATATTTTTTTAAATTAAATGAGGCAAAAATCATTTGTATGAAAGTCTTTGTAACAGGCTGTCTTCATGGTGAATGGGATAAGCTCATTGATACGGTTAATGCCCTGATCGAAGATGGTAATAAAATTGAGCTGATTTTGGTAACAGGTGATTGCGAAACATTCCGTAATGAAGAGGATATGAAATCATTTACTGCACCACAAAAGTATCATATATTAGGATCATTTTATAAGATTTATAATGGTGAAAGGTCATTGCCTTGTTTAACAATAATTATTGGTGGCAATCATGAAGCATCAGATTTATTCCATCAACTCCCATTCGGTGGATGGGTTGCTCCAAACTGTTTTTATATAGGTCGTGCTGCTCATGTCATTGTTGGCGATATTTTAATTTCAGGAATAAGTGGATTGTATAAAGAATCTAACTATTATGATCCAGTTAATGAAGAATTCCCACTCAGAAAAATTGGATATGCATTCAGCATATGCTTTCGTGCTTTCTCAGATTTCCAACTCTTTGGTCTTAAAACAACTCAAATTATGCTTTCTCATGATTGGCCATCAAAAATTCCATTGAAATTTGGAGGAAAATACCTTCAAAACAGAAGGCCAGATTTAATTGAATCAGATAAAAAAATCTCTTTGGATTGCCAATGGGTTTGAAGCTTATAGATCATCTCAAACCATCCACTTGGTTTGCATCTCATCATCATATTGTTTTCCGTGCTCAAATTAATCAAAATACGAATTTCCTTGCTCTTCCAAAACCAACGCGCAATGATTGGTTTATAGTTGCTGATGTGGATGGGAAACTCGGTCCTTTGAAATATAGCGGAAGATGGATCCAAATTCTTAAATCTACAGGAAAATTCATGGAAAATCCTTCACTTCTCAAGGAAGACTGGACAAAGCTATGGGCAGATATTGGAGAGCTTCCAGAAATAGACCCTGTAGAACCAGAGCCATATAATGCAAATCCTGTACAAACAACTATCGATTTTTGCAAGAAGCATGAAATTTATTGTCCAAATCCAGAAATAAGACCTCTTATATAAGTAAAAAATAATTGGTAGTATTGATATCTTTAGATTGAAAAATCAAGTGGCCGTTTTTAATACAATTTTCAATCCTCTGTGTAAACTTTTCAATTCTCTTGGATAATTGAACGCTTAGGCCATCATGAAAAAAAAAATAAATAATATCTTCAATCTGTAAAATTAGTACCTAAGGCATTATAAACTAATCTATGAATGGAAAAATTCACGTTTAACATTAAGTTTGTTATTTTCGTGGTAAAATCTTTGAAAATAAAATTTAATTTTTGAATTTATCTAACAATAGATTTATAAATAAAACGAAACAATATTAAATAGATTATATATCTTTGTCCAATTGAAGGAGTTGTATGATTGCGTCATCCAGTGGTGGCTTCAAATCGACGTATTCCTGAGGATTAATTTCAGGATCAGAGTTTCTTCTTTCCCATTTACCAACAACTCTGTCCGCAGTCTTGAAGTTGTTGAGTCTTGATTTGGAACCTTGCATGTATCTGTCGTCATTGTTGATTCTCTCGTAGAAATCATCATCAGACATTCTTCTCTGCTTCCTGACACTTGATGTTGCACATTTTTCAACAATTGTTGCCAATCTGATGTATTCCATCTTCATTGCGTGCAAAGCAATCTTCCAAGTGGTCGTGACATCTTCCAATCTGGCGATTTCATCTTCTGTTTGGATGAACTGTGTTGTGACATCACCCAAATTCTTCTCAATCGCTGCAATTTTCTCTCTTTCTTTTGCGTATTCCGCGCTGAGCATCGTCGTGTTTTGTTTGGTCGATTGGAGATACCATTTCCTTTGTTCCAAAGCTTTTCCTGCTCGAGCGTTTTTGTTCTTTCCGTAGGCAAGTTGCCATTTAGCAAATGCCTCATCAAGAACACGTCGAGCTCTCCACTGTTGGCCGCTTTGGAACAATAAATTGTCCATTTGATGTTGAGCACGTTTTTTGATCGCGTAAATTCTCCATTTCCTGAAAACGGCAACTTTCGGATCTTGTATGTGGCGTTTCCACATCTCAATTGCTTTCATCTTCATCTCCCTGTGCTTCTGTGTCGTATCTTTCCAAGCGATAAAAGTGCCACGTGTCAATTTTTCATCATTTGACTTTCTCTTGTGTCTGAGGATAACTCTGTCTCTGCTGTACGCGTGCCACTTTGTGACTAACGCGCGGACAACAGCCATCCTTTGCTGGTGCTGGCTGCGGAGAGTTTGATGTATCTGTCCCATTTCTCTTTGGTTTTGAGAAATTCTTTCGTTTGACGGACATTTGTGAGCCAGAACTTGAACGTGCGTGTAAGGCAGTGCTTCTTATAGAGAATGGCCGCGTTCCTGTCTGATACAGTCTCGCGCAGGGACTTGGAATGAAATCTTGCGTGCCATGCAATGAAAAAGTTGAACAGAAATGAATGTTGGTTGCGGAGTTCGACATAGGCTGAGACAAGTGGTATGTATTCTTGTGGGGCTTCCCGACCAACTTTCTCTAATTCGGCTTTCATTTTCGGAACCATGGAAGTACGCCACTTGGCCATGGCTTTGCGGGATCTTGGTCCCATAGCTATTTCTTTCCATTGTACTAAAGCGCGCTTATGACGCTTCTCTGTGAGCTTTTGTTGGAGATCTAAAGCTTTTGATTCGTTTCTGTTTGTCTGGTAGGCTTCACGTTCAGCCCATTTGATCCATTGCTTGGATGCATACTTGGAGACTTTAGAAATAGAGCGAAAACGGAATTGCTGAGCTCTGGAATCTGAATACTCCATTTGAGCAAGCCATGAGTTCAAAGAACGATGTGTCTGCTGAAGTTCACGAACTTTGTAATTGTGAATTGCTTCCATAGCTTTTCGTAATGTATTTTTTCGTAATTTTGATCTCCAAAATCGCTGAATTAAAGCAGCTGTATTGTCAAGCATGATTTCTTCTGGAGAAACAAAGCATTTTTTGAGTGCGAAGAGTTGTTGATTTAAGTCGCCGAATTTTCGATTTAAAGATGCAGGAATTGATGGATTATCATTTGCCCAAACAGGATACATTTTGGACTTTTCACGAATAGCAGCAATGCGTAATCTTAATTCATTATATTGTCGTTCATATTCTTGAAATTCGAAAAATTCATCTTGTTTTTCATCTTGTTTAATTGCTCTTGCCGCGTGTCTATTTGGATCACCTGGTTTTCCATCACGAACTGGTACTTGAATACGTCCTTCCTTCGGTAAGATAGGAACATTATATTCAGGTTGTTCGCTTCTGCGTAAGTAAATTGCTTCAACAGTTGGTTTATAGCGTTTATCATTAAGTTGCTGGGCAGTAGGTTTTAGTGGACGTAAACTTTCCCTATAAAATGGATTATCAATAGTTGGAAAATCCATTTTTAGTGTACGTTATTAGTAAAATAAAATGACATGTAAATTGTAAAGTCAAAATAAAAATTTGGAATGAATTGTTTCGAAATTAAGAACAAGAATACTAACTGAAATATAGTGTAGAATTTTTCACGTTTTTTAAAAATTTGTAAAGTATTCAATTTTGTATATTCTAATGAGCGAAGAAATAGTTCAGGATTTTGAATATATTGCAGCTCACTTGGACGATTACATTAACGATGATAAACTTTTTAGTGTGTTAGAAACAGAAGATATCATAAAAATCCTAAAACTTTCACATTTGACAGCAAATGACTTCATTAATCTTCTCAAGCAATCGCCATATACAATTAAGACAAATGATTTATACAAATGTACTAGAAAAACAAATGTTTCTATTCAAAATTTCGAAGAAGTTGTTTCTCTTCTGAAATGTATCAAGAGATACTTGAAACTTGGAATACTTGATGGCGTAATTGATATTTTGAAACGGATACAACATGAGATGTCTGATTCAGCCGAACAAATACAACAACTCCAAACAGACTTACAAACTGTTAAAAATCAAAAACAACAATTCCAAACAGACTTACAAACTGTTAAAAATCAAAAAGAACAATTCCAAACAGAATTACAAACTGTTAAAAATCAAAAACAACAATTCCAAACAGACTTACAAACTGTTAAAAATCAAAAAGAACAACTCCAAACAGAATTACAAACTGTTAAAAATCAAAAAGAACAACTCCAAACAGAATTACAAACTATTAAAAATCAAAAAGAACAACTCCAAACAGAATTACAAACTATTAAAAATCAAAAAGAACAACTCCAAACAGAATTACAAACTATTAAAAATCAAAAAGAACAACTCCAAACAGATTTACAAACGGTTTCAAATCAAAAAGAACAACTCCAAACAGAATTACAAACGGTTTCAAATCAAAAAGAACAAAGTGACAAAGAGATTAAATCACTAAATATCTCAACTCAGTCAAAATACCAATGGAGACAATAATGATATTGAAGAAATACTTAATGCTTTTAATGATTTTAAAAGTGTCTACAATTTTCTTGATCGACTTTCTAATAATGGAAATCAAAAATTAATTTCAAAAACTTGTGAATCAGGGCTATGGAGAAGGACCGATACACAACAATCTCAATATGCTTATAAACAGAATAATGTACTTCATGTAGCATGCGAAAAAGGAAATCCCAGACTTGTTAAATCTCTCATTGAATGTGGTTGTAATAAAGAATCAATGAATGCTGAAAAAAATACACCACTGATTATTGCATCACAAAATAATCGACTTGAACTTGTTAAATATCTTATCTCAGTTGGAGCCGATAAAGAAGCAAAGAATAATTATGGAAATACTCCACTCATTTGTGCATCATTTAGTGGCAATCTTGAAGTTGTTAAATATCTTATCTCAGTTGGAGCTGATAAAGAAGCAGAGGATAATTATGAAAATACTCCACTTCTTTTTGCATCATTAAATGGCAATCTTGAAGTCATTAAATATCTTATCTCTGTTGGTGCTGATAAAGAAGCAAAAGATAAAACTGGAGGAACACCACTCATTTGAGCATCAAAGAATGGTAAACTTGAAAGTGTTAAATATCTCATCTCTGTTGGAGCTGATAAAGAAGCTAAAGATAATTATGGGAATACTCCACTATCTTATGCAAAATCATACGGTCATAATGAAGTTATAAAATATCTTACCTCTATGGGTGCTAATCAAAATGTAACAAATAAATCCAGAGGAATCGCGATCATTATCAAGCCTTTCTAATCTAAATTTAAGATGTACTTACCTTACCTTTGATGTCAATATTTCTAAAGTCGTCAAAAAATTGTTATAAATTGAGTGATTACTGACACAAAACCCCACAATGTCAAAAACTTTGAAAGGCCAAAATTTTTAGTGTCAAAAAGTTTTCAAAATTTAACAGCCATATTAGTAACTATGTAGTAAATATTTTTTTCCAAAAATATTAACTTTTTATCATAGATAATTGTGATATAAAGCTAGAATACCAAGAATTAAAAGAATGTCAAAAATACGGATGTCACAACTCTTGGATTTCAGGTGTGGTCAGTGTACCATGATATATTCTTTCGATGATAAATTACAATAGAATACATACAGGTTTTCATAGAATCCGACCTGCAACTATTGCTTCTTTCGATAGTTACTACATCCATAGTCAAATAGTGGTAAGTGTACACCCTTGAGACGCAAAATCTTTAAATATTCTTGCTTTTATTATTAAGGATGATAAATATCTTTATTATAATAGCAAAAAAGTATAACAATCATACAACGCATTATATAAAGATTTATAATAACTTTTTCCCGACCAAAAAATATTAACATTTTTACCTTAGAAAATTGTGATTTAAGGGTGCACTTACCACTTTCTGACACTCTCTCAAAAAGAGATATACGGGCGCGAAGAGTCATAGAAAATAAAACCTTAAGCAAGAAATTTGAGAGAATGTCAGAAAGTGGTAAGTGCACCCTTAAAGCTTGGATGTCAAAAAATTGAGAGAATGTCAGAAAGTGGTAAGTGAACCCTTAAATATTTTTGAAGCCTTAAGGGTGCACTTACCACTTTCTGACATGCTATGAAAAAAAATTAATATATCTTTATTTTAATAGCAGAAAAGTATAGCAATAATATTAGATACTATATAATGATGTATATTTACTTTCTCCTGACCAAAATATTAACTTTTGACGGTAGAGTATTGGGATATAAAGCTTGCGTGTCAAAAAATTTAGAGAATGTCAGAAAAATGTAAATGCATCCTTAAAATAAAACCTTTAATTGAATTTTAATGCCCGATCAAGGCATTCAATTAACAATAGTGAATTGCCAAGTATCTGTAAATATTACATCGATCTATATAATGCATTATATCTGTTAAAAACGGAAAATGATGAAGAATTAAACAAGATTTACAATATGATCAAAACAGAATTGATTAATTCAAAGAAATATCTTCCAAAACATTATAAATGATATTTTTTGATATCATTCTGTATAATAATGGCTATGCAAAGTCTTATTCATCTCTTGCCAAACCCATATCTGATGAATATAATGTCAAAGTGGTCAGCAATGTCTCAAAGATTTCAAACTATTATTACCCTGTGCTCTGATAAAAAAATTTGAATCAACTAGCGATGTTGTATTTTTAGGTAAATTTCTGATTAGATTACTTGGCTCCAATAGATATTAGATAATTTCTTGTCATACCTTTTGCCACTGAGAGTGCAGTGCTTCCTCCTATAGTCTTTGCTTCTTTATCAGCATCAATAGAGATAAGATATTTGACAACTTCAAGTTGACCATATCTTGATGCATAAATGAGTGGAGTCCATCCAACATTATCCTTTGCTTCTTTATCAGCTCCAACTGAGATAAGATATTTAACAACTTCAAGATGACCATTCTTTGATGCAGAAATGAGTGGAGTTTTTCTATCATTATCCTTTGCTACTTTATCAGCTCCAACTGAGATAAGATATTTAACAACTTCAAGATGACCTTCTCATGATGCATGAATGAGTGGAGTAGATCCATATTTAGACTTTGTTTCTTTATCACAGCCACATTCAATAAGTGATTTGATAAGATTAAGATTTCCTTTTTCACTTGCAATATGAAGTACATTCTTTTCATACTCTGTTGTCTTTTTCCAAAGTCCTTCTTCACAAGCCTTTGAAATCATTTTGCCATTGCTTTTAGAAGAAAGTTCTTCAAAGAATTGGTAAACACTATCAAAATTATGAGATTTCTTAAGTGATGAGATTTTAGTTAAAAGATCTCGTGAATGATTGATGCTTTCTTGTGTTCGATTCTGTTCAATTTGAAATGATTGGATTTGTTCTTGAGGTTTTGTGATTTCCTCTGTAGGATTACGCGTTTCATTATTATTTACCTCTAAAAAATCAATGATACCATCAAATATATTGAATTTCATGTATTTTTTGACTGATTTAAGAATTGAAAAGACCTCGTCGATGTTTTGGATTGTAACCTTCGCATTTCGTGTACATCTATATAATTTGTTGGCACTGATAGTTGGTGATGATTGTTTGAGAAGAGAAACGAACTGAGTTGTAGTTAATTTGGAATATCTCATGATTTTTTTGATGTCTTCGAGATCGAATGTATCAAAAAGATTTTCATTTCGAATGTAATCATCGATGTGAGCACCAATGTATTCGAAATCCAGAGTAAGACCTTGACTCATTTTAAAAATTTTGTAACTTTACAAAAAATCTGAAAAATATCAGAAATCGAAATTTTGCTCACAATTAAAGAATATAACTTAAGATGGCTGTATCCGGTTGATAAATTCAAAATCTGGGAAAAGTCCCTCCGAAATAAAAAATCTCCTAAAAAATTTCGGGCTTCCAGAGGCAGAACTAGCCCCTCCACCATATGGCCATCTCTGTCCATGAACGGCACAAGTTAAAACCATCTAATATGAATTTTGCCCTATATTAGTTTTTCCTTTTTCTTTCTTTTCCACCTTTTTCCTTTTATTTTCCTCTCCCCATTCTGCTTTTTTATTTATTTGTTTATTACTTCTTGATATTATGATTTTTTTTTCAAAATAATCAAAAACTTTACTTGAAGATTACAGTAGATAAAAATTTATTATTGAATTTGTTATCGATTGATCATGTTTTTTTTGAAATTAATTTATTATCCAGATTTAGAGAAGTAACAAAAGATCGAAATTAATATGTATGCTTCCTTTAGAAGCATCAGTCGAAAGGTTATCCCTCTTTTTAAAGTATAAGTTTATCTAACGACTGGCGTGAAGCATATTGTAAAACAAAATTTAAACTCGCTCGCTCAATTTTTTTGACATCGCTAACTTTACGTCTCAATTGATTATGCGAAAAGATGATATTAAAAAACCACTGTGTAATAACGGATGCAGCTATTATGGCGTTTTACTATTAAAACAAGGATTTGTTGATTTTGTAAGAGCTTGTCAAAAAGTGGTAAGTGCACCATTAAATATTCTTAAAATAAAAACAATTTTACTTATATACAAAGAAAAATATATATATATTCTAATTCCAATCAGGTTTGAAAAACTCAAAATTAGGTAGTTCCAAATTTTGTTTCTTGACTTCCTTATTTGTCACAGCGTAGTATTCCTGTATCCAGAGTGCTATCTTTCCGATATTTACTGGCAAAAGAGTTGCCAAAACCCTCGGAAAAGCTTCCATCATCGATGTCATTGTGATGTCAGTCATTAGCAAGTAACTATCGAAAGAAGCAATCAAAACAGCAGTGATAAAGTACAAAAGGAATCTGTCTGGTTCTTCACAAGCGTTAAACTGCATCCATGTTGTCCAAATGTCATCAAATGACCTCTTAAACAAAAGGACAAAATCAGAAAAACACCAAAGTAAACCTTGTAAGTTGTGTCTTCTTAGCCAAATCGAACACAATGGTGATACTTTGTTCAATATCTCTTCAACTTGTTCAGCAATATGACCGCAATGACCTGTTACGTTCTCCAACAACTTAATTTGTTGAGTATTTATGAGCATTGACTCGTAACACCAGAAGATCATGGGCTTAATCGGTTCGTAATCAAGCGTATTCCCATCTTTATCGAGTGGTGTCCCGTCATCGCCCCATTTCGGAATAAATGTGGTAATAAATGGAACAAATAAGTCGTTCATGCCCTGCAAATAGGAAATGGGAGGGTTGTATACGGCATACATCTTAAGAAAATCACTAAGGATTAACAATCCGGGACTGTTATCGTTCTTAAAAGCTGGATTTAAACGATCAGTACGGGCAACATCATGATCTATGACTCTGAATGTGGAGAATAGCTTACTGTTGCCATCTATTTGCGGTTGCTGTATTAATTTGACTTGTTCTTGCAAAGAATAAAATTCTTTGGTTAATTTTTTGTAAATTTCTTCTCTTTCTTGCTTTGTACTATCAAGGGGATAGACGTTCATGGCAAATGGAATCAATTCGGGTAATAAATCTTGGTCTTTGTTGCTATGGAATAATCGAAGTTTAAATTCTGAAGGATTTTTAAGTTTTCCTGCAGAATCGAAGGCTTCTGCATAGCTCTCTTTCGTAATATCCGCGTAAACAGGTATATTATTGATGTAATCGTTAATTTTTTCGATAACTCGCAAATGTACTGCTCTTGCTGCGGTATTGATAGGAAATGCAGGGTCTGATGGTATTGCATGGCTTGCATCTAGATGAATCATTAGTTTTTCAAAGAATTTTAATACATTATTCCACAATTCTTCGAGATTTTTAAATAATCTGTCATTTAGTTGGATATGAGCAGGAATAAATGCGTATGTTCCATAGTGTGCACCTTTGTAAAACTCTAACGAGTACCTGGATGACACAGAAGGGACTGCAATGCCATTTAATAGTAATTGTTCAATTAAAATCGTTAATGGTATCAATTCTGTTTCAGTTATTTGGAATGTTCTGAATAATTTGTTATTATTGATATTAATTTTGATGCTGTAAGGATTTTCTGAAAATTCAAATCTTCCAAGTTTTGAACAATCGAAGCAAAATGGCTCAAATAGTGTCCAATTATCTCCTTCTTTGATTTTTTCATAATCAAATACTGCTGTGATATTCTGTGTTGAAGTTCCATCTAATGGAGTCCAATAAAGATAGAAATTTTGATTATATCCAACTGAGGCAAGAGTTCCTTGCACATTGGTTCCATTTGAGTCAATCTCAGTAAAATATTCTGTTGCATGCTAAGTTCGGTCAATGATAGAAATTGAGTGGAAATTAATCGTCGAGGAAGTACGATTATGTAAAGTAAAAAAATGTTGTGGGATTTTTAATATTATATATTATTTTATAATAAAATTTTTTGAGTCATTTTAAGAAGCACATATAATTTTTTGAATTTAAAAATTAAAGTAGTGTCAAACGAATTTATCACTTAATTTAATACTCAGATTTCTTAAAATTAATGAAAAAAAGGTTTTCTGAGAACTTTTGAGAATGGTTTTCAAATTCCATTATTGAAAATATATAGGTATTGTATGAAATTCAAACTCTATATTTATTAAAATTCTAAATTTTTAATAAAATAACTTTTCAGAGGAATATGATTTTGAATGGTTGATTAATAAGTATAAAAATGTCTACGATTTTAAGGAGGGAATTGTTCCTTATGAGGTATACATCATAACTATATACCTCATAAGGAACAATTCCCTCTTGATAGCTGGGAAACTTTCTCTGAATAACTTATCATTTGGAGAAAGTTCCCCAGCTATCTATTAGGAACTAAAGGCTATGAGGCACTAATATATAATCAGTGCCTCATAGCCTTTAGTTTCCTATTAAAACGAGAAAACTTGTTCGAAATGATAAACGATTTCGAACAAGTTTTCTCATTTTAAGGAGGGAATTGTTCCTTATGAGGTATACATCATAACTATATACCTCATAAGGAACAATTCCCTCTTGATATCCTGGATATTTTTGAATATATTTTTTAATTAAAGTTCTCAAAAGTATGATCAAAAGTGATTTTTTAAAAATATCTCCAATTAATTAACTAATTAAAAGTATTATATTTTTAAAATTAAATAGTTTTTCAATTTTTTTGAAGGAATTGAGATACTTCCCACAACAATATAATTGAGAGGTTTATATTATGACTGATCTTAGCATGCAACACAATTCCCTCTTGATATCCTGGATATTTTTGAATATATTTTTTTAATTAAAGTTCTCAAAAGTATGATCAAAAGTGATTTTTTAAAAATATCTCCAATTAATTAACTAATTAAAAGTATTATATTTTTAAAATTAAATAGTTTTTCAATTTTTTTGAAGGAATTGAGATACTTCCCACAACAATAAAATTGAGAGGTTTCAGATAATATTTTACCTTAATGAGATGTATGCAACGAGAATGAATTTTCGGTCACAATATTGTTCTATAAAAATTTCAAAATTTTTCGATTTTTCTTTCGATTGGAAAAATTTGTTATGGATGTTTTACTATGGAATTTTTAGATAAAAACAGTGACATATCATGCATTATTGTACCCTTGATATAATGCAACAGATAAATCAGAAAAATAATGAGGTCGAAAAAACTGAATAGGGGTAATTTTAGCTAAAAGTGACACACCTGTAAAAAGCGACACACCCGTGAAGGGTGTGATTACCGATCGGTAATTTCGACAGTTTAGAATTTAAAATTTTTTATGGAACTGTTGCGAGTTTCATAAAGAATTTAAGGAATATAAGCAAAGATTTGAATCAAAATCTTAGACCTAAGCCGCTCGATTCGCTCGCGGCTTTCTTTATTATTTTAAATTTGCATATTTCCATCAAAAGTTCATAAGGTAAAAAATTTCGTTTATATTATTGCAAAATAAAATCTTCATTATCAAAATAATATTAAATAATAATATAATATAATTTATAAACAACTATTATTTAATAAAGTTTAATTGCCAAGGTTCATCTAATTTTTTGATTTTTAATGTTTTATGAATTTTATTTCATGTATATATCTAATGAAGATTATATATGTAGAAGATAAGTACCTTAATATGTACGTAAATTTTAATGAAATTTTACAACATTATAAAAATTTATGAATAAAAACTTGATATAAAATAACATTTTTATTTTTACTAAGAAAAAAAAAGGTTTTTGATAATAAATTTATTTTATTTCGAAAAAGTAGCAATAATCGTAAAAGGGTATTGATAGGCTTGCTAAAGTAACTAATTTTAGCTGTCAAATACTTTTGTATTTTGAAGTAAATTAGTATAAATTTGTTTTTACTTTTATTTCGAAAAAGTAGCAATAATCGTAAAAGGGCATTGATAGGCTTGCTAAAGTAACTAATTTTAGCTGTCAAATACTTTTGTATTTTGAAGTAAATTAGTATAAATTTGTTTTTACTTTTATTTCGAAAAAGTAACAATAATCGTAAAAGGGTATTGATAGGCTTGCTAAAGTAACTAATTTTAGCTGTCAAATACTTTTGTATTTTGAAGTAAATTAGTATAAATTTGATATTATTTTAACTCCCTTTGAAAACCTCAATTTTCCATACAGAGGGAACGGGAATAGCATCCAATATTCCCTGAGAATGGTTGCGCATTCTCAGTTCCCTCTATATTTCGAACGAAGCTCTCATCGGTTTTTTTTTAATACTAAACGTTTTTTTCCCTGTCACTTTTAGCTAAAATTTGGGTTTGCCGAAAAAACTCAACAACGTTGACCGACCTCTTTTTATCAAAACACCGCTACACATCATAGATCATTTTGCAACAGCGCTCCTCCGCGGATTCGACATATTTAATAAATTAGCAAAAAACGTATAAATCGTACTATTCGAATAGCACAATAGAAAGAATGAATATTAACAATTGTGTTTTTGATGATTAAAGGTTTGAAAAAGATAGTTTGAAAATAAATTTTTTTGCTTTGATTTTTTTCTATAAAAATTTTCTTTATTTTTAAAAAACTCCTCCATTTTGGAATGTTGCTAGAATTACAAACGGCAAAAAGAATTAATTATTGCTGAATATATATTTATTCCGTTCCAAATTGAAGTGTTTTGCAAAATGAGAATAATATCCCAAAGTTTTTTTGTATTAATCTTATAATCAAAATATTGATTCCTAACACCATATATCCATGTGTAACAGATTTTATAGAATAGTAATTCAAGCTGAATTATTCAGATATTGAAATCTGATCAATATCTAATAATACAGATGGTATATTCAAATAGTTGTTTAAAAATGAATAGCTTCTTTGTATAAAAATGAATATTTTGTCACAAACTTTATATCATTCCCATTATATTTATTTCAGTAAAATTTATTGGCACTATATACAATTTTGGAAAATTGAATATCATTTTATTACATATGTACTAATTTAATAAATGATCAAATTGCCAAAATCTTGAAATCGATTTCTAAAGTTGCTCAAAAATCGGAATACGTACAATTAATAATATCTTCATATGATGTTATTTGATTTGGTATACAAATTTTTTTCGCCGACATACCTTCCTGAAAAGATACGAACGATTTCGTTAATTTTTAAAAATTTGACATTGTTTATCTTAGCAAATGAATGTTAATTCTATTTTTGTAGAAATTATCATCAAAAAACTGTTTTGTAAAATTCGATTTCAATTGGAAAAAAGTAAAAAAAGAAATATGCATCAGAAATGAACCAAGTTTAGTTGGTGTCTAAATATTTGCTAGCATTGATTTTAACAACTGAGTTATAATATCGAAGCTGATGCGCGAGAATTTCAGATATTTAATGATTCACCATCCAGTTTCCATTCTTTGTATAAAAATAGGAGATTAAAATTTTCATTAATACTCCTAGTAATTTAAAAATAATAAAAATTCTTTTGATTTTTCAACATAATGGAAAAAAATATTAAAAATAATCAAACAAATTAGTAAACAAGACATTTATTTCACAATATTTCTCAATATTTATAACGCTTACTGCGAGAATTCTAGTCAATGTATTTCATTCTTGGGAATAAAATAAATAAATTTGGTATTTTAATAGTTTGAAGCAACTACATTTAAAGAGGTTGCACAGGTGTTTTGCAGACAAGAAATAATAATCGCATGGGATTTGTAAATTTTAATTATATGAAATTGATTTAGACAATCGCGGTTAACAATAGAACAGTCTGCAAACAAATAGTATGGAAATCATTAACAATATGCAAAATCTAGAATGGATTGATGTTTATTGTAATTTTTATTCAATTACGGTAAATTTTGGAATTTTACGTGCTAAAATATATTGCAATCTAGGATTTGTAGTATTTGATACTAAAATAACGAATATTTTTGCTTGTTTTCTCGCATAATTTTAATATGATTGTAAAAAATTATGAGTTACGATCCTGAAAATCAATAATTTAACACCTCTCGACGAACCCTTTTAAATGGACACAAGTCAATTTTTTTGAGTTTTCGAGGGTATTTTACCAAGGCTGAAAATGAAAAAATCGGGAGGATTACGTCCTCTCAATTTAGGTCGGTCAACCCTTAATTATTATTTTCATATAAAACACTCAAGATTTTTAAAAGAAACAAAGATATAAGGGAGAAATAAACTTTTGTTAATAAATATTCAGGCATTTGGTAATATCAATCCAGAGAAATCGAATGTATCGCACATAAGTTTATAGTTATTGGAACAGTTTGTTCCTGTTTGAATCAATTTGAATGAAACAAACAAATCATTGGTTTTAATATCAAATTTCTTTATATTTCCTGGTTCTATTGGTGAATTATTTACTTCATGCAGTGTTTTCGTTTCTCCTTTATTTGTGGTTCCTTCAATTTTCCATGATCGAAGGAAGCAATCATATATTGGAAATATCGGTGCAGATCTAACAATATATTCAGTTGGAATTATTGTGAATCCTGGTTTTAATTTCCATTCAATCCATGAATTTTGAATATTATTAGTTAGGAAATAATCCTTAGGATAAGCTCTATTTATTAAATTTGGAGTTCCTCTCAATACTGACGAAGCTTGCATTTCGACATTCCCACTTTGGAAGTAATTTGTTTCTAATTTGCCTTTAGATTTTGTTTGAGTAAGGTTTCTGGTTCTTAATAATGAATCATGAAGAGTTTTGACAACATTTTTGTAGTTGTTTTCATCAGTCAAAGCTTCTATTTCATCAATGACATTTTTACTGCAAAACTCTAAATAAATATTCTCAAATAATGGATAGTAATCTTTAAACGAGAAAGGGACAGACTAGCCCATTGTCACTTTTTAATTTAGCAAATGAACGCTTATGGAGTGGAGTTTTTGGGTAAATCTGATTTGCTTATAAATGAAATAAAATCAAAAGAAACCATATTGGCATTATATTATGCAAAAATAAATGATCTTACTTAGTACTTTTAAAGTTAATTTCAGAAAAAATTTGACACAATGGTATCCGGCACATACAAGTGGTGTACAACCAAAATATAAGTTAGTTTAAACATATATTGCTATATCTCATGATCTTACTTAGTACTTTTAAAGTTAATTTCAGAAAAAATTTGACACAATGGTATCCGGCACATACAAGTGGTGTACAACCAAAATATAAGTTAGTTTAAACATATATTGCTATATCTCATGATCTTACTTAGTACTTTTAAAGTTAATTTCAGAAAAAATTTGACACAATGGTATCCGGCACATACAAGTGGTGTACAACCAAAATATAAGTTAGTTTAAACATATATTGCTATATCTCATGATCTTACTTAGTACTTTTAAAGTTAATTTCAGAAAAAATTTGACACAATGGTATCCGGCACATACAAGTGGTGTACAACCAAATCTTCGACTCGATGAACTTGTAATCGAGTTATATTCCAGTGTTGTTCCTTCATTCCTGATTAAGTTGCAAATTAAAGGTCTGGATTCAGAGAGAAGTGTTAAAGTTATCAAAAAAGTCACAAGAGATTTCGAAGAAATGACACAATTTAAAAAGTCGAATGCATCAGTATGCTTGAAGCTGTTCAGAAAGGTCTGAAAAATGATACACTTGATCCCAACATTGTTTACTCAACATTAAAAATATTATTGCAAAGAAAACATTTGATTTAATAAACATTTAATTTATTATAATTAATTTTTTATTACAGTATAGTAAAAAATGCTATAAATAAATTATTATATTTTATTAAAATGTGACTTTTAATAGTAAGTGAATAAAATAAATCAGGAATTGGGAAAGAAATAAGGTTAATTAAAAATAATGAAAATTACAAGTTTAAGGTTAATGAAAAAGTGACAATGGGCGAGTTTGTCCCCCACTCTTCAAAACCGTTTCATCGCATTCAATTTCGGATTGTCTATATTGAAGTATATCTTTTAATACATTGTATGTATCTGGAGAGATAATTTCTGTATTTATATCAATAGATATTGTGAATAGAATTTTTGAGAAATTGCAATGGCTAATGACTTATTAAGTAGTATTTCGACGTTATTGATTGCCAAAATAACTTTGTCACGTGCGTTGTAGTTGTTAATTCTTTGAAGAGTTTGGTTATTCAGCTGAATTAAAACCATTTTTTTTTGTGTCAGAATATCAAATGGAAAATAATAGGATGATCCTGCTTATATAACTGTAAACAATTCAAATAAATGTGAAAATAATAGGATCAAAAATTCTAAATTCTATTGATTTTTTAAAAGCTGATTTCTGGGAAATATCAGGCAATTTCAGCATACCAAAGCAGATATTGTGCTAGAAAATACTCTATTATTAAAACCTCATTCAAATACAATATCTTATTTTGAATATATGAGTTATATTAAGGTTATGAGCCAAGAAATAAGATATAAACCACAAAATCTACAGTAACAATTGCTTGAATATAATGAAAGAACACTAATTGATTAATAGAATCTAATATTTACCTTTTAAATACAGAAAAAATGAACATTTGTGTTTCAATCCTTTTTGATATGATCTAAATAAGGAAACATTACTGATTTCCAAGCATCATCCCAAGGAACGAGTTTAGATTTACAGTCTTCTTTCATAGAATTGATATCAACTTCCTTACTTACAAAGACTTTCCTGATCACTTCGACAAGCTCATCAACATTTGTAAAGAAGAAACCATTAGATTCAGATACAACTTCTCTTACACAGCCTTTCAAATAAACAGCAATTGGAACACAACTCCATTCCATTTCTATGAGTTCTGGAGAGACATCGAGGATCAATCTTGCACCAGAAACAGAGATACCTAAGTCGCAAGCACCCATGACTTGCGGATAAACATCTGCGAGCATCGGGAGCACAGATAATTTCACGTTTTTAGGATGAATTTGTCGGAATTTGTGTTCAAGTGATTTTTGACTTTTTCCACCGCCAAAAACGGCAAAACAAAGTGGCACATTGAAGTTTTCTGATTTAGAAATAAGTTCTATAAGAAAATCAATATAGCTTTCTTCTTGAAATAGAATTGGAATCCCAATTAAACCATGTTCTGGAGTGATTCCTAGTAATTGCGAGATTTCTTTACGAAGATGCGTTGTAGGATGAAATAATGTTCCTGGATTATCTCTTATTATAGAACTATTTATTTTTTTTATTTGTAAATATCCTTGCATGGATCTGGAAGGAACAATTCTAATATCTGCTAATGCTGGTAAAGATGTTTCTAATCTTGTTTGAAATTGACCAGATTTATTAGGTATTGATTGAAATGGACGAATTTCTAGAATAAATTTGGCTTTTTTAAAGAATCGTATCAGTCGTGCAATAATAATGTTAACATATAATCTTGTAGTCGATGTTAAAACAAAATCTATTTTGCCTAAGTTTGAAAATAAAAAGATTATTTGAAAGAACGAGAAAATTAGTAAAAATGGAATGAAGAATATGCTTGTGTTGAATATGCCATTCAATTTTGAGTGATATTGCCGGATTTCAACATTATCTAATTGCTCAATATCTGAAGGAAGAACAGTTTTGCATTTTCCAACTAAATAAACGTAAGAATCTGGCTGACTAGCAAACGATTTTACATGTCTAAGAAGTCTGAAATCAGTGCCGAGATCTGCTAATGAAAAGATTAGCACTCGTGGCATGATTTTAAATGAAAAATATATACAACTAGAACATTAATATTGATGCATGTATATGTTAAACAAGGTAATGCTTAAAATTTTTGGATTTTTGCGAAAATAAATATGTCATTATTGTTTGTATAAAATCAGTCAATACATTTAGCTACTTTAAAAATAATAGTATGAACATTAGAATCCATATGGATTCTTCTTAATTAAAAGTGGTAAATCACCAAGTTCTGCTAAAATCTGGTGATTGTTCTTAGAGTCAATACCTTGGCGTTTGCGTTCTTCTTCAGATATGACAAATTCGATAGTTTCGCGGCTTTCAAGGTTCATAACATGCTCACTCCATGAGTTAAGCATATCAACTCTAGTCTGTGGGTCCGCATTTAATAATCCAAAGAATGCTTGTGTACGAAGTGGTGTGAAACCGCATTGAGCGAAGCAGCGGAATGTAAGATTATACATAAGTTCTTCGACTGTAATATGGACTGAATCTTTACCATAAAAGCTTTGGTTCATGCCAAGAGTGACACATACCATAGCTTTCTTTCCTGTCATGAAGCCAGTACGGCCTTTAGAAGTATCAGAGAAAGCCCAACCTTCGCCAAATACCTTTTCCCACCAGCCCATAAGAGCAGCACTTGGAGAAAGCCAGTGCATTGGTGTAAAAAGCATAAGGTGTGTGCACCATTCGATGCAGCATTGGCAACGAAGAATTTCTTCTTTGTATAAGCCTTTCTTTGCGTGTTCGTTAAGTGTAAGCTGTGGATTTGCTTCGATGAAATCATCTAAAGATGGCAATTTTGTAAAATCGGATTCATAGAGATCGAGAGTCATAACTTCATGCTTGTTTAATTTAAGTGTCTCAATTGCCTTTCTATAAGCAGCATGGCAAAATGAGCGCTGATGCGGTTCATCATGAGCAATAACTAAGAAAACACGCATTTTTGATAACGAACTAGTATTCAAATGATTTTTTTATTACGGGGAGATAACACCTAATTAATTAGGGGACAATGAAATCAAGCAAAATACATATTCGATATACCTAGAATAGGTGAGCTACTAATAATTTCGTAATTTTGACACTAGATACCTGAATAATTTTATAATTTTTCATCACAAAAGCTTTTTCCCCCTTTAATATACTATGACGTGATACTGCCTACAAGTTTTAGGAATAGGCCTTCTGAGTTTGTGCATGGTTTCACAATAGAGAGGATATTTACTTGTGATATTTCTTGCTCTGCAGTATCAGAATGAATTTCTATTGTAAGCAAATCAGATATCAAAATATATTAACAAAAGATTAGCATTTCGAAATTTCAAAAATAAAATGAGTGAGAAATTCAGTTCAAAGAGAATTGGATTGTGCCTTAGAACACATGCAGCCATATCATACACAACCTTCTTGATTTCTGATATCAAGATGATCAGTTCTGGATAATCCATCGCAATTATGTGATAGAATGCGGTATTGATATATTTTACTCATTTGGAAGCTATTTTATCTGATTCGAACATAGTTTCTTAATTTGCCCTGATTTCAAGAATTATCTTCAGAAAATATGACATATTATGAGAAAATATTTGTGTTCATACAAATAGTATTATCATTCACAACTTTCGAGTGAGAAATCGTTTATATTTTGAATTTGAAATCCGAAAAATAGTTGAATTGGGTAATGATTTCCTGCTTATTTAAAAGCCCTGATATCACACAACGCAGATCTTGTGCCAGAATAAAAGTGGTAGGAGTGGCCGTTTACATTTCACCTGACCACCCAGAAATAATTTTCAAAATCACCTAAAATGTCTAACATGATTCGTCCTCCAATTATCCTTCTTCGTGAAGGTGTTGACCAGTCACAGGGTCTTGGCCAACTCATCTCAAACATCAATGCTTGCCATGCAATCGGTGAAATTCTTGCTTCAACACTCGGTCCACGTGGTATGGATAAGCTTATTCATAATGGAAACAATCGCCGCGCTATTGTTACAAACGATGGTGCTACTGTTATGAAAGAACTCGATATTGTTCATCCAGCTGCACAATTATTAGTTGATGTAGCTAAGTCTCAGGATGAAGAAATTGGTGATGGTACAACATCTGTCATTGTCTTAGCCACATCCATGCTTGATGCTGCTAAGGATTTCCTTGAAGATGGTGTTCATCCACAATTCATCTGCCGCTGCTACAGAACAGCTCTCAACGCTGCACTCAAGAAGCTCGAAGAGGTCGCTGTCACAATTGATGGTGGCCAGCGCAAAGTTCTTGAGCAATGCGCTGCTACAACACTCCGTAGTAAGCTCGTTTCCGACTCCCGCTTCTTCTTTGCTCCAATGATCGTCGATGCAGTTCTTCAGCTCGATGAAGATATGCGCCTTAACGATCTTGGCGTCAAGCTCGTCAAGGGTGGCTCTCTTCAGGATTCCTTCTTTGTCCCAGGTGTTGCCTTCGAACGTACATTCTCCTACGCCGGTTTCGAACAGCAGCCAAAGCATTTCAAGAATCCAAAGATCTTACTTCTCAATGTCGAACTCGAGCTCAAGGCTGAAGGCACAGGTGCTGAAGTTCGTGTCGAGGATGCCAAGGAGTTCCAGGAAGTTGTTGATGCTGAATGGGCAATCATCTTCCGCAAGCTCAACGACTGCCTTAATTCCGGTGCCAACATCGTCATCAGCAAGAAGCCAATCGGTGATGTCGCCACACAGTTCTTTGCCGACCACGATATCTTCTCTGCTGGCCGTGTTCCAGACGAAGACTTCAACAGACTTGCTAAGTGCACAGGCGCTAGCATTCTCTCCACAACATCAAACATCGAGGCCAAGAACCTTGGTACATGCGCTGATTTCGAAGAACGCCAAGTTGGCTCCAAGAGATTCAACATCTTTACAGGCGGCAATGGCCGTGCAGCTACAATTGTCCTCAGAGGTGGTGCCGAGCAGTTCCTCGAGGAAGCCGGCCGTTCAATCCACGATGCCATCATGATTGTCCGCCGCGCAAAGAAGGCCCAGCGCATTGTCGGTGGTGGTGGCGCCATCGAAATGGTCATCTCCAAGCACTTACACGAGATCGCCCTCAAGATGGACGGCAAGGCACAGCTCATTGTCGAAGCATTCGGAGATGCACTCGAAGCAATCCCAAGATCACTTACAAACAACGCTGGTTTCGACTCATTCGAGACACTCAACAAACTCCGCTCTGCCCACGAGAAGGCTGACGGTGTTTGGGCTGGTGTTGACATCGAAACAGGCGGTGTACTCAACGCTGTTGAGAACTTCATCTGGGAGCCACTCGTCGTCAAGAAGAACGCTCTCAAGGCTGCTTGCGAGGCTGCCTGCACCATCCTCTCCGTCGATGAGACAGTTCAGATCCCACAGCACGAGACAACCTTCGACCCAGGTCTTCCAGGACAGTCTGCCGTTAGAGGCCGTGGTGGAATGCCTGCTCCAGGTGCTGGAATGCCAGCTGGAGGTTTGCCTGGAATGCGCTAAAAGAAATATTAATCTTGGTGTTTTATTCTTTTATATCTTTATTATATATAAATTTAAAATGATCTCGATAAAAAAGTAAACTGCTTGCCCTAAGGTGGACAATATTGAAAGGAATTCAATGAGTTCTCTCAAAAATAACCACCTTTTCATATTCAATACTATTGTCCACCTTTCGTCCAACTTAAATAATTTATTTAGAAACAACAAAACAAAATAGATAAAAATAAATAATGCAGCAAGGTCCAAAAAGACCTAAAAAATCGAAATGACGGAGTGGATTTTTGATATAACTCATTAAATGGAAATTATGAGATATTATAATTAAATTTTTCACACTATCCGAGATATAAGAAAACTAGCATCCAGGTAGCTCGGATATATTGGTAGTATCTATTTTTGGAGAAACTCCAAAAGTTAAAGTTATGATTTACTAATGAGAACAATTATAAGAGAAACAAGTAGCTGAAAAGGAGCATCATTTGATATGACTAACAATTACTTATTCGTAAGTTTCTGCAATGTCTGTTCGAGGAGAAATTCTGCTTGATTTGGATGAACGTTTATAAGTTTTTAGAGTAAATAATTGAAGAATTTGGAGTTCCTAGCATGAGTATGTTAAGTGGACAGTAGAGAAATTTGGTAGCAATGCATAACGGTTGCAATATTTTTGGGTAATTCAGAATAGGATCTGTTTGAGCATAAAGAGATGCAATATTATTGGATCTCTAATCATTTAAGCCATGCATCTTGTGATTTCAAAGCGTGTTGTGTCTCTGTTCCGCTCACTAAAAATGTAAAAAAAATTTGACTATTATCCACCTTAGGGCAAGCAGTTTATATCATTTCATAACATTTCATTTCAATTTTTTTTATTTCAAACATTAAGTTCTTATTTTAGCAATGATTTAACTAAAAATTCATCAATAATCAAATATCAAAATCTTAGATATCCTACATTATGTGACAAAATACCTGTTTTTTTAAACAAACAGATCTATGATATTTAAATGCTTAAGCTTGATCGGTATTTATCTTTGCATTGAGCATAATCGATTATTTCAAAGTCATATCTATATAACTTTTATTATTTGAGTAGAGTCTATTGCTCCAATATTTTATGAATATATAGTTTCTGCTATCTATTGATCATATTTATTGCCTTATGTTGTAAATTTGTCAAATAATATTCGTTATAAATTAAAAATGGAAGCTTCTCCAGCACAGAAAGTCATCTTTGATCCAGAAAATGACTATAAAATCAGAGTCATCGAGCCAGAACAATTCAAAGAAACAAAGAAACTCAAAGCAGGTTGCGATCAATTTTCAACTGAAGTTAATGATTTTATGGGTGCTGTTAAACAGTTCTTAGAATTCATGGAAACACAAAGCCGTCGCGTCGAAGATCAAAAACTCAGGTCAATTGCCCTCAGAAATCGTGTGCAAGAAGAAATTGAATCTCGCAAGAAAGCTCAGATGGATATTCAAAATCTCATCGAATCAAAGCAGAAGCAACTTGAAAAACTTAACGCTGAAATACGCTCATGGGAAGAATACGATAGACAGCTCGCAGAAAATAAAGATAAGCTAGCAATGATCTAATTTCAGTGTCTATTATACCTTTATTCGTCAAATCTACTGTCCAAAAATTGTTCATGAAATAAATATACGGAATTTCATATATTTAGTTGGGTAGTTTTTAAATAATTACTCATCTGAGATTCTTGTTATATGAATAAACTCAGTAATGTATATATTAATTCTCTTTCTTATCATTTTTTATCCAATCTGTGAAAAAAAGAAGTTTGGAATAAAATATCGGAAATTGAGTTCAAAATCTAAGCATAATAAAAGAAAAATGAAAATTATACACTATTATTCTTTATTTATCCCTTGCAAACGTATGAAATTTGAGATTTTGAAATCATGATATTAGAAAATTCATCAAATAACTAATCATGGTACAACTATTAGTTTATAACTTCTTATTGTGTTCATGGAATGGTCTTGATGGTAGAGTAATCTTAATAGGATCTCCCTCGCAACCAATGTTGACGAATTCGCAGTCTGTGCAGATGCCACCTCTTCCCTCAACATAATCTATACCATACTTAGGGAAATCATGGAATTTGCAGAATCTGAATGTTGGAGCTGAATTATTGACAGTGATAATAGCGTTTTCATCTGTCTTCTTGGATGTGAAGTCGCAAACTTCGAAGGATGCTGTGCATCCGTTGAGGAATTGACAATATCCATCGAAATTGACTCTGGAAAAGACGGCAAAGCAGGATGGTTCCATGTTGAACTTGATTGATGGGGCAATAAGAGTTGCAAGCTTTTCATCATCGTCTGTTTGGAGGGCAAAGGATTTGTTGAAGACGAGTTCATGATCAAAGTGGTATTCTCCTGGCTTGATAAGCAAATGGGTGCCTGCAGGAGCCTTTTCGAAGGCTTCTTCGAGTGTTGCGTAGTCGCAGCCTTCGCCAATGGTCTTTTGCTTCTCGAACATTTTACGAAAAGTGAAGTGTCAGCTATTCAATTCATCGTTTTTTTCGATTGACCATTTTGTCAAATTTATCGTTTTGAAATACTCAAGAATAGATAACTTCATGTCATCATTGTTCTAAAGACATAAGAAAATTTGACGATAAAATCGATGAGTAAAGTGTCATTTCATATCTATTGTTTTAGGGCTTTCAGGAACCGTGAAAACAACACACAGAACTAATCACACTCGAACAACATGCTAATCACAACAATATCTGAGAATCTATTCATCAATAATTGAATTGATCGAAAATAATTGAATTGATCGAAAATCGAAATTTACCAACTAAAATATTTCTTATATGCTATTACATAGTGACAAACTCAAAGTATATTCCATGAATTTGTATAATAAATTAAAAACTACGCAAAGTAAAAAAATTTGTTTGTAAAATAGAATAAAATCAATATTTAAGATAAACAGAACAGCTATATACAAATACATAATGCAATTCATGGCATTAATATTACATAAAAATACAAATTACTAAAAAATTCTTGAAATAACATTTTCTTGAACTATTTCCGCTAGACTTCTTACTTTTTCATTATCATCGGTTTGAGCAGATACCATTAGCTCATTCAACTGATTTTCTGAAATCAAATTTAAAAATTGTTGTTTTTCTAAGATTTCTGAAATCCTTATAATAGAATTTAGAAACAGTATTGTTAATCTAACTTCTCCATTTGATATCAAATCAAAAATTATATCTATATTTTGTAAATTAACTAATTCTATTATTATATCAACAGGGCCAATCCTCAGCAGCTGGATTATGCAAAACGAGGCTGCTAATGATTCATTATAGCTTCCATTGCATTGTGTTTCAAATATAAATTCTCTAATTTGTTCATTTGAGTAAATTTGAATTATATTTTCTTCTTTCCATGATAGAATGTTGCTAATAACTAATAGTATAATATGGAGATTGCATTTCTTTTCAATTAAAAGGATAAGAATATGAATCACACCATTTTCAAAAAGTAAATCACAAAAATCTATTGAACATGACATTTTCTGTAAGAAATCCAATAGTATTGCTTCATTTCCATTAACATCTGTTTCTAATAATGTTGGAAGAATATTTTCAAATTCAACCTCATTAATTGCATCTCTTCTGTTTTGAACAAAGTTTGTTATCAACGACAATAGATATTTTGAATGAAGTGAATAGTTTTCATGAACGAAATCAACTAAAATCTGAAAATGTTCGATATTTAAGAATTTTGAAGATTCATAGCTTGTACTAATAGAGAAAAGCTTGAAAATAGCATCTAATAGATCTTCATCAATATTGTAATAATAGAAATCAAAAATTTGATCTAAAATTTCTGATTTTTCTATAAAAGTATAATATTCTTCAGATATTGATATGATTTCTGATATTAAACCAATGCAATTTATTATAGTACATTCTTTTGTTTCTTCATTCATGATAACTGTTGATAAGAAATTAATTGTCTGTTCTTTTATTATTTCATTATGCGAATCAGGACAATTCGCAATAAATAGAGTTAAGACCGATAATATTTCATCTTGTATGCAGCTTTTTCCAAGATGTGAAATAATTATATCAAAAAATCCTAAATTACTTATATCTGATATTACTTTTGAATCAAATGAACATATTATATCTCTTAATTCTATAACTTGACTGAGATATTCTTTAAATTTTGATTCATTATTTGAATCTTCACAAAATGAATTAATTAGTTCAAATAACTTATTGAGTTTGGCTTTACCATCTGCTGAAAGACCATTTAGCATACGATCCTCAAGTCTCAAAGTATTAGGTTTATTCATTTTTCAACATCCTAAATTTTGAAAAGTGACAAAATACGAATATTTAAATTTTACATAAAAATCTATAAATTAAGATACACAAAATATAAGCTATTAAGAAATCATAGAAATTCTCACAAATTCAATACATTTCAAAATAATTTTTTTGAATCATCTTCAGAATCGAGTAATGAAAACAGATTTAAATTGCACATGCAATCACACATCTAATTGCGCAAAAATGGATTAAGTTGGCTGGAGCAAAATTTCATGCTTTCTTCTCTTGATTGCTTACCCTCTACTTTTATGAGGACATTTGCTGAAAAAGCAGCAGAAGCAACCCAAAAGGCCGCCGAAAAGGAAGTTGCTAAAGAAAAGAAGCCAGAAGAAAAACCAAAACCAACATATGAAGAGTTAGAGAAAGAAATCAAGGATATGCACAACAGAAATCTCTTCCTTCTTGCTGAAGTTGAGAATGCTAGACGTAGATTTGCTCGTCTTGAACAAGAAATGGAAACATACGCAGTTACTAAATTAGCCAAGGATTTACTTCCTGTTGCAGATAACATGACACGTATAATCAACAGTGGAACAAAGCAGGCCGTCAAAGATGCTATCGCTGCAGTTCAACTCGTTGATGCTGAATTCCATAACATTTTCAAGCGCTTCAAAGTCGAAAAAATCGTATCAAAGGGTCAAAAATTCGATCCAAAGTTACATGATGCCATCCAAATGGTTGATACACGCGGATCTTCTCCTTCTGGCACAATTATCGATTGCACAACAGAAGGCTACAAGATTGGTGACAGACTTCTTCGTGCTGCTAAGGTTGTTGTTGCCAAATAATTACTTTTTTAAAAATAGAGTCGTTATTTAAAAAATTTATTATTTTTTTAAAAGATTTGAGCCTCATTCAATCATGTAAGAAATTAATTTAGATAATTTTGAGCTAATTTAAAATCAATATTATTAAATTAGATTGATTCGATTTAAATCATTTTGATATAGTTCAAATGAATGAAATAATCAAATTTCAAATTTGCAAAATGAATGAGATTAAATCGCTTCAATAATCGCATCATTCTTCTAAGTGATAAAAAAATAATAAAACAAAATAAAAAATTTTTATTATAGTCCCCCAAAATACGCGTCTAAGGCACGACAAACCTGTATAAATTATAATAGCTACATAGTAGCACCAAGAGAGCCAAGATATTCTGCAATTTCCATATTTTCCCTTGCAATGGCACAAAATAATGGTGTGGGATTATTGCCGCTATTTGCATTAATATCAGCTCCGTGTGACACAAGAATTTTTACAACATTCAGATTATTTTTTAAAGCTGCAATATGCAAAGGTGCAATCCCCTTTTTATTTTTAATATTTACATCAGCACCATGTTCAATTAGAGTAATTAATGTTTTTTCGCAAGAAGAGGCAGTTGCAACATGTAAAGGTGTATTACCATCATCATCAATACAATTAATATTAGCACCGTGTAAAATTAATAGTTCAAGTTTTTTTTTTATTATTAGATGCAGCTTGACGATGTAAACATGTAATTCCTCTTTTGCTTGCAATATTAACATCAACTCCATGCGAAAGAAGATATTCAACATATTCGGAATAATCAGGATGAGGAGTTTCTTTTTCATCACTTTTAGGTCTTACCAAGCCCCACGGAATCGGTATTAGATTGCTTTTATCAATTGCAATAGAGAGTGGAGTTTCTCCATTATTATCGCGTGCATTGATATCTGCACCGTGAGATAAAAGTAACTCTGCAAATTTTGTATCTGCCATTTCTGCTGTTTTGTGAAGAGCGGTTTGACCTTTATTATTTCCTCTGTTAACATCAGCATTATTCTGAAGAAGAAATTCGCATATTTCTTTATTTTTCTTTTGTACACTATAATGAATGGGAGTTTCTCCATTTTCATCGCCTATATTAATATCTGCTCCATGTTGAAGAAGGATCTCGGCAGTATCTGGCAAGTTATAAAGTGCTGTAAAATGAAGTGGAGCTGATCCATTCTCCCCCTTTGAATTAACATCAATTCCATAAGAGATAAACATATTGACTATCTCATTGAAACCAAGCCATGAAGCATAATGAAGATAAGTGTTACCCTTTTCAAATTTCTCATTGATTGATGCTCCTTTGGAAACAAGAAGTTTTACTCCGTTCCTGAAATCACTCAATACAGCGATATAAAGAGCAGTGTAATTGCCTTTTGATTTGATATCGATGTTATCAACATGATTTATAAAATATTCAAGCAAAGGAACAGAAAAAAGTTTTGGTGAATGAACAAAACATGTTATGTAATCCTTTGTATTAACTAAGTATGCACAAAATGCTTCAATGCAATTGAATTTGCAGCATTGATCAAGATTTATATCGATTTTGTGCTCCCTCATCAAGAATGTGACAAAGTCAATGTTGTGTGAAATAATTGCATATTTCATGCATTTGTTATCAGGTTTTTGAACTTTCATGCATTCATTCATGATATCTGGTTTTCCACTCAAAAATGACAGTTGAAGGCATTCTGGAGTGATTTCAGGTTCAAATTTCGTAATAATAAACTTGAAACACTTAACGGCACCATAGTAACAACAGAGTTCAAGTAAACTGTATTCGTGATTTTTCTTCGGATAGAAATCGTGCTGTAATGTCACATTTTCATCGAAATCATCTTTGCTTGCTAATGAAACAAACTGTTCAAGATTATCTTCCATGATTGCTGTGTAAATTGAGAACTTTTCGTGAATGTCAAGTGTATAATTTTTATTTTCAAACTTTTCGAAAGAATTTCTGCTATTTTCCTGGAAAACAATACCATATTCCTTGAATACCATGTAATCGAAAATGGGAGAAATGTTTTGTACACGTTTTGGATGGAATTCTCCAAACACTTTTTTGAAGATTGTCCAATAGGATTTGAAGAAGCGTAGATTATACTTTGATGCAAGTATTATCTGTTCAACGAGTTTTTCAGGTGAATCTATTTGTTCTTTAAGATTGGTGTAAATTTTATTGATATCGTTTTCGTCATGAGTATTTAACTGGTATAGAGCTTTTAGAGAATCTCTTGAGTCTTTGCAAAGTTCCATTAGCTGATTGAAGTCAATGTTCGCGCCTTTCATTCGATAATTTAAAATTTACGACTTTTAATAATCTACTATTTGGATGTAATGATATGAAGTGCAACTAATGGGTAACATTTTATTCTAAATTTAGGATGGGAAAAAGCTAACATTGAAAATCTTTCTGAAAAAATCATAGGAGTTAGAGCATGAGATATTCATATTAAATTATACTAGTATAATAATTCTTTATAGGCATGGAATAAACCCATAACTATGCTTTTTAAATTATTTTGGAATTAAAATTAGAAATAAAATTGTATTTTGAAATTAGAAACGCAGACTATATGCTGTGTAAAGGCTAATACAAAATGATTTAAGATGATATTGCCCTTAAAATAGACTCAAAAAGTCGCATTAATATCTTCAAAAACGTGACATTAAGGTTCGTATCGTTACTGCGAACCTAAAAAAGAGATGGCAGACAGTGTTGTAATTGAGAAAAATGATATTATTCTTGATAGGCTGGATGCCGTCAAAGATTATTTTTCGCAGAAGCAATCAATTCCTATTGATACCATTATCGCACATTTAAAGTATTTTTTAACAATTTCAAGTCGATATTATTTCTTCAATTATTTACCAAACAGTATCAGGACGATTCTAGTACTTTTTGATGATATCAAAAACGAAGGTCCCAACACTTTTAAATTCCAAAATGCTGCAGTTCGTTTTAATCAAATATATGATTTAATTATAGCTACAAAACCATCAACAGAATCATCAGATACTCTCAGAAAGATCATTTCTGTTACTCCATTCGAACTAGAATCACAAACAATGAAGTATCACTGGAGAGAGCAGTATACATTTGAAGAATCGATATTTTTCAGTGATGATCACCTGAAGCCGTTCATTGATAAGTTCCTTGATGAGCTAGACCCAGCAAAAACGTATTATCAAATTTTGGATTTCTCCAAAAACTGCGCATCTTATCTACAGGAAGCATATAGTATCACAGAAGCACAACCACAGATACAAGCATTCTCATCAAGAGCTCTTTGGAAGACATATTTCAAGTTTGCAGGTTCAATTTTCCCTTATCATCCAACAGATGAGAAATTCATCAAGCAAGTATCTTACCTTCGCTCGCGGCCACCTTCTGACCTCATGATTCGTGAAAAATTCTTACCAAGCGGAACATTTGATGTTCCCTTGAACAAACAGCCAACATTATACAAGCATACTGTCGACGCAGCAAACTACTTAGCATTCGATGAAATTCCAGACGATTTATTTTACCACATTTCAGTTCTTCACGATATTGTTTTCGAAGAGTTAGTTACAGTCATGTATAACCGTACAGATAAAAAACAACCGTTATCCCAATACAGAGCTGACGTTTCTTTAGGTCAAGAAGATATTATGCCGATTATTATCATGATTCTTGTTTTGGCTGACATTCCGAACCTCCCTGATATTGCTAATTTCTTTAATGACTATACAACTCAAATCGAAGTTAATTCAAAGAGTGGCTTGTATATGGCGAATATCCTTACAGCGTTTGGAGCAATTATGAATTGGGAAATCCCTCAATAGGCGTGTGAATAAATTATGGAGTATTTTTTATTGTATAATTGAAAATAATTTTTTAATTTTTTTATATCGACAAAAGAGTAGATATTTTATTCGAATCATAAAGATTCTTGATGCTTTATATCTCATTCTCTATATAATTATAAAGATCAATTGTTTATTCTTAAATCTCTTTTCACACTCTCATTTTGATAATCGTTTAACAAGCCTCTAATGAGTTGGCAGTAAATCATTATGCCATGCGTTAGAATTGAATGGAGTTTTTCTCGTTCTCAGTGAATATAATTTTATATTCATCATGAAAATATTCTAATTATTAAATATAATTAGGAATTTGTGCTTGCATAATCAGCAAAGCGTTGTAATATACTTATTGTGGATTACTAATTTTTGTTAGATTTCTTTCATCCATTGAGATCAAATCCTTTATTTATGTGATAACTGAACAAAAATGCTAGGAATTTTGAAAATAAACATAACAAAAATTTTAATAGTAAATTAATAATACAAAATACATTATTATTTCTGCTTCTTCATGTACTTCACAGCTTCTTTAGGAAGAGCATCTGGACCAGCTGTTGATTTATGAATTAATCTGATTAGCATATTGAAATATCCGATCTGTTGTTCAAGCGTTGTGATTCTTTCTTGGACTTGGTTAACAACTGATAGTTTATCATCAATTTTTCTTTGAGATAGTTCTTGGTCACGTTTAGCTTGTTCTATTTCGCCTTTAAGTTCTTCAATCATTCTATTTTCTGTTGTATCTTTCTTATCATCCATTTCTTGATGTGCTTTGACTTTTCTTTGATATTCTTCGCATTTTTCTGTCAATTTCTCACATTCATCTTTGAGAGTATCGAGATTTCCTTGTAATTCATTAGCTTTTGTTTTATGGCCTAAGATTTCCTGCTTAAGCGTATCATATCTTCTTTTATAACTATCTGTTTTCTTCTTTCCTTTATCAAATTCTCTGTTTTGTTTCTTCAATTCATCAATTAATTCTTCATTTTCTTTTCTGAGCTTTCTAAGTTTAGATTCAGCAGCTGTATATGCTAATAATCTCTCTCTAAAGTTGCTTGATACTTCTTTTGCTCCGACAGCCATATCTTCTAAGTTCTTAACTCTGGCTTGAAGCATTACATTTTCTTCATCTGCGACTGCAAATTCTTCTTTTGTTTTCTTGAGTTGTACAATCATTCTCTTTATTGATGATGATAATCTGATATTTTCTTCGTGAACACTCTTTTTCTCCTGAAGTTCCTGTTTCAAAGCGGCATTACTTTCATCATGCTCTGCTTGGAATTCTTGCAATTGCGTTTCAGTAGAATCTCTAATTGCTTCTAATGCAATGATTTGTTGATGATAGTTCGAAATAATCTCAGCAAGACGTGCTTTAGCTGTTGTTCTCTCATTATATCTCTTTGTATTCAATAATAAAAGAGATGAAACAACTCCTTCAAAGAAAGGTGAATTCTGTGATGGAATATCTTCTTGCAAACCACTTGCAATAATGTAGTGGGCTCTTAATGCATCAGTGAGAGCAATTCTATTTCTTGCATCAGATAAAACATGAACTAAAAGAGCTGTGAAAGGAGTTTCAGCGAGAAAATCAATTAACTTTGGTCTGAAATGAGGAAGAAAATCACTGCATTCGTATATCAATAAGAAATATTGCAGACTTATGTAGCTATTGTTTAATTCACATTGTCTTTGGAAATCAATGAATAAATCTTCTTCATGAGATTGTATTGAAGATAAAACATAAGTAACAGATTCTGGTGCTTGAATCATGATTCTCATTAATGATATTGCTGCTTCTCTTTGTTCTATTGTCTTGTATTTCGGTGATGTCAATGCGATCTTAATTGCTTTATTAAATGGTTCAACAACATCACTTGAATAAACGTAGTCTTCTTTATGCTGGAAATAAAATGAGAGGAAATGAGAACCACTAATTGTTACATAACCATCTTTTGCATCTAACATTGTATCTATTAAAGTAAAGAAGCAATTTGTTTCATGTATTGTTTTGATGATAATTTCATGGAAAGAACCTAAATCAGTTAACAAATTATAAATGATGAAAGCAGTCATTCCGCCATTCATTGCGGCTTTGAGAAGATATGCTATATCTTGCGTTGTGATATCTACTTGTTCTGATAGATCAAGGATTATTGTTGCTGCAAGAAATGGAACTAAAGGAGATGTTTGGCCTGAAAATGAACTAACAGCAACATTGAAAGCTGTCTTTGGAGTAACTTGTGTCGGAAATAGAAGAGTCAGTAAGCATAAAGCTGAAACTACAATCGCTGGATCATCTGAAGTTAATTGATCTCCAATTTGATTTTTGAGAGTGAGTAAATCGGCTGTATGCTTGATATATGCCATCGCCGTAGGAGAGTTTCGAATAAATCCTGCAGTAATAGAAACACTTAAGTGAGAAACTTCTGGGATTGAATATAATAACGACATTGTATCAAAAAGTAGAGAAATTGAATCTGCATTTTCTAATTTTATATCTCGTGATGTTGAAAGTATGGAAAGGAGCTTCAGTACTGGTATCAAGATTGAACCTCCTCCATTTTCTACGTCATTTGTTCCGCTAATACTTTCAAAGAATGTTTTTATTATACTATCGAATGGTACATTTGCTGCGATGATGTTTAAAATGTATGGGTTTGTATAAGATAATTGAGTCAAGAAATGAATGCATTCAAAAACAATTTTTTGTGGTTTACCTTCAGATGGACTTGGTATTGCGTATCTCATTATCGGAAAAAGAATACATTGAACTAACGTTGGAAAATCTGGATCATTAACGAAGGATGATACTGTAATGCCATCCAAATTTGTGGCATTAAAGAACTGTAATAGAATATTATCGTATTGTTGTGGAGAATCTTTATTTGAAAAAAGACTCTCGCACGTATAGTGAAGATCGCACATTTTCTAAACGTGCACTTCTTTTTTGACAACTTAGTGGCGTGCAGCGAAATTAGAGAAAAAAAGCCTATATGCTATCAGACTATGCATAACTTCATTGCTTCATGAATACACTAAGATCCTCCGTTCAGGTTCATGAATTTATTATATTCATATCTTATTCATGAATTCAGCATTACAAGCTTCAACTTTCATCACACATCAACTTAAAACAGCAAATATCATGGGCATTTTATGAATAACATCAGAACCATACATCGAAATCATAATAAAACTATGATAATCGATATTTTAATATGCAACTGATATTGTATAACTCTCAGATGCTTTGGAGGAGCCTCTTTTATAATTGATGCAAAATTTTCATTGCGATCTAATTAATTTTATTTCCGAATTTTTAAATAAACTCTATCAAAAATTGAGAAGAATACGGAAATAATTTTAATCATAAATCTTATGGATAGGACCAAAGAATTTCACAAGTATTTACAAGGAGCAACTGTATCAATAACAGCGAGTCCCACTAAGAGTAGAAGGTTAAACCCTCCTTCGCGTCAAATGCAAGACTTTTATAATCATTCAAAAGAAGTCAACATGAGACTTGAAGAAGCAATCAAATTCGTGAACGAACTTGATGGTTTAGTCAATACTGATAACATATTAAACGAAAATGATCCAAAAATTCAAAGACTTATTAACACTTTAGGAGAAGAATTCAAATACATCCAAACGCAAATAGATGCTCTCGAAAGTACTCCGTCAACTAACGGACAAGCTAAAGCTGTTGCTGTTACACTAAGAAGGCAGCTTAAAAACACAATGAATATCTTTAAACAATCAGTAAATAAAACTACAGAAAGAGTAAAAGCGACTGCAGAGCGAAGAAAACAGAATGGATATGTAAGATCAGCATCTGCGCAGTACACAACATCATATAATGTTGATGATGAAATAGAAATTCCAATTAATCAGATGCAACAAGTAGAAATGGAACATTTAAACGAAAGAGCCTCATTAGTACGTGGTGTCGAACAGCAAACTAGCGCGATTTTACAGATGTTTAATGATTTATCTCAAATTATCGCAGATAGTAACTATAATATTGTAAGAATTGACGAGAATACGATGGAAGCATTGAATAATATGAAAGAAGGTCAGTCCCAAATGGAAAAATACGCAGAAAAAGTGAAAAATAACAAATGGTTTATTTTGAAGATATTTGCAGTATTATTTGTATTTGCTCTCATCTTTATTTTGATTGTATAATAAACGTTTTGTATGAACTAATCAATATCAAACTTATTTTTTAAAATTATTCAAAATTTCTCTTTAATATTTCCTTTCACAATAAAATTTCCATCTTATAAATTGTTAATTAACATTTAAGATCACTTTATTCTGATAAATATTAAATATCACCATTAATTTATTTCATGAAACATCTACGCAATGACTCACGAGCAAACAGTTGAATTGCATTTACCAATTTTACATATACACTCAGATTCAACAAGTTTTGTTTTCTCAATTCATAAAAGGATAAAAACGAATCATAATTATATGCAGACATATAAATCAGGATAAGCAATTTATTTCATAGGTATAAATTTCATAGGCAGAGAAGTGAAAAATTAAGAAATCTCAAAAATATATAGAAATAATTCGAAAAAATATTTGTATTTCATGATAATAAGACTAAGATTTAAGTGAGATGTTTAGTGATGAAAGAAAAACACAAAGAAAAGAAATATATTCACTATGTTGAATGTTTTCTTTGATTTCATAAATAATAGGAATATCTGCATGACAAAGAGCAGTTGAAAAATGAGAAAGATTATGAGTAAATTCATTTGTGATAGTATTTATAAAGGTAACTTCTTCTTCTGTTTCTGGAGAATTGTTATCAATGTAACATCCATCTAATGTAATTGTACCTGAAAAATCATTATAACCACCAGGAACATTGTTATTTATAAAACTACTATTTTTGATATTAACTGGAGATTGTCCCCAAAGAATTACTCCAATGTTATTTAAAATGTTACAATTTCGAATTTCAAAAGTTTCTTGAGAATTTTTGTGATTGAATTTATAATTACCACTTCCAATTGTTGAATTAGAAAAAGTGGAAAATGAACAATTTGATCCTTTTGAAAATGAATCAACTTCATAAAAATCTCTATAGCATATTTTCGAAAATGAAATGTTGATTGATTTAATTTCGATTTGGCCGTCTATTAAATAAAGATTTTTAATTCCTAAGAGTCTTTCATCTCCACTTTTACTAATAGAGGATTCAAAAATATAATTTTTATAGGTATTATTTTCACTAACATCAATTTTACAGTAAGCACCTTCAAAATCATATGAGTTTACTCTAGAAGCGAAACTGCAGACGCGATCTTGAACAAATTCGCCTTCAGATTGATAGAAAATACAACCACCATCGCCATTGTTACTACAGTTATTAAATGTTGTAGTATCAATGAGGAATTTGATTGTATTTTTTTGTGTATCTAAGTAAACTGAACCTTTTGTGTTTACTTGAGTGAAAAAGCATGATGAAATATAATAACTGTTTTCTTTTGCTGTAAGTTTATTATTATGCTTTGCATAATTTTCGTATGTTTCTGTGCTTGAATAAAATTCTGTCCAATCTTCGTGAATTTCAATTTGTATTGCATTGGTAAGTTGATGTTTAATAAATATTGAATAATATTCAATTCCAAAACAGATTTATGAAATAGTTTTTATCCCCTTATAAAAGGGAATTTTGCTATTCCATAAATTTTGGATAAAAAAGTGACAATTTTAAAAATCAATAGGGGTGAAACTCCTGACCATATTTCATATACAACATCCAAAATAAATTTCATGGATGAATTTGGTCCTCAATAATGCATGGCTGCTCCAAATAAGCAGAATGCATGTGGCCCAATTCTGAAACATTTGTGCTTCTATGCTTTCCATTATTCATGAAAGATCTTTTCCACTCAGCAAATAATAATAATGCTTCCAATTGTTACCGAACGAACGGAGTTTTCAAGAGATCAGTGTTTGAATAAGTTATTGATGTTTTTATTTGAATTTGTCAAAAAAAAAGTAAAAATTTTAAACAAAAGGAATATAAGAAGGAACGTTAGATTTTTCAACGTAGATATACTGTGGATTGAGGATGAACTCATCTTCATCTATTGTTATAGTAGGCATTCTTATGAAGCCGTATTTCAGAGGAATGAAGTCGATTTCCAATTCTCCTCCTGGAAAATGCCTTTTAATTGCAGTTGCCATCGCAATGCTCTTCACTTCATTGATTTCAAGGTCGCATTCAGGTAGTTTCATTGTCAAAGTGCTTGGTTCGCCTTCGACAAGTTTCGAATCTCCGATTTCGCAGTCAATCATTGGCAAACCAATCTTTTGGTTGCCAAGATTCCATTCATTGTAAATACGTGATCCCAAAGGTTCAGAAACAGTTAATTTCAAGATTTGATCTTCGGAATTTTCGCATAACAAGAATGTTACTTCTCCGCCCTCCAAATGGATGTTTTCCCACTTGGAGTTACCGATACTGCACTGTTCAATTCTCAAATCTATATCACTTGTGTTTGATAATCGAACATGCATGAATTTCTCGGTCTTCATGCGGATGTATACATCGATTGGGAACCAGAACGTTGCAGGAATTTCGGTTTCGAACTTCAATTGATCGAATCTTGAAGTAATTACTAAATTTGTTTCTTCAATTTGCTTTTTCATGATGAAAGCAATGGGGCATTTGATTTCTAGACCTGCCAAACTGATGCAATCATCGAGTGTGCAGTCTTTTTCGAACGAAAACAGGATGTTTCCGTTGGAAATTCTGAAAAATGTCTTTTTACCGTTGGTTTCGCAGATTCCTGTCTGGTCTGGTATGACGATATCGTCTTTGTCGAACTTCATTTCGATGTTTATCTCCTTGTTAAGCCTCTCCCTGAAGTCTACAGTGAAATCAAAAATCATTTCCTTGTTTAGACTGGTCAGAACAGGGAAGACGACTGTAATAGGAGGTTTGCGGATCGGAATAACTGTAAATCTGGCGAATTTATCCTTAACTGGCCACTCGAAAGTTACATTTTGGATTTTAGCACGAATACTTGTAGCAATCCAGTCACCAACCAAGGTAAACGATGTTGTAATCTTGGAAAATTCTGATTCTGGGTTGTAAATCGACTCGATTTGATAGTTTCCGTCAGAATTTGTAAATTCAACATCAATTTGGTCGATTTGAGAGTTAAACCATGGTGGCATTACGAGTTTTGTACTGATATCCATCTTCTCGCCTTGCTCAACTTCACTTCCGAACTGACTACATTTGACAAATTTGGAAACAGAGAAAGGTTTGAGGATTTTGATATCCTTTTTGAGGTCAAGGATCTTCTGGAATATTTTCTGCTTATTTTCTACAGCAGATTTATCGGTTAAAATAATTTTTGTAATCCTCTCAATTTCCCGAGTATTTGCGTTTTCGATAGCGTCGTCGAAATTGAATAACATTTCTATGGCTCCGAATTTCCAAGCTATCGTTTTCGTGTCAACTTCTGGCATCTCAGATTTTGTTTCTGCAGCCCAGTTTGCGTACCTTGCTTCTATTGCAATGCGAGTATTGACCATGTTACTAGGTAAAACAAAGAGCAAACGCTTGCGAATCTGAGAAACATCTTTGGTATTTTTCTGGAGAGTGAGGTAAAACAGTCTTTCAAGGATTCTATAGTTAATAGTATTGCTATTAGCTATCTCTGGGATGGTTAAGAAGCTCTTTAAACTTTCTTCAGCCCAAATTTCGACATCTTCTTTTTTATTCTTCTCTTGAACGAGGCCCCAGAAGGTTAAGAAGAACCTAAACATCTCATCAAACTTAACGCGAGTGAAATAAATCGAAAAAATACCATGCAAAGCGAAATATAAAATGGATATACTATCATTCATACTTTCAAATGGGTAAGTAGTAACACATTTCATGTTAAATGGCTTAAGAGGTACTGTTGGTAATGTTTCCAACGCCGATTGATAAGCATCAAGGAAAGATGCGAGGGCATCTTCATAATAACCGTAATAGTTAAGTAAAAGACCACGCCAAGCCTTGAGATAGTTAACAGCATCCGTTTTACCAGCTTTACGTTTGATTTTAGCACGTGTATCCTGATCATATTTTGCAAATGATTCAATAACTGCGGAAGACATGGCTGATTTGACTTGTTCGGCTGATTGGTCAGATAGTTTTGACTTCTTGCATGGTATAATGATAACGTTATTCATCTGCATTTGGTCTGAAACTAATTCTCCTTTATTTATTGTTTTTGAAGACTGGAAAAACGACGAATCCTCCTGGAAAATGAAAACTCTCCAACTGTTTCCGACAATTGAGGCCTCTGTGATCCATTTCTGAATGCCTGTAACTGTGGAAGGAGGAAGATTTTGGGCGGATTTGGCTCTGACGGCGTAGATTGATACGTAAGGTCTTTGGTATGGATCTGCGCCGACTTGTACGTATTTTGAGTAATCTTGTGTCTCGGGAATGAATTCTAAAAAGACTGTAGCCCCTTCATGTTTGAAATTCATCTTTGCAAGAGAAGCTGGGATCGGAAATCTGTAGTCTGAGAATAGATTCCTTGCAAGCTCTTTCCAAACTTGCTCTTGGTCGTTGATTGTGACTTTGACAACACGATTTGTATGAATAATCGGACTTTTAAGGGAAGCAGGTGGTTGAGGAGGTGTTATTCTTGTAGAGGATTGTTGTGTGTTCTTTGGCTGACTTGCTTCTTTTTGTTTGTCTGAAATCATTTGATAAATGTTTATATTTCTCACGGCGTTCTGCAAATTGGCTAGTTTTTCATGGAGCTCGCTGCCAAAGAGTTTCTTGTATATTTCGAATAAGGGTTTCGTTTTGCGAAAAAAACGTACAATACGCAATTTCGCTAAAAAAACATTTAGCTAGCAATTTCGACCTTTGACCCCACTCAAGACGTCACTTTTTTAATTTTGCGGTATCATATTTTTGGAAAATCTTTATGAATATTAAGGGTTTCGTTTTGCTAAAATTGTCACTTTTATAGCATATTTGTTTTTGGATGTTTTGCGAAACCAAAAAAAAAACTATGATATACAATGTGTGTGTAAAGAAAATACTTTATTTACTAGTTAAAAAATCATTTGGTATTGATCAAGTTATTTTTTCTGGATAAGATATTATATGGATAATTGGATAGAAAATACAATTATATAATCTTGTACCTGGTTTAATTAAGCTAATTGTCATCAGAAACTTGTAATTTTTATGAATTTCAGATTTTCTTTTCATTACTGCTTTTCTTAATAGGTCAAGTTCTTATTTACGTTATAAAGTATGATATTTACAAATATCAAGTTATCATGTTTTTTGAGAAATTATGAGAAACAAACAAAAATGAAAAAGATAGGAATAGCAATGAATAGTGATGTGGGTATAGAAAATGTAAGAGATATGAATGCAAAGCAATCAGTATTTAGGACATTGACCATAGATTTCGAAAAAAAAATGCTGCATATTGAGCGAAAACTATGATTATATTATAAGGCTGTCATTTAAAGCATAATGAAACTATTCCCTTTTCATTTTAATCGAATAAGATAGTAAAGATTTTTGAATTAGCTAGAAACTGATGAGATGTTTTCACAAATCAGATTTTTAATCTCTATAATGCATAATTCACTCAATATCTCAATTTTGATATTGCGAGATATTTTTGCTATCGGTTTCGCAATTTTGACACAATAGCAAGAGGGTTCTATAAGCATTATTATCAACGTAGAGTCTGAATATCATATCAGAAAATGTCGCAAATCTAACATTTACCCGACCAAATAGCAAAAATAATTGAATACTTTTCGCCAAAACTTTAAAAATCGATAAAAATATGAAATATAGATATTAAAGAGACTTTTTATATAATATTCATAAGGGTTTCGTTTTGCGAAAAAAACGTACAATACGCAATTTAGCTAAAAAACATTTAGCTAGCAATTTCGACCTTTGACCCCACTCAAGACGTCACTTTTTTAATTTTGCGGTATCATATTTTTGGAAAATCTTTATGAATATTATATAAAAAGTCTCTTTAATATCTATATTTCATATTTTTATCGATTTTTAAAGTTTTGGCGAAAAGTATTCAATTATTTTTGCTATTTGGTCGGGTAAATGTTAGATTTGCGACATTTTCTGATATGATATTCAGACTCTACGTTGATAATAATGCTTATAGAACCCTCTTGCTATTGTGTCAAAATTGCGAAACCGATAGCAAAAATATCTCGCAATATCAAAATTGAGATATTGAGTGAATTATGCATTATAGAGATTAAAAATCTGATTTGTGAAAACATCTCATCAGTTTCTAGCTAATTCAAAAATCTTTACTATCTTATTCGATTAAAATGAAAAGGGAATAGTTTCATTATGCTTTAAATGACAGCCTTATAATATAATCATAGTTTTCGCTCAATATGCAGCATTTTTTTTTCGAAATCTATGGTCAATGTCCTAAATACTGATTGCTTTGCATTCATATCTCTTACATTTTCTATACCCACATCACTATTCATTGCTATTCCTATCTTTTTCATTTTTGTTTGTTTCTCATAATTTCTCAAAAAACATGATAACTTGATATTTGTAAATATCATACTTTATAACGTAAATAAGAACTTGACCTATTAAGAAAAGCAGTAATGAAAAGAAAATCTGAAATTCATAAAAATTACAAGTTTCTGATGACAATTAGCTTAATTAAACCAGGTACAAGATTATATAATTGTATTTTCTATCCAATTATCCATATAATATCTTATCCAGAAAAAATAACTTGATCAATACCAAATGATTTTTTAACTAGTAAATAAAGTATTTTCTTTACACACACATTGTATATCATAGTTTTTTTTGGTTTCGCAAAACATCCAAAAACAAATATGCTATAAAAGTGACAATTTTAGCAAAACGAAACCCTTATTTCGAATTTGTCGACTTTCGAATTCGAATCTGCTTTAGCAAAAAGGGTAAAATATGATCGAATAGGGGTAAATTTTGATGTTAAGCATTTTACGATTTCTTGGGATACAATAGCTGCGATTGTTGAGCACATTTGAGCAATTATGATGTTGGCTTGCTGTGCGAAGTCATTCACTAATTCTTGGTTGAGATTATTGCTGAAATGGTCTTCTTTCGCAATATTCTGCGCAATTTCAAGGAACTTTGCGTATTCGACTTTTTCGTCTTGGTATACTTCGATGTATTTTGCTAATGCAATAAAAAATGCTGCAATCTCGTTTTCTCTTCCATAAAAATTGATATCGGCGTTTAAAACGATTGGATTCTGGAAACTTTTGCGCAGTGACTTGCCATATGAATGAAGAAGAACAAGAAATCGAGACGATTTCTCTGGTTACATTAGCACAGAATTTTTATGAATTTCTCTATAATCGCGATGAAAGACTAAATTTGGTTTTGATTGGATCACACATGCCATAATATTGCATTCAAATTGAATAGAATTCGAAGATAAAAATCGGGTGTTGCTTATACACCAACCCTTAATTGTATAATTTGAAATTATTTTAAAAATATGAATGTATAATGCATAAATAACGCTCATAGCTTTAAAAATAGCTATTAGTGAAGTTTACACTAGATGATTCATTATAATGCAATAAATGAATATTTTTTTATTTAAATAGTCATAATTTCTTTTCACTAGCAATCCAACAACCGATTTTCTTAATTTATATTTCATATTACTTATACTTATGGTGTTTATCGAAGAATGTTGGCTTTAAGTTCATATAAAACAAGTCAATATTCATAATTTGGGCAATTATTTGAGATAACCATATTACACACTGAATTGTAGTAACAATATTTTGCGATTGGTTAAATAAAACTTATTTGATAAGAAGATAATTTATAAACTCACTAAAATTCGAGAATTCAGATAAAATTTAGAAATACTCCGCTCAATGTTGATTTTTCTATCTTGAATATAGCTCACGAATAACCGAATCCTTTAAATTATCTATATCTTCTTTTTGAAAATTCTCCTGGTATGTTTTTTTCACTGAGTCGCTCAAAGATCAAATTAATAAGCTCTTCAACTTTCTGTGCAGAACAATCTTTTTGTTTTTTCTCAGACCTTTGTTGTTCGTGACCCACTTATCATTCAAATATAGATAAAATTGAATAAAAAATTTATCCAAAACACATTATTTTAATTCTCGCTTTAATTATGTTGATACAGATGATTGCAAGAATAATTATCTGCGATTCGCTTCAAATTAATTGATAATTGTTTTGGTCTGTTCTTCAATTCTGAGGTTATCAAAATTGGATCATTCAAATTGATCGGAACTAGCAGAAATTGAAAAAGAACGCTATCTCTTTTATTCTTGTTATTATTCTTTTATTGGGAATTAAAATTCAATGGGATTCAATTTGAATTGTTTGAAAATTTTATATTTTAAATATTATATTTATTATAGATGTTCTATTCGAATTAAAAAATTTTTGATCGATTAAATTCAATGGATGAATTTTATTTCAATTTATATTTTCGTCCGCTATTTGAATCCTATTGAATTTAAAATTTATCATGTCGCAGTGTGATAGTCAGAAGATAAAGCTGAAGAGAAATGTTTTTACTCCAGAAGAAGATGTTCACTTGCAGAGCCTTGTGCAGATATATTCAACAGATTGGAAAACAATTTCTTCAATAATGGGAACAAGGTCTCCAAGACAATGCAGAGAGAGATACCTCAATTATCTAGCTCCTGGTTTAGCTAATGACAAGTGGACTCCTCAAGAAGATCAGCTTTTGATCGAAAAACAAAAATTATTTGGCAAAAAATGGATACACATAGCTAAATTCTTCCCACATCGTTCATCTGCAAATATTAAAAACAGATGGTCTCAATTAGTGAGCAAAGGAGTTGCAATTGCCCAACAATTTCACCTTATTCCCAAAAAACATCAAGAAGAATCCGAGCCCGAGTCTGAAAAAACCATATATGCCATAAGCGAAGTTGATCCCTCCAGAAATACACAGAAACCTGCTTTTCATGGATTTTCCTTACCTTCAATTCATGAATTTGTTAGAGATAATGGAATCTCGAATTTTCTTAACATCAATTTCTTGAAATCCTCAATGTTTCCATCTGAAGGCTTAGTTGTGAATCAATGATCCTCCAAACATGATCAACTTATATGCATAATATCTATTTGAATTGTATGTAATATTAATGTTTATTATAAATATTGTTTATTTGTATATTATTTAATAAAATCAAAAATTTCTTGTGTTGAGCTTAAGTGCATCATGAATTTTATATTACTCTAGATATCAGCTCATATTTTATATATGATGGTGAACATAATCAATTTTTTCAGATCTGGCATAAGAGAAATTGGCGGATCAAGTGTTAGTGTCGTCATAATAGATTTACCAATGAGTTTACATACACATTCATAATGTTCTTAACGATGGATAATGAAATGTTTTTTATCCCAGAACCACCTTTTTGGCTTGATAAATTTTGAGATTGAAATTTTGAGAACTTTTTTATATATGATTTCATAATATTAATTAAGAAGTAATTGATATTAATATGAAAATGATTTATTTTTGATAGAATTGAGCAAAATTATTGTTTTGGGAAATATTATCTGATAAAAATATCAGCGTTGCGTAATTATTTTGATGTATTCCCGACAAATGCTTTTCAAATTTCGAAAATTTTTTTCCGAACATTACAATTTTTTATTGATTTGAGAGCATAATTTATGTTCCCAGATCCACCTGACGGATTCAGCTATCGATTTATAGAGCACATCGGATCGGGTGAGTTCTCGGATGTCTACAAGGTTACAAGTACTAAAACAGGGGAAAATTATGCCTGTAAAGTTGTTTATAAAAATCGGGAAGGCCATATACATTGTAGGTACGATTTTAAGAATGAAGTGCGCATTATGAAGTATATTAATAGTCCCTACATAGTCCAACTCTATGAAATCTATGAAGATAATACAAATTATTATATCATCATGGAATATTGTGCTGGTGGTACCTTATTTAACATGTTAGTTAAGGGTCATGGAACGAACAATGAGCAAGCGCGCGAAATCTTCTATCAGATTTTAGTTGGTTTATCTCATATTCATGGAATGAAAATAGCTCATTTAGATATCAAGCCGGAGAATATATTTCTTGATGAATGTAACAATGTCAAGATCGGTGATTTCGGAATATCAGCATATTTCGAGGAAAACGAATTAACGAATCTTACTTGCGGAACAAAGTACTACGTATCCCCGGAATGTATTTCTGGTAACGAATACAATCCATTCATAAGTGACATGTGGAGTCTTGGCGTTGTTTTATACTCAATGGTAACAGGAACTCTTCCATGGAAAAGAGCAGATAAAGAAGGACTGTTAAAAATGATAAGGAATGGAGAGTTTACGATTCCTCTTACTGTAATTCCTGAAATTAAAGAAGTTATTCAAGGATTATTAGAAATAGACCCTGAAAATAGATGGAACATCGAAGATTGTTTAAACTCAAGATGGCTGTATAAGATGGATGATCAAAATCCAGTGGCAGAGTTTAGATCTCAATTTTACATTTTCCATGAGGAATCGTTAGATAATATCAGTTTGGCAGCATCAGCAAAGTTTAACACAACTTTGCAAATGGATACCGAGAAAACACTTAAAATTATCTCAAATAAGTACAACGTGATCCGAAAGAGGAATTTCCCTTGTATAAAAGCTCCTATTGCTGTAACAGGTAGATCTAATGTAAGATTACAATATCCAAGAAGACCACTGAGAAATCATGTTTTATGTCGAGGCTTATTCTCGTTGTATCGTTCAAAACCATATTAGATTTTTGTTTATGTAAAGTTAATCATGTATGTTATTGCAAAAATATATATATTTATTTGATCTTGAATTTTAATTTTTCTTCAGAACGAAATTTAAGCCTCCATAATCTAGAAAATGATTGTCATTAGGTAGTATATAAGCATAAGACTGGATTTTTATCATATATTACAATATATTATAATCTATCGAAAACATTTTAAGGGAGATTTGTGTGGATGCATGTATTACCTGAAGAACAGAATAAGAAACTTCTAATAGTATTAACTATCTACATTGGCTAATAAATATTAGGTGAATGTAAATCAAACAATATTTTACCCCACAAAAAATATCATATTTTAACTATTCAGTAAATCCATTTCTCTGAAGAATTTCAGCAATTTTTTGTTTTCCAAGACGAACTGCACATTGAAGAGGAGTTTCATTATCACTATTTTTACTACTTTTATCTATATTTGGTTGTGAACTAAGATATTCACAGATTTCTTCACAGTTTCCTATTGAGTTTTCAATCGCATCATTTAGAGGTGTGTAATTTTTATCATTTTTAACGTTGATATCTATATAGTTGAGGACATATTTAATACCTTCTAGATTTCCCATTTGGCAAAAATAATGAAGAACTGTTCTATTACTATGAGATCTACTTTTAATATCAGCACCACAGATCAACAAATGTTTTAAAAGAGTTAAATTATTATTCCATGCTGCTTCAAGTATCATATTTTTGTTTTCTGCATCACGAACATCAGTGTATTTTTCATCAACCGCAAATTTGATAGTTGAAAGATCTCCTTCATCTGAAGCATTTTTAAGAGCTTCATAAATTTGTTTGAAATCGTCTTTTGACTTTCTCAAGCTTCGTAATTTTCTCATGTTTTCATGGGATTTATCAATATGATGAAGTTCTTCGATATTCGAATATTTTAATTTACTAGGATAAGCATCCAAAGCAAAATAGCTGGCACCAGAATGCTGGAGTTTATGATGAATTTGTGAACGATTTAAAAGGGCGCGTTCGAATACCTCGTTTGAGATAGACTCTAAATTATGTTTTACTGAAAAATTCTTGATTGATTTGATAGCATCATTATTGCAATATTCTACTCTCACGTGCATAAGAAGAGAAAAGAATGAATTATCATATTCGCTCAATGACATAATTGTGTTAACTAATGAATCTTCATTAGCAATTTTGAGAGATTTTGAAGTCAAAACTCTCTCAAAAAAGTCGTATCCACATCTTTTTATAGTTTTGATTTTATATTCTTCTTTGAGATCAAACATTCGTGATGCGAAGAATGAAATACACTCATTCATCTTATTTTCGTTATTTTGTATTGCAGAACAATCATATATGTCAATAAAGTTTTCCTCATTAATTTCCTTGTAAGTCGACATAACAAACTCACAAAACTTATCAGTCAAGAATCTAATACGAAAAGTTTTGGCTACTTCGATTATATCTCTATAAAGTTCTTGTTTGTTCTCGTATCTGAGAATTCCGGTTTTGAAAAACTCAGATATTACGTCTATGGTATTGTTGCATGATAGATTTAAACATTTATTGACTGATTTGACTGAGCTGTCGCGTAAATATTCATCATGTACTAAATCTGAAATCATTATTGAAATATACTTTGATAATTCTATTCTTTTGCCATTTATAATAAATGTAAATGGTTCCTTAGTTTTAATATCATTGCAGCGCTCAATCTCTGAATACTTAATAGTGACTATATCCATCTTTTATTTTATTTGGTAGTTTTTTTAAAAAAATCACTTCATCGAATCAATAACTCTATGTTAGATTTGTCAAAGGTTTATTATCATCATTGCTAGTCAATAATTAAGAATTTCTTTCTCATCACTTGACTAATAACCCCATCTGATCAATATAAAATTTAATGTTTTCTATCCAGTGTTATTTATTTCTTTCTTTTAGAGATGTTATTGAATGATCTAATTTTGTGTTTATTAATAACTATATTATAAGATATTCCACAGAAAATCATCGGTAATAAAAGAAATAAACCAAAATATCAGTAGAACAATCCCAAATACACACAAATAAAAAAAGTATTTTAAAAATTATGACAAATCCAAAAGCACAAAAAAAAGTTTATTAAAATCTCTGTTTGATGAAAGCGCTTGCAGGAAGCTCCAGGAAATCCTCTGTGATAGGAGTTGTGTCGACGTCAAACTTAACCTGAGCGAGCTTCTTTCCGACCAAAGCTTGAGGAGGTAAACTCCTCTGAGCGCTGGAAAGAACAGTATCAACATCGATTTTCTTCATTGCATCAGCGAACTGGGCAATTCTGAGTTGGTCGACAGATTCTGGCGGAATCAACGCTGGCCATTCTTTTTCTGTTGGCTCAAAGAAGATTGAACCAATAACATTCGGATCAGATGTCTTTGGCAACTCATAAATCTGGACATGTAATTGTTCAGCGATTCCTTTCGAAATTGATCTGACAGCTGTGCAGTTTCTTGTTGGATATGGATCATCGACAAGCAGGATTGGCTTACTAGATAGCAATACATCAGATTGAACAGAGAAATTGACATTTAATGATGTATATTTGCGTGAATCAATTTTATGCTTAAATTTGTTGATGCCATCAGGGGATTTGAGGTACGCGTATATGATAAGATCACTTTGTTCTGCAATAATTGATGAACTATGATGAGAAATGTCTTCTGGAAAAGTGAAATCATCACAAGAATAAATTTGTAAGTGAGACTTGAAGAAACAAGGTAATGAGTTAAATCCTAAGTGGATAATCATGTCAAAGCTGTTATCACGAACTGCATTTTGGCAGAATTTATCGAAATCATAAATAAAAATAATTGGAATTGAACTTTGTAACAAGTTTTCGCATATATTACGTGTATGATCGTCTAATATCAACTTGCTTTTAACAAAATTGCCTGCATCATTGAATCTCTTGAAGGGTTCGCCAGATAAGCCGCTGAGTGGTCCAGAAATAGCAACAATTGGTATGAGCTTGCTGCTTTTTGTATATACATCGATAATCTTCTTCAGAATTTCATAATCAAACTGGCTATCTGAAAAATATGAAGCTAATGGCTTCGGAGGAGTAAGTCTAGTAAGATCTAAGTTATGAGAAATTACCTGGCATCCCGCAGCAAGGCATTGTGCAGCAAAGTTAAGATAAGAACCTGATGTAACAAGCAATTGAGAAAATATGCATTTTTCTACTTTGTAATTTGTTAGCATTGTTTGGAATTTAACAAGATTAAGTATTGGTATTCCTTGAGGATATATAGGGCCAGCCAAATTTGGAGGATATTTTGTATTCTGATTTAAAGCGCTGCTTGTGTATGGATTAATGAAGAATAAGATTTCAAATCTATCATCGTTCCTATATACAGTATTAAATATGTGAAAAACAGATGCATCGGCACCAATAAAACAATCTTTGTTCGATTCATTTCAAAATGTCAAAAAATATATTTTATAAAAAGCTTGCAAAAAGAGAAAGGAAAATTCTTCTCTAGATACCAAAAAAAAAACTTGCGAGAAAATCGAAAATTGATCTTTTTTGTTTTATTCACTTGGAGCTACTGTTTCATTTGGCCATACTCTGATCTCTTGACTTTGGGTATTCACTAAGTTATTAGCCATTAAAAAAAGGAGAATTACAGCACTCGTAGAGCCTTCAATTTGAAAACATTTTACGCGCAATATCATCCTAAATCATTTGGTATTAGCCATTATGCAGAATGTAGTTTGCGTTTCTAATTTCAAAATACAAATTTATTTCTCATATAAATTCCAATTTTTTCAAAAAGCATAGTTATGGGTTTACTCCATGTTTATAAAGAATTACTATACTAGTATAATTTAATATGAATATTTCATGCTCTAACTCCTTTAAATTCTTCAGATTGATTTTCAAGTTTGTCTTTTCCGACTCTAAAAACAGAAAATATGTTGCACATTAGTTGCACTTCAAATTAAGACATTAAAATAGTATATTATAAAAAGTCGTAATTGTAAAAATATCGAATGAAAGGAAGAAATGTTAACTACAATCAGCTAATGTGGCTTTGCAAAGACTCAAGAGATTCTTTAAAGGCTCTATACCAGTTAAATACTAATAATGAAAACGAAATCAACAAAATTTACATCAACCTTAAAGAACAAATAGATTCACCTGAAAAACTCATTGAACAAATAATACTTGCATCAAAGTATAATCTACGCTTCTTCAAATCCTATTGGACAATCTTCAAAAAAGTGTATGAAGAATTCCATCCAAAACGTGTACAAAACATTTCTCCCATTTTCGATTACATGGTATTCAAGGAATATGGTATTGTTTTCCAGGAAAATAGCAGAAATTCTTTCGAAAAGTTTGAAAATAAAAATTATACACTTGACATTCACGAAAAGTACTCGATTTACAAAGCAATCATGGAAGATGATCTTGAACAGTTTGTTTCATTAGCAAGCAAAGATGATTTCGATGAAAATGTGACATTACAACACGATTTCTATCCGAAGAAAAATCACGAATACAGTTTACTTGAACTCTGTTGTTACTATGGTGCCGTTAAGTGTTTCAAGTTTATTATTACGAAATTTGAACCTGAAATCACTCCAGAATGCCTTCAACTGTCATTTTTGAGTGGAAAACCAGATATCATGAATGAATGCATGAAAGTTCAAAAACCTGATAACAAATGCATGAAATATGCAATTATTTCACACAACATTGACTTTGTCACATTCTTGATGAGGGAGCACAAAATCGATATAAATCTTGATCAATGCTGCAAATTCAATTGCATTGAAGCATTTTGTGCATACTTAGTTAATACAAAGGATTACACAACATGCTTTGTTCACTCACCAAAACTATTTTCTGTTCCTTTGCTTGAATATTTTATAAATCATATTGATAACATCGATATCAAATCAAAAAGCGGTTACAATGCTCTTTATATCGCTGTAATGAGTGATTTCAGGAACGGAGTAAAACTTCTTGTTTCCAAAGGAGCATCAATCAATGAGAAATTTGAAAAGGGTAACACTTATCTTCATTATGCTTCATGGCTTGGTTTCAATGAGATAGTCAATATGTTTATCTCTTATGGAATTGATGTTAATTCAAAGGGGGAGAATGGATCAGCTCCACTTCATTTTACAGCACTTTATAACTTGCCGGATACTGCTGAAATCCTTCTTCAACATGGAGCAGATATCAATATAGGTAATGCAAGTAGAGAAACACCCATTCATTATAGTGCCAGAGAGGGAAGCAAAGAAATATGCGAATTTCTTCTTCAGAATAATGCTGATGTTAACAGAGGAAATAAGAAAGGTCAAACTGCTCTTCACATTTTAGCAGAAAAGGCAGATACAAAATTTACAGAACTACTTTTATCTCACGGTGCAGATATCAATGCACGTGATGATAATGGAGAAACTCCACTCTTTATTGCAATTAATTCTAACAATAAATCACCGGTTCCGAATCTAATGCCTGGATATAGAAAGACAAACCCTCGCAGTTATATATTGAACGTACCTAAATCCAAAGAATATGTTGAATTTCTTCTTTCGCACGGAGTTGATTTTAATAATGCAAACAAAAGAGGATATACATGTTTACATTGTTCAGCTGAATCTAATAATAGAGAAGCACTTGAACTATTAATTTTACACGGTGCTAATATTAATTGTATTGATGATGATGGTAATACACCGTTACATAAAGCAACTTTCCGTTATTGCAAAGAATCATTAGTTACTCTAATTGAACATGGAGCTGATGTAAATATTAAAAATAAAAAGGGATTTGCACCATTGCATTTTGCAACTTTAGAAAATAATCTAGAAGTTGTAAAACTTCTTGTATCACACGGAGCTGATATTAATGCAAATAACGACCATAATGCCACTCCATTAGTTTGTGCTGTTGCAAAGGAAAATATGGAAATTGCAGAATATCTTGTCTCGCTTGGCGCAACTAAGTAGCTATTATCATTTATAATAACAAAACGCTCTAAATACATTATTTTTCGAAATTTTTTTCATATTGAAATGTATTTTATGCTTCTGTATCATTTTCAAAAAAGTTAAACAATTGAATTCTGCCTAGAAATGCATTGTCTCAAATATAAACATCTGTTCTTTATGTACTTTCTTAATTTAATCGGCGCGAAGCGCTGATAGAATTGACTGAAAAAAAAATTGAAAAATTCGACCCATTGAAGCCTAAATCATTCTCTGCTGCAAAAATTTAATTATTATAAGTAAAATAACAATTTTATTATAAAAGAAGTTAATGTAATGCTCACAGATTCATAATAAGGAAATTAATTTCTTTGAGAAGAGAAAAGATCAAGAATATCTGGAATATCTTGGGAATCACCTGCATCTCCATTGTCTGACTCTTGGTCGCTGAGGAAGTTTGTAGCCTTTTCCTTTGGTGTAGTGCTTTCGGGGGGAGGATTCTGTTTTGGTTCTTCTTCAACAGGAGCAGGATTTTCTTCATTTGTCGCCCTTTTATGTAATGATGGGAATAGAACTTCGCCGAATTCATCTCCTTCATCATAAATATATGGATCTCCACCATTTACTTCATAAATAAATTCACGAACTATTCTTTTTGCTGAAGGAGCTTTTGCAATTCTCCTTGCTGTTTCATCAAAATCAGAAGGATATAATCTATGCATCCATTTCTTATAGATAATTAAAATTTTTTCAAGTGCTTCTTCTGGTTGATCTGGGTAAAGATTTGGATCGAATGATTGTAGATGCTTGTAAAGTTTTGTAAGTCCGATATCTTCATCCATTAAGAAATTAACATCGAATTTGTATGATTTTCTTGTTTTTTTCGGTTTCAGAGGCTGTTCTTCGTCGCTATTAGCAGCTTGTTTTTCCTGTTTCTCGTCATTTTCTTGTTTTTGTTCCTTTTCACTTGGTTTTGGAGCAGACATTTCTTTTCTTAACGTACACAATGATCGAAAGGTAATAGAATTCGACTAAAAATACAATTTTAAGCCCATTAGATCAATTTCATGCATATTTTCGTGGTAAATTTCCTTCAGCAAAATTCTCGAATTCGACAAAAATGAAATCAAAAGTGCCACCAAAAAAATGACTGAAGCTTTTCTTCAAAGTTTAGAGATCAAGAAACTGGAAAATGGCTACTACGGTGCAAACCTCAGTGTCTTTACATCTGCTGTAAATTATATCAAAAATGGTGGATCACGCGTAGGTTTTCCATTTTTTAAGAGTGATAAGACAAATACTATAATAGAAGCAAAGCAAATTGAATACGTTTATAATTTCATTCAAGCAATATACCAAAAAGAGATTAAAGAGCCATTTTCAATTGATTTGTTTAAGAAATGCATTCAAGAAACAACAACAGAAGAAAATCAGCAGCCACAGAATACTCCAGAACTTCAAGCTGCTCCTGATGTCCTCCCTGCAGCACCAATACAAGAAACAATACCAGCACAGCCAGAAGTACCACCAACCAATAACAATCAGCAACAGCCACCGTCACAAAGGCCAAGAAGAGTACCTAAAAAACAGCAACCAGAAGCCCCTCCAGTTGTTCAACAAACAAACGAAAATAATGGTTATACAATAGAAGATGGAGTTCTTTCATTCCATACAGCTCAATTTTCAGAAGAAATAAAAAAGGAGCTTTGCAGGATCCTTGGTATTTCACCTGCTTTAGGTTTCAGTACAATAGAATTTCAAACTAATTAAATATAGTTTTTGTTTTGACGAATAAATATTTTAACATACATTAGATAAACCTAAACGTTAATTTAAATTAAAATCTTGTGGATGAAAATTTCGATTTCTTTTCAATATGATTTGCTTGATCAAATTTAGATATGCCATCCATAGTTCTAGATGTTTTTGAATCCATGATTATGTTCATTTGTTGCAATTAATGATCATTTATGAAATCTATTCAATCTATATTTATTTAATGGCTATTTGCCCAATTTTATATCTCTCTATCATGAACATGATTGATTCGTAGAAAGAACTCACCTAAAGATTCGGAGAGAATAAATTTTTTTAGCACGAAAAAGTGTCAAAAATGGTACTAAAATTTAAATTAATCAAACCACGTCCATTAATTCAAAGATTTGATCTTTTAATAGCCATTTTAATCTACGCATTCATATTGTTTCCATCCATGAAGCTTTTATCGGAAGCTTACGACCCCTCTCCACCTACTGAAATAACAAATACAACATTTTCATTTTTCACTGATCATTTGAATGTCACAATGCTCGAACCACACACATTTAAAGTATTGTGTCCATTTGTTTTTATAGCTTTCCACATATTATTTTATTTATTTACAATTTGGGTAATTGATTTCAAAGTTCTTGTATTTTATACATCAGCAAAAGAATCAGATGCAACTCATGTTATATTTTATCCAAAATTGCATCGCGGTCATGCAGAAATCGTTCCATTTATTCGCACTGACCATACATATGCAATATATCAACAAAAGCGGCGCGAATACGTAAATGGTACGTTCAAATCTTTGAAATACCCAAAGAATGAATTGATCAAAGACTACTTAGAAAGCAAAGGCTTATCATCCAGCGACGCTAAAGAAAAAGAGGCCTATTTTGGCTCCAACGCATCCAGCATACCAGTACCAAGCTTCAAAGAGCTCCTGAAAGAACATCTTACGACCCCAATTTTTCTATTTCAAATTGTTTCAATTTCAGCATGGATGTTGGACGATTACATTATGTATCCACTTCTTACACTTCTCTCACTTGTTCTGGTCGAAGCAAACACAGTTAGAACAAGACAATCAAATATGCTCGAATTACGTGACATTGAAACTAAGCCAATCCAAATCAGAGTACTTCGTGATGGTCTATGGAAGAATCTGCCCAGCGACAAACTAATTCCAGGCGACATTGTCCTATTAAATTCCGAAATTATTTGTCCAGCGGATATGTTACTCCTAAGTGGCCGTGTTGTTGTCAACGAAGCCATGTTAACAGGCGAGAGTACTCCACAAGTGAAAGAATGCGTCCAAACGCTCGATCCAGACCACAAACTTGATTTTTCGTCAGACAAAAGATACATTTTATTTGGCGGAACAAGGATCGAACAAGTTCTTCCAGAAAAGGCACATATCTTTACAGACCAGCCTGGCGCAGTTGCCTACATACTTGCAACAGGATTAGGAAGTTCACAAGGTTCATTATTAAGAACAATTTTGTTTGCTAGCGAAAGAATTTCATATGAATCAAATGACTCCACGAAATTGATTCTTTTCTTGACATTCTTCGCTTTAGTTGCTTCTGCTTATATTGTATACTTCGGCTGGGGCAATTCCTCTATCTCCACATTCGCTTTGATTGTTAATATCATTAAAATCATCACGAGTACAATTCCTTCTGATCTTCCAATGCATTTAACTTTACAAGTTAACTCTTCTTTGCTTGCATTGTCAAGATTAAAGGTTTTCTGCACCGAACCATTTAGAATTCCTTTCGCAGGAACTATCTCTGTTTGCGCATTCGATAAAACAGGAACATTGACTGCAGAAGATTACAATTTATTAGGAATTGATGAAATAAATAATGAAAAAGTGACAGAACAAACAATTAACAGTGTCACAGGCAATTTCACGACTGATTGTGAATCATTGTCATGCGAAACACAAATGGTTGTTGGCGGATGCAATTCATTAGTGTTTGGTTCAAACAAAAGATTGGTTGGTGATCAATTGGAAGCTGCTGCTTTCACAGCGTTGGATTTCAAATTTACAACGCAAACAAACATTAAAAATGAGAAATGCAAGTTCCAGATTTCCAAGATCTTCCATTTCTCTGCACAGTTGAGAAGAATGACAACTGTTTTAACAACTATGTCGCCTTCAAAAGGTTTCGAAGTTGTTACAAAAGGAGCTCCGGAAGTAATTTCAACTTTACTCAAAGAAATTCCTGAAAATTACTTCGAAACATATAAGAAATACACAAAACAAGGTTGCAGAGTTCTTGCATTGGCTCATAAAACACTTCCTTCGCAATCATCATTGATTTCTTTGACAAGAGAACAATGTGAAAGTGAACTGACATTTTGCGGTTTTGCCATCTTTTCTGCGCCATTAAAGAAAGGCACAGAAGACACGATTGCCTTGTTATTGAAGAGCACGCACAGGGTTGTTATTATTACAGGCGATGACCCATTAACAGCTTGTCATGTTGCGAAGAGATTGCACATAATAAATTGCGAGGAATTCGACAATTTAATTGCTGATGAAAAATATGACGAAAAATGTGTCTGTTATACAGGAAATTGTTTACAGAAATTATCACAAAAAGAGCTGAATGACGTCTGCAGAAAAGTCAATGTTTTCGCTAGAATGTCTCCTGAAAACAAAGAACTTGTTGTCCACACACTTGGAAATCTCAGTTTCAACACGATGATGTGTGGAGATGGAACAAATGACGTCAACGCGTTGAAACAAGCCAATTGCGGTGTCGGATTATTGGAGAACTCCATTGATACAGCTGTTGACGATGAAACATACAGACCAAAGCTTGGAGCTGCTTCTGTTGCTTCTCCATTTGTTTCAAAGAGATCAACAATCTCTGCTTGCACAGATATTATCAGATTTGGACGTGCAACATTGTCTGGAACAATTGACTTGTTTAAGCTGCTCAGTTTAACATCATTGATCACTGCTTACACATCATCTGTTTTGTTCATAAATAACGTGAAGTTCGGAGAGTTCCAGATGACAATTTTCGCTGTAACAATGACATTTTCTTATATGTCAGTTTCCATGGCAAAACCTGTCAGAAATTTGTCACCGGAAAGACCATTTAGATCCCAGTTTAATTGGTATTTGGTTACATCAGTTCTTTGCCAATTCGCTGTACACTTAGTTTTCCTTGTTTTAACTCGCAATTTGGTATTCGAAACTGGTTATAAAACACCAGAATTCGATTCGAAAGTTGTTTTTTCACCTTCTTTGATGAATACTGCGATGTTTTTCATTTCAAACGCGCAACAATTGGCAACGTTTATATCTAACTATAGAGGAAAACCATTCATGACACCTTTCGCAAGCAACAAGGCTTTGTTATGGTCTTGCATTGCAACATTTGTTTTGCTTTTTGGTTTGTTGTTTAATAGTGATGAAACATTAATTAATTATTTCCAATTTGTCAAATTCCCGACATTAAGATTCAGGAATTTACTTGCTTTGTATTGTTTCATTGATATTGTTTTGTGTTATGTTATTGAACAGATATTGTTGTTCTTGTTCACATTGCCAATGAAGTTGAAATCACATGACTTAGTTTCACAAGAAACTCTCGATAAATTGAAAGATTACAAATTCAATGATGACGACCAGTTACCAGAGAATTTGCATAAGTTTTCTTTCATTGATATGCTTAAGGAAAACTTCCAACTACAGAAGAATATGTTGATAAGAAGAATCGAAGCAGATAAGGAAGAGAAACTTAAGAATATATTGGCAAAGAAATCTGGTTTAACAAAACAAGAACAAATGATTCTCAAAGAATATAAACAAAAAATAAAGAAAAATGCTAAATAAATAAATTAAATATACATAAATAAATAAGTTTTTTTTGTATATAATAAAGAAACAGCCGAAATTCTTATTTCAAATGGAGCAGATATCAATGCTAAAGACGAAGATGGATGGGCCCCTCTTCATTGGGCAGCCAATGATAATAGCAAAGAAACAGCCGAAATTCTTATTTCAAATGGAGCAGATATCAATGCTAAAGACGAAGATGGACGTACATGATCAAGTAATATTTTGAGTATGAACATATTATGTGCATGTATATATACTTTTATTGCACTTTTAACATGCTTCGCGACTCAAAATATTAATTTTCTATTCTTATCAAGAATTCATTAATGAATATCATCAAGGTTCAGATGTTCATTTTTAATTTTATATGTATAAAATAACACATTTAAATCCAAAAATATCATCTAAATTTGAATCACAATTTGAAATATACCAAATTTCAAAAGGAAACATTTTATTTATATGTTATTTAACACTCATGTGCTTATTCTCAAAAATATTCGGAATAATTTTATGATTTTTAACTTTGAATTTTTATTATGATTTTGTTCATTCATATGAATACATTCGTACAAACTATCGTTGTATGATAAATTAACATTTTTTGTGATTTTATCGTATTATTTGCTTGTAAGTTTAATGTAATGTAGAGTTTGTTGCTCTTGAAGGTCGTAGGAACAATTACATCGATCTTGGATCCAGAAATACTGCTAACAAATATGGAATTTTCTTGTGATCTGTAGAAAAACCAAATATATCAAATACCATCCAATGATTCGAATTGTGTATGAAGGACAAGTGATTCAGCCTTAGGTATATTATAGCTCATAATTTTTTTTTGCATTTTAAATACAATTCTAATAATTTATAAACAAAAATATATAAAACCACAACAACAAAATATATAAAACCACAACAAAATAATTATTTGCACTTTGCGATATCTTTCAGAATCTTATTGCTTTCTTCGAGATTTGTAGATGACAGTTTGAGAATTGTTTCATCTTTTGGACATTCGCTTATTCTAACAACAGCTTGATGTTGACTTTCGACTAGTTTAGACATTCGTTGAATTAATGAATCTCTATCAACCATTGTTGATGAAATTTGTTTCAATCTTGCTGAAATCTGAGTGAGTTTTAACAAAGGTGAAGCCCCTTCAATAGGTTTCAAGTTCACTGTTTTAACTGGAAGATTATCAATAACAGTAAGTACTTCGTCGATCTTTTTGGAGATTTTTTCATCGACATAAGGTTTTTCATCGAAATCTTCATTCACAGAACTTATTGTTAATGTTACAACGCGCCCTGATGTTTCTATTTCCTGAAGACCGAAATGAGAGAACAACTCATTCAAAGGACTTTACAGTACTTCAAGAATTGTTTGACTGTTTTGTTCCATTGTGTTTTGATTAGTTAATATTGAATGGAATACAGTCATTTTAGTTGTAACACTATTTAATGTGTCTACTTTCTTTGCCATCATGTCTACAAGCTCTTTAAGTGATTTCCTTTCTTTGTCAAATCTTGCTTTTTCAACTTCATAATCCGCTTTATCATTTGCTTTCTTTTCTTCCAAAAATTTGATTTTGGCAAGTGATTCATTGAGTTGTTTCTCTTTTTCGCGCATTTCTTGCCTCAAATTAGTTAATTCAATCAAAGGAACGAAAGGTTGAGAAGTTATTTCTTCCAATTTTTGACCATCTGTTGCAATTTGTCTCTGCAATTTTCGAATAAAATCTTCTTTGTTTTGGATTTTGTCTTTCAAGTCATCGATTTCTTTCTGTTGGGTTTCTATTTTAGACAAGAACTCTGACATCTGTTGTTCTCTTATTGTTCCTTGGTCAATTGCTGTTGATAAAACTTTCTTTTCTGATTTTTCATACAAATTTTTGACGGCCAAATATTTTTTATTAAGTTTTTCGAAATCCTTAATATTTACGCTTTGATTTATCACTTCCTTCATCTCTTATATCTTATTTTGTTTCTTCTCAATGACTTTAGAAAGATTCATTATATCGACTTTCTGGTCATTTATCTGGTGATTTAATTCATCAATTTGTTTGTTATTTGTTCTTTTATACTCTTGATATTCGTTGTTCAAATTATCAAAACTTTCCTTAGATTTTGATAAATTGTCATTTAATTCTTCATTCTGTTTAGTTAAGACAGTGATTTTATTCTTAATTTCTCCATTTTCAGCCAAAAGTTTCTTGTTTTCTTCAGAAATTTGTTTTTCTTTTGTTGTCAAACTATTTCAATAATGAGTACTTTCTGAGTCTTTCTAAGTGTGCCCTCACCATTTCTAGCCTGAGAAAAGGACTCATATTTATGGTATTACTTTTACTTTGCATACTTTCAGACCAAAAATTAGTAAACTCATGGACTTTGGTTTATGATGTTTACGTATCGTTGTAATGAACCCTTAATATCTTAGGGAGGACTACAAAATTAGCCACCATTTTGTAAAGCAATTTTTTGGCATCCCCTGTTATTGTTGGGGACTTACTTTAAAAAAAATGTTTGCTAGCAGCCTTATTCCACTGTTTGAGGAGCTCCAGATCCCTAATATCTTATAAATTTTAATAAAAAAATAAAAAATAATATAATTTTTAGTCTATTCAGCAATTTCAGCTGCCTTTTGGTCGAATTGTTCCAACATTTGAGCAATATTGCTGGAATACTGGCATTTCGTAGAATTAACTAACGCAACTTTATCTGAAATTTGTTTTGCGTCTGCTGAAGGAATTGAAAGAACAAAATCGTTAATAATAACATTAGGATCATTTGGAAACTGGTTTACGTCCTGTGCAAGGTCTCCAATTGCGAGTTCCTTCTCATTGAGAAGAAAACGGCAAGTAGCGATTAAACTATCAAGTAGAGGTGATACTAATTGAGAGTATCTATCGTGTTGGTCAAGAAGATCGTTGATTGCCTTATTAAGATTTTCTTGGGTACGAATTGCGACAACTCCTTGTGCAATATCAGATAATGCTTTGTTACTAATGTTAGGAATTTCCTCGGATGCTAATTCTGGTCTGTCGAGTGCTAATAATGCTTGAATTCGTATCATTCCTGCTTCTGGGTGTTTAAGATCGTGAATTAGTTCAAGAGCATCGCCGGGTTTGTTGCATAATAAGTAGCAAATAGCAATGCAGATTGTGTAGTACTGACTTCCGTTTTTCGCTTGAATATCAAAATTATCTGTAATATATTTAACCTTTGTATCATTATCTTCCATTTTCATTACATTAGCTAAAATGTTAATTCCTTTTGCCATAGGTGAATCGCCTCTTCTTGTTTGATTTATCACATAATCGACTTTTCCAAGAGCAAGATTTGATCTATAAACCATAAATTGTCCTTCTTCTGGAATTTCTGGCTTAGATCCGTCAGTCGCAACTTTCTGATAGAATCCAAGATAGTAATAGTCCGCAAGTTCTTCCATTATTTGCAAATCTGACAATTTATGAAATTTGTCACGTAATCTCATCACTTAATCGCATTGTACAAGCAAAAATCTTTCATGCACTGAAATAAAATAGAAAAAAGGAGTGAATGAAAGAGGATTAACCTCCATTCTCTTATGATTATCTTCAATAAATGGAAAAATTAGACTGAATGTTTGTGTGAATATAGCATCATTGATAAAATATCATTCTATTTTATCGATGTCTCAATCCGTAATAACAAAAATCTGCACATTTTAAATCAAATATTGATAAATTTATAATGTTACAAGGAAATAGATAAATTGTATTGGTATCTTATTTACTAGAATGAATTAATAACTATTAATTTACCAAACATAACGAAATTTAGTTTTATTTCGAAATTTCAAATTATAAACATTAAATTATTAAGCGGAAACAACAGTTATATAAAGATGGTAATAACCGAAATGAGTATATGAATATTTGTCAAATTCCAATTAAATCTGTACTTAAAATGATGAATTTGCATTGGATGCTACAAATTCTCCAAACCAGTTTCCATTTAATTGTGAAAACTGTAGTAAGGATTGCTTCTTGGAATCAACAAAGTTATATGAAACTTTATTTGCAACAAGCCACTCTGCAGCTGCTCGATTTTTAGAAATGATTGTATAGTGAATCGCGTTCCAGCCGTTAGAATCAACGGCATTAATATCTGCTCCTTTTCTCATTAAATATTCCATAAAGTCACGATGTCCACGAAATGCTGCAATATGGAATGGTGTTTTACCATCATCTGTCCGTTCCTCAATATCTGCTCCAAATTGTAATAAAATGTCGACAGCATCAACACGATTTGTAAAAGCAGCCCAATGTAAAGCTGTAAAGCCTGTAAAATTCTTTAAATTAGGATCTGCATGTGATTCTAATAAATATTTTGCGCAATCGACGCTTCCATATGCAGCAGCGCACATTAAAAGTGAATGGCAATGATTTTTTTCTGATATCTTTTTAGCATCTGGCGACAAACTTCCTGGTACAATGCTTCTTAATTTCTCGACATTATTTAATCTTGCAGCTTCCCAAGCCTGATCAATTAATGCATTCATTTTTCTGATTTGTCAAAAAAGTGATAAATAAATTGAATACTAGATTTGGGGTGTGCAGCGCCAGTATAAATTTCCTTTTTTTATGATTGTTTACGAATTCTTGCAAATCTATACATCAGAGTGTATCACTGACTAACATTTAGTCTACGTTCGAAATGTTACACTTCGAAAGCAAATTCAGTCATTGTTTCGACTTTTCAACTTCTATTTATTAAATCCCAACATTCATCAACAATGAAATTTCGTTAATATGATCATCAAACAATTTTAAACAGTTCTTTTGCTAATAAATATAAGTTTGACCTTTACAAATTTCGATTTTTCATTTTCGAAACTAAGAACATATCGAAATCCTCAATATTATAGTCATACATCATAATGTATATTGACTATCTTTGATTTATTCTTCTATATACCTTCAAATTTTTTAATTCGTGCTATTTTCATGGATTTACGAAGCAACTTACAAAATTGCAAGCTATCCAATATATTATTCCGTGTTTTAGTACTTATTGATACATTATTTATTCAAAATTTAATCTTTTCACAAATTGACAAATTAAATCTTTCTGTTTTATATAAAAATCAAAAGATAATAATATTGTTTAAACATGATTTTCTTTATTCTTCATCAAATTACTAGTTTTGAACCATTTGGTTACAGAGATGAAAGTGAAGAAGTTATTATTAATTGTTCATCGGAATTAAGTGGTGAAGTTGTTATTCCTCGAACTGTCAAAGAAATATATAGCAAAAGTGAATATGATTATGCCTTCAAGAATTGTTATTGGAAGATCACATCAATTAAATTTGAAGAAGACAGTGAAATTATTAGTATTAGTAATTATAGCTTTTATTGGACAAAAATAAAATCAGCCGATCTCAGTAATTGTAATCATCTTACATTACTTAATGAATCAGTCTTTTATAAATCTTATGGTTTAAAATCAATTAAACTTCCTCAAAACATTTTAAGTATTGGGGGAAAATGCTTTTATATTAATCTAGCTCTATCATCAATAGATTTACCAGATTCTGTAGAAATTATTTATGAAGGTGCATTTAGTGGTAGTGGATTAACGACCATAAATATTTCAAAAAATTCTAAATTAAAAAAATTAGATTCAGGTTGCTTTTTTGGGACAAATCTTATAAAAATTTTTATTCCAAAATCACTTAATGAAATATCTTCTGAAGTATTTAATAGATGTAAATATTTAGAAAATATAACAGTTGATCCTGAAAATGAATATTATAAGAGTGATTCTAAATCTTTATTTACAGGAACAGATAATTCAACATTATTTAAAGTTGTTGAATCATATTCAGAGAGTGAATATATTGTTCCTAATTATGTTACAAATATTTCCGATTGGTGCTTTTTTAATGCAAATATTTCATCTATTCAACTTCACAACAATATTTCATGGATTGGAAGTAGTACATTTTCTTATTGCACGAACCTAACATTTATCACAATCCCAGAAAGTGTAACATCTATTGGTTATAGTACATTTTATTCTTGCACATCATTAACATATATCACAATCCCAGAAGGTGTAACATACATTGGAGAAGCTGCATTTGTTGGTTGTACATCATTAACAAATATCACAATCCCAGAAAGTGTAACATACATTGGAGATGGTGCATTTTATCATTGCTCATCATTAACAAATATTATTATATCTGGAAATAATATAGAATATATTGGGGATGGTGCATTTAACAGCAATGAAAATCCAATAAACTTCTTCATTCCAAGAAAGTTTATTTTGGATGAAAGTTCTATCCATACTAATTCATATCCATTTGGAAGTAATTTATATATTACAAGTCAAACAGTTTTAACAAACTCATCAAAAGTTTTTTTTGGAGAAAAGTCAGTTCATGTTCACTTTGATAACACAATTAAACTTTCAGATCAAACAACAATTGATGTTCTTCAATACATCTCAATTGAAAACATCAGTATTCCACTCTATATTCCTAAAACTATTCATAACAATGTTTGTTATGAATCTAAATTCTTCCATCTCACTAATCTTTTCATAAACATTAATAAAGCTTAAAATTTATTCATTCATGCTTCCTTTAACAAATAAGATTTAATTGTTCATAAAGAGATTTAATAAGTATTTTTTTATGATGTTATATGTGAGAGAAAAAAATAGATATTTTTTAATTTGTTTATTTGCACAATAGAATCGTATAATGCAGGTTTAATGATTATTCTCTTACTTTCGTCTGATGAAATAGCCCATTCTGTTTCGTCATCTGAGATATATTCGTCAATTGTGGATTAAACGAGAAAAATGTGTTTCAGACGTAATCAGGGGAAAAAATATTTATTATTTATTGATGTTGGAATAATATCTTCAGCATATCTTCATTATCAGATGAGATTTGAACAGGAGTTAAAATTTCACCTAAATGAAAGGAATTTTTGTTGATATCTGCTCCGTTTTGAACGAGAATTTGCACAATATCATTAAATTTGTGTTCAACTGCAGCGTAAAGAGGAGAAACATATTCAATTTTATAAATTTAAAAAAGAATTTCCGTATAAAAATAAAAATGAATTCTATGAATAATGATAATGAACATAATGAGAAAATAGTAAGAACTGGATATATTTCATAAATAGAAAGAGAACTCTATAATTACAAAATGAACCCAATAAATAACAATATAGAATTTCATGAGAAAAATAATGAATTTCATAATCTAGATTAACATTGGCACCATTTTCTATTAGGCATTTAACAACATCATACCAATTCATTCTAATAGCAATGTAAAGAGAGTTAAAGATCATCTTCTTATTCATTAAATTTACCTGACATTCTTTATTGATGTCAAAACCATTTTTAATAAGAAAAATTGCGGCTCTAATATTAAAATTCAGTAAACAGAAAGATACAGTAACATCTTCGCAAAAGTTGTTATCAATAAGCCAATCACAAATCTCATGGTGATGATATGAAATGGCAATGTTTAAACATCCATCATAAGAAACTCCGTTTTGTTGCAAAAGTCGAATAACTTCGCTATTACCGCTTATAATAGCATCTTCATTAAGATCAGGATTGCCCTTTAAATTGTTCATTAGAAGATATCTAACAATCTTTATAGATCCGAATCGAGCTGCGTAATTTAAGTAAAACTCTTCCAAATGATCCAAATTTTGTGTTGCCGATTGGAAATTCTCTAAATCATCTGATGCAAGAAATTTGAGGATAACTATATGTTTAAATGCATTGTTTTCTACATGGTCTAATATCTTTTGACAGTCTTTATCTGCTTCAAATTGAAAATTTTCAAGAATGATTTTATAAAGTCTGGCATAAATGTGAGTTTTATGCAGCATTTTAAGAACAGTAATACTCTGTGTGCATTTTTCAAGCGAATTAAGATGGTTTTGATGTTTCTTAAAATACTCTAAAATATTTGGAATTGAATCATCAAAATTTTTTTCGTCCAAATGAAAAATAATATCAAATACATTTGATGTATCTTCTAGGCATTCATTTAGTTTTAGATCTGTCATACCAGTCACATGACGAAAGCGTTTATTGTTCATTTTTTTGTTTTGACACTTTCCCTAACATATCAGCAATAGAATTAACAATGTTTAGCTGTGCAACAATAAAATCAATGGATCCGATCTATTAAAGTTCGAAATTAACTCCAAAAAAATTATAGAAATTCCAAAATTATAAGTTTCAAGGTAGATGAGATTTGTATGTTTGAAGAAAATCAGTGCAGACTTATACCGCATGTCGAAAATGATGCTGAAAACACAATTGAATGCAAATTTGATCAACAAAATAGATATTGAGATGTTTTAGGAAAGGAAAATAGCTGGAAAGCTATAGTATATTAGTTTTTCCATAAAACCACATGTATCAAAAAAAATCCTGAATTTTCAATAATCGTTGCTAACGGAAAGTTTAAAATATGGATAGGAAAGCGCGGAAGCAAAAATCCCTTGCGCGCTATAACTGGTTCGCAATGAAAATGTTCTTAAAGAATAAAGAAGTTCAAAAAGGCAGAGAAGATCTTACAGATTCAATTCATCAAAAATTAGATGAATTTGCTGGACCTTCTGCACATAAAGTAATGGAGAAAACACAATTTAATTTATCTGTTAGGGCAATTAAATCAATTACATCTAAATCTTTTGATCCTTTCCGAAATTTAATTAAACATAACGATATTCCTGAAACAGAAGATCAAATTGCAACTCACTCAGCATTTCGAGTATTATCTAATATTAGCATACTGCCTTCACTTGATTTCTTAGCAAATCAAGTTACAGAAAAAATAAATCCGATTTATATTTCTCATAAACCAAAAGTTAAGCATCGGAAGAACGAAGATAAGGTCAATAGTGTTCTAGGATCCGTTATTAATCATATGCAGCTGCATATTCCTCTTCCAGATTTTGATGCCGAATTAGAGCCATTATTTACTCACCCATCCGGAAAAAGAACATTCTCACGTATGGAAGATGAAGAATTTGCATTAAAACAGATAGCAGCAAATGCAGTTGGAGCAGATTCATTTTTATTAAAGCCTTTCAAATCAATTTCAGCGCCAAAGCAGTCACTTCGACCATTATTACGCGTAGCATATCCATCACGTGATACTACATCTAAATTTAACCCAATCAGAAACGCTACATTTACTGGAGAATATTATACAACCATAGAACCTCTTGTCAGCAGATCTATGCAACCTGTAGATGAAGAAGGTTTCCCTCTTTACAATTTCGATCTTTCTGTTCTTAAGAAGCGGCTTGGAATCGATACCGAGAATATTTATAAGAGATTTTCGGATTTGGCATACCAGCAAGAAGAAATTAAACAGAGGGAACTTATTAAAGAGCGCGGTCCGGCTCTTGGTGAAGGAGATGTAATTGAATCGTTAGGATTCATTGATGAAGCGATTAATGATGGCTTACGTGAGTTCTCTAAGGAAGTTGTTGGTCTTAACGATGCAATTGAAGCTTCTTCTGCCTTCACTTCTGACTTATCTTCCAAAATTCTTCGGCAAAGCGTTACTGGATCTGTTTTCTCTCAACTTAATATTCTTACACCTTTCCTGTTTGGAGCTGCCAATATTAAGATGCATAATATTGATGAGAGAAGAGCAGAAGAACAACAACTTATCAAATCAAAACCATAAATCTATTGTTTGTTTACGATTATTTAATATTTTACTATTTAACCATATTTGGTATTCCAATTAGAAAAAAAATTAGATAATAACATAAATCTATTTTTAGCAACCGAAAGCAGTCTGTAATTCTTCTGTTAAACAAACCTTAAGGGAACGATCTTTGATCTTATGATCAAACCAATCATTCCTTTCGTTATCGTAATCGAATTTAAGGGAGCCAGATACTGGTGAGCTGACCCAAATCTGATGTCCTGGTAATTGACGGCTAAGAAGGAATTGATTTCCCTTCATTGACAAGGTGAGAGAGTCATCGTTCGCTTCTGCAAAGAATTCATCGCCTTTGCTTTCGTATTTAGACTGAAAATAGTCGCAAAGAGAAAACAACGTATCAGCTGTTTTCTGCTTGAATGCATTATCTGATGTGAATGCTCCATATCCCATTATACTACGAGAAAATCCGCTTAACATGATGTTAGAAATGTGTTCTTAAAATTTCAATTCAAAATTTTGTAAATTTTTTCCCAAGTTAGTCACTCAGTTTTCAATTTTTAATAGTAAAATGGAACAGACCTGGAGCAAACAAGAAAAAGATTCGAATAAATCCTATGGAAACTAAGTCCAATTTTTTGAAAAATTCTTATTATCGAAAATAACATTGTGATTGAGTTTTTAATGAATAAATTCGTATAAGTATCAATTTTAAATCATGATCGCATTTCCAAAAATATTTCAAAATCAGAATTTTATAATAAAAATCGTATTTTTTCATTTCATTTTGGAATTTTCGAATTTTTTTTGGAAAATTCAATCTATGATTTAAGAAGAACTGTAATTATACTTAGAAACTAGTAGGATAAGTTGATATATTGGTATAGAAATTAGCATATAAATCATGTTTTTTGAAATAATATTCCTCGAATTCAAGATATATATGCCAATTAGTGACACTTTTAAATCAAAGTTTTGCTATTATAATCAATTGTCACGGATCACATGTTCTAAATTATGGTTTTAGGCATATTATTCTTCTAATCTTTAGCTAAATTTGGCCATTTAAGTTTAATCATCTCGTTGTTGACTTTTTTTGTCACGAATAGTCATTATAAAGCTTATATCATTAAGATAGTTTCCAAATGATATTTGTTCTCCTATTATGATATATATTTTCAAAAAATTCATTAACCTTATACAATATCCATGTAATAATGCTTAGTGGCTACTTCAGATAGGATAGAATCATACATTGAATTGAAATCATAGTCGAAGTTCAAGGATAATAAGTAACATGGATGATTTCATTATCACATTATCACTTACGTGTATGGCAATGAGCAAATATGGATGTATTACTTATTCTCCACATCGTCAATCAATTCTTTCCTTTTTTTGAGTATTTGACATCAGCCAGCATTTACCATAATGGTGAAAGATCTTATGTCATAATGAAACCTTCTATGAAATGATTCAAAATCTCCGGTAGAGTCAAACAATCGTTCTCTCAGAAAAAATTGCATAGTTGTAAAATTTTCAAATGTTTTTACTTTTCCTTCTTTTTGTAGCCTTCAGAAGAGCACGTAATCCCTACATGGATCCAGAGCACGAGGAAGCACACCGCGAAGTCAAAGAAGAAACTACCGATTCTCAACCAGACGATTGCGAAGATGTAAAGGAACCACACAAAGGTATTATTATCAAATCTGTGTTTAAGCTAGGCGCAGGACTGATAGTACCCCAAATTTAGTTGTTTTGTTTATTAAAATTTTACATTACAATTTTATACTTCTTTTTGAAACATGATACTAAGTTTATTACTTTATACACACGTAAGTTTTAAATATTAGTCTGGTCCCAAGTCTATAATTTTAGATATTGAAATACGATATAAAAATTATTGAGTTAAATCCATCGGGGACTCTAGAATAGTTAGTCATTGATGTAATTTACTACTTTTTATAACTTGCATTTACTCATTTCACAAACAACAAATATCGGTCATCCAATAATGGTCGTTTTGCCAATTTAAGAGGAAAAATCAATTTGATATAGGTTAATATTTAATAAGCATCTACAAGAGCAAGTGAAACCTCAATTTTTCAATCTATCGGCGAATTCTATCGTTTTTTATAAATTTAGGGATGAGTCTTATTAGTGCTATTACAGGTAACATCAATGGTCTCAAGAACTTCATTACTGAAATTCTCGAGTGCCAGTCCAAGGAACAAGAAGTTGCCCGTGTTAAGAAAGAACTCGCAAAGATTCGCCAGAGTTTCGGCAAATCCGGCCTCAATGGTTACAGCCGTAAGAAATACGTAGCTAAGCTTCTTTATATCCACCTTCTCGGCTACTCCTTTGACTTCGGTTTCCCACAAATGGTCGAATTGGTTGCTTCAAACGTATTTTCTGAAAAGCAGATCGGTTACATCACACTCGGTGTTTACTTAAATGGTAACTACGACCTTGTCACAATGTTCATCGAGCATTTCCGTAAAGAAATTCGTAATCAAGAAAACGAACCAGGCCAGTGCCTTGCTATCGCCGCTGCTGCTAACATCGGTGGCCGCGAAATTGCTGAAGCACTTTCAGGCCCAATTCTTCAGGCTTTGATCAATCCAAAGAACTCCGACTTCGTTAAGAAGACAGCATGCCTTGCTCTTTGCCGTCTTTACCGCGAAACACCATCCGTCATCCAGCTCGAGCCAACTTTCATCGAAGGCCTCAATCAGCTCTTATTCAGCATGAACTATGGTGTCCAGCTTTCCGCAGCCTCCCTTATCTTGATCCTCCTCCAGCGTTATTCCGATAAGATGGCTCTTGTCCTTCCAACAGCTCTCATGCAGCTCGGAAAGATTTTCTTCGATGGAACTGTTTCTCCAGACTACTTATACGGCCGCAACCCAGCTCCATGGCTTATCCTCAAGTACATGCGTATTATCCAATACAAGACTAACTGGGATGAGTCAGAAACCGACAGAATTACAAGAATTCTCGACAACTGCCTCCAGAAGACAGATGTATCCCTTGCTGCCAAGGAAGTCCACTCCAACCTCATCTTACTCTTCGAAGCAATCAACTTCATCATTGCTCGCCAATTCTCCAACCAACTTATGCAGCGTTCCGCTTCAATCCTTGGTGGATTCCTTAACGCCAAGCTTTCCAACGTCCGCTACTTAGCTCTCGAGTCACTTACACGTCTTGTCCAGGCCAATCCTTCGATCATTCCATCTCTTGACCAGCACAGACAGACACTTTACCTTGCTCTTCGTGACCCAGATAACTCCATCCGCCGCAGAACACTTTCATTACTCTTCGCTGTCTGCACAAAGGAGTCAGCCGAAGAAATTGTCCACGAACTCTTGAACTACCTCAGATTCGCAGACATTACAATGAGAGAACCACTCTGCCTCAAGATCGCCGTCATGGCCGAGCAGTTCGCTGAAGATCCAGCCTGGTTCGTTGATGTTGTTCTTCAATTGATCACAATGGCCGGTGATGAGTGCTCCGATGGTGTCTGGCACCGTGTTATCCAGGTCGTCTCCAACGTCCAGTCACTCCAGAGATACGCAACAATGACATCTTTCGGATCAATGTGCGCAAACAACCCACACGACAGACTTATCGCTCTTACAGCCCAGCTTGTTGGTGAATACATCCAAATCACCGATATCAGACCAGAAGAAGTCATCCAGGAACTCATTGCCAAGTACAAGATCGCATCTGACATTTCCAAGGGCATCATCATCACAGCTCTTGCCAAGATCGGTGCCAAGTACCCACCAGGCAAGCAGACAGTCCTTGAATTCATCCAGACATTGACATCCTCCACAAATATCGACATCCAACAGCGTGCAATCGAATACATTACAATTCTCAACGCCCCACCACAAGTCATGCAAGCCGTCTTCAAGCCAATTCCACCGTTCGAGAACAAGAAGTCCTCCTTATTACGTAAGGTCATGCTCGAACAGGCCGAAGAAGGCCTCGAAGAGGAAGACGAAGAGGACAAGAACGAGGAAGACCCATCCAAGTTCGTTACACAGCTTCCTACAAAGGCCGCCCCAGCAGCACCAGCAGCAGCTCCAGCACCAGAGCCAAAGAACAACGCCGACGCAATGGATCTCCTTGGCCTCGGCTCTCCAGCACCAGCACCAGCACAGCCGAAACCAGTTGCCAAGCCAACAGATTTCGGACTTGGCGCTCCAGCAACACCACAGAACGCCGTCACAGACTTACTCAGCGCCGCACCAGTCACCAATGTCCCAGCACCACTCAACGACAAGGAAGCCATCAAGAAGCACTTCTTGGCGAACGACCAAGGTCTCTGCTTCGAAGATGCCAACATCGCTGTCAATCTCTCGATCCAAGTCAACCATCCAAACGCCATTCTTTCATTCAACATCCAGAACAAGACAGGAGGAATCCTCACAAACGTCGGTGTCCACATTCCACCAGTTCCATTCCTTGCTGTCCAGTCCAAACCAGGCGCGACACAGATCAACCGCGGAGAGATGACTGTTTTCCAGTTCGCTTTGAGAGTCAGGCAACCATTCATCGACCCACCGTCATACACACTCAGATACACATGGAGCGAACAGAGCCACAACGAGGTCTTAGACTTGCCATTCAACATCTTCAAGTTCACTGCTCCATTCAACATGGACTACAACAACTTCTTCGCTCGCTGGGGACAGTTGACTTCTCCTGCTCAACAGGCAACTGCTTCATTCAACCCAGTTGGAGACCCAACAAACCAGATGAAGCAGGTAATGACATCTGTCTTCAAGGTCCCTGTTTTGCCATTGCAAGTTCCACCGGGCAACGTTTGCGGTGCTGGAATTATCAACGCTGAAGGTGGTGTTTTGGGTATCCTCTGCAGATTCTTCATCGAAAACGGAAAGTGCAACGTTCAGATCAAGGGAACATCTCCTCAGATTACTGCTGCAGTTCAGAAGGTTCTCGATTTATACCTCAAATAAAAAAATAGGTATAAATTTTTTTTATCCCTAAACAAAACACATTTCTTCTAACTTTTTAAAGTTTTTTAAAAAGATTTTCAATGAATTGTATCATTTTGTAAAAAATTTGATAAAATATTGATGAAATTATTAAAATGAAACCAATTTTTCAATATTATCAGGTAGTTTTTGATATATAGAGAAATATTATTTATGATGACTTTACACAATTCTCTTTCTGCTTTGAGATAATGGAGATGGAAAGTTAAAAATCATGTAAAAAAGTGACAAAAATGGGGAGAAAAAGATGCTACTGCCCATATTGCGATGTTTATTTAGTACATAACAGCTTAAGATCGCGAAGAGACCATCTAAATGGATTTAAGCATTTAGCTGCAGTTTCTATTTATTATCACAGATTTATTCCTGAAGTTTTCAAAAATGGAGGATTTTCAACAAATGAAACAGAAGATACATCAGGTTTACCAAACACACCACAGCCAAAGGGATTACCAAAACCAAATCCAACAAATTCAATCTCACCATTACCTATTCCTCCTGTTATGCCGAAGCCAGTTATATCTTCAACACTTCCTCCAATCCCTCCACCAGTACCACGCCCTTCTGGACCACCTACTCTCCCAACTATTCCTCCATCTTTACCAAAGCCTGTTGGACCTCCTTCAATTCCAAAACCTGTAGGACCACCTACAATACCAAAGCCAATTGGGCCGCCCTCCATTCCAAAACAAGTTGGTCCTCCATCAATACCAAAACCGATCGGTCCGCCTTCTGTTTCAAAGCAGATCGGTCCACAACCTGTCCAAAAACCTATTGGACCGCCTTCAATTCAAAAACCAATAGGTCCTCCTTCAATTCAACGCCCTATAGGTCCGCCATCTCCTGCTTCTGTACAAGAACCAAATCGAGATGATTCCGCAACAAAATGATAGTATTTGTTTAGACTTTTTCAAAGAATAATATAATCTTTTTTTTGATTTTATATAGGATGCAACCGTAATCTATACAGAAAGATCAGAAGAATACATATTTTTATTATTTTACTATGTTATTTTTATTTTCGTCATTATTTTAATTATATATTAATAAATTGTTTTGATTTTATGCCGCACACTATAGCCTTTTATGTTTTATGCAATAAAATTTATAATATCAATATCAACAAACTTATTTCAGAGATATTTTTGAAATTTATCATCAAAGGAAAAATAAATCCATTAAAGATAGTCCCATCCTGCTGAAAACGGCTTTCAATAGTGTTGTAAACAGAAATTCATCAAAAGTGACACCTCAGAAAAGCTAAAATATTGAATTTTTGGAACTTTTGATAGAGCACGTTTTTAAATATTAATTAAAGTAAATGTATATTTTGTAAAGATTCTTTTTAATAAAAAAATAAAATTTTGAAGAAGAACACAAAATCTTCTGAAAAATAATATCACATAAACTCATATTATTTTCTAATATATAACTATTTTATATAAAAATCAAATTCAATGATCTTAAAAGTGAAGGATAAACCTCAAAATTTACGAATATAATGAGTGGGAATATAATGCTTATCTATCATAAAACCATATGAAATATCAATTTTTGCTTTACGCCTAATTTTTGACGACAATTAGCAAAAAATGTTAAATGTTAACACTCAGTCCATTTGAATATGAAAAATAAAATTGACTTTGATTAAATGTTTTTATTTATCATGCAATTCTTCTTGCGACCAAAGATTTGAATAAAATTTCAAAAAATAAGATAGCTTAAAAATAATATACGGTAGTGTTTACTAATAGATGAATAGTATATAAATTCTATTAAAATGGATTTGATCCAAAAAAATATAAAACCAAAAATAATTGTTATAATTTAAATGAAGAAGTAATTTAAAACGATTTTATTTATGATCAAATTTTATATATTTTTTTGGATCAAATCCATTTTAATAGAATTTATATACTATTCATCAGTAGTATATGTTGAAGGGTTTAGTGACTTTTTTTGTTACGTCTATATATAGATGAAGGTATATTTTCACATCTTCTATATATAGATGATATAAAAATTTTGAGAGAGGGTCAAAGTTGCTATTTGTCACTTTTCCACAAGAATATAATGGGGAAAAAGTTATCATATAGTTGATCTCATTCACTGACGTGAGAGATGCATGTAGTGTAATGTGATAAACAGTGTGATTGCTGCTCTAAGTCCTAGGTTCGAGACACATTGGCTTCATTTTTCTCTTTTTTATTGACGTAAACTATTCAATTTTTGTGTTCTCCATTCAAATTTCAGAATTTTTTTTGCAGATTTCACGCTACATTCGAAGTTACCTTTTGTAACAACCACCACTGCCTACGAAAGACGAAAGTGTGTCACGATTTCACCCGGAAATCCGACGGTTGTTTAAGAGTATGCACTTTTGTTACATCTATATATAGACGATACATTAAAATATTTATATACTAAACACATTAAAAAATTAACATTAATTTTAAAATAATTTATTTTTTTATCTTTTATAAAAGAAGCTATATATAGATGATGTCAGATATTCCGCGATTAATTAAACATTGTTTAAATCCTGAATGGGTTAAACTTCAATTTAAAAATGAAGATTGTGAATTATTAAATGAATATGAAAGCCAAAATAAGCTAATGAGGTATAAATATAATGATAAAGAATATTTAATTTCATGGAATCAATGGAGTCATAATCAAAGACCTCATAAACGAGAAGAAGAAATTGAAAATAATGAAATGGAAATCATTGATGACATTAAAGAGGATGGAATTCCTAAATTTTGTAGAAAAACCTTTAGAACTAAGTTAGGAGCATATAAACGTAGAGTATTAAATCCTGAATATCTTAAACATCAATTTAAAAAGGAAGATTGTGAATTATTAAACGCTAATGAATATGAAAATGCTAAATCAAAACTGAGATATAAATATATTGGAAGTGATGAAAGGTGTAAAGATAAAGATAAAGTTTATTCAGTTTCATATAATAACTGGCACACGTTAGGGATAAGAAAACATTTAGGAGATTATGGTAAAAGTTCCGAATTCTTTAAATCTAGTATGTACGAGAGAGTAAAAGAAATTAGAAATAATTATTTTCATGAATAAAAAATAAACTTTAAAAATTCATGTCTTACATTTTTGAATAATTTATTTTTTTAATTCGTAAGAAATGAGTGAATCAAAATTCGTGACTGTGAATCAATTAATGGATAAACTTTCACCAATTCTCACCCAGGTTAAACAAGTAGACGTTTATTTTGATGATTGCGTACAAAGTTTATTTTATAAAGGTAAGTTTAATATTAAACCTATTGCTTTTGCATTTGATGGTAAATTAATCGAAAATTCAAAAATTTGGGAATTAATTCCGGATATTGAATTTATAACAAATATTAAGGATAAATGGTTTAAACAACAAAACCACCTCACTAAAGTTCTTTGTAGATTAATGATTAAAACTGAGGAAAAAGAATTTAACGGGTTTAAATATCATCCATGTAAAATTTTAGAACTTGGTAACGAAAAACTTCAGAAAAAATTAAACGATAGACTATCAAAAGATAAAGTTGAAAGAGTAAATAAACTCGCTAAAAGTAATGGTAATGGTAATGATGAAGAAGAAGAATTTGATGAGTTCAACATAGAACTTTAAGAAACTAATGATTATTTGAATTTATGAAATCAATTATTTGATTCATTCTTTCTTCAATCTCTTCTATTCTTTTTGTTAAATCATCAATTTTCATTAATGAGGTGATTCTTGATTGAGGAATAGATTTCAAACTAACCACTCCTTTTATTTTTGAAATTTTGAATCCATCAACTTTAAACATGAGTAGGGGTAATTTTAGCTAAAAATGACACACCCGTGAAGGGTGTGATTACCGATCGGTAATTTCGACAGTTTAGAATTTAAAATTTTTTATGGAACTGTTGCGAGTTTCATAAAGAATTTAAGGAATATAAGCAAAGATTTGAATCAAAATCTTAGACCTAAGCCGCTCGATTCGCTCGCGGCTTCCGCGAATTACAGATCAGCAAAGATTTGAATCAAAATCTTCGAACTAAGCCGATCGCTTCGCTCGCGGCTTTCTTTATTATTTTAAATTTGCATATTTCCATCAAAAGTTCATAAGGTAAAAAATTTCGTTTATTTTTACTAAGAAAAAAAAGGTTTTTGATAATAAATTTATTTTATTTCGAAAAAGTAGCAATAATCGTAAAAGGGTATTGATAGGCTTGCTAAAGTAACTAATTTTAGCTGTCAAATACTTTTGTATTTTGAAGTAAATTAGTATAAATTTGTTTTTACTTTTATTTCGAAAAAGTAACAATAATCGTAAAAGGGTATTGATAGGCTTGCTAAAGTAACTAATTTTAGCTGTCAAATACTTTTGTATTTTGAAGTAAATTAGTATAAATTTGATATTATTTTAACTCCCTTTGAAAACCTCAATTTTCCATACAGAGGGAACGGGAATAGCATCCAATATTCCCTGAGAATGGTTGCGCATTCTCAGTTCCCTCTATATTTCGAACGAAGCTCTCATCGGTCTTTTTTTTAATACTAAACGTTTTTTCCCCCTGTCACTTTTAGCTAAAATTTGGGTTTGCCGTCAAAATTCAAACTAAAATATTCCAAAATTTGTTTACCAGATGCTGTCTTCATATAAGATCATTAATAACACTACTCATGAAACTCATATTTTGAATTATAAATAGCTTCAGTATCCTTCATTAACAATCAATTTTAAACGTTTGACATATGAATGATATACGAGCACTAAATATTCAAGCATTTCAATATAAAATTGTGATTTTATGATCCCAATTCAGGAGCTAGTCAAAAAAAAAATTAAATAATTTTTGAAATCATTCATTCATAAAAGCAATTACGCGCCTCCACAGAGAAAATCCAATATGCTTTAAACAATATAAAACATTTGAAATCGAAAATAATATATATTTAAAACAAAATATAAAATTATACAATTAATGTTGATTCAACTATATCATCCCTATTTTGCTTTCTAATTTTATAAACTCTCCATACGAAGAATGCAGCAATAGCAATCAATGCAATCACAATAACTAAAGGAACTACAATTGCAGCAGTTTTCTTCGATGTATTATTTGAATCACTCTTATCAGAAGGACTTTGAGTTACGTTGTTTGTAATTGTTGATGAAGAGCTGCTTGAGTATTCAATTGTTGGTGAAGGTATTTGAGCAGGTATTTTTCTGCCCTTAATTTATGATATTCTTTGAGATGCCTTCTATTTTCAGTCAAATTTGATTCTGCTCCGATATATTCCAATGGCATATGGCTTTGTTTATATCCATTCAATGTCATTGATGCTCTCATTCCAGGGTCATGCCATAATGTCGTCATTTTGATATCAGTGTCTAAATTTGTTGTAAATATAACGATCTCGCTAAAATTGGAAGCTGCCATGATGAACTCTTCTCTCCAATCTCCAAGTATATCTCCATGAAACAGCGGATAATGACCACCTTCATCTTCAGCAGGAAATTGTCCATAATATTTATTGAAATCGTAATTAGCTGTGAATAAACGATCTCCTCTTTTAGTTTTGTAATTCCATTTATTAAGATGTCCTCTATCATAACAAGCAGGATTTAATGTTCCATCCCAATATACATTATTACTTGGCCAAAATGTATTTGTAAAATTGTCAGCAAGTTTTGTATTCGTTTTTGCATTGTACATTCCTTGGAATGAAAAGACTTCTAATCCTGGAACAGTTGGATCGAAATCACCAGCATTTCTTCTTCCAACATCATGAACTGTTGTTCCATAATGAATCCATTTCATTTCTCCAGTAGAAGCATTATAGAAATACTCATCAATTAAGTCAGGATTATTTTGTTGTATACCATATCCGCTCATTGTTGTATCTTCATTATTAAACTTTGCAACATAGAATCTATCACCATGAATAATTCTTTGCGTTCCAAGATTAAATCTGATTGTTCCATTTCCATTTAGAACATAACCGATTTCATGGATTTCGTCAATTCCATCAAAATCAACATCAGCAATTCTAAAGTGATGACCTTCAGGATAGTTAATATCAGGTTGATATGAATCTGTCCAGTTCCAATCCATCTTAAACATGTTGTTTGTGAATGAGAAAGCTGCAACATAGTTGTAAAATCTCTTTTTATCATCTCTGTTTTTGAATACAACTATTAAAGATGGTTTCTCAAGGGACAGCCAACCAACACCAAACAAAGTACCCATTGGACATATTGTGGGAAAAAGTTCGGAAGTTTTGCTTTTTGTAATTTTACCTGTCAATCATCGACACAAGCAATCCATTGATCTATATCATTATCACGAGTGAATACATATCCATCGCCAAACGTGAAATTGTTTGCAATTCGAATATAAACTTCAGATTTCCCGTCACCATCTAAATCATAAATGTTTATTCCGTCAATTTGGCCAACATTAACAGTTGTTGATCCTGGTTCGATCATATACTTATTAATACTATTAGGACCTAGATTTAATGTCCAAAGATAAGTTCCATTGTGTAAATATGCTTCAACAGTTTGAATTTCATCAGCATCTATAGCAAGAACAAAGTCAAGATTTCCATCTCCATCTAAATCACCTACCCACACAGTTCTAAACCTTGTTCCATTTCGGATTGGAATTCTAATACATGGAAGATCTGCCTGATTAGCCTTTAACTCGAAATATGAACTGTTTTCTACTTCTATATTATTAATTATTGAGCCAACAAAGTATTTGAAAGATTTGGTTTTATCATGTTTTGTGTCATAAAAATGTGTTACGTTTGTAATAGGATCTGAGTTTAATTTAAGAATAGTTTCATTCTCATCTATTCTATATACATTAAAAGCAATATCATCATCGTCAGTAATTAAAAATCTCCATGAAATAAAAGCCTTGTTTCCTGCACGCACGGCGACAACACCTCTATTTAGATTCTCTGAATACTTACTTATCTTCGTGGTATCATAGCCATATGTGTTTTTTCTGATGAACAAAGAAGAAAACATCATTGTAAGGATTTTGAATGAGTTATTTTTTTAAGGAATTACGATAAAAGTATTCAATTTATTTTTTCAGTGAATTTAAGAGTTTATTGAATGTTTTATTACAGGAGTTAAAATTCGTTAACTATATGGGCACTATTTTCTAGTCGAGAACGAACACGCGCTTTAAGGCGATAACCGCAAATTGAGCAATTTGACAAAATAATTGCACTGTCAAATTTTACATTACAAAATAACCCCAACACCAGAATAACTAATATGGCTTCATTGGATACAGGTTATTATTGATATAATCAATTAAAATTTTAGCTTAATACAATACTTTCTTGACAAGAAATAGAAATTCCAATCTGATTATGCAAAATTCCTTTTTTCTTTTACAATTTGTCTATATCCTTTTTCTTAAAATACATTTTTATAGAATGCATTTTCATTTATTTTGCAATTGATCGCAAAAAGGATCTCAAGAAAAATATCATCAGAAATATAATTAGTCATTTCATAAATAGTTTATCAAATAGAGATTTTTCCATGATGGCATTAATTCCAATGATTCTCCAATCATAATAATTCAAAATCAGATGAAAATACAACTTAATCTTATTCTTTGCTCAGAGGAAAGAGGATATTTCTATAACAAGTCATAAAAATGTAAAATGATTAATCAAAAAGCATGAATAATAAAGTTTAAATATAAAACAATTATAATTATTCAGTTGTAGAATTAAGAGCCATAACAAATGAGGCTTCTTGGTCAGACTTAGTTGCAAAGTTAACGAAGTAAGTAAGTCTTTCACCTTTGCCTTTGAGATAAATTTGACCTCTTTCTTCAACGATGAAGTCCAAACCTTCGATCAAATCCTTTGTTTCACTAGAAATTTGGACACATCCTGGGATATCTGTACTCTGGAGACGAGCAGCGACATTGATTGGATCACCAATGATATCGAATGTTGGCTTATCAGAACCCAAAACGCCACCAATGAGTGGACCACCAGAGTTGACACCAATTCTGACTTCAAGAGAAGCGCTGAGTTTAACATTGATGTCTTCCATGGCCTTCTGGCATCTCAAGCAAGCTCTGCATGCATCTTCTGCATGTTTCTTTGGATCATCTTCTTCTGTGCAGAAAAGACCAGCAGCTGCCATGTAAACATCACCGATTAATTTGATCTTTGTGATGATTGGATATTCGGCAACAATCTTATCAAATGTTGCGAACACCAATGAAAGGTTTGCCATGATTTCTGATGGTGTTAATGTTGCAGCATAATTGGAGAATTTGACAATATCAATGAAGAAGATTGTTGCTGATGGAATTGTGAATGAAATATCTGTTTCACCTCTGTTGAGTCTTACAACGATATCCTTTGGTAAGATCTGATACAACAACTTCTCTGATTTGGCTTTAGCTTCTTCTGCTGCCTTTCTCTTCTGGATCTCTTCTGTTTCGTTTCTTAAGATGAAAACGAAGCTCTTAATTTCATTTGAACCTTCATCTTTCATTCCAATCAAGTTAACTGTGAATGGAACGAAATCATTCTTATCATTTAACAAAGTAAGATGGTCTTCCCAGAATGCTGATCCTTGTCCACTTGTCATCATATCAATCTGTTGGTTGAGACGCTGTTGATCATCAGTACCAACGAAATTGGCAAATTGCTGACCAAGCATTTGATCTGGAGTTAAACCGATGTTTGCTGTAACAGAGTTATTGATGATTTCAATAACACTTGAAGCGTTTGTGATAATGATGCATTCACTTGCACCATAAACAATTGACTTTGATGTTGACATTCTTTCAACTTTGGCTTTCTTCTTGCCTGTGAAGAACTCGAGGATTTCTGGTGTATCAATGATTGTTTGCATTGGAAGATGTTTCAAGAGCATCAAGAAAATGCGGTAATTCTGAATCATGACGTTTCTGAAGAACCATGGTAATACAAAAATAAAAATCAAACAAACAAATCCTGCTGCAAGGAAAATGATGTTTTTTGTCATTGTGTTATCATATGTGGTTTTCATTATATGAGAAATTCTCTTTGTTGCTCTGATAACACTTGGATAGAAGTGGAAACGCAAAATGTGTGCATAGTTTGCAGCAACTTCACTCATCATGTTTCCTTGGAAGAACTTTAAGTTCTTAATAACTTCATCGACAAAGAACTTAAGCATCTGAATTTGTGCATCCAAAGAACCACATGCATACATATCATGTATTGACTTTGGTTCTCTTCCTAATCGCAAGTAAATCGCAGTAACTTTCAAGATGCAAGTGATCCAACTCTTCATCGAAGCCAACACTGCCTTCAACTTCGTCATTACCATATAATAATGTTCTTTCTGAGTCCATGAACTTGTCAAGCATTGAAATCTCATTATCTCTTAACTGTGATGTGTTCACAATTGTTTGTGGTAATGATCCATTCAAGAAAATCATCTGAATAGCATTGTTACCGCATTGTGAAGCCATTGTGATTCTCTGGCATGAATAGAAGTACCATCTGAGAATCTTTGTAAGATTGGAGTTCATTTTTGTTGTTGTGATAACAAACAAAGCATAAACAATCAAACAAGCAATTAAAGCAATATAATAAATGATTCTTATTACAACTAAGAATGCTGATTTGACTTCTGTTGTTCCTGCACTGTTTTCACTGTTGAGATCTTGATTCAACATCAATGCCCTTCTGGCATCTTCTTTGACAGGTGGAGGTAATTGATGCAAAATCTGGCACATCTTTGTGATTCTTCTGTTGTATAAGAAACCAATGACGAAAAGTGGAATTCCACAAATAACTGCCATTGCAACTAAACCAAATACAAGCCAAGCAATGAATATACCATCATAATAATTTGCTTTATCAATATAGTAATTAAGAATTGAATGGAATGTTATATCGACGTTTTCTGAAATGGTTGGGATATTTGACAAAATCTGGCAATAATCATTGGATGCATAAAGATTTGCTGGCATTTTGTTTTCATTGTACAAACCAGCAATATAGTTATGCAAGTAACTGAAAACAATTAATTCAGCCTTTAAACTTGCTCTGATCGCGTAATCTGGACTTGCTTGATCACAAACTTTGAATGTAGAGTTTGTTTGAATTAATACGTAAGCGATATCATAAGGATCGTCGCCTTCAAGAGCCTTATCCGCCAATTTATTTAACAATAAGCTAAGGTAGTAACGAGATCTGTTCATGCAAACATATGTCTTCATTGGAAGTGAGATATCTAATGGAATCAATGTTTTTACAACAACATCATCGATAGAAATGTTACCAAGGATTTTTCCTGATGGATCCATTCTATTTGAGTCAGCAGCGAACTTTGACATTGTGTAAACATTAGCATAGATTGTGTAAAATGTTGCATAGCCGATATAAGAAAGATCTTTGTAACTTTTTCTTCTCCATTTCATGTTGATTCTGACATATGCATAGAAGCCAATATAAGCAACAAGGATGATAACTGTACTAGCAACTATATGCATAATAATTGCATTATATTCCCAAGGCCTTGTGTCTTGAATACCATGATGGAATGCCAATCTAACTTTTGCATCTCTCAATATCTTCTTTGAAACTGTTTCTTGTCTTTCAAAGTCAACAGAATTTGAATCGAAACTTGCACCTGTAGAACCAGAATTAGCGCTAGAACTTGATTTCTGGCTTCCACTTTTAGCTTCTTTTCCTGATTTAAGAATTCTGTGTCCTTTTGCATCTAAGACTTTGTCCTTGAGATATCTTGGGAATTTGTTGACCAAAGATCTAAAGGAAACATCAACATTGAAGTTCTTTCCATCACCAATCAATTCTGCTCTGATACTTTCCTTGATTGAATTATCGAAGTCTCCTTTGCATTCTGCCAAGAAATTGGAGTATTCTGTAATAAGTCTCAAGTTGTTTGGATTGCTCATTAATGATGCTTTGAATAATTGATCTAAATCATTAACAAGAAGGCTCAAACTTGAGATATATGCTGAATGAGCTTCATTCTTGTCCCAAAATGCTTTGATTGTGTTCTTGCAAACTTCATTCTTGTTCTTTAGCTTGTTGAACATCTCGAGAGTGTCTTTTGTATCTGAAACTAATCTCTTCATCTTGATTCTGAAGCACTGGTAGATCAAGAATCTGTCGCTAAAACCGAGTTTATGCTTCTGAATGACTCTCTTGAAAAGAACATCCATTTTACGGGACTCGAATGGGAATAATGTGACAACTTGGAGTAACATTGAAAGAGCTCCATCCAAATTGGGGCAGTTAAGGCAGTAATCGGTTAAAGAACCATCAACAAAGTAATCACTGTTAAAGATTAAACCAACAATGATCCACATGTTAGCTTGGTGTGAGTTCTTATTGATCTTGAGTGAATCTAAGTATTCAGGAACATTTGTTACGTCTTCTTGGTATGTTAATGCTTTTCTGAAATCTCCTGAAACTTTTGTAATGGCACCTGTACCACCTATATAGCCCAATATCAATATTATTATGAATACAAATATTGTGTAGTTGAATTTGAACTTATCGACATATGCGATGACGAAATAATTTATATTAAGTACAACTGTTGCTAAACAGAAGGCCATCATGAGAACGTTGCGCCATAGATCATAGAAAGGAAGATAGTAGATACGAAGTTGTACATAAACTGTGATTAAAATGTGAATAATACCACCTAATGTGTAAAACCAGCTATCGAAGTAGTTGAAAATAGCTGAGAGTACGGCACAAGCTGCTGTAATAATGATCCATGTTGTAACTGCATCATATTCGAACATTGGGAAGGGGAAATTAGATAAAACAACTGATCTTGCCTTAAGAATGGAGCTAAGTAAGAAGACGCAGGTGTAAACTGCGAATGCAACTAATCCAAGAGCTATTTCCAAAACATATTCTATGCCAGAATGACCTTTAAGTCCAACAATTCCATGCGCCGCTACGTAAGCTGATGGGACTATCAATATTGGAACGACAATATCAATGAGAATAAATGAAATGTATAGCACCGGAACATAAATTGTATAAAACAAATGATTAAGATATAATGTGAATAAGATCCAAAGTATAGAAAATACTCCAATTGCGATATCTACAATCATCCATATCTGTATTGATGTGCTGTAATTAACCGGATCAATAAATGCGAATATTTGGACAAAATATTTGTTAACATTTGTCCACGGCTGAGTTGTTTTTTGATAAACAGGTGTATAAACCCAGAAACAAATGGAGAGTGTTTGGCATAGGAGATAGAACATGACAATTCCCATAATCCAAGCTGGTAGTTTAACTTGTTGAATCATCTGTTCGAAAAGAGGGAAAACTTTGTCGAGAACATTTCCCTTTGCTGTTACTATGTCTGAGAATTTCTCCCGCGATTGACTGGTGGCTGAAACTGACTTGGAAACGGAAGATTCAGCCATGTTTAAAAATACTGTCTATAAAAACTTCAAATCTCATTCAAAATTTTGAGATCAAAAAATGGAAGGAAATATTAATTCTTATTATAGTATGATAAAATTTTAACTTTGTTCGCTTTAAAAAATAAAACGTATATTTGCGAGGCATTGAATTTTTCAAAAAATTGAATTCAATAAATTTGGCCAAATAGAATTTTTCCCTGATATTATTATATTTCTAACCATCATGTAAAATATAAGAAAGGCTAGTTATCCTAATGAATTGACTTATGAATTTTCACTACTTTACCAATTTTAGAGTATTGGACATGGGATGTGAAATGCACTTATTTCTATAAAATTAGTTCAATTTGAATACATTAAATAAAAGATAGGCTCACAATATTTTGAAATTGATCAAAACTATGGGAGATAATAAGAATATACTTAAAAACATATTTAATAGGATTTTACCTTAGCGATCTATCTGTGGTAATTTTTAGTCTCTACACTATTTCAATATAAGCTCCATTTTTAAACGGTTTTTAAAAATCGAGCATTGAAAAGTGTGATGAGACTAGTGAATTATTTTTTTGAACGACTTTACTCGAGTAGGGGTAATTTTAGCTAAAAGTGACACACCCGTGAAGGGTGTGATTACCGATCGGTAATTTCGACAGTTTAGAATTTAAAATTTTTTATGGAACTGTTGCGAGTTTCATAAAGAATTTAAGGAATATAAGCAAAGATTTGAATCAAAATCTTAGACCTAAGCCGCTCGATTCGCTCGCGGCTTCCGCGAATTACAGATCAGCAAAGATTTGAATCAAAATCTTCGAACTAAGCCGATCGCTTCGCTCGCGGCTTTCTTTATTATTTTAAATTTGCATATTTCCATCAAAAGTTCATAAGGTAAAAAATTTCGTTTATTTTTACTAAGAAAAAAAAGGTTTTTGATAATAAATTTATTTTATTTCGAAAAAGTAGCAATAATCGTAAAAGGGTATTGATAGGCTTGCTAAAGTAACTAATTTTAGCTGTCAAATACTTTTGTATTTTGAAGTAAATTAGTATAAATTTGATATTATTTTAACTCCCTTTGAAAACCTCAATTTTCCATACAGAGGGAACGGAAATAGCATCCAATATTCCCTGAGAATGGTTGCGCATTCTCAGTTCCCTCTATATTTCGAACGAAGCTCTCATCGGTCTTTTTTTTAATACTAAACGTTTTTTTTCCCTGTCACTTTTAGCTAAAATTTGGGTTTGCCCTTTAAACATTTTATTCAATTTACATGTTGTCAATTCTTCAAATAATTTTTTATTATTAGCATAATAGTCATTAAATTCTTCAACAGATGAAAAAATTTTTATTTCAGTAATTGGTTTAACAACGTTTATTTTTTGTTGAACATTTCCACTTTCATTTATTTCATCCTCCTTTGTTTCATTTATTTTTAAAATCGGTTTCATTTATCATTAAATAAAAATTAGAATATAAGTGATGAAATATATTTTTTTAATTAATATTAAATCAGAAATGGCGGCAGGATTCTTTAAAAAATTATGGGATGGAATTAAGAAAGCTGCGGGTTGGGTTCATCAAAAGATTATTAAACCCGTTGCAAACTTTTTGGCACCAGTAGCGAAAACGGCAGGAACTATCATAGGTGGAGTATTAGGTACTAAAGCAGGTAATCCGGCGATGGGAGCACAAGCAGGTAACGCAGTTGGTGGAATTGCTGAAGGAATACTTAATAAAATAGGAGGTAGATAGTGGAAAAATAAATAAATATTATTTTTATCTTAGTATCAGTTGTAGTCTTTGATAAACTTTTTCTCCTTTATTTAAAACTTCTCTTATTGGGGCAGCTTTTGGTGTTATTGATTCAGCAACGTCACTAATTGCTTCTTTATTCTTAAATATCCAATTTGCCCCCTTCTTCAATGTTTCCCAAACTTTACTCGCTCCTCTTTTTACTCTATCCCACAGTTTCTTAAATATACCTGCAGCCATAGTTGATTATTTCATTAAAATTAAAAATTCATTTTCATCTTTTAATTTTGATTTTTTATTTATTAATAAATGACGACTAACTATTTGGTGCCAAACACTAAACCGATTAATGGAAATGTATTTCATTCATTCGAAAAGATAAATGAAATATTCGCAAAGAATGACGGTAGAAGATATTATAGAGAACTTGAAAGTTCATGCTATGACTCTGATGCTCCATATTTTGATGATAAACAAACTCATTTAAGAATTACAAATCCGGCTCATGATGTGAACCAATTAGGTGACACATATATTAAACGCAAAGTTAAAGCAACTCTAGTTTCAAATAAAGCTTTCACATGTGATGCCGCTTTTAAATGCATGCGTTTATTCGTTGGTTACAAATCATCAAATCAAAGCTTTAAACAATTAGAAGTAGAAACTGAAAGAGGTGATGCCGGTTATCTTCAGATGGATTGCGCCCGTGAATCTTTCGCATTTGCAACATATAAACCAAAATCAGAAAGGAAAGTTAAAAAGTTTGTTCATTCGTTATATAATAATGTTCAAAAATATGATAACTCAGTATGTGGTAAATATATTGACCCTTCAGAAGTTTTCAAGAACGCAAATGAAGAAGTTGATGTCACTTTTGATATGATTATTCCGGTAAATGATTTGTTAGCATTTCAGGCGTTCGATGATTATCCTAAATCATTTGGTGAAATCATTCTTAAATATTATGTTTTCAGGGATACTTTAGTATTTTGTCAGGTTGACCCGTTAAGAGTTGCTGATTTACAAAATTACGTTTATGAAAAGATAACTGATGAAAATTATGAAAAGATTATGAATCATGTTTATAAATATGATCGCAAATTCCAACAAATCGGACTTCCTGCCAAATTAATTACAAGCTTAGCCGCTACATCTGCTGACGCAACAGTTGATGACGTTATTATTTCATGCACAAAGATGGAAGTTTTAGAGGATAAATACATTACACCAGGATACGGTTTAATTGAAGAATCAGTTAAAGCAATACCACGTTTATTCAGTAAGGAAGATCCATTCATGATTCCAGCTCAACATATTGACGTTCGTTCACTAAATGGAGGTTGCATCACTCCTGAAGGTATCAGCTCAGATTTCTCATACGCTCTTCATAATGTTACAGATGTTGTGTTAGCATTTCCGAAGAATGCAATGCAAAGAACAGTTTTAGAAAATCCAATGCTTCGAGGTCTTCAGGTCACTATAGATTCCAGAAACTTCCCCGATCAAGCGATGACCACAGTGGGTGACATATTCTTTACACGTATGCTTCAAGCTTCTGATTTAGATGGAGTGAATGAATGCACAGAAGAATACGAGGACTCATTAACTAGACCACTGAATGCAGATGATGGCACGCCATTAGCTAGAACATGGAAAGACCAAACTTCATTCTTATGCACTATTCCAGTTCAACGTGATGGAGCGGGTATATTCTTTGATGGATTAGAAACTTTCAACTCACAAGTTACAGTACAAGTGAAAGCTTATCCAATCATTCAGGGTGAAAATGACACTTACTGTTCAAAGGTGACAAATCCTCCTCAGGTTTGGTTTACTAGGACTACATATTGGACATGGACACCGGATGAAGGTTTGAAATATCATCCAACAGGTACACCACCACAGTATAGAAGTTCATATGATGAAATATTGATGAATAGAAATGTTTAAAATTATAAATTTATTTTTGATTAAATGGATTTAAATTCATACACTCCCTATGAAGAATTAGCAGGAGTATATAATACATACGTAGATGATATGATTAATGAAGCATTGAGTGATAATAGAAATGCTCTATCTAAGGAAAAATTAATGAAAATTCCATATTCTGAATGTTACTTAAATTCAATCACTGCAGCAATTGGTAAACAAAATAAAGGTAAAACATTAACGATATTAAAACAAATTATCATTATTGCTAACACTTCACCCTATTCACATGTGTTAATTTATATCAACCGTTCAGGTTCACCTTCAGATGATACATTTGAATCTTTAAAGCATTTAATCAAAATTCCAATTATTTATTTATCACAAGAAGAAGCAGAAGATTATTTAAAAAACTTTGTAATGTATAAAGAATTATATAATACAATCAAGAAGCAAGGATTAGAGGATAAAATTATTGATAAACAACGGGATGAATTATTTGAAACACTTTCTATTTCAAATTTTGATAAAGAATTTTTGCATTCACTAATTTTTCTAGATGATGCCGTGAAATCAAAACTAATAACAAATGAGAAATCATATTTTAATCAGTTATTAACTCAATGTCGACATATTCAATGTTCATTCTTCATGGCTGTTCAATACTTCAAAGCATTAAGCACAAACATTAAATCAAATCTATCAACCCTTTTCATTTTCAGTGGGTTTAGTCGTCAACAGTTGAACGTTATGCTTTATCAAGTGAATTTACCAATGAGCATTAATGAACTTTACACACAATATCAACAATTAGGAGAACATGGAAAAATAATAGTTGATTTAAATAAAGGTTCCATTAAATTCGAATAACTTTTTATAATTAATTTTTATTTTTTATTTATAATTAAACATGACAGAAATAGCAAATCTTCTACAGGTTCCATTAAAACAAGGAACAAACAAAAAGGGTGCATATAATAGAACTATGAAAGTTCCTGATGGAATGAAAGAATTAGTTCATATTGTTGCTGGTCTTCAAAAAGATGTTAAACAAATGAGAAACGTTTTAACATTACCAGAAGCTCAAGCATATGCCAAACGTCAAGGTCCAAATTGGGAAGCACACGAAGCAGACATTACGGGTCCAAATGGAAAACCTGATGGTATAAATGAAGTTTTCATTACTGATGGTCAAGGTAATATTAAAGTCATAAATGGTTACAAATTAACTATAACTGATTATCCTAAACGTAAAGCATATAATGAACGTTATCCTATGCAATTTGATGAAAATGGAAAAGCTGTTAAACAATAC